GCCCGGTGCGTGCGAACATGATATCTGAGTGTAGTGGATGCGTTGTTGGAGGATAATGGTTTGTTGCATCTCCTGCATACGAATTTGTTTTCATAGGCGCCATCTGAGGATTTGACTCTATCAGATTTAAAGAACTTCCGGTAAGCTTCTACAGAATGTAAAGACAAGTATTAGCATGCATAATTACGGAAAACATTTGCACGAAGCTGCAGCAGAGGAATTGTACAGAAGACGGTGCATACTTGGGACCATTTTGATTGGACCAGCCTGTTGACTAATCGAGGTGGATGGAGTGAGCGATGTATCCGAGAGCAGGTCATCGTCATCTTGTAGAAGTTCATCTGCATCATCTGCATCATCGTCAATCCGTAGATCGTCGCCGTCCAGTTCTTCCTCCAAGGGATGATCCAAGAGTGAGGGATCAAATCCAATAGTCGTCGAGATTGTTGAGGGTGCTGATTGGTTGCTGTCATTGTTGTTGTGAGTTGTTATCACGACAGTGGATGGCGGGAATAAGTTGGGCCGCTGGCGCTTCGGTGAGGAAGGCCCTCCATCGGATGATGGCCGTTTGCTTATATTTAACGGTTCCATACTTGTGAATATTTTTGCGTGTGGAGGGTGGGAATGTATGGGGATAAGAGGGGGGAAATATACCAACGCGTTGTTCTTTTTATACACGTCGTGGACGCGCGAGGACCTTTGGTTTGGAACAATGCTGACATACTTGCTTGGTTGGTCAATCAATCATTATTGGGTAATCCATTCACCGATTACTCGGCCAAAGGTGGCATACATGCATCAATGAGTTACGTTGCCAACCGACTAACCAGTTAATCGATTAGTACATTGAACGTGGATGTGATGAAGAAATGGCGGCATACATGCATTAATGAGTTACTTTGTCAACCGACTAACCAGCTGATCGGTTAATCGTCGATTGGTCAACCGTCAATTAATTGAGAAAATTGGTTAACTCAGTAAAGGGAATAGCTGATTGACCGATTAACGGAATAACGGATTAACGGATTGTATGGTTAACAGGTTAATAGAATGACTGGTGAACCTGTTAACTGATCAATGGGTTAATGCTTTGCCTAGCTAACGGATTGGCTGGTTAATGGATTATCCATTTAGGAGGCCTTTCAACTCGAAATTATAATATGGTGTTTGTTACATCTCTGCAGATCTTGCTGATATCCACCGTATCCATTAGAGGAGAGTGTATGTATGATATCAGCCCTGTAAAATAACCACTGTAACATTCCTCGCGTAATTATCCTATTAAACACCACCGCATTCTCTAGACAACAAAATCCTCTTATTTTTCGCAAACCAATCTCTTGAATGTGTCCATCTACTATTAGACTGTACCCCCACTGCAAGATTCAGGGGAGTAGTTCTTGTACGTGATCATCTAAGGCACTTGTACTCTCAATTGTATCTTTGCTGTGAAATACAGGGGAGGGATTATATTTAAAGAATCTTGTGTTGTCTGTTGCTATCTCACCCTAAGTTCTCTTGCGGACTTTGGGTAAGATATATCAGCTATGTAAGTTTGCAGTGCTTTCCTTGGGCTTTGGATGTTTTTTACATCCTCTTTTATATCCTTCAACTGCAAATTGGCTTTGGTTAACCATCAATTGAACAAACGGTTGACCGACCAGATTAGCCGATGTTTGAGCAAAAGATTCACTTGACCTTTTGACGGATTAACCGACGCGATTGACCAGTCAAATTTTTTTTGACCAAAAAAAAATTGGTTAAAAACCCTGCGTTCAGGTACACGGTTGAACACACCCCATTGCCGTCTTCAACGATATCGCGGGATGGGATCTATTTGTTCCGTTCATGTGAACGAGCCAAATACTTCCGTGTCCGCCTTCGATAGCTGTCGCTTTAACCTCCATTCCGCTGCGCCTCGAGACTCTCAACCCGCCGCGTGGAAAAAAAGATATGCCTTGATATCCTCGCCATAAACAAAAATAATCAACCACCCCTTACTGTTCAGTCATCCAACGTCGCAGGGCCATTTATCAAAATTTCGCAACAATAGCATAAACAGAAAGGGAAGAGATGGGCATTGACATTGAGCCCCAAGACGCGGCTGGCAAAAGAAGACGCCTTCTGGAGGGAGGCAAAAAGAAAGCGCCCAACGTGGGGGTCGAACCCACAGCCTTCAGATTAAGAGTCTGACGCTCTACCGATTGAGCTAGCCGGGCTTGTTTGGAAGGCTTGGTTTCTAGACAGTCCAGTTCCAACGCTTACTAATTCTTCCTCTAAATGCATGAATGCAGTCTTTAAGTCAAAAATTCCCTTGTTGCACGCGATGACCTGTTTGCGCCGACGATGCGAGCTCGAGAAGGAGGATAACGATCATGTCTGGAAATGCCCCTTGGCAGCCGAGACCACCACTGAGATCTGGAAAGAGGCCATGGGCAAGACTAATGAGTGGGGTGTGCAAGCGACAAACAGCTACAACGCAGTCAGGAAGCGGGAACACAAACGCGCGGTGGACAGGGGTCGTCAGGCGCCCTGGAGCGACCAAGGACCCACGCGCTGGTGACGAGCGGTTGTTGAAGAGTTTGTTAGGAAGGAGGAGGTCGTCAATGATGGAGTGGATGGGAAGAATCCCCTTCATTCGTATCTAGTTTTATTTTCTTCCGTTTAAGCTGTGAAGAGCAGCGACAATTGTTGCGCAGAGCCAGGTTCTGGACCGGACTGCGACTGGTGGATGGTGCACTGAAGAGTTTAGTCTGTAGTCCCCTTTTGCTTCCAAATGACTTTTCTATGCTGTTTGTTGGAGAAAAAAAATTGTGTACAAAAAAAAAAAACTTGTTGCACGCGGTCTGACATGATTGTGGCCAGAGAAATAAAATGTACGAAAAAAAAAATATGTTATTTTGTTGTTCACACAAGAGGTTATCAATGAAGGGGAGGATAAGAAGAATCCCCTTTATTGGCGTCCAATTTTGCAGCGACAACTATTCTGCAGAGCCAGGTTCAGGACCGAACTGTAACTGGTGGATGGTGCACCCAAGAGTTTGGTCTGTACTCCCCTTTACTTTTAAATGCCACTTATGTTGATTACCATAGAAATATAATGGCGAACAAAAAACATTTGCAAGCAGAAACAATACTACTATTTGCTAGCGCCAGAGATATTATCAGTACCGCAAAGCGCAGCAATGGTAGAGCCAGACTTTCTTCATCCTGAAAAGTGAAAGTGAATGTCAGTTCTGGCCAGATCAACTTGGCTGTGTCTCCCGTTGTCTTTACTCGATGCAATTGTCATTGCGAGAGCGAAAAAAAAATGAAAATGAAGACATGTGTACAGTATAGATCAAACAACACCTTCAACCAAGGCTGCTCAAGGGTATATCGTTCGTACGAAGTGTTTTCTTTATGGCTTCTCCTTCTGTGTAAAAGCTCCTTTTTACTCAGTGCGGATTGTCACTACGAGCAAGGTTCCAGTGTTTTTGAGTAACATAACTTTATGAGCGTAACGACGTAGCGCCTGCAGCCGTTTCGTTTTTGTTTTTTATTCATGGCTGAAATTCAGGCGCCAAAAGTGCAACTGTTGCAAAAAGTAAAAAATTGTCCTTTTTCATATCATCTTTGCACACAAACGCGCAAAACAGTGCTTTTGCGGGTTAAGTATGAAGACACAGCGGAAAACTGTGGACTCCCTTCCTCGTGGTGTAGGGGGGACTTCTTGTAGCGAGGAATACAAGGAAACGAAGCAAAAGAACAGGTAGTTTGTTTGTTTCGAGAGTTACTCTTGGATGCCTCTTCAAGCAGAGTCAGAACCGAGAAAAGCCCTACAGCTCAACGCTCAACGCTCACTCAGACAAGTGAACAAGCAGACGGCGCCTTCGCCTTAATTGCACTCTTTGTCTCTCTTTATAGGGGTAATATATTTGACCAGCCCTTTTGTTGTTAGACAAGTTTCACGGCTACTTTGACAACCTCCCCGTACATTCTCATCTTTCAAGCCGGGTTGCCATATATACCAGGAGACTAAATGGTATATGTAATATGTCGCGGATGAATGTGTTTTTGTTGTGGAGAGATGGAATCAATTGCTAGGAAGGTAGGTGCCTAGCACGGTTGATGCAATACCTCTATGGATGTGTGTGCATGAATGTTGTGTATTGATGCGCCGGTCCTCTGTTAAGGAGAAACGAGGAAGGGATGCACCTCGCATGCTTGCTACGATACCTTTATGGATGTCGGGTATTGATGCGGCAATCCTCTGCAAGGAAAAAAGGAAAAAAGGAAAAAAGGAAAAAAAGGAAAAAAACAATTTTTGCTAAGTGCCTCGCACACTTGCTACGATACTGTGTTCTTGGGACAGGTTTCCCCGATTGTCAGACACCACCTCTTGATTTAGATGGCTATCAGCTCTCCAGCAATATTCAACAAGCTGAACTGGCCAGGATCCTCGGATAATTTGCAAGCTGACGGGTTATCAAGCAGATTAACCCGTCTCTATTGCCATGACTAGCAAAGCAAAAAAAAAGCAAAAAAGAGAGAGAGGCAAGTATTGAGACTCAATGGAAAGCTGATAGGATGAATCCTGGAGAACAAGGAGACAAGTTACCAGGTTGGTTGTACCAATGAGCCCATGATCTTACGCCCAACGTGGGGGTCGAACCCACAGCCTTCAGATTAAGAGTCTGACGCTCTACCGATTGAGCTAGCCGGGCCATCTGGCGCCTTCTGGCGCCGATCGAATTGCTTGGGAACCCAGATTTCTCAGCACCATTTGAACTCAAGGCGGAGTTCTTGTGTCACGTGAAATGTGCACTTAGGGAGCATACCGCACCTGTTGACGATATCGATAGAGAAATAAAATTGTGTACAAAAAAAAAAAAAAAAAACCTGTTGACGATGATAGTAAAATGCAATGGGATCCACAGGTACCATGGATGTGCAAAGTGATGTATATTTGGTGTATCGCGCTGTAATTATTGTCAATGTCTATTTGTCTATTGTCTAGTCTAAGAGTACATCCAGTCCTGATCAATCTCGGCCTCGGCTGCGTATTTGGCCAACTCGGCTTCACGCTTTTTCCTGTTCCACTCTGGATCATCCGAAGGCACCTCAGCGCGGCACGCAGGGCAGTTGTTATGCTACGACACAAGGAAAAATGTGTGCAAGTCAGCATGTACGTCAGTAGCGCTCGTCTTAACAGATACACATCGCCCCATCATAGTCACTCGCCAAAACAAAAAATTAGTACTTACAAGTTCCAGCCAGGGCACGATGCAGTCACGGTCGAAATGATGTTTGCAGGGCAGCTTTGTCACTCCTGCCTTTGACTCGTTCTCCTGAAAGTTTTCGTTACAAATAATGCACGCCTCATCTAATGATCACCAAAGCAGAAAACGCGTCAGTGTCTTGAGTTTGATCCGCCTCGTTGCCCACAAACCCGTGATAATAATTGTCTGCTTGGTTTGCGTGGTTTGCATACCTCGCTTCAGGTCCTTCTGTGGCACAAAGGGTAAATCCCGAATGAACGATTTAGCTGCTGGTGGTGGTCCATGCTTGCCGCTATGATATATAAGGGGGACGGAATGTATCAGCAGGGATGAATTGATTGATATAAAACACATGGCGAAAGAGATCATGAATAAAAGGGGTCATTACCTTGCTCCTGCCTCGTCCATCAATTGAGTGATCAGGTTATCGAGAAACCCCTGGTGAGCCTCATCGCCCAAAGGCTCCTCTCTTTCGCGGAACCCTCCAAACATCCTAAGAAAAAAAGAATTGAAGATAAAGCAGAACGAGCCGAGTGAGTTTTTCAGTGTCGTTGAAAAGAATAACATAAGAGCCGACATAGCTGGTAATGATGACGGAGAGAAACGTACTCTGCAAGACGACGGAAGTCGCCAACTGCTGGTCCTGATGTTGGGGGTGACCTGGAAGAAGGGCTGCTGGAGGTAGACTCTGTCTCCTCGCGAGGCATAAAGTGCGACAGGTCAGGGTTAAATGAACTGCCTCCATAAGGGTTGGTCTTCTTGCGTGCCTTGAATGGGTCCTCGAGGCTGTGGTCGTCGTAGTAGGAAGCCATTATTTGGTTGTTGTTGTTGATGTAAGTGGTGGCAGTGATGGTGGTGATGTTAGATGGGGATGATGATGAAAGAAAGAAAGGAACGGAGAAGGAAAGGGCGAAGTTGGACGAGGAACTGACGCAAGCGCACTTGCGAAAGGCGGGAAGAAGGAGTCGAATTGAGGGGTAGACAGACGAAAAAAAGCTATAAATATTTCCGCTGCACATTCTTTTTCTTTGTCTTTGCCATTCCTTTGTCACTCACATCAAGCCTGACGAATCGAGGAACAGAGAACACAAAAAACAACAAGAAAAGGAACTCGGGACAACGAGAACCTCAACACAACACAGCACAGTTATAGCTACAGCCATAGTTACAGCGACAGTACAGGCCTGCCTGTCTCAACCCACACAAAAAAACCACATTCGCATCGCCAAGCACAAGTGCAGCAAGACCCAATGTCGCATTTCAAGAACGCCACCAGCGAGTTCAAAAAGCGTCTTGCCGATCAGCCGCTCATCAAGCGTGCGGTCGTCACCCCCATCGCCTCGCAGGACGATGGTCCTATCTACACAGGCTCCAACGCCAACCCCAACAACAACGGCCTCCAGGTCTTCAGCTCCAGCAAGAAGAAGAAGACTGAAGGTAAAACAGCGAACAAGAGCCACCGTTTGCTGAGCTTGTTTGTTATTGTGCTCCTTCAGGAGACTTGAAAAGTATCTCAAACTAACTCTGACTGCTATTTTGCTGCTTTCTATATAATAGTTTACTCGCAGCCTCAGGACACAGGTTCAGGAAAACACATCAACAGCTTGCTTCTGAATGCGATCAACTTCTTGAAGACCGTGGACGACCCCCAGACGGTGGACGATCTTCGCCGCAAGGGAGGCGTGGATCTTGATGCCAAGCCTGAACTCTACAACCTCTTGAAGTTGAATGACAAGGTTGCCTACGACACACGGGATCATACTTTCGCATACAAGGTATCATCTGAATTTTGACGTTGAGTTGTGTCATTCTGTTATCGCACTTCGTTTTTGAATGATTAACTGAGCTATACAATGACAATATTTTAGCCAACATATCACATCAAGAACAAAGAAGACTTATTGGCGTTGCTGGAGAAGCGAAAGGGCGAGGGAGGTATGGACTACAAGGAGCTCAAGGACTCGTACTCGAAGCTGTTGGAGGCTGTAAACGAGCTGGCGTCCGAGGGCCGGATATTGGTGGTGAAGAACAAGGATGGTGCTCCCAGAGTTCTCTTCTGGAACGACCAGCGATACAACACAGCCATGGACCAAGGTAAACTCTCACGAGAAAGCTTTTTTTGTCTAAATCATGCGATAATTATTTAGCTCACTGGTATGAAGGGATGACTGACCCTATTTTGTTTATGTCCGATCGTTGACGAAACTGACAAAACGTGTAGAGTTCCGGGATATCTGGCACAGATTGCGCATCCCAGACGAGATCGATCTGCCGAAGGAACTCGAGAAGGCTGGACTGACCCACATGCAGGTGTTTGACAAGAAGGGACCCGGTGATATCCCCAAGCGCAAGCCTGTTCGTCGCAACAGAAAGATGAAGATTACGAACACGCATATGAAGGGACTCGATCTCACCAAGGACTTTGTCATCCAGAAGTAATGGGTCAGGTCAAGACAGGACCCCTTCTCGTGGTCTAGGCGAAGCACTCGCTCATAGTGGCGTTCACACGCCTGAACAAAAAAAAAAACAATAAAAGCGGAAAAAAATTGTGAATATATTTGATTGCCTCTTACCATTTTTCTCGTTTGCATTCCTTTCTTCTACTCTTTGTGATCATGTGGAGCTCAACGCCACCAACATCGTTGCACTCCAAACCAACGGGTGTGCTTACTACTAGCACTGGCTCTACTGAATGGGCTCCAGTAAGACATCCCATCTCATTCTGCATTCATCACCCTCATGCTGCCATGTCGCCTTGTTTTTAACAAGTGCATAAAACCGTACCTGAAAAAAAATACTACCTACTAGATCGATAGGTGGCTGCAGAGCAAGTACCGGATAGACGAGATCCCAGTCTTTGAAAGGACCGAAGAGACATACCAGGCCCTACTGGAACTCATGCAACTGAACGAAGCCCAGGATAAACAAGCGCGACAAGCTCTTCATTCTCTTCGTCATCTCTCCAGCTCTTACAAAAGCGAAGGTAAAATCTGGCGCGGGCCACTTTTACTCCAGCATACTGTTCGCATGACTTTTTTTTGTGAAGCTAAAAAAAAAAAGACTCGATCATATCAATACATCGTGCTTAGATACAAAACTGAAAGAAACACTACAGATCCTCGATATCCAAAAGGACCACCTCCCACAAGAGACCCAACACATTCTCTCCCAGTTGTCAGAATTAGCCATGATTCTCGGAGTATCCGACACACAACTCTCAACCCTCCAACAGGGACTCGCCCAATCACACATCGAAAAAACTCACTACCAAACCCTCCAACACCAAGACCACCTCTCTTTACTCAACAACCTTGATCGCCATCAGGCGGTCGCATCACAGGGCCTGATACAATTGCAGGAGTTGAAGCGACAGTTTGAGGATCACAAGTCGACGGTGGGGGATATTGAGCTCCAGACAAGGAGACGGAGCGCAGAGTTGACGAGAATCAAGGCTAAGGAGGACAGGAACCAGCTACAGGGGCTGTATGAGAGTCAGCAGAGAAATGGACTGGATGTTGAGGCACAGGGGTTGACGGTCGCGCAGTTGGATCAGAAGGAGCAAGAGGTTGCAGAGCTTGAGAGACAGGTTGATGCCCAGACAAAGTCCTTGACATCCTATCAAGCCATTCCACCCGTAATTCTTTCATTTTCTGTTGTGTATTGGATTCTAAGAGAGGTACTATCAAGTCTTACGTTTATTTTATGTGTCTTCTAACGAATGTCATGCTGTGGTGGTTCTTTTTCCGTTTCTCATAATCTTAGGATTTTACGCTGGCGAGGTTGAAGGTGAAGGAGGCAACGATGAGACTGGACGAGCTTATGGCAGAGCATGAGGCTCTGGTGCGAGAACTGGCCGACGACTTATAGGTTCGCTTTCCGAGCATGAGGCCTGTTTGTAGAATAAAACATTAAAGAAACAAGAAGGAAAAAGAACAGTTCGAAAACCAATGTTTTTATTTTTGCCATGATATGGACTTTGTGGTAGTATGTGTGTTATCCTTTCAACCAAAGCACCCTCCTTTCCTTCAAACAATGGGACATGTAAATACATAGCAACCAATGCAGAATATCAATGTTCAAAGATGAAAGGAGTGAAAGGGGAAGATGGAGAGAGGGAGGGAAGTAAAAAAGAGTACGAAAGGTATTTACATGTTGCTGACATAGAACCACTTGTCGACTGAAGGGTCGATGGGTGCAGCGGGCTTGGGGGCGGCAGCGGGGATGCTCTTGACGACCTCATGGTCAGCGCCGATCTTGTAGGGGCCATCGACGGAAACGTTGGCACTAAAATATTAGGACCAAGAAAGACAGGCGATGATGGTTAGCAAAGGTGTGACCTTTTTCCCCTGTAGATATCGTATACAAAGACGAGTATGTAAGTAAAGATTAAAGAGGCCGACGGTTCACGTACACCTTGATGTCGTATGTCTCGGTCTTGGAGGGGATCTCGCCGGTGATCAAACTCTTCCAGGCGGCGTGGGTGTCGTGGATGACCTTGACGGCGTAGGCCTTGTCCTTGGCGGCGCCGTCGAAGGCGAACTCGTTGGCGGGCTTGCCATCGGGCTTCTTGTAGTCACGGAACCACTCGCGGGTGGCATCGATGAATCCAGGGAGGTGCTTCTCGACATCGGCAATGTCGTTCAACTGGTCAGCCAAGGGATCCTTGACATCGATGACAATGACCTTCCAGTCAGTCTCGCCTGTAAGAGATAATGGAAAAGGAAAATGATGGGGAAAAAGTATTTGAACGTTTGATTAGGATTTAGTCTTCGCGGAAAGATTGTGATTGGATTATCGCACCATACGCCATCACAACACACCCAACCTGGTCACCGTACTGGGTGCCAACAATAACAATGCCATTGTCATTCAAGTCACACTTGATGTTACTCTGCTTTGGTTGTTGATTGTCCATCCTTCTGTCTGCTTTTGCTGTTTGGTGTTTTGTTTTTGTGTCTTCCTTGAGTCCGTGTTTTCGTTGATATGACTTACCCTCATCCAAGAGAGCCATGACTCCGAGAGCCTTGACCTGCTTGATCTGGCCAGTGAAGCCGACAGCCTCACCGATCTCGCAGACATCCAAAGGATCGTTATCACCACGAGCCTTGGTGTCATGGTCAATGTGAGTGGGGTCCTCCCAGGTCTAGATTGATGTTCAAATTGCAAACAGTCGGGAATACTTCTTTTGTCAGTGCCGTTGTTTTCCTCATAGACATACTGTCGCCACTCCAATCCCTGTCGACGGCGGTAGAGACGACGACATCAAACAAACAAGCAACCTTGCATGGTCGGACGAGAAATAAAATGCTCATGGTAAAGAGTCAATTGGTCAATTGATTGTGGAATTGATCCCCCCCCTCCTCGGAAAAACACCATCCTGATAACGTACCTGGGGGAGAGCACCGTAGTTCCAGATGTAACCGTGGTGGGGGAAGCAGTTGCGGACGAAACGGAGCTTGCCCTTCTTGATATCCTGCTTGATGGGGTTGAACTCCTCGTCCTTGGAGATCTCGAGCTTGGCGTTGCTCCAGCGGGGGATCTCGACAATCATGTTGTAGACGTTCTTGGCCTCGTTGGCGTAGAGAGGAACATCGTGGAACGAGGAGACGGGGGCGCCGTTCTTCTCTATTCATTTTCAATAGACGTAGGTCGTAAGCCGTGTTAGTAAGTTGTGGCAACGAGGAGCGTGTTCTTGATCAGGTGGAATCATGAGCACAGAAGGGGGGGGGGGTGAGTTATGAGTTGGAGGAATGAGTGAAAGAGAAATAAAGGATTTACCGATGTAGACGCGGTGCTCGAGGGTGTTGGGGGCGCCGATGACGCGGGTGGAGTAGGCAGACATGTTGCGGAGGAGTGAGTGTGAGGAGTAGGTGCGGACGCGGAGGGTTAAAGGAGAAGAGGAGAAAGAAAAAGAAGAAAGAAAAGAACAAGAAAGAGGAGAAGATGAAATAAAAGGGGAGGCGACTAGTCGAGGGGAGGAGCGACAGAGGCGGAATGAGGAGCGGATCAGGGAAGCCAGCGTGGAAGAGATAACCGGAGTGCGGGAGACAAGTCAAAGGGGGAAAGGACAAAGGGGTGAGTAAAAAGAAGGAAAAAGAAGAATAGTAGTCTATGGAGGTGTAGATCTGCTTACGGGGTATTCATTCTTGCATTGACCTCACTCAACTTTGTAACTCATTAGAAGAAATGGTGGCAAAGCAAGCTATCGCAGACTTCTTGTCCAAGGCCGATCGAAAGGGTGTAGGTTGTTCCTCTCGGCCCACATCCTCTCCTCCTTTCAAGTCTGGATTCAGAATGGAGAGAGTGAATACTGGAAGAGAAGGTGAAATGGAAAAGGTTGTGTTGAGTTGTATTGGATGTATGCTCAGGAGGTTGAGTATAGTATGGCTGATGGCTGATAGCGTCATTGTAGTCTCCATTGTCGAGTTGTGTTAGCTATCGTCTATCAATGAAAAGGAGCAAACATATGGTACGTGAAGATGAATGTGTGTAAGATAGTATGTGCGCGCCGAGTTTTGTCCAGTTGGCTTTGTACTGTCTTTCCTTGTGCTAAAGCAGCATGTGAGAGACAGAGATTGAGCCCATTTTCCTTGTTCGAAAGTGTGCCTCGTGCGGTGTTGCTTTATGCCTTTGACCACCAGCTATTTTATTTGTTTTCTTTTTTGCCGTTTACCTTTTGCCTCCACTTTGTTCTGATTCTCTTTTTCATTCCTCTTTACCCACAGCGCCTCCCACAACCGTATCCATCACCCTTTTTGCTTTTGACAACAACACCACAACAGCAATAGTCAACAAGCGAGGATCGCAGCTCATTCCAGCAGGCACAGCAGCAACAGTGAACAAGAACGCCAAGGACTCATTGCAACTCATTTGACAACAACCACCGGCGGTTCTCATTCCTTTCCTGTGCTACAAACACACAACGGCACTCGGTAGCAATATCCACATCTACATACACAGCAATACAACAACAGCAACACTTCTTGCTGTCCTATGCTGCTCTCAGTTCTCAGGGCGGGCTGGCGGGGTGCCCACTACCTCGCTCTACTCGCATTCCTCACCTTGACCTTTGATATTAGCAAAGCGTGTGGCCTCGACTTTTCGCTTTGGCTCGTCTCCTGGTACATCGCCACCATTGCCCTCCGACGTGTCTTCAGATCCTCCGGACCCATCAAAACAGTTGTAAGTACTCATTCCTGTTGTGAGCATGTGAATTGTGAATGCAAACTTTTTTTTCTTTTCTTAACCTCCTTATCGTGTGTTATATTATTGTTATCTGCCATGTTAATGAAAAAAAAATAGATCACAAGCGCAACAGTGGCAGAACCCCTGGTGGTCGTCGGATTCCTCCTTCTCGCCATCTTCAGGTCAACCAAGGGCTTGTCGGGATCACATGAGATCTGGGAGACCGTTATTCGAGGATCTGACCCTATCTTGACTCTTCTCGAAGGATTCGGCACAATCCTCATCATCCAAAAGTCTTCCCAGGTCGTGAGGCGACTCGCAGGAAAGAGCGATGGTTATCAGGTAAGCAAATCCAATTTTCCAAGAACTCAAAAAGCGAAAAATTACATTTGGGCCACGACTTTTGTCCTTCATGTCCGCCGTTTGGAGTGGCCCGGTCCATGTATTTTTTGTTTTTTCCTCTGTCTTTCATGCACGTACTGTGCTGGTGCACATTCTTTGGGTTATTAACCACGGAATTCCTTATATTCTATGTACCATAGATTGCATTCTTGGTGTTGTCCGCCTCGGTTTATGTGACTGCAGGGTTCGGACTCTACCAGCTTTATGCCGCCTCAGCTCCTGAACTGGTACCGAGCGTCAGATCAGCCTCGGTCATCGGCTGCTGTATGACCCTGACCATAGTCCTCTCTATCATTGCCCTTGTGTCGGGACGTGGAGTTATTACCGACACCGCTTTCTTGGTATAGGAGTTGTTTTCTTGTTTTCTCATCACAATACCGACCAACGGTCAACGGACTTTGGGGTGAGAACTCGATTCGCTAACCCACAATGACAATTGCTATTTCTTTTCATGTAGTTTGCTTACATGGTCATGAGCATGTATATCGCAGCCAGGAACGAGGCCATTGAAAACTTGCCAGCGAAGAGCAAGATCATGCCCATGCATAGCGCAATCGATTTTGGGCCGCTTTCTGTTCCTTATCTTCAAAGGTTCGTTCGTCGTCTTGATCATTGCGCCCATTTTTTTGAGTTACCTTTTCGATGATGTGGTGTAATTGATCTCACCTGACCATCATCAATCGTCATCTCTACTGAAACAGTTTATCATTGCAGGATGTGGAAAAGATTACGATCCAGGCACTGGTCCATCTTTCGCAATTGGTCCAGGTGCTTGTCCGTGCTCTCTCGCCCAACATCCTTATCAGTCTTCTCTACAGGATGGGTGTCCTGATGACAGTCTCTCATATTGCCCCCAGCTTGAACATTGGACAGGATACTGTATTGTCCAACGATCATGGCTACGCACGGAAATTATCACGGGATTACTCTTTGGACGACGATGACGAGAGCAGCAGCCGAGTGATGCCTTTCTTGGCCAGCATGGCGAAACCTGTCTTGCTGATGACACATACCCGCATCTTGTTGCAGTACTTTGGATACGCACGGCCAGCATTGGCGATCTGGGGCTGGCTCAACAGTTTCTTGTGTCTTGCACTCTTTGCAGCCGAGCTGGTGTTGGCGCGTGATGATGCATGGGAGCATTACCGCAATGATTGAATGAGGAAACGGTGAGGTTGGAGGAAGATTGCACACACTACATACACACGCACACATACTTTTTTTACACTTGTTTTCATTCAGTCGGAAGCGGGAAGAAGAATATCGGGAGATTGACGCTCCCACTTTGTACACCACCTCTACTATTTTCTTTTCGTATTCATATTTCTATCGTTCATAAATAAAAAAAAACACATTGACGAAACGCATAATGCACAGATTAGGATTTATTATTCTTTGGAGGATACAAAGGAGATATTTGCAGAGAGATACAGACGAAGAAGAACACGCGAAGAACAAGAAGGGTAGGATGTGTGTACAAAATCAATTGGCCATCCTCTTCTTATACCTCTTTTTTCATTCCTTTTTTTCACACAAAAGGCGCTTCTCACAGGCAAGTTTGCCCGTGGGAACGAAAGAAGATGTGATTGTTGCACAAAATAAGAAGTGAAATGAAGAAGGGGAAGAAAACAAGGTGTAGGGGAAAGGGTAGGGATGTTGTCCATCCTTGGTCCAATGTGCGGGGGGGGGGGGGATCCTGAGTTTTTGATTTACTTCCTGAGAGGGTGTCTAATTCATTTTTTTTTTTGGACGTTTTTCTTATTTCCTTTTTTCTTCTTCTCACTTACATATCCTGTTGCTGCGATCAAGTCCCGATGATCGGTAGATCCGTATGTATTATTCCATTTGGTGTGCAAGAAATCCACTGTTGTTGATGTTGTTAATGTTGTTGTTGATTATGGTTGATCCAGAGAGTCGGGAGAGTGTGCTGAGATTGGAATCCATTTGAGAGGGATGAGAACAAAAGAGAGAAAAAAAATACAGAAAAAGCACTAAAAAACCAATATACCACTACCAGCCAGTCCCTCTGGCAGCCCCTTCTTGTCCACCCACTCTTTTTTTAAAGAAAAGATGAAAAGAGAAACGTATTCTTCAACTGTCCGTTCACTCTGCAAATGATGAAAAAAAAGGAAAAAAAAAGAAAAAAGTTAAAAAAAAGAAAAACGCAGAAGAGAAGGTACCGATAGCCGCCTTCAGATCAGATCATCATGCCTTGGCCAATGCGGGTGTCGACGCCATAGATGCAAGAGCTCCAGCGTTGATCTCTGTACCTGCGGGCCTCGTTGGCTTCGTTGAGGGGCACACGTGCATAAGAGGGGATCTGCATCGACCGGCCGTGGACGGGGACGTATTCGTTGCTGCCGTTACTGTTGTTGCCTTGACCAGGGACTGGAAGTGCTGAGGGCAACAGACCGGTGCCGTTTTGTGCTGCCGCTGAGGCTTGTTGTTGCTGCTGGAGATATTGTTGTTGCAATTGTTGCTGATGATACTCCTGTGGCAGGACGGGAGATGTCAACGAGGCTCTAAACAGGGTGTTGGTGCTTTGAGCCATAGAAGGAGAAGTATCTTGAGCACCGGTAGAATCGGATTCCATATCCATGTCCATATTGGAGCCGCCAGTATAGGGTGAAGCTGTATTAGAGCTCAATCCCGATTCCGGAGTTTGGTATCCTTGCATGTTGGCTTGAAGGTGGGAACCGTTATGGTTGTTCATGTGGTTGAGAGCGGCGGCGTGGCGGGCCGCGGTGCGGAGTAGGGGGGATGGGTTGGGCTGGGGCCAGGCAGGTCCGCTGCTCTTGGGGGTTGCTTGCGTCGGCGTTCCAAAGTTGCTGAAGGGGGAGTGGTTCATGGGGCTGCATGTCCTCTTTCCATTTGGCTAGAAAAATATTGTAAGAAACAGGGAGTTAATGGATCGATCGACGAAATTATCTTTCGACTGGGGAGGATAATAAGTACTAATGCGACAGCTAGTCGCGTTTTGGGACTTGTCTTTTTTACCTGGGCTTCTTGGATGATCTCGTCGTCGTATTCGTTGGAGTCGATCTTGCGCTTGATAGTACCGGCATCGAGGTTCAACATGTTTCCTACAGAGAAAGAAAGGGAAAGAGAGTGAGTGCGTGGAATGATGAAGAGTCAATTGATGCCTGCACAGACAGGTGATGGGAATACAGTTGCTGAGGATGAATTGTCCTTCTTACCTTGGCCGTATTCGACATAGCTGGATCGAATGGGCTCCATTATAGAAAGAAAGAAAAGGTTGCGGGTGTGAAAAGTAAAAAGGTGGGCGCAATTAACAGGTGGCTATGTAAGTGAGATGGATACGACAGAAGAATGAAAAAGAAATGACGATACCAGTAAGTACAGTTTTCCGATCGGGGTTACTTGCTATTTGTTATTATTTGTGTTTATGTTTTCCACACTGTAACTGCGTTCTTTTTTTTTCCTTGATCCCCTTCCTGACTCCCTTCTTTCCTTTTCTCTGTACCCCCTCGCTCTCCTGGAAGCCTCTGACGAAAACAAAAAAGGAACTCCTTTCCTCTCCAAACATACATAAAACCACTCCCTTATAAATGTGGAGGAAAAGGAAAGGCAGGATAATTTAGGGGGCACGAGCAAAAAAAAGAGTTGAGGTTTTGGGGTCAATGCTTGTCATCGTCTCTCTTCCACTATTCGAGAGCCTGGCCAAAGAAAAAAAGGGGGTGAAAAGGGGGATGGGGCGGCGACAGGGTTCCCGTGTGAGCGTGCATACGTGCGTGTGAAGGCGGAAGGTGGTCTGTTGTTAGTGTGTGTGTGTGTGGTTCCTATTCTAACGGATAATGGGTCGCCGAAAGCATACCAACACGACCAGACCACCCGTCCGTTCCGTGCAATGAAATACATAAAAAAAAAAGTGGGGCCTGCAGGGTGTGTGTTTGTGTGGGTGGAAGAGATTGGGGCGAAGAGGGAAAGGAGGGATCAGGTATGTCGTGTGGTGTTCATTGCGGATTGAGACAGGATACTCGGCGCCGGGCGATTCGCTTGTACGACTTACCAATTGGGCTTGGCTTGGCTTTGATAAGTCACCAAATTCAACAGTGAGACGACGCGAGGCGATTGGGAGACGAGGGATGGGAACGAGGGAGTTGTTGAGAGTGAAAGAGAGGGAGTGGAGAGAGTGTTTGGGCGAAATGTATTTTTCGATTGGCTTGGTTGTGGTACAGTGGCAGTGACAGTGGTTCTTTGGCGGTTGAGCAGTGGTAGAGTAGAGCGAGAGAGAGAGAGAAAGATGGAAGGATGTGAGAGTGTGAAGAGGAGTTGTAGATACCAATTGGAGGTTGAGAAGAAGAGGTGTAGAAGAGTGAGCAATTGAAAGGGTCTGTGCAGGGAAGGCAAGATGTATGTGTAACGAGTGCTTGATTGGGGGGAGAGGGGGTCTGGCGAAGGAGAAGGGGGTGGAAGGAGGAAGGAGAAAGGAAGAAGGAAGAGAAGAAGAAGAAGAGAGAGGAAGAGGAGGAGAAGGGGAGAAGAAAGGGGAAGAATCATCATCGCCTTTGTTGCTGCAGCGGAATAGGTGGAGGGGTGACTGCCCTTTGGGACAACCAATTGTCCTTATTCTGAGTCGGAGGAAAAAAAAAAAGGCTTGATTCACGTACACTGTGTAACAAGAGGCAAGGAGGCGGGAAATGTACGTAGATTGAATGGAAGGAGGCGAGACACACACCTAACGCGCGACGCGCCACTTCCATGAAGCGAATTGTGCCCAACAGCAACAGGGTACCAAAAAAAAAGAAAGAAACAATCAATCGGGGGGAGGGATAGACCTCCTCTTCTTTCACTAATTTTAGTGCATGGGCTCTCGCATATGCCAGCCCACAGAGGTATTGAAAAAAAAGTGTACAAACTGTGAAAGAGAGCGATGAACGACTATTCATCTGTCCTTTCAATTTTGGTGCTACGGTGGGCTGAATGCGCAGAAAATAATAAGGCAGCGAGGATAGAGAGAAAGGGGCAGAGATGGATGGACTAGTTAGTATTGCCCTGCATCTCTTTGTCAGTGAAGTATTACGAGGAAAGACAAGTAAAAGGAAGGAGGGGGAACTGGATGGTGTTGTTGGGGTCCAAAGGAGCAAGAATCAAAATAAAACACAGAAAGAGAAGAGAAAGGGGTCAAAAAAGACTCCTTTGGATTTGATCCCCTTTCGATTCTGACGTTAGACAGACTGGTGGATGGGTGTGTGCGTGAACCACAAGTACCACTGAGGTGAACTCATTGCGCCCAAAGAAGAAGAAGAGGAAGAAGAAGAAGAACAATAGTCAGAATAGAGATTGCTAACATGAGACCCGGAGGGCCCCTTCTCCTGTTTGTTTCTGACTCTATTGTCCGGCACTCTCCCCCTGTTTGTATACAAATGGGTGTGTGCCAATCATTACACTTGTAATAATAAGTGATAAGAAGTGATAAAACCTATTTTTTAATACAATACATCAGCTAGTGACTGAGACCCCGTCTGTGGTGTCCCTGTCTCACCCTTATGAGTTGTATGAACCTGTCTTGTTTCCTTGTTTCTGACTTTCACGCCTCCCATTCTCTTTCCCCTCATCACCCCATCCCCTTCTTTCCCTCCATTCCTCTTCCCTTCTCATTATTATTATTACTCTGCATAGACATATACACACCATTCACTCAGCCATATGCCTTTCTTCTCTCCGTGAGTAAGCTCACCTCCTTCTCTCTTTCTACACAACCCCTCCTCCTCAAACAACCACAAACACCGCTTATTCAACACATACATACATACATACATACACTCCCTTGTCGACTCTTGGACCTACCTTGCCACCCTCTCACCTTGCTGCAGCAACCCATTGGGCCTTACTATAATCTTTTTCTGCTTATTACAAAAGGCAAGTCGATACAATACAAATAAAGAGACAAACGCCACGTTGAGTCCTACTACCGTAGTGCCTTGACGGGGTGCCTATGCCCGTTCCTGTGTCTGAAGGAATGAGCTCATGTCTCCGGATCGTGATCACACCTTCTCATCCTTCTCACTCTGTCTCGTTTCGTCGTTCCTCTCGGCACACACCTACACCCACACACTTCAATTGCTCATCTCTTCTTTACTTACCTTCTTCTTCTCCTCTCCTTTAATTTATTATCTCCATCATTGTCTGCCTGCCCATCCTATCCGTCTGTTTGCCCATCTGTCCGTCCGTCCTCCCGCCTTTGTGCCAATTACTCTTTTCTATCAATCGACACCCCCCCTCCTGACCGACCGACTCTCCTTGCCTCTTGCAAACCCGCCTTCTCCTTCCCTTCCCTTCCCTTCCTTCCTTCCATCATACACTCTTCTTGACTCCTCCTATTCCTCCTCCTCCTCGCTTTCAACTCTCCCTTCTTTTTTTGCTGCATGCACTCGACCCATACTTCTCTTCTCGTTTCGCAATCCAACAGAGCACCCATCACGCAGCACACAGGCACCGCATACACACACGACTGCATCTATTTATTTCCATTAGCACACAAGCGAGAGCACTGAAATGTCCTGGCTCCTCAAGAGCAAACGGCTCCAGTCGGCTGGCCATGGAGCTAACACCAATGGCACCAGCAACAACAGTACCAATACCAACAACGGCAACAACACCGGCAGCAACGTCAACAGTATTTATAGCCTGGGCAGTAGCAACCTCAGCAACAGCAGCCTCAACAGCAGCACAACGACAGGCCTTGGTCAGCAGCAGTATGGAGGCAACAGCAGTAACATCAACCTCAGCACCACCTCCCTTTCCCTTCCTTTCTCTCAAAGCAACATTAACACCAGCAGCAGCACCATCAACCTTTTACATACCAGCACCACCAACAACCATATCGACGCGGGCGAAGACATGGTCCGGTCCTATGCTGCTGCCAGTTCGCAGCTCGAAACTCAAAAGACTGCTTTCATGCGCTGGGTCAACGTCCAGCTCTCCGCCAACAACCCCTCATACGTGCCCATGACATCCATCGAACGCGACCTTCGGGATGGAAAGCGGCTGATTGCCCTACTCGAGGCCGTCTCACAGGAACCCCTAAAGCCCGAGCGAGGCAACATGCGCATCCACCAGATGGCAAACGTTTCCAAAGCACTGGCCTTTCTGGAAAAACGGACCGACGAAGGACTGGGCACTGTCGGGAATGAGGACATTGTGGACGGTAACGTCAAACTGACCCTAGGCCTCGTGTGGATTATCATCTACCGCTTCCAAATCCAACAAATGGCCAATACTGTCGCAGAGCTCTATCCACTCCTCGCCACGGGAGATGATCTGGTAAGTTCTTGTGATTTTGTTTGTGGTCTGAATTTCCAACGACATCCAGTTGGTGTACTCCTCTTTCTTTGTTACTGTGCGGTGTAGTTGCGTTGCACGGTATCTTTTTTCCTTCTTCCTTGTGTAATTCACGGTATCTTTCCGCTTCCCTTTCTTTTCAGCATGAGGTGGTGGGTGTGAACAGAGGAAGAGACGATGGGGTGGCGCTCGCATGTGCGCCCATAGCGCAATCGCTCCCTTTTCTTTTGGACCTTTCAGCCTGATGGCCTGTTCTTTTAATATCCATTTGCATGTGCTTTATTTGGTACAACCGTAGTCAATGCGGGTCGTATCAGAGCATGGGCCAAAAAAACAAAAACAAACCACATGAGCTCCACCTGATGAACTTCTAGGCCCATGCAACCCAACAACCTACAAACAAACACCAATCAATTCTCTACTATTGCAAACATATTAGGACACGGAGGAGGCACCGGCTCCCAAAGGCAAGAAGAAAGGCTCTTCTCACCAGGTCGATGCCAAACAGGCCCTCTTGCGCTGGGTTCGCTATCAACTGGAAGACTATTCCGATGTGATTCCCCCAATTCAGGATTTCCATCGCTCCTGGAGGACAGGTCTAGTTTTTACTGCACTCATCCATCGACACGACCCAGAGTTCCTACCAGAGTTCTATTCGACCATCTTGCCCTTGACCTTCGAGACAGCTGACGAGTGGCGGCGGACGCTCACCCGAGCCTTCGAGGTAGCATACGAATGTATGAAGTTGCCACAGCTCCTTAGTCCAGAAGACTTGGTCGAGATCGAAACACCGGATGAGCGATCCATTATGACCTACGTCTCTGAATACTACAGCGTCATGTCAAAAACACAATCGGAGCAGGATCCAGCCCTTGCGGAGGAGTTGCGGTCACGGCGGCGGCAAGCAAAGGACGAGCGGTTGGCTCTCGCAGGAGAAGATCAGGAGGCACGGAGGCGTCGACTCCAGGAAGAACAAGAGCGCAAGCGTCGAGAAGATGAAGAAGAACTGGAGCGCATTCGACTTAAGCGGATGGAAATCGAAGGCTGGTCCATTCGAGCCGCTGAGAGGGCCAAAGAGGAGGAAGAGGCCCTCCGGAAACGACGCGAAGAGGAGGAGGAACGACGGCTGCAACGACAACTCAGACGTGAGCAACGTGAACGTGAGAAGGACCTCTTGCGACGACAGTCTTTATCGATATCCACCGGAGCGGACGGACAACTGCCCGCTGGAATCAGGAACGAGGACGGTTCCTACTCATATCCAGGCCATCTCAGCAACGACGACGACGACGACGACGAGGTCGTAAAGGATCTTGGGGGCAACCATGGTATTAGCATTGAAGGGGGTCTTCGGGTCGACTATGTCATTTCGGATTCCGACCACGAGGACTCTGATGTGGAACTGGATGCGGAGCAGTCGCCGTCCACGGACATCAAAGACCCAGAAGCACACATGAGCCCCATGGATCTTGAACGGCGCCAGCAGGAGTTGAACGAAAAGTTGGCAGAATTCCACATGGGCATTCTCGAGCTCTCCGAGTGGATCAAACAGCAAGACAGGGAGTTTCCGCATGCACCCAACACAAAATCTCTACTGGACCGGTCTAAGGATCTGGAGCCTCTGACGGATGTCATTAAGGCGATCGAGGAGGAGCAGGCTGTCAAGGAGCACGTCATGTCCCACCTCCACGACGTTCGAGAGGAGCTCCTCGAATATGAAAACCCGGATTTGCCTCCTGAACAGATCAGCGAGTTGGACAAGAAATGGTGGGAACTGGAGACCATCTGGACAGCGCTCACCAACAAAGTCGTCGAAACCAAGGACACTGCTGAGGAGGTGAAATGGATCATCGATTGCACCCAGGAGATCGACCGCGTCAACGGCGAGATTCTAAGGATTGAGTCCCAGCTGGAGGCCTTTGCGGAGAAGCGATCGCAGGAGACGCCACAGGACCGATCCCAAAAGCCGATTCTGGAGAAGCAGGATGTCAGCCTCACGGCGATTAGTTTCCTGCTCGAGTCATACGTCGACTTCTTGACGGCTCTTATGGACCCCAAGGTGCACCACTACGACGCTCCCGAACATCTCACCGCCCGCAACAACGAACTCACGACTGTTCGGTTACCCCATCTAGCCGTCATCATCGAGAAGGCCCAGCAGAACCTTTCGAACGATCGTCTCCTACGACATTTCTTGGATTCGTTTGTCTTGTCCGAGGCTTGGATCGGCGAGAGTGTCGTCTGGCTGGCTAACATCGAAGTGCCCTCGTTTGTCTCTGAGGACGAATGGAAGGGATGGAAGGCCGTCAAGGAGTACATGGCCCGCGACTTAACTCAGGACGCAGACCTAGATTTTTTCATGACAGAGCTCCAGGAACTCAAGGGTGAGCTTGAGGAGGAACAAGGCGAAGTCACGGCATTCCGTCTGAGCGGGGTTGCCAAACTCGATGAGCAGGTCGAGGCGGTCAAGAAGGCCGTTGCGGATACGCAGGACGTCACAGCAGAAGGAACGACGAAAGCGGTCCAGGACCTGATGCGCGGTGTCATGAACAACTTAGAGAAGGTTGAGGATCTGCTGCCCAAGGAAGCGACCCATTGCGCTTACGCCACCCGTGTTTTGGAGTACCTTCTTACGGCGCGTTCGATCCTTGATGGTATGGAAGATACGATGGACGCAATCAATGCCTGGGAGATGCGGCAGCCTGATGCAGAGGTTGAGGCATTGGTGACTGGTGTCGAGGACGAGCTGGCCCAACTCGAGGCGACTTTTCAGCAACCACCATTGGAAGGGCGGGGTCCTGAGGAACCGACAGTCCAGGCAGCTGTCCAGAAGCGCCATTCCGGTCTAGTCTGCCTTGTCAAGGACCTGCGGGTGTGCTTCCACGAGAAGCAGGAGGCCATTAAGGGGGATCGACAGATGAAGGAGTTCCTCGAGGTCACTCTTTCCTGCCAGGCTGCATTGCAGGATATCAAGTCCAAGTTCAGCAAGAAGCCTACGTGGATCGGATTTGGTTTGGAGGACAAGACACCCCTGGACATCTTCGCTGCCCAGGTTCAGGCCATCGGTCAATCCCTTGAAAAGTTCGAGTCGGTGGACTACCAGGCCTATGAGGTCATGGGAGCTCGAGTCACGGCCATGGCCGCGACTTCTGGTGCCAGACAGGATCCCGCCATTGTCCAGTCTAAGCTTCGTGCCGTCAAAGCTCTGCTGGAAGAGGTCAAGATTCTGAGGTCGGATCGCGAGCGTGATTCAGAGATGATGGCAGAGTGCCGGCAGTTGACAGAGTCCCTCTCAACGTTGCGTGCGGATCTGGCTGCTCTTGAGACAGACTACTCGGCGTTGGAGCACCTGGAGCCGAACCAGCACGGCGATCTGATGGAGCTCGGCCACCGTTCCAGTGCTCTCAGCAATCGGTTGGTCGCTTTGGAGCAAGAGTCCGTTTTTCCGATTCTCGAGAAGGACAAGACTTGCGCTGGTCTCTTTGACGATATCAAGCGGAGTAAGGCCTCAATTCAACAGACACAGGAACGTCTCCAGACCCGCCTGGGACTGAAGCAGCAATGGGACACAGCTTGGAATGCCTTCACCGACCGAGCAGTGTTTTTGCAGCAGTACCTCGAGACCTCCGAGAAGGACATGCACGAGCGAGGATATGTCGGCATGGACAGCTTTGCCGCCGACGAGCAGTTGTGGAAGAGGACCGCGGATTCTGTTCGAGAAACTGCTGTCGCCAACACCGAGCACTTTACGAGCCTCGAGGAGTTCAAGACAGGCCGACTTCCCGAACTGGTTGCCCTGGCCAAGGCTTTGCAGCGGGTTGTGAACAAGGCTGGTGATCTTCATAAGTTCGATGAGGCTCGCGTTGAGCAGCACCGCGAATCAGAGCAGCTGCAGCAGAGCCTCAGAGAGCATCTCGACCGCCTGTTTACCTTGAATGACAAGGAAAAGCATCATTTGGATAGTGTCCGCCAGCGTCTTCTCTGGGTTGACCAACTGGTCGAGTCCCAGTCCGAGGTCAATGTTTTGGCCACCACATGCAAAGGTAAAGCGGCGCTTTTCAAACAGTTTGTCCTCTTCGCATTGACAAGGCGTTCTTTGCATAGTTCTCACCATTATCTGTCGTTCGTTTAGATGCCGTCAATGGATACACTGTCATTCTGGAAGCAAGCAAGCAAGATCTTGACACCTCAGGTACGCCAACAAAAACCTCGCCCCTTTATGTCCATCTGTGTCAAAGGTTCATTTATTCACATTTAGTTCATATCATCTTTTGTAACGCACGTATTTTAGGCTTGAACCACAAGGCTGCGGTGCATCTGAAGGACCAGATCCAGCACCTTGTCTCGATCGCCGGTACCCAGAAGCATCCACGCATCAACGCCGCCCTGCGCACCTATGCAGATCTCAAAGAGCTTGCACCTTCTCACTCTGAGGCTTCAACAACGCCGGCATCGACCCCACAAGATGGCGCCCGCCGAATGACACCCGAGGAAAAGCAAATGCCATCGCACCTGGAGAATGAGCTCGCATCCTTCCAGCAACAGTACACCCAATTGGACCTTCAGCTCAACTATGCAGGTCAATTGGCCGACCATGCTGCTCAGGTGGCCCAATACCTTGAGAAAGCAGATGGATTGGACGGCGAGTTGCTTGCAATGGCATCAGATCTTCAGGAGGACATCGAGGCTTCGCACGACACAGTAGAGAAACTGGAGGCTATCCGGAATCTCCTCAGCGGTCTTCCCAAGGAACTCAAGTTGGTTGTGTCGAATGGACCCATGCCTACCAAGCATGCTGCCGTAGATGAGCAGCGCGACGGATCTTCTCCCGACCAGTCATCATCGCAGGGTTACCTGACAGACTTGGAGTCTGTTCTCAAGCGACGACTCGATCACACTTCAGACCTGAACAGGGCATTGGATCCCCTTTTGGCCGAGTACCAAGAACTTCTTCACTACCAGGACGGCCTTCGTGACCTTGTTGTCGAGTTGGAGGATCAGCGCCCATGGGTGGACGAGTCCAATGATAAGGTCCAGTCTATTCGCGACCAAGTCGAGGATTTGTCTTCCTCGTGGCCTGGCGAGAGCGGTTCTCGCTCCGGAGGAGCAGCCAGCCAATTTTCAACCCATGAGGCACAGCTGACTGAGCTCGAGCGTCTCAAGGCAGAGTTGGCCCAGGAGGCTGCACATGTCGAGGACAAGAAGAAGGAGTTCCAGGCCGTCCAACAGAGGATCCAGGAAGCTCTTGAGAGCGCAACCATCCATTCGAAAGTGCTTCAAATAGAGTTGGAGGACTCTTTGGACACGCTCGAGAACGCCATCGAGGAGTTGGAGACAGACATCCGTCATCGCTCATACCAAGTTGACTGTCTTGAGAAGCGAGCGTTGTGGGAGCAGCAGTTGGCACACGCTAACAACTGGTGCCAGGACATTGACCAGGCCATGTCGCAGGTTGCGGTCGATCAAGCACAGTGGACTAGAGATGCTAACGATTCTTCAGCCGATGAACATCTTCGACTTCAGCAGCTCCTTGATGCTCGTGTGAGCGAGTTTGAGGCCCAGCTCAAGGCCTATGATGACGAGACCAAGCCTAAGGTTGACCAGGCATGGACCACGTTGGGTGCTGCACTCGTGTTTGTTGGCCAAGCAATCCCTAGCGACTTTGAGAACCGCCAATCCGCCCTCGGTACAAAGCGTCAGGCTCTCCAGGACAAAGTTGCCTATGTCGCCGATGTTGTCAAGCAACGCAAGGCTCTCCAAGAGATTACCACTCGACTCCAAGAACTTGCCCAGCATCAATCTGCTCTTGCCTCTGGTACCTCCGATGCCAACGACAGCGAGCTCGAGAGTAAGTAAATGCACATGCGATCTACATCTTTATAATGTTAACTGACCTGATGATAACAAGTGTACTAACTCGGTGTTTTCTTAAACAATTAGGCCCACTGTCGGTGGACCAGCGCGAGTCTCGTATCAACGAGTTGGCTCAGGAACTCGAGTCCTACTTTGGCGCATTGGAGTATCCTGTTGACCGCTCCACCGACGAGGCCAAGGCCAGATCCGAAGCTGCCAATGCTGTCATTCGTCAGCACATCGACTCTTGCCGTGCCCAGGTCGAAGCAGCCCAAAAGACCCTTGATCAGGTCCTCTACGATCGTGAGTTCTCGAAGCGTCTCCAGGACCTCACCGCCACAGAGATGAAGCAGAGCGAGGAGATCCAGGACAAGACCGACAATCTGGAGCGTGTCAACAACTTGTTGAACTGGGCCTATGAGACGACCGAGAGAGTGGCTTGTCTGTACTCCAGCGCTGATTCAGACAGCGTGAATACGACCGCGAAGGGAGATGACGATGATCAGTCACTTTCACCCTCACCCTCAACCGTTGCTGGCCTCTCTGAGTCTACTCCCACCTTGACTGCCCTGTCGGTGTCTGCGTCGACCACCTCCGTTGCGACGTTGATGCCTTCATCACCTACCGCTGGATCTCTGAGCTCTATTTCCAAGGCCGAGCACAATTTGTCGGTCCAGGAACTTTCTCAACTCCCGAAGGCCACCCTCGAAGCAATCTCTGCTCACGCTGAGTCTTTGCGTCAAGAGATTGAAGAGATGATCGAGTACAAGCGGGAGGTCCAGGATGAGGTTTTGGCTGTCGACACTGAGCATTCTGCCTCGGCCGAGAGCGATGCCGAGACTACTCCTGAGGCATTGGCCAAGCAGGACAGTATCCTCAACGCTAAGCTCGCCCATCTCGACACCGACGCCTCCACAGCACAGCTTCGAGAGATGGAGGCCAAGATTGATCAGAACAAGGACAGGATATCAGAGTTGAACCACGGTATCGAGTCCAAGCTTGCCGAGTTTGACACCGCCACCGAGGCTATGCTTCTCTCTCTGACAAAGAAGGCCGAGACTGTCGCTTTGGCCCTGAAGGAGCGTCAGCGCATGGATGATGAGCTGGCTCGACAGCTGGAGGCCGAGCGTCTCCGCTTAGAGGCTGAGCGTCTCCGTGCACAACGCGCATTGGAGATGCAGGAGCTCGAACTGTCCACCGATAGGTTCATAGCCTGGTCCGAGACTCAGAGACAGGAGCTTCACGACCTCTGGGAGAACAAGGGTTACTTTGCCAAGAACAAGGAGCCAGTTGCCGCGTCAGAGTCGGAGACTGTGGAGGGCTTGGTCGCATTCCTGGAGACCGAGACGATTCGATTTGGGCAGGAACTCTGCCTCCAAAAGAACGCATACCAGGAACTCAAGGAACGTTTGGAGACTCCCCAGTGCTCCGCCGTCAACGGCACTGTCAGTGACGTCGATGAGCATGCCTCGGAGCGTCAGCGTCATGCGGAGAGAATCACATCCGCGTGGTCGTCCCTCGAGAAGGAGTCAGATGGTTACAACTCGATCCTCAAGCCCATGAAGGATTGGTCCAGCCTGCGTATCGCCATTGCCCAGTTCGAGAAGGAAGGACTTGCAGCATTGGAGAAGCGCGTCGAGGCCCTACGTTGGGTGCACTGGGAGGCCTTCCAGCTCGAGGAGAACTCACTTCTTGAGCTGATGGCAGCCGTCGAGGAACAGGCACGCGAGCTTTCCACCTGTGCGGAGACGATTAGGGCTGCCGCTACCGCCGACTTTGTCGAGCGACTTGATGCCGACGCAGATCAAAAGGCTATTTTGGAGGCCAACAAGGTCTACTTCGAGAAGCGCATGGAGTCGATCCCTGCCCGCTTGGAGGCAGCCAAGGCCCAAATGGAGATGATTCATGAGACCTCCAAGGAGATCGCCCTCCACGGCAAGTTCCACGCCGATCTGGTCCGCATCGAAACCGCGATTGCTCAGCAGATCGACGCCGTCAAGGTCCGTCTCGGAAGCCTGGAGCGTTCCAGTTGTTTTGCATTGAACAGTCAAGCCCTGGAAGCTATGGTTATGGCGGCCAACGAGGTCTCGGTCGATGGTCAGTACCAGTTCTCGGTCTTGCAGGAGGTCGAGTACCCAGCTTTGCAACAAACTGCCTTTGATCTCGACATGTTGGCTACCGCAGAGGATACCGATGCAGAGTCTAGGGATCTGGAGGGCAACAGTTCTGCCGCTGCCAACAAGTCGGGTGTTGAAGAGTCGATGGAGCGTATCCGACAGGCTTTGAAGCAGTTGGAGGGTTACATCGAGGAGGATTGTTTCGAGACCCTGATGGCCGCCAAGTTCTATACCCACTCTAAAGCCACCGAGGATATCCGCCAGTGGATCACTGCTTGCCGCGACTCGATGGCACAGACCAACAGCCCCAAGAGCCGCGAGCCAGCTGAGCAGGAGACGCGCCAGCAGACTAGAGAGTGGAAGACCAAGCATCTCGAGACACTGGAGAGAAAGTTGGATTCCTTTGGAGCGACCATTCAGCACTACGACGAGCTCTCTGGTGACTTTATGTTGCTTCACCACCCTCAGTCGAGCACTTTGGACCTCAACGATCCAACCGAAGGCGACAACAACCACCACAACAACAATGGCAACAACCCGGCCTCGATGCGTGTGATCTTGCGCCAAACAGTTCAGGAGCGCACCAAGCGAACCCGCGAGGACTGGGAGCTTCTCAAGCAGGAGTTCCTTTCCAATACCGCGGCACTGGAGGAACAGTCTTCGGGGGAGGAGGATGGTGTCATCAACGGATCCGAGAATGTTCGTCAAGGATCTGTGAGCACCACCGGTGCGCCTATTGTCAAGGCCAAGGCCCTGGGTCGATTTGGCGCTGAGATCTTGGACGACATTTCAAGAGTCTCGCGCGAGATCCAAGAGCTGTTTGATCATGGAGCCAACTCGAACCACGCGACTTTGTCCTTGGCGGTGGAGTCTGATGGAGCACTGGTCAAGTCCAAGCAGGGTGAGCAGCGCTTGGATATGGTCGAGGCTTATATCCGCGAGGTTCTCAAAGGCAAGGTCCAGCGATTCGACGCGATGTTGGCAACTGTTAATGCTCAGAACGAGCAAGATCCCTCGTCTCCATCGTCTCCATCGACTCCCCAGGATCCATCGAGCCCCTCTGTCACTACTCCAACGACACCCCGCCAAACTCGCCACCAGGAGAGGATGGTTGGCGTGGCGATGCAGCGTGGTCTGATTGCAGAGTCGATGAGCCGATTGGTCGACTCCTGTCATCGTCAGCGCAAGGAAGTTGAGGAGCATGTCCGTGTCCAGAACGCGATGGACCTCATCCACGAAGCCAGCCTGCTCTGTGACTCGATGATGAAGACAGTGCTCTCGGCCGACAGTCTTTTGCACCCAACATCGTCGACTGGCCCCTCCCCCAACGTGTCACTGTACAACCTTTCATCTGCCTCTGCATCCTCGACAACGTCTCTTACTTCGATCCAGGCTGCCCAGCCAAAGTCACCCACCGCCAGCTCTCGGGGCTCTATTTCGACATCAGGAGCAGCAACCTTGCCACGTTCCGCATCCACTAGACAGCGTCGCGCCTCGCGCGTCAACAATGTGCGCCGATCGTTCTCGCTCTCGGTGTTGAGTGAAGAGGAGGTTCATCAGTGGGAGGCCGATTACCGCAATCTGATGGACAAGTTTGATGGATACACCCATGATATTGAGCAGCGTCTGGATTCGATCTCGGCCATGGCTGACCGTTTGAACGACTGGAGATTGGACGAGAACTACGGAGTCGCAACAGAACACTGGCAGCGGGTCAAGAAGTCTGCTCTCGCCAAGAAGCAGGAGCTCGACCGTATCTGGACTTTGAGGGGCGGACAGCCAGTCAGCGGAGATTCCAGTAACGGCGGCGTTCATCCCTTGGGAGGCTCGCCTTCGTCGACCAGTCGCCCCAGTTTGACCTTGACCACGGCTTCCAACAGCCGTGTCAAAGCCATCTTGGGCTCGCCAGTGGATTCATCCATCATGTCCATGCCAAGGAAGAAGCGGTTCTCAACCGGCAACATCATGAGTCGCAGCACCTTTGTGCATCCTTCACCTACGCCCAGCATGACTACAACGCCAACCTTCAGTGGACCCAGCCACGCGGCTGGACGATCAAACCGGACGGCTGGCCGTGTTCGTTCCGGTACCGCGCCTGGTATCACCATTTCTGGCTACAACAGCAGCAGCAGTCAGTTGGACGTGACGACGGCAACCAACAAGAAGTTTGCCAACATCACTGCTCCCAACCTCCACGCCATGTCGCCGACCTTGTCTCAGGAAGCCAAGAGACGTGCCCCTATGAGCCGCAAGAACGACTCGACTTCATCGGTTTCTTCGCTTTTGCATGTTCAGGATGGAGCCGCAACTTCGGCAGCACCACCGGGAGCCACGACGTCGCCCAAGCAACGAACGATTTACAAGCCCGACATGAGTAACGCTCTGGATGTGGAGGTTGCTCGAGTTGTCAACGCCAGCGGGTTCACGATGAAGGTCCAGAAGCTCAAGGATGGTCACAGCCCGAACCTCTCGGCAGTTGGTGCATCAGGCAACAATGGAACGACAGGCTCGCTGAGCCGCCACCGATCGGACTCGACCTCGAGTCTTGTGTTGAGTGGTTTGTCTGACAGTGGTGGTCTCGATGGTGCAAGTGGCAAGGATAGCAGTACCAACAGCAGTCCTCGTGTCGTGAAGACGGTCCGAGGACAGGGTGGCCGCTTGAGTGTGAGCACTGGTGGATCGCCTTCGGATGCCAGCAAGAATGGAGAGGTTGGGCGGTATGTCTTTGGAGACGTTGAGCCCAAAGTCTGCTACTGCCGTATCCTTCGCAGTCGCAAGGTCATGGTCCGCGTCGGAGGTGGATGGTCTGAGCTTTCGAAGTAAGTTTTGGTTCTCTTTTTGTTTTCCTTGCATGCTTGTCACATACTTTTGCAGTCCCTTAACCAGTGTTGTCATATTTCCTTTATTACCCAGGTTCATGGAAGATCATGCCTCGTTAGAGCAGCGCAAGTCTAAGGCGCGTCTCCTGTCAGCTTCTAACTCTTCGGTCTCAGTGGTATCTCATTTCGGTGGCTCTGTCACAGTTCTCAGTGGATCTGAGGCGTCCAGTCGACGACCCCTTCACGGCCTACCCGATGCAGGAGGATCCTCTGATAGTCTCTCGGATATGAGCGGTGGAGGTGGCGACGTGGATGGCGATCGACTGTCGGTATCTGGAGGCGGTGGCCGTGGCTTCGCAAGAAGCACGGCTAGCAGTCGACAGTCTGACAGGAGCCGGAGTGCGAGCAGATCTCGAGGAGGAGAGGATGGGACACCACGGCGGAATAAGAAGGAGTTGGTGTACCATGTCCGCCCAAGCGATGATCTGTCTCTGAAGGCGATCAAGTTTGTCAAGGGTGGCGCCGGTGAAGGATTGGTCGCCATCTAAAAAGAGCAAAAAAGGCGGATGTGTCGCCTTTGTCGTCAACAACCAACAATATCCATCAACATTCAACAAATAATCAACCACAACAAAAAACCAACAACAATCAGGAATGGCTCCCAACAATGGATCGCCTTTGTGCCCAATAATATCAACTTTACAAACACCAAAATACCCAACACTCATTCAACGAAACATTCATTCAACAACAACAAACAACAAAAAGAGTCGCTTATATTGACACTTTTGTAGAAAACCATCTTTACCATTCATCGTTATCTTCACCGCCATCTTCAAGTCCACTCCAACCAGCAACAACAGCAGACATCCGTTTCGTTCTTCTCCCTTTTTTTGTTCTTTATTTTCGTTCCTTTCTAGAAATCAGGTTTTTTCAGTGACCTTGTACCATGTACTAATATAAAATTTTCAAATTTTCCACAATCAAACAAGTTATGTGCGACCCTATGGTCTTTGTTTGAACCACAATGAGAACGATAATAATGAGGTCCCTTCTACATTCAAAAAAGGACATTTGTGCAACTTTCGACACTACCCCACAATCAGATAATGGTCTTGAAGCCGATAAAAAGACGCGTAGAAACTGTCGCGCGTCGATCGGGTAAAAAAATCTTTCTTGGCCATCCCCTTTCCTTAACAAACTACACACACGCGCGCTTCATCATTCAGCCTTCTACCAAGACATATTACCAAAATGTGTCCTCCACCTCAACCTCCCAACCACCCTTGGTCATCTCCTCCTGACCAGGGGTATTACCCAACCCACGTTGACTATAACGAAGAGCTGGCATGGACTATCGAATGCAACTACAATGTCTACCCACGCTCACATCCACGTCCTCCTCCTCCCCACGGTCTTCATGGACTCATTTTCACCTCCACCTCCGCGTCATTCTCGCCTTCCCCAAAACTCGAGCGTAATTTCCTTTGATGAGCAGATCGTTCAAGCAGCGGGTTTCGACTATGATATTCACCTCCTGGGTCTCCTCCATCATCATCATCGCTCCTGCAACCGATTCCTCTTCTACATCTTTCCCCATCACCTCCTTCTTTTCCGACGGCAGTCCCAACACAAATGAGGCAGCCAGCTTCAACATTTAGCGGAACGACGATATATACTGCCACTAATCTCGTCCACGCTACCTCAAGTGGTACCCTCCAAGGAAGAATGCGGCCTTCTGCAAAAATACTCGCACCCTCCTCTTCCTCCTCCTCCCGGAGCAGTCGACAACAAACTACCCATAGTCAGGAACTACAAAAACCCAGATCGGGGATAACGAGGATTGGAAGATTTTGTTTGTCGAATCTAGAGGAGGAAAAGACCTAGAAGGATGTGGACGAGTATAGGGAGTGGTTGAAGAGGGGGGGGGAGGGAGCAGGGACAAGGAGTAAAGGACAGGTGCAAGGGGGATGATGACCATATTCGCGTGGAGATTTTTCGGGACCCTGAGTCCGTTTCATCGGCATACGTACCCATTCCTCCAAAAACACTCTCCTCTGCAAAGAATGGGTTATTCGCCCTCAACCCGGGGGTGGAGAGCCCCTGGCGGCTGTTTATCGGGGTCTGTCGCAAACGTGTCAGAGAAGCTGTTGACAGGTCGTCGGTTACTTGGCTGTATTGTCGCTTCTGGAGTGATCGATTCAGGTTCGAGGAGTACTATGTCGTTGGCTGTGAGGGGGCGTCAAGAGAGACGGGGATGATAGCGGCAGGGTGAGAGATGATCCTGGGATATATGGAAATGTTGAAGGGATAGATGAGGCGGATACTCCTGCATCGGTTTTTGGCAGAGGTGCGCATATTCCTACAGGTATTGTTGGTGGATGGGTGGGTCCAGCGAGGTGGATCGTTAGTGGGTCGCCGTTGGTTCGGGAGGTTGCAGATTCGGTTTCATTTTTCCAGAGTCATCTAACGGATGAGGAAAGCGGCGCCGTACTTTGAGCAAAGGGCTTTTACTGCTGCCCACAAGACGATTATGACTACGCCAGCGCAGTGACGATGATGATGACGACACGCTAGGGCATGAGAGTGGTCCTGCTGAAGAGGCAGATGATTCCCGTGAAAGGTTCGATTCCGCTGACGGCTCGGAACCTTTCTATTCCATTTGTCCCATATCACTACCTTTTTTTGAAATGAGAGGAATAAAATAGTACTGTCGTCACTTGGATGGATGGATGGAACCTGCAGGACGCGTTTTGTATGTTTTGGGTCCATAATGGGCTCAATGCCAGAGTGTGAAGGAGGAAGAGGAAGGGGGAGAGAGGAGAGAGAGAAAGAGTAGGGGCATGCAGCAGAGAGAGAGAGAGAGGCGTAATGTGTTTCGAAGTTGCATTATTTGAAGCAGAGACAACGGTTGTTCTCCCCTTCGTCTTCGTCTTCCTCCTTCCTCCTCCTTCTACTTTTTGTTAAAAATAAAAAGAGGGAAAGGAAAACGGGCGCTGTTGAGCGAGAGAAAGGAAGATAGAGTGTGCCATGGGTGTGTTGATAGTGTGTTTGAATGAGAATAGGTATGGTAAATGGTTCATTGTGATTAGGCACCGCTACTGGCTTAGCGTGCAAAAAGAGAAATAAGCAATTAGGGAAAGTGTGGAAAAGGTGGCAACCAGGCAATTTGGCAGAAGGGACAGAGAGAGAGTGAGAGACAACAGAGACAAGGTTGGCATCTAATAATTATCAGTTGTTGCCTCTCTTTTCCTTTCTTCTTCTCTTCTTTTTCATAACTCATCTTTACCTCTCTTGCCATCCCCCCCTCTCTCTTCTCTTCTCCTCTCTCTCTCTCATCACTCCCTCCCCCTTCTCTCTTGGTCCTTTCGACTCTTTCTCTTTCTCTCACTTACACTCTCACTCTCAGTCAGTCGCTCACACACTCACATACACATATAACGCAGAATGGGTATTCCCTTATCAAAGGCCATCGCCAAGATCTTTGGCAACAAAGAGATGCGCATCCTCATGCTCGGTCTCGACGCTGCCGGAAAGACCAGTACGTCCTCCTTTTAACTCTTTGTCTGGTTCTATTATGCCACTCTCGCTGTTGGTTGCTGAACAAGGACGAAAGCGAGGTCCTTTTTTTTTCTTCTTTTTTTGCTTTTGGTTTTTTCTCCTCGCCAACTTTCTCGGCACGTTTTTTTATATTGTCGTCAAGTTACACCTGGGTTTATTCTCCTTCCCCAAAAAAAGACGATACAAAAATATCTTGTCAGCTCTCTTTCTCTTTGTCACCGACTGACGACCAACTGACCGACTGACCTGCCAGGCCTTCGATGAACCAAAAAAAAAGTGCTCCAAACAAAGCCAGAAAAGAAAAGTGCTCTCAATCATAATAACTGACCAGCCAACCAACAGGATACTAGATGAAAGAAGACATCACAACACAACACACAAAAAAAGAGTTGGAACCCAGTTGGGGTGACCGAGAAGTAGTGCAAAAGCAAGTGAGCGCTTTTTTTGGTTTAGTGAGCTGGACGAACTACAACATCATCAACAATTTTCAGTGAGGAATAGCGACGAAAAGGAAGGAGAGAGAGACGTTGGTCAGCCAGTCAGGCAGGCAGTCAGCCTGGCCTCTGGTCAGGTCAGGTCAGGTCGTGTTGTGGGCATTGCTATTGTCCTTTGTCTTGATAGCAAGAGTAATTGCAACAAACGCCAGCAGTAATGGAGCCCTCGAAAATCCACTCCTCGGGCTCGACTCGCTTACTTTTGGAGGGAAGAAGAGAAGAAGTCTAGGGAGTGTGATGTTGATGAGAAGAGAGAGCGAGAGTGCCTTCAGTGTTGACATGCCACACTCATTTCAAATATGTTTACTTACTCTCATTCGCCTGTTTTCATTCGCTTACAATAGCCATTCTTTACAAGCTCAAGCTGAACCAGTCTGTCACAACCATTCCTACAGTCGGATTCAACGTCGAGACGGTGGTGTACAAAAATGTCAAGTTCAACGTCTGGGTAAGTTGATTCAGTCATTGTTAAGACTATAATGGGCAACAGTCAGGAAAAAGACAGCTTCCTCTCCATGCCCCCTCCACCTCGACAAGCACACTTGTTCTTTCCTTCTCTTGCGTTCTGCCCCTTTCTTCTTTCCACCCTTTCCTCTTTCCACCCTTTTTACTCCCGTGGTGTCATCATCAACCACTCAGTTGGGCTGGGCTGAGTGTGTGCGAATTGAGTACATAAGAGAGGGTCCATAAGACAGAGAGACATAATGACATGTATGTCATTGTCTATTCAACATGTTCCCCCCCTGAGACAACCGAGTCCTTCTTTTCCACTCAACCGAGCTTCTTCCTTGAACACACACACACACAGACACAGAATGGCTATGCGTACCAGTCAACGAGGTTACTCTTATATTTTTATTGGTGTTCACATATGATATTAAATGACGGTGCCTGAAACATGGCCAAGGGATCTTTGTTGCGGGGAAACACTTCAACAGGAACATTCGCAGCTTAAAACAAACGACCAACATCACTATCCGACAGAGTCGATGAATCGATGGAGGCGCAGGCGCGTATGCAATCTGGACTAGCTTATCAGGCTGCAACGACAGACGACGTACTCTCGCCTCATACCTACTCAACACAACCCATTATGACAGCCGAGCCAAGGACGACTACGAAAACACCGCGGAGGCTACCAAAATGAATTCGAAACAGGAGGCGCTACGAAAAACGGGAGCAGCAGCAGCACACACACACACACACACACGGCGGCATGGAGCATGACTGGATACAAATCAACAACAGCGTTTACTTCCCTCTTCACACGCAACATACACCGAGAGACACTACCATTTCAATCTCTTTTTGTCCCATTTTTTCTCAAAGATCTTTTTTAAGCGTTAATAATCACCAGAGCACAAAAAATGTGCTTTTTTTGTGATCGAGAGCCGTTGATTGATTTAACAAAATATATACACAATAATCGCAGAAACGTTAATTGTCGCAGACTGCTAACCGCCACGTTTTCTTTTCGTGTATTTTGTAATAATAAATAGGACGTTGGTGGACAAGACAAGATCAGACCCCTGTGGCGCCATTACTACACTGGCACCCAGGGATTGATCTTTGTTATCGACTCGCAGGATAGGGACAGGATAGATGAGGCACGACAGGAGTTGCACCGCATCATCTCAGATCGGGAAATGAAGGACTGTCTCTTGCTCGTCTTTGCCAACAAGCAGGATCTCCCCGGAGGTATGCCATTTTCTCTTTGCGCGTGTTACTTGCTCTGGTTGTCAATGAAACGCTGGTTACAGCGCAAAACTGACTCGAATATGTGTTGCCTTCTATTGTGATTAATAGCTATGACGCCCGCAGAAGTAACAGAACGCTTGCAGTTGCACACGATGAGGGAGCGTCCTTGGTATGTGCACCCATCGTGCGCCACTACTGGCGAGGGTCTCTTTGAGGGCCTGAACTGGATGAGCCAGAACGTCAAGAGCAAGTAAAATTCAGACAGGCAGCGAGAGAGAGTCTTTGTCTCATTCATCCATGTATTCAACAACATCCATCAACAACTACACCAACAGCAACAAAGGAATGAAGAGAAGAAGAACAAGAAGGCATGTCGATTCAACGGATCTTTCCCTGGAGGAAGCGACGTTTTTTTTTTTTTTTTTTTTGGGAGTATGTAGCTTTAGGCACCCATTCACTTGATACCACTTTTTACGGCGACCCACTTTTCAACAAAGATCGCCACCAATTATATTTCGTCCTTTATTTCTTCTCAACCATGGCAGACAAAGCAGAAGAACAGGGGCTTTTGCTTTTTTTGTTGGACCCTTTTTTCTTTTCCTCTCTTACTTTTCTCTCACCCCAAAAACCAACAAAACTAGATACTACATACTTTATTACTTAACTTTGCTCTCTTATGAATGGCCCCATTATGGCTTCTATTAATACACATATTTTACGGTTTTCATTTCCGGCGTTCTCTCCTGAACGTTTTCATTCATTTCTCGTTGAAGACCTGGACCTGGATTGAGTGGAAAAAGGGATCCCATTTTTATTCATGGAATGAGGAAAGGGTGAGCGAATGAGCCCCAATTGTGGGGAATTTTATTTTTTTTTGGTTGCTGTGGGTTTACTAATAAAAAAAAAGTGGGAGCCCAGGAGGTAGAGAAGAGGAGGTAGAGGAGGAGTAGGAGGAGAAGAAGGGATGGGACAAAGAAGGAGGAAGGTGGAAATGAGTAGATATGAAAGGATAGGAAAAGGTCGAGGCGGATGGAAGAGGAGGGAATCGAACGGCCGAGAGGGGGTTCTGGTCCTCACTGGAGAAACAACAAGGTAAAAGAAAAGGGCGAAATGGCGACTTTTACTAGTTGGAGAGGTTCATATCATAACTTGGGCCGATGAAGACGACGACATTTGAAAGGAAGGTTGCGTTGTTTCTTGCTCTGATTTCGGAGGGAGAAGGCTGCCAGGCTGGAGCCGTATTGATCGGAAATATGAGTATGAGCCAAACAAATAAGAAGGAACAAACGACGAAGAAATGGAAGGGAGCGATGCTCAGTCGAAGCCAGAGCCAAAGTCATGTCAAGCCATCGCTAGGAATGGAGAGAGTTTTTTTTTGTGTGTAACGCAACGAAGAGTTGACCCCGCTTTGTATCATGTCTCTTCTTTGGCGATTGCAGTTCTGGTGCCTGAAGATGGAATGAAATGAAATGAAATGGTAGTGTTCCTTGGTGGTACATGGCGTCAAGTTGTGTTACAGATGAATGCATGCAGTGCCCCTTCTCCTTCTTTCCGATATTCATCAATTGTCCATCGCATCGACTGAAAGAGTGGAGACAAATGAAGGAAAGAATGAAAGAAGGAACAACGAAAGGGGAGAATAGCGACCAAAGGAAGGAGGCCCTGTTTCTTTTGTTTCTTTCTCCCTTTTGCCATAATTTCACCCCGCATGCCTTCTCCCTACCCACTTTTGATGAGTGCAACGGGTGTGCCTCCCAATGTCCCAAGGCTGTCTGTATCTCCTTCTTTCCTTTAATGTGTGTGCACTGTATGTGCATGTGTCCTCTCTTGTACTCTTCTTGTGTGGGTGTCCTTTGCCTCTTGTTCTTCTTGGCCTCGTCACTTCTCACGTTGCATTTCACCCCTTCTCTTCTTCTCTTCCCTTCTCCCCTCTCCTCTTTTTTCTTGACCCCTCTTCGACCCCTTTCGTCCCTGCTCTTCTCTTCCCTTCTTTTCTCTTCTCTCTCCCTGTCACCCTTCTCTTCTCTGTCCTCTCCTTGCACCCCTCTTCTTTCTTCTCTCTCTCTCTCTCTCTCACTTATCCATCCATCCTATACCATTCAGGACACACTCCCTACTCTCTCTTCTCACATTCTCTTTCTCTCTCTCGCCCAGTTGTCTTATCCAACTCTCTTCCCTTCCACTCCATAAAAACAACGTGGTCAGGCTTGTGTTTGCCGCAACAACAACAACAACAACAACAGCAGCAGCAGCAGCTAGCAGCAATCATCTTTACCCGCTCGACCTTTTTATCCTTCACTTCTTTCCTACTTCCTTCCTACTTCCTTCCTACTTCCTTCCTCGTCATTGTTCTTCTCTTCTTAGGGGAAATTCAAACAAAAGCTACAGCCCCTTCCTCCTCTTCACGTCTTCCTTCCTTCCTTCTCCTCCCTCCCTCCTTATCTCTTCCTTCCTTCCCTTCCTTCTTCCTTCTGATTCGCCATGGCTGCCTTGCGGGCCATGCTGCAGATCCGCTCAACGGACAGAACCTCCATCGACCAGCAACGCGACTCTCTCGACATTGACCACCACCCTTATCACACTTCACACTCTACACCGGGTAGTGCCCAGTCGTCCTCTGTCCAGAGTCTGTCGACAGGGTCATCTGTCTACGGTCATCACCACCATCCTTCTTCCAGCCAAAGCAACTACAACAACAACAACAATCTCACCAGCAGCATCAGCAGTGTGGTTGGGGTGAAATCAACGACGCCCGCCAAGAAGCCAACATTCATCGTCAACTTGGGACTCCACTCGGGCGCTGCTTCTGGGAACCTAGGTGAGTCTCCTTGATGAAACCTCGCCACTCACACTCGACGCGTTCAAGAAAAAAAAATATCATTCGCCTTCATTCGCCACTATCACTATCGCCACGGCTCCTCTGCGAAGTGTGCGAGAGAATAACCATGCCGTCACCCCTCACCACCATTACCATGGGTCCACTCATCAACATCTAAGCTCAACAGATGCAACCTTCCTTCCTTCCTTCCTTCCCGTGCCATGGGAAGATATTCTTCCCAGCGGACAATTTATTATTTTTATTACTCTCATCCGGCTTTTCATTCCCAATTGTCTACTGGCAAAACTTGTTCCTTTTGCCAACTCAGGCCAGAACCAGAAACACACACACTTGCATTACACATGTGTGGAGTATGCCCTGGAGCCCATGATGCTCTGTCGGCCTGTCCCTTTGTTACAAACAATCACACATTTATTTCTTCCTTTTCTTTCCTTCTTATTGCTCACACGTTGTTTGTTGGCAGACCTGGAATATTTTATCTTTCTTGCTTACTTCCATCGACTTTTGTTCTTTCATGTGTATGGCCCAGCTCCCACCTACCTCCTGTTCATTGTTTTGTCATGTTTGTGTGTTTTGTTTTCTTTGTATTTCGTTTTTTTTCTTGGGACGGGAAGGACGGTTGTCGGCATCATTTTTTTAAGGCGCTTTGGGCGGCTCACTTCCTTGACTCGGCTCTGTCATTTCCGCGCTGTGTAATTGCCTTCCCGCATGTGCTCTGTGCTTTTTTTTCTTTCAACCACACCGTTTTCTTCCTAGAGAGAACAAACAAACAAACAACCTTACACCCAAATGATCACTAAGGAAGAGGATGAAGAAGTGGTGTTGCTACTACCCAATTCTCGAAAACAGACTAGTGGTTCAGGAAAAAAGGCATTAAGCCGTTGAACACGACGCTCTGGTTGAGAAATATTCACCTCGTCTTTCTCTCGATCCTTCTCGGGGGGAAAGAGATGGAAAAGAGTAAGAAGAAAGTGTGAAGGTCGACTGTCAACCTTATTCTCATGCTCGGGAAGAAAAACAAAAAAGCTATTACCAATGGTTTTTGGCCATGGGAGAACGAGACCCTATCTTCGTTACTATCCTCTCGGAACAACATATGCACGCTAATTAGGCACAAGGGCTGAACCCTTTCCTTTCCCATTTTTTTTTCTCTCACAAGACTGAAAATGATCTCGTTATCATCACGCGGCCATACATCGTTCTTACATTTTCTTCCTCTTTGTGTACTGTTGTACTTCTTTCGCTGTTAGGACTTGTCAAGTTTGCGTTGGACAATGGACAGCCGATTGATTCGGTTGTCAATGGAGTCTATGCTATTCATGCGGCGTGCTGCAATAACAATGTTGCTGTTGTTCTCTACCTGATTGAACATGGGGCAGATGTCAATGCGAGGAGATTGCCTAGGAAAAACAGCCCCGAAAAAGGAGTGTAAGTCTCCTGCTCTATTTTTTTCACAATGCATCCCCACGTTTTTCCTCCTTTGCCTGGTTTATGCCGACGAATGGACGAAGCAGACGATATCGGCAGATGATGCATGAATGATTTTTTTAACACTCTCCTCTTTCTCGTTCTCTGTCTCCTATAGACAAACGGTTGGCACGACCGGCTCGACTCCCTTGCACTTTGCAGCAGCCAACGGGTGCCTCAACGTCGTGGATATTCTTCTCCGGCACGGGGCTATCGTGGACATGACAGACAAGGTGTGTATATCGCTCCCTCAATTGCCTCTCATTGGAGATTGCTACCAGATAACGCACTCAAAAAGAATCAGAGTTTGATCTGATGCGATGTGATTGATCATTGACCATTGACCATTGATATTTAATTCATCTGATATCAGTATGGAACATCGCCGTTATCAGTTGCTGCGGCCAGGAAGCACCCCGAAGTCGCCAGTTTGCTCCACCAATACTCATCCATGCAGCGCGGTGTTCAGGACCTGACCCCAGACACAGAAATCAGGGATCCATGGCCAGAACGACGAGGCAGCACTGAGTCAAATCGTCGCGGTGCCACCGTTGTTACCCCTACCCCATCATCACCCTCCACCTCCACCGCCACATCTGCTCGCTCGTCACCAACAGGGCACTCAAAAGACCCCAGCGCACAATCCTTGCCAGCCACTGCAACCTCACGCGGAAACTACTCGACAACGCGGGTCGCTGGTCAGAGGCGCATCAGTCTCCCTTCCATTACAGAGTCACCTTCATCACCCAACATACCTGCCCCACCTCGACAGTCTTGCGATTTTGGAAGGACTCCGCAGTCAACAGAGCCATTGATCAGGACCACATCCTCGCTTCGATCCACCAACTCGCAACCCACTCGCAACAAGCCAAACAACCTCACCATCTCTTCACGACCATCAATGGATGTATCCCGGCCCTCCATGGATATGTCACGTCCATCTGTGGATATGACACGGCCCTCCATGGATATGACACGACCATCAATGGATATGACGCGGCCGTCGATGGATATGTTACGACCCTCGATGGACATGTCAAGGCCCTCGATGGACAGTCATCGGAGGCAGGAGCCAGCACGGCGTGGAATGCAGCGGTCTCATACAACTCAAGACGGCGAGCAACAAAGAAAGCCACTGGGAGAGTCGGGGGACACACCAGCAATGAAGAGACGCAAATCGATGGAGTCGGCCAAGTTCTTGTCACCTCATTCGGCCATGACGTCGGTCAGTCGGCGTAAGTCATTCGACCAGCTTTCCAGCTTGCGAGACCCGGATCCTAAGAGCAGGCGGTCGTCTTCTGCATCTTCGACAGCCTCTCAAAATACAGGATCTTCAGCAACATCAGGGACAACAAACACCAGCATGTCGGAGCACACACCCGACTCTACCTCTGCGAGTATGGCCCCCTCGGGCTATCCTCAGCAACTCAGTGGCAGCGAGATCAAGGCCTTGTATCTGAGCGGACGTACGGATTCAGGAAACGCCTCAATGCTGCCGTCGCCCCTGACACGGTCGATCTCGCAGCCTGTGATAGAGCAAATCAAGCCCAGGCGACCTCCTGTCTCGTTTGCGAGCGAGCCTGTTGTTCGCCAGTCGTTGGACGTTCAGCGTCTTGCGATGAACCAGGAGCGGGCAAACGAGAGCGAGCGACTGAATGGACTGCTGAAAAACGACTCGGATTCTGACCTGCCTGGACAGCTCTTCCGCCGGCGAACGATGCAGGAGCCCATATTGAATCCATCGAGACTGTCGATCCTTCCACGCCATCACAGTATGGGTCCCTCAGGGAATATGGAAACTCGTAGCACACCGACCTCACCGGACGAAATGCCAGGCAGCGGAAAGGGATCGCACTATCAGCAACAACATCACACGCTGTCTTCATCGCAAGATTCGTCAAAGTCATTGCAGGATATCGCAGCGCCTCGCCTCAGCACGAGTTCGATTTCTTCATTGTCGGGCAGTTCGACAGTGGGACGGTTCTCTCGTATGTGGTCCTCGTCAGCGAGCAGTGCGGCAGCAGCAGGTGGCAAAGAGAACAGTGCACCAGGCGTGGTTGCGGGCAACTGGAACGTGGGCGAGTTTGGCGAGGCGAGCGCTGAGGCTGCGGCGCAGAGTCTTGCCCGGCCAGAGCTGAACCGCACCCGTGGTGGTAGTGGTGGTGGTGGCATGTTGAACCGGCTCTCTGGCATCTGGTCTCGTCGATAAAAACGACGATCATTCTGTACCTCCACGATATCTAGCTTAGTAGTTATTCTCTCATCATCATCACCATCATCTTCTTCCTTTTTGTGAATATCGATCTGTACATAAACCTTCTCCCTCATTCTTCCCGCTACTCTTTGTTGCACATGGTGCCTGTTGAAGATATGAGTTTGTCAGTTGCCGGGGGGAATGTTTCGTGCCTTTTGACGCCACCAAACGTGGAGTAGCTGCCATTGGTCGACGTGGCGATCCACGATGCGACGCCACTTTGAAGTTTGAACCCTTGTCTTCACTTTCTAAGTTTTCTTGCTTTCTTAACACTATTCCACTTTTCTCCTTCTTCGCCTTTCTTGTCGTTGGATCGATTCAAGGAATACGCCATCACCAACCAGCCCCAAGCACTAAACCCACAGCGACATTCTTTTTTCACACAAACACTTCTCTTCACTTCCTTTCTCATACAATCATGGCCGATTTCCTTCCTGTAAGAGATAGGTCCTCTATCTATACCACAAGCTATCATTGAATGGGTTTGAATAAGAAGCTTATTATAGCACTCTTTTGGACGGTTTTTTCAAATTTTTAGCGTGCGGTGGAGACTGTCAAGAAGGCGACTGAGGAAGACACCAAGGGAAACCTTGAACAGGCCTTGCTCCTGTACCGGACCGCGCTCGAGTACTTCTTGACCGCCCTCAAATGTATTTTACAAGGATACAAGGAACCGTTTTTTCTTGCAATGGAGAAGTCTTGGCGTTTTTGAATGAGTTTACTGGAATGTAGTGAGCTAACCTTTCTTGTTTATGCGTTTGGGGGTTTGTTGCTATGAAATATAGACGAAAAGAATGTGCGGGTACGTGATACGGTCAGGAAGAAGGTTGTGGAGTACATGGCACGGGCCGAAAAGATCAAGGAACACCTTCCCAAGCTGGAGGAGAGGCCCAAGAAGAAGGAGAGGGCTATATACTATTTTCCTAACGGAGGTGGCGGCAAGGGTGGCAAGTAAGTTCTTTTGTCTTTTTCATGGTCGATAAGCGATGATATGCTCCTGAGGATCTCACAAGGAGTTTGGGTGGGAGGGCTTTTGAGCGGGCGTTCGTCTCTGCGTTGCTGACCAAAATTTGCACAACTCTTCTGATGGCTACATTTTACCCTTTGTTGGTAGGAAAATGGACAGCGATGATGATGATGATGAGGACGATGAAGATACAAAGAAGCTGAAGGGTGCGCTGGCGGGGGCGATTCTCTTAGAGAAACCTAATGTCAAGTGGTCAGATGTTGCAGGATTGGAGGCTGCCAAGGAATCGCTCAAGGAGGCCGTTATTCTCCCCATTAAGTTCCCCCACCTCTTCACAGGTATGGAAAGAAGGAAATGAGGATGAGAGAAAATAATAAAGGGAGACGGCTGTGCTGACTACGTGGCAGAACAGAAAAACAGGACGCTGACCTATTTCGTGTATGCATAACAACAATAGGAAACAGAGTGCCATGGAAGGGTATTTTGTTGTATGGACCTCCTGGAACAGGAAAGTCGTTCTTGGCAAAGGCAGTCGCCACCGAGGCCAATTCGACCTTCTTCTCAGTCTCGTCCTCAGATTTGGTTTCGAAATGGATGGGGGAGTCTGAGCGGTTGGTCAAGCAGCTGTTCCAGATGGCCAGAGAGAACAAGCCGGCTATTATCTTTATCGATGAGGTCGATTCCTTATGCGGAATTCGTGGAGAGGGCGATTCAGAGGCGTCACGTCGTGTCAAGACCGAATTCTTGGTGCAGATGAACGGTGTTGGTAACGATACGGAGGGCGTCCTTGTCCTAGGCGCCACCAACATTCCCTGGCAGTTGGACACTGCCATCCGGCGACGGTAGATAATGACACTTTGGCATGCTAGTTTGTTTTCCATTTGATGAACCAATTCAGACTACTGACATGCTACCTTCTTGCTGCTAATACCTGATACAATTAGATTTGAAAAGAGAATTTACATTCCTTTGCCTGACCCATACGCACGAGCAAGGATGTCTGAGTTGAATGTCGGCAAGACGCCCTGTCAGCTCACAGCACAGGATTATCAACACTTGGGACAGATCACTGAGGGCTACTCCGGTTCAGATATCGCAATCGCAGTACGAGATGCATTAATGATGCCCATCCGTAAAGTCCAGGCGAGCACACACTTCAAATGGGTCGATGCACCTTCTCGAACAGACCCCTCCAAGACGACTAAGCATCTGACACCTTGTTCTCCGGGAGACCCTGAGGCGTTGGAAATGAGCTGGGAGAATGTGGAGGGAGACCAGCTGTTGGAACCTTCGTTGGGGATGGCGGATTTCTTGAAGGCTGTCAAGAGTGTGAGGCCGACTGTGAGTGCTGACGATGTGAAGGAGCATACAAAGTTTACACTTGATTTTGGATCTGAGGGTTGAACGAGGAACTTCTTTTGATGTTTGCTGGTTTTTTTTGCTGGAGCCGGCAGCATTGCTTCGAGCGCATTCTTTTTTCTTAATACAATACCAATCTCGTTTCTCTTGTTATTGCTGTACCAGTTGCAAAAAAGAAAGAAAGGAAGGAGGAGAAAGATAATGGACAAGGAGATATGTTGCAAACGGGGCAGTGCGCTTTTGGCTTGGATGCCAACCTTAGCCCAAGCCAACCCACGAGTCCATAGACGTTTAATTAGCATCATTGGCGGCAGTTCAAATGAGAGAATATATACCCATTAGAGAGCCAGCCCATTCAGTTGCTCACTTGGCCACACTTGCTCAACCACCAGCAATGACCTCGTTGAATAGTATTGTCCCTGGCTCTGCTCTTTTTTTTTTTCTGTGTCTGTGTGGTTGAAGTGAGAGTGAAGGAGTGTTAGTGCAATTGGATCTCGTCGTTATTTTTGTCTAGTGCCGTTGTCCTGTCTGTTACAAGAGAAGAGAGGGAGAAGGCTTCGCCTTTTTCTTTCTTTCTTATTTTCCACTCGTCTGCTCACTCCTCCTTTCCTTTCTCTTCCTCCTTTCATCATCATCTTCCCCATCCCCCCATTTAACTCCTTCCTCTTCCCTTCTCCTCCCTCGCCGCATTCATTCCTTCCCTTCCCACCATGACTGGCACTCTTCCACTTGGTAAATAGCCCGCAACAATAGACCCACAACAGTGAACAACCACAACGGACAACAACAAACACTGCCACTCCACTCACCCCTCATTCCCTCAGCACAGCGACAGAGGACCAATTGAACCTAACATCACACTGTTATCACTCACACTCACTCCTTTTTTTGTTATTGATGCCGAGTAGAGATCGCTCCATCCCTTCGACTTGTCCTCATCGGCGACTCGGGTGTGGGCAAGTCAAAGTCGCGCGAACTGTTTCTGAACACTGTCCCAGGCCAGGTTCACCAGGATGAAAACAGCCCCGATATTACCGCTCTCTCTATTCAGGACAAGCCAGAAGGAGAGGCTTCCGAACAGGAAACAAACGGAGCTGCTGCTGCAGGAGGACAGACCAACGGACACACAAAGCCCCAGACTCACGACTACCTCTACAAGGACTCTGTCAGCACCCTCGAGATTCCTCAATGGCTCTCGGTCACCGCAGCAAACAACGGTGACGACGAGGAGGGCGCGACCGGAATGGTCCCGGCCGAAAACATCGCCGTGCACGACTTTGTGGGCTATGGTGAGTCCTTGGATGCCCGCACGACCATTGACAGGGTCGACGCCTTCTTGAAGGAGCAGTACGACGCCACCAAAAATCTCTTTGGCCCTTCTATCACTCCACTTTCGACCACCTGCCGCCCAGGACCTGCCTCGGCTGCACAACAGCCAGTCTTGCAACCCTTCCTGGAGCAGCTTCTTGTGGACTCGTCCATGGCCCACACCCTCCCCGACGCCTGCCTCTACTTTGTTCTCTACGACCTCAAGCCTGTCGACATTCACTTTATGAAGCGCATTATGCGCCACGTCAACTTGATCCCTATCCTCGCCAAGGCCGACACCCTTTCTGTCAACCAACTCTGGAAGGCCAAGTCCAGGATTCTGAAGCAGCTCGAGGAGAACCAGATCGAGTTTTTCCAGTTCGGTTATTCACTCGAGGATCTGAAGGAGATGGCGGCCGAGAAGATGGCTGGTGGACCTCCTTTTGTCCTTTCGACCTCGGAGTTGGAGGTCCAAAATGTTGGAGAACCGGCTGATAGTCTGACAGATTTGGCTCTGGCTGTGAACGAGGGTAGGTTCTCGGAGGGCCATTCGGATCTTTGTTTGCTTCAGACATTGCTGTTGGGTCCCAAGAACAGGATTCTGCATCAGGCCTCTGTCAAGAAGTTTTTGAACCGCTGGAAGACTGATTTGGGATTGCCCTTGGAGGAGGAGCCGCAGCCATCGCCAGCCGCTGGTTCCCCACCTTCGTCACAGGAGGCTGAGACAGCAGCTCCAGCTCCAGCACTCGCCCCTGTCGAGCAGGAGCAGACGGCTCAGGCCCTTGAACAACCCTCTCAACAGCAACAACAACCTGAACAGAAGGAGCAGGTGCAGGAACCAGTTCAGCAATCGCCAACCCAGCAACAATCAACTTTCCAATACCAGCACAATACTACTCCTCAACACACCCTGCCTCCTTCGTTGCAGCAGCAGACGTACCAGCCTACATCTTCGTACACCCCTTCGCCATACCGGGGGCAGTCGTCGCAGAGCAGTCTGTTGGGAAGTGGAGGAGCACCAGGCAGCAAGGAGAAAGACGATGAGCTGGGCCAGGTGTTCAAGCTGAGCCGGGCCCAGAGTGTTATTCGATCGGCGTCGCCCTCGGCCAAAATCTATACCCAGGGCAGCATTGTCCCTGCTATGCCCACGTCGAACCTGAGCAACTCAAGCTCGCCCACCTCTCCTTCGTCGACACCCCCACCCAGTTCTTTGGCTGCCTCTGCCACCCACTCTGCCACTGCTTCCGAGTAAAAACGTTTTGTGCGGAACGGCGTGTATCTCCTCTTTTTTTCTATTCATTTATTTAAGATCGGAAAAGAAGCAAAATAATAAAAAATCGGTTTGTTTTTGTAATATAGCGACGACCTTGTGCGAACGCCAAGAGGGTAAGCAGGGTGTGTGTACGTGTTTTGAGTGCGAGAGTGTGCAATTGACACGACACACAGACAGAGAGACTTACTTTTTTCCTGTGACCCATTGGGGTCAATTTTGGACCTTTGGGCGATGTCTGTCGTCGTTGTCGTGGCCCATTTTCGTGCTTCCTTTTTCTTCTTCTTCCTTCGCCACCCCTCTCACTTTTCTTCTTCACTTCACACCTTTCTTCTCGCCACTCTTCACTCACTCTCTCACTCACGTTTACAGACCTTTCTTTCCTCTTCTACTCTCACTATCCTCTGGAAGAACTCAACCCAGTATCCTCATAACAGTACTCTTCAAACAACATAACCATGCCTCCCGCAGCCAACTCAACACTCGGCGACCGTCTCCAGGCCCTTGTCAAGGTAACAACAACTAACACCAGCAACAACGCAGACTCTGTATCATACCTTCTTTCTATATCACCGGGAATATAAGCGATGAAGCATCGACAGCCAGGATACCAGGATTACAACAGGACCCATACTGGGGGTGATAGGCTCTGGTTCTGGCTCTGGAAACAGGCTCATACAGCATAAACACTCCCAAAATAAAGGGTGTGCGCCATGGCGGTAGCTGTTCGCTGGTGGAATTGATCTCTAGTCAACACTCATACACACACACGGGCGGCAACGAACAACAACCCATTCGCTGGCACCAGTGCATAAGAGGCATCCAGAAAACGAATGACGCCCAAACCACACTCGTCCGTCTTCGTTTTTGCGCAATGAAGTAACAAAAGAGACCAACGCGTGTGGATGACGACAACCAGATCAACTTTTTTTTGCTTTGCTAACCACTTCCATTTTCTTTTTCTTTTTCTTACACTCTCTCCGTATACGTTTTCTTCTCGCTTCGTGCGATACCGAATGGAACAGGGTCCTCAATTCGTGTGGTGGTTGGGCCACGTTACGATGTTGGTGTGCACGGCGTTCTATCTGCCCTACTGGGCAACTTTTAACTACAAGGCCGGCGCTCACTGGTACACGCGTGCCTTCTTTGGCGCCCTCGTCAGCTACAGTGTCGTCGTCTACAAGTCCTTCCCTGTAAGTGCTTGCCAATGCTATTGTTAATAGTCCTGGCTGCTGGTTGCTTATCCGATCAATGTGGGAATTGTATTGCGAACGTGGCATATCCTCTTTAACATGCACGAGGAAAGCGCAGGCAGGGAGGACGGCATGCGTGGTTGACATTTTTCCCGTGGATATTTTTTTTTCGTTTTCTTTTTGTTTCTTTTCGTTTCGATTGTCGGAAAACAGCAAAAACGAAGACGACAGTGTCGACAGGGATAAACCCAACCAACCCGCAGGAGAACACATATTTCGCCACAGGGTACGGGTGTGGGATGATCAGTCAGGGTTCTGGACCGATCATTGGAGTGAACAGAACAGGCGAGATAAGCAGTTCAGCAGCGGGATGAGGAAATCTTAAAAAAGTACTCTTTCACAGGAAACGTCCATTGGCACACCGGCGGGTAAACGACAATAGTAGTTTTCGTCATACTGCCCTTTTGATCCGGAGTTTTCGACCAGTTGTACAATATCCTTCCTTTCTCTCAGCATGGAGCGATATAACAAGGGAAAATAGGGAAAGGAAATTGCACAAACTTGGCAAACGTGGTCAACCGTTCGTGGAATCATCATATCGAGCGGGAGCAAAAAGAAAGGGCAGGAGGGGGAGAGAGCAATACGACAAGAAAAGGCAGCAATCGTCATAAATCGCCAAAAGGAGACATTGCGTTTCGCAGGACTCATTTTGCTGGTGTTTGGACCTGGCTTGGCGTGAGCGTGAGTGCGCCACGAAGTAGGCCTTGGCGCAAAACATCAACACTTTATAATAATCTCCTTTTTTCATGATTCAGATTAGCATACTCCTCAAAGTCGACAGTATTACCGACCACTAACGCTTTGTCTCTTTTTTTCCATGACTTGTGAAAACTCTATGTTTGGTCGAGAATAGGAGATCCAGTTCACCGCACAGTTCGCCCATCAACTTTTCGCCGAGGTAAGGACAGGACTTTTGCCAGCGTGTTACAATTGGACAGGAACGAGTGCTTCCACTTACAAGTTGTTATTGTATTCTCTCATTATTGTAGGAAAATGTCCAGTACTTGTTGATGGCAATCTTTTGGTGGCGTTCGACCCCCATGCTCGGTAAGCATCTTCGACACTCTTCGACGCTTCTCGTCAAGACAGGAATTCACTGTCTGCGAACAGGAGGATAACATACAGAGACACCAACTCTGACCACTTGTCCTCAATTTGGTTCACATTATTTAGCCCCTCTGGTCCCCTACGCGATCTTTGCTTTCTTCAACTCGCTCAACTATACAAGGACCAATATTCTCCCCGCTCTCTTCCCAACTCCTCCTGCCGGCGCCACTGACCCCACTGCTGCCCAAGTCGCCAACATCTCTCGCAAGATCCAGGCATGGACTGAGAAGAACCACGCCACCGCCATGGCCTTTGTCGCCTACATCGAAGTTGTCGGTGTCATGGGTTCCCTGATCTTTGGAGCCATCACGTAAGTCCTCGTGCCTTATTTCAGTTTCTTTCAAGAATACGCTCCTTGGCTAGATAACTTACTATGCCTATAACGTTCATTGCATATAGCTTCCAGTCGTCGTTCCTTTCGCCTATTGTGTACGCCAACTTTTTGCGTTTCCGCTACTTCTTCTCGCTCCACACTCGTGCGGCTTTCGCTTTGATCCGCGCCCGTCTTGACAACTTGATTGTGCCCCCAGGCGGCAACCCCAAGATCCCCCCAGTTGTTGCTCAGGGTTACACTATGGCTCGTGGTGCTATTACCCGCTTTGGCCAAGCTGCCGTTCAGCAGGCCCCGGCTGGCTCCAGTGCGCGCCAGTAAATGGACCACTGGCTACTTGAGAACGACAATGAGGGGCGTGATAGAGATTGATCTAGGAGACTTTTTTTTTTGTGCAGACCTGTCGTCAGATTGAAATGGCGCGGGAATGTAAGGGAAAAAAACAGTGCCACATGACGGACGAAAAGCCTGTTTGAAAGAAACAAAAAAATAAAGAGTCGTTTGCAAAATCTATATTGTCGACAAAGAGTTCATTTGCGTGAAAAGACAAAGACGCACGTATAAAAGTTACGGCATTTACTATTGTCATTGTCGCTACGCCGATTTTGCATCAAAGAACGCATCGGCAATGCTTTCATACTTCCCCGCCGAAGTTGACCAGAGTATGAATTCTCCTTTGTGAGGGGGTGTGTGTGTGGTTCTTTGTCCACATTCTCAAGCGGATTCTACGATAAATAGCGCGTCCAATCCTAATGCGGCCCTTATCATTTGTTTCTTTTTTCTCAGCTTTTTGAACCCACCCCGCCTTTTTTTTTTCTTTTTCATCACGCACTATCTATATACCGGTCTGCAGCACATCACGCACAGACGCGCATACAAACCCACATTCGTCTCCAGACAAGAACCACATCCGAACCCACAAATAACAATCACAAACGGATTTTTCGTTAAAACCATGTCCAGCACGTCGAGCTCAAATACTCGACACCCTTCCTTCCGAAAAAAGGGAGATCCGTGTCGACTCGACACCTCAGCTTCACCTTCACTTTCTTCATCTTTATCGTCCACCAACACCGGTGTCGTCGATACCGCCGTTCCAGATACGATGATAACGTTCTGCCCAACATGGGCTGCGCCGCGACAACCGCGACCGTCTAACAGAAACAATATGCCAGTCTCGATGCCCCCTCGCTCACCTCCCAACATACAACAGGCCACGGGTGGTATTGATGAATCGGTTCCAAAAGTCAAGCGCGGAATCTTGCGTAGCTGTAAGGGTTTTTGCTTCATTTTTCATTCTTCATTTTTCATTTTTTGGTTTTTTATGGTTATTTGTTTGTTGAACTGCCTATCCAAGTATTTACATTATGTGGTTTCCTCGTGTGAGTGGTTATTAACATAAAAATGCAAATGCATTGTCTGTCGTCTGTGGTTATTTCGCTCCCTTTCTTTTTAACCCGTTTTTGTTTTGTTAATGCAGTCGGCAAGAAGATTAAACGCGTCTTTCGAAGGAATCCATCGTCCGTGTCCTCATCAGGGTCCAATGACAGTCGTAGTAGTAATGAGTGCTTTGGCGCCATTGTCGCGTCAGGTCTTCAGTCTGCATCTGCGGTTGGAATACATCATCGATCCCCGGCAGCAAGAGCAACAGGAGCGGTAGGAAGAGAAGGGGTATTGACAGTGATGGCGCATGGTCAATTGCTACCACCGAGTATGATCCCGGTCCGCACGAGTTCTTTGCACGCCTATTCGACGAATGATGGGTATGGGAGTGACTCGACGATTGTGCTCGTCCCCTGGACTGGATCCCCGCCGTCTCAGGGTTCCCCTTTGGTCGTCGAACAGTTGCCTGCCTCCACCTCCACTTCCACCTCTTTTTCCACTTCAGATTCCATAACCAGTTCCGATGCCGCCGTCGCTGGCAGCACTTCCCCTCCCCTAACCTTCTTGGAGACGAACACCAACATGCCAAGGAAGACAAGGACCAGGACGATTGTGCGGACGACGACTGACCCAATCATCACCATCAAGTTGATTCACACGCCCTCTCCTTCTGATGTATCATCGATCAGTCGTCTTTCTGAGATGTCTTCGAATTCGGATTCGGACTCGTGTGAGGGACTAAATGATCTGAGGAGTGTTGTGGAGGCGCAAATGAGTCGGCGCCAGGAGATTCTTGATGCTGGCGGTGTGGATTTGTTTGCGGATTTTGATTCGACCTCTCCGCAGTTGGAGGCAGAGGATGAGCAGGGAGGAGAGGAGGAGGAGGAAGAAGAGGAGGAAAGGGAGTACTATAGCGGCGATCGCGGCACGGACGACGAGAAGGGCGACGATGATGAGCCTGGATCTGGATCTGGAGCTGGTGTCGGTGATCGTCCTTCTCACGCCACAGACAACAACCGCTACGATAATTTCCGTTCTTCGCCTTCCCAAGACAGGTCTCACAACAGGGCGCCACCATCCGCCAAAGGGGCTTCGCCCAAAGATGCTCCTGTCGACTCGACCGTTCCTAAAACCCCTTCTGTCCATTATTCTACACTCGACATCCTTTCAAGCGCACCAACAAAGAAAGCCAACCACCACTCTAAACACAACCGCAAACGTGAATCAATCGCCTGGCTCGACCACTTCCTAGCCCTCAACAACACCTACCGCGACAACCTGGCAACCCTGCACCTCCACCTCTTCCAATCCCTTCACCACACCCTCTCCGCTCACACAACAACCCTCCTTAATCTCCAACAGCAGATCCTAGGAATCCAGGGAGTCAGGAACGGGAGACTTGATAATGAGTATCTGATCGAGTTGGTGTCGACAAAGCTGAGTCGGAGGATGGAAAGGGATTTGAGGAACCAGACGAGGTTCTGTATAGGAGTTGGGGAGTTGGTGCAGCAGGGATTTGGAAGTACGTTGTTGACGGTTGATTATGAAGAGGAGGATGAGTTCGAAGGGGTGAGGGTTGATCCGGCCGTCGTGGCTGTGAAGGAGAAGAAGAGGAAGGCGAAGGAGAGGAAGAAGAATGGGGAGGAGATGGAGGAGGAAAAGGAGGAGCCAATGGAGGAGAAGGAGTTGGTAAAGTTGGTGAGTCGGGTGTATCAGAGGAGGTTGCCAGTCGATGACCAGTGGGCGTTGTTCAGGTGGACGGAACTGCAGAAACCTTATGCGACGTTGAAGGACTTGGACGAGGCCCGTGCTTGTATGGCGTTGTCTCTTTTAGCGGCAGGTCATCAACAGGAGGGTGAGGGGGATGTGGAAGTTCAGGATGGGATTATGCATGATTCTGCCGGATATACTGGACACGATGTTGTCGAGTTGACAGTGGAAGAGCAGAAGGAAGAGAGCTCGAGTGATGATGAATGGGATTCGAGTCTGGCCGAGGATAGTGTCTTGATCCGTTCGTCCGAGGAGTTTCTTCACATCCAGCAACAGCGCAACTCTCAGGACCAGGGCGGGCTTTCTGGAGATGACGATATAGATGAGACGCAGTTCGAGATGCTGACTCCTCCTGCTCCTGGTAATCCTCCTCCTGGTGACCTTGGTGATCGCGATTATGAACACTTGTACTCTTACACTTCAGACGACAACGCTGACGACGGCTTAGAGCCATCGACACCACAAGCAGGAGCCGGTCCACCAACGAGATCCTTCTACATGCAGGATCCCTCTCATTGCAGGCTCGAGTCTCCAGTCGAGCCTCTGGCATTCTCGCGTCGTCCTTCGATGCCAACGCCACCGCTATCATCGCAGCCTGATTTTACGACCCCTCACTCCAGTCCTGCTGCTGATGATAGCGAGACAGCTGGAGTGAACTCGAATACAGAGTGGATGCGTGTGGTTCGTGCACTTGCAGCGACCGAAGCAGCATCATCAGCCCCTGGTACGCGGCTCCCGATCTGGGTTGTCTATGCCCCTCCGATATCTGCTTCCTTACCGTCAGCAGCCGCATCGACAGGGACGACTACCTCCACTGCCGCAGTCCCTTCCTATCCTGCTGTTGCTGATTGCGATGAAGCTTCTGCGCCTCCAGAAGAGGTTTCAGCGATTTACCATTGTGACCGTCGAGAAGGATCTCGTCGCAATGTTAGCCAACAAACCCAGAGATTCCCTCCTCCCTCCAAGACTATAACCTCTTCCACGACTTCTACATCTGAAGTAAGATACACCAGGTCGAGCAGGAAACGTCGCCGCCACGAAAAACACAGTCGTACTCGTACCCGAGGAGCCGAAACATCAGCACCAGCAACAGTCAACAACCACTTCCGAGGCGGGACCCATTACCACTACAATGGATCTTCGACAACCATGTCTAATCACCGCCCAATGTCGGTCCTGTCGCGACGGTCTTCTACAAGTTCGTCCTCATCATCATTATCGGGGCCGTCAGTGTTCATGGCTTTGACGAGTGATAGTTGTCCATCGCCGTCGCGACGTTCCTCTTCCTCTTTAGGTTCTCGACAGTCGCTGGAAGAAGAAGAGGAGGAGGAGGTCTTGTGGCAATCGTCATCGAGTATTGATTGTAACCAGGGTCACCATCAGCCTACTTCACCCCTGCTGCAACAATCACCATACCCATCAAGCTCCACCGTACACGAAAAAGAAGAAGACGACGACGAAGATCTTCCCATCTTCTCTCAGCCTCCCACACCTCTTTCAAAACCACCTCCTCCCCTCCCCCTCCATGCCACTACCTCTTCCTACTACACTTTCCTTCCACCAGTCCAACCTGCACACCAGCCCAGACACCACCAACTCCGTGGTCCTACTCCAGACCCTCTTCCGCCTGTATACTACCATCGCCCCGTCGACTCCACCATTGTCACCACTTCTGTGCCACCTCGCCCTGTACACTGTGCTAACCGTACAAGCCGTGTTCGAGTCTGTGTTTCGAAACTTGCCCATCCCAAGTCTCAAGTCTACCAGCTTGGCAACCCAAAATGGCGCCTTGAAGGTTCTCTCCTCCCCGACAACGCATCCACCACCGACAATTCCACCGATAATATCATTGAAAACACGTCAAACGACGCGTCGTCCTCACTTGCTCCTTGTCTTACATCACAGCAAGAGTCTCAACAGCAACAGCAACAGCAACAGCGGCAGCAGCAGCAGCAGCTCTTCCACCGTGTCCCTTCACGATGCTCAGTCCTATTTCTAGAAGCCTCTCAGACAGAAACAGAGATAAAGCAGAATCAAAGTTCTCCCCCGTACACATTAACGTTCGAGAACTGTGCTCTACCCCCTTCTTCCTCTTTTTGTTCGTCTACTGCGTTCTTTTCTTTCTCTGATGATACTGATCGCGAGACTTGGAGTCCTGCCTCAACAGGACCACAAACGATCCTTCCCACTACTTCCTTTCATCCCACCTCACCTACTACGTCTCTCAGAAATACTGATCAAGAGCGAGAGATTGGACCTGGGGCTAAAGAGGTGCGTGGCACATCCAACGAGAAGAAAGAGAACAGGAAAAGAGGTAGTCCACCTTATCAAAGAACCAACATCCATACGCCTCGAAGATACTCCACTTTGGGAAGTTCAGAATCTAGTGATAGTAGAAGTTGGAACCGGCGAGCTGATATGCGAGAGACAGAGTTGGTTTTGGAGGGCAAACGCGTCGAGGCTGCGTACCAGAACATTTCACGTTGTTTTCCTTGAAACCCACCCTGCTTGCTTTTAAAAACCCATACCTTGTAGATAAATTAATTCGTAGACCTGAATGGATGATATTAATGACTTTTGTATTTCAACTATGGTGTTCTGTATTTCTATCGGTATGAAAAAGGGAGGTGTAAAAGCATCCTTAAACCTCAGCGGCAGCAGCAGCGGCGTCCTCGGCAGCAGCGGTAGCATTGACCTCTCCAACATTAATCAACTGGACAATATACTCCTGCTGCTCAGGCGTAGTCTCCTTAGTCAACTCCGCATACGAAGCCGGGTTATGCTGCTGGAGTCCCGTAAAGACCTCACGGAACACAATATAAGGATCCAAATCATCCAGGGGAGACTCGAAATAAATCTCCTCCTCCAAATCGCCAAAGTCATCTTCATAATCCTCCTCCTCTTCTTCTTCCTCATCGCCTCCGTCAGTCTTAACGGCACGGGTCTTGGAGGCCTGCTGGGCAAGGTACTCGAGGTACTCGTGTCCCTCGTCGTAGACATCTTCTTCGTCGTCGACCCATTCTTCTTCGACATCGTCGTCGCCGGCCAGAGCGGCCTCAAGAGCGTTTGTCTCTTCTTCGTCGTCGTCATCGCTGTCGTCGCCGGCGTTGCTGTCCGCGTCGCTATCTTCGTCGCTGTCGTCCGATCCAATGTTGTACAACTTCTCCATCTCCTTGCGCTCTATTCAACATCACATTTAAATGCTATTAGTACACATACAAAAAAAATTCAAGCGCAGAGAATCCAGCAAATAAAGTGAAAAGAGAAACTTACTGGCTTGAGCAACAGGAAGACCCTCAAAGTTGGTCAAGATGCCGTTCAAGATCTGAGGCCATCCACTCTGGAGAGCTGGAGGCAACTGGGCAACAGGAACGTTCAAGATCGAGCAGAGGGAAAAGATCGAGAGCTTCTTGTCATGGACACGCGAGAACTTGTCCAAGTTGGTGAACCAGACGGTCAAGAACCGCTGGGTCCATCCGTTCTCCTCCAAGAGCCTCAATGTGACAGGGGCATTGTAGTAGAGCGCGTTCATGACAACCTCAAGAGCCTGGATACGGAACTCGACTGTCTGAATGCCCTCCTCGGGGGCCAAGTAGTGGAACACCAAGTTGAGGATGGGGGCAATGTACTTGTCGACATGGCCACGGCAGTTCAACATCAAGGACTCGGCAAGCTTGCAAGCTTGGACACGGTCATTCTCGCCCAAGCGATCCGACTTCATGACAGACTCGATGATATCGTAGATAATGTGCTGGACGTTCTCGTTGGTCGAGAAGACATCCTTGCCGTACGAAATGTAGTTGTCTAGCGAGGGCAACATCTCTTCCATGAAATCCAGAGCCGACTCCTTGAAAGTCTTGTAGATCAACTCAAAGACACCCCACATGTTGGCAGAGATGGCCTTGGCCGAGAAGGTGCAGCTGTCGATGATCTCAAAGACACCATCAAAGAGGTCAATGATCGCGTTCTGGAGGGTAAAGGTGATGACGGGCAAGAGCGCAATCTCGAGCTGGTTCAACACCTCGGGCGTACTCTCTAAGCTCAGGATCAAGGTGCCCATGGTCTTCAAGACACCCATGGCAGCCATAGTCTTGTCCGAAGCCTCGTCAATAGCACGGTCAGTGATAGCCTCGACACCATCGGAGCTGGGTCCCATATCGGCGCAGATCCTGAGGAAGGTGTCACGCAACTGCTCGCAGAGCTGGACAGCAAAGGGAGCCAAATCCTGAGCAAAGACCTCGACAAACTCGTCCATGACTTCGGAGAGGGTGTCGACATCAATCTGGTTGGTCATGGCCAAGAGCTCGTGCATGATGAACTGGAGGTGGGGCTTCATGGCCTCGCAGACGGCCTCGTGGCGGATCATGGGGCGGAGGGCCAAGGCAGCAGTGACCTTGACGGGGAGCTGGCTGTCGCGGAGGTTCTCCATCAAGCTGGTGAAAGCAAATGCAACGTTGTTCGAGTCCTCAAAGTCCAAATCGCTGAACTGGTTGACCATCTCGCAAGCCTATTTACGATCAATAGCACATTAACAAAGTTAGTGCTAGGGTTCATAGTGACCGGGCCACCATGGGCTATTAAGATCATCCAGTGTGCACATACGCGAGCACGGAGGAAGGGGTACTGGCTCTTGAACTCGGGGAAGACATGGTTGACAAAGAAGGGCTCCATCATCGACGACAATGATTTCTATTTCAATTTCAAAGTTTTCAATGACTTTCGTTAGCGAGCGGATTCAAAATTAGTCCAGCTGCAACATCATATAACAACCACCGCAAAGTATTACCTTGCGGAGGATCAAAGGGGCAAGGGCCCCGATCATAACGAGAGCACCATCCTTCTCTCTGGGGTTCTTGGCCTCGGCAGGAGACTCGTTGTACTTTTGAAGGACGCTGTTGGCGAGAGCGAGGATTTGCATGAAGGCGTTCTGTCTGTAGCGGGCCATGACGGTCATAAAGTTGGTCGCAGCTGTCGAGGGGCTGGTGAAATCCTCAAGAACGTCTAATCAAAAGATGAAAAGATGTTAGCCGACAACTCCTAAGAACGTTCATAAATATTTCCTGTTATTGCAGCACATGTGTTGACGTACCAATCTTGGCGTGAACGTATTCAACAGGGTCATCGACCCAGAGGGTCTCGTCCTCGGAGGTGAAACACAACTGGGGGAAGACAAAGTGGGTAATCAAAGTCTCGGAGTGAGGCTTCATCATCGACCAGATATGCTTATCCTTGACACTATATCACCACAAAAATGAAGCGCGCGTTAGGAACCATGTCGCGTGAAGAGTTCGTTGCCGTTGCCGTTGCGGAGCAAATTATATGCGCGTTTTTTTACCTCTCTTCGAAAAAGTTGCCCATCAAGCAAAGGACGCGAGGGCTGAGCCAAGCCTGCTTAGCAACCCAGAGCTCAACCTGCTTCAAGTAAGCAGTCAAAATGTTGGGGGCAAAGTTGACAATGAAGCTGTTGGCAAAGGGCTTGAACTTGGATTCGGAAGTCAAAGCGGTAGGGTTTCCGTAGCGAGTGTACAGACGGTTCAAGCACTGGTATGCCCAGCGCTTGGCCTTCCACCAGGGGTGCTTCTCCAACTCCTCTAAGTCAGTGGGAAGGCCCTCAGTAGGGACGGGCTTCTCGACCATTTGGATGAAAAGAGTTCCCCAAGGAACCAACGAGGCGTTGTCGCGAAGACGCTCGGAGAGGTCGATCTGGATGGTGTGGTGGTAGCACTTAAAGATGATCTTGAGCATCTCGGCGGCTTCCACGTTATTGGCGCTGACCAGTCCTGTTCCGATTTGCTGAATGGCGGGGAAGAAGGTCGCAATAATCTCGTCAACGGGCTCACGGTCCGACACCTTGAACCTATTGGAAGAAAATGGTCGAGGGGTTAGCTTCTGTTGTTACTGACTTGTCAAATTTTGTGTATTGATACCCCGCCTCCTTGACGTTGGCTGCTTACTTGTAAACGCGGGTGACCTCCTTCAATGCCAAGAGACCAACAAAGACAATCTTGGGATCCTGAGACTGGAGCAGCGACTGAACCTGAGTGAGGTAGCCGGGGTATTTAGCGGGGAAGTCGTTGGACAAGATTGTTCCGAGGACAGTAAGCAACTGGGTACTATGTGGCGAGAGTGAAAGTGCCACAAGAAGTAAGTTTTGTTAGTTTTCATCTGACTGTAGGTCAATCGAAAGACGACACTTTCTTGGCGGGAGAACGAAATGTACGATGAAGATGAATGACAATCGATTTGGCATACCGGACGATCTGGGGAGCCGAAGCGAGGAGCTGGAGGATGCTTCCCTTGATGGCGTCCTTGTCACTCTCAGAGATCTTGAGGTGGGCGGGGGTTGACTCTGTCTCGAACCAGTAACGCTTAACAGCGTTCTTGAAGTAGATGGAGGCTAAGCCATGTATTTTTTTATGGATATCAACGGTCAGTACATCGGTTCCAGTGATGTGTGTAATGACAGTGTAAATAAAGGCAACCACAACAAACGGCTAATACTCACCAGCCTGACGGACATGGATAACAGAGTCCTCGGATCCAATAATCTGCATCGACGCCAAAAGGGCACCCTGGGTACCCTCGAGCTATGTTTATAAAAGATAAACGCGTTTCCAGTCGCGACAATAAGGGTTATCAGTAAGTTGTTGAGCACGTCCCTGTCAATCGTTGCGAACACCAAGTTGGCGCTAAGGTCATCCAGGAATACTGCTAGACAAAAGAGAGTGAAAGTGCGTGTGTTTACCTGCTTGAGCTGCAGCTCGGCCTGGATGCGGACGTTGGGGTCAGGCTGGAATGTGGCCTGGAAGAGGTTGTAGAGGGTTTGAATGTCCATGGTGATGTGAATAATTGTAAGGAAGAAGAAGAAGGCCTTTGTTGAATTAGGGATGAAAGAAAGGGGAGGAGAGGAAAAGGGTAATGGGCGGCCGGACGTTAATCGAGGAGGACAAAGGACGAGGGACAAAAAAAAAGAAAAGAAAAAAAAAAAAGAAAAGGAGAACGGGATGAAGATCGGGGAGGAGTAAGTTCTCAGGGCGACTTTCAGTTGTGCCTTATTTTTGAGCGCGCGCCTCTTTTTTTTTTTTTTTTTTTTTTTTCTGTTGGCTTTGCAAGAAAACAAGAGTCACTCTAGCTTGAGAGCAGCCAAACGTGTTTTTGCCTTTCGCCAACAACAACAACAGTGGACAAACATGTTGGTCTGTTACTGTATGGGCGGGGGGTATCCAATGCATGCAAGGAAGATATGTATCAATGAACTTGCTTCCCTTCTCCTTGCGAGTCTGAGATCAACGGTGGATCAGAGAGGAAGGCGAGTCGCCAGTAGAGTCCAGGCTGGAGATGGCCGTTGGGTGCAGTTGAAAAATAAGGTTTTGGGTGTGCCTGCAAGGCAGAGCAGAAAAAGGCACCCCGTAATAGGACTGCTTTCTTGGTCGTCTGTTGCGTTGCATGCACACTCTCACTCCTGAGTCAACTAATCTCTTTTTATTTTTTTTATTTTCCGGTTCTTTTCTTCTTTGTTCCTTTCCTTTCTTCCTCCCGTCCTCCCTTCCTCCCTTCCTCACTCCATTCTCTCTTCTCCTCTCCTCTCTCCTCTCTCCTCCTCCCTCTCCCCTCTTGCACTTCATCATGTTGCCTCTCGCTGCTGCTGCCCGTCTTCAGGGCCAGGCTCGTCTCGCTGGATCAAGAGTCGCCCAAAGGATCCCCTCTGCACTCAGGGTCGCGTCTGTGCCAATGGCCCGCACCCGTGCCTTCTCTCTCTTCCCTAAGGCTGCCTATGCTTCCTCAGCCTCGAGCGAGAAGGTCCCTCTTTCATCAGAGAGATACCCATACCTCAAGAGAGACCCTTCCTTCAAGAAGGTATGGACAGCACTTTATCAATAATTAACACAAACACAAAAGTGATGATCACTTTTATTTGTCGGATCAGTTAAACATTATGTTTTTCAGGGTTATCACGGTCGCTCTTTGAAAATCTGTTCGAATCACTGATGGCTCATCAATAATATGTTATTAAGACTCCCTTCTGTAATCGCGTCATTCAACGAATTGTTAGTTATCTCAAGAGGACATCGACTTCTTCAACTCAGTCCTGCCTCCTTCAGCAATCTCGCAGGACGATGGCGATCTCGAGGCATTTAACGTTGACTGGATGCAAAAGTTCAGGGGTCAGTCCAAGCTGTTGCTCAAGCCATCCTCCACTGATCAAGTCTCAAAGATCCTCAAATACTGCAACGACAACAAGTATGTCCGCTGTTTTCTGTCTGCTGTATCAGTGTTCTGACAAGCAACAAGGAGGGAAAAAGAAAAGCGTTGGTACTAAATGCATTTATTTTCGTCTACAATAGACTGGCGGTTGTGCCTCAGGGAGGAAACACGGGTCTTGTCGGAGGAGGAGTGCCAGTCTTTGACGAGATCATCCTCTCGACTGCCAATATGAATTCCGTCCGCAGCTTTGATGAAGTGTCTGGTAATTTATTATGGCTTGATTTGTGTCGAGTTATGAGTTATCATATGGAGTATGCTTGTATTGAGATATGTTCTAACTATTTCTCTGAAACATTTTAAATAAATGGTCAATAGGCGCTCTTGTTTGCGATGCTGGATGCATTTTGGAAGTCTTGGACAACTACCTTGCTGAGAGAGGATACATCATGCCCCTTGATCTAGGAGCCAAGGGAAGGTACGACCAGTGACAGGATGTCATGTACAGGTGCATAGATCCAAAAATGACTGCGCACAGCCAACTCAACGGTGAACTAACAAAATACTTTTTACTCCTCATTAAATAGCTGTCATATCGGAGGAAATGTTGCCACAAATGCTGGAGGATTGAGACTCTTGCGCTATGGATCCTTGCACGGAACTGTCCTTGGTCTTGAAGTGGTAAGTCACGGAATGGACATACAGAGCCAAGCAACTCTGGTAGACATTTCGGTTTCAATGCAACAACTCACACGAAAAATGCTGCTTTTTCGTAGGTGATGGCAGACGGAACAATTCTGGACAACTTGTCGACTCTTCGCAAGGACAACACTGGATACGACCTGAAGCAGCTATTCATTGGATCTGAAGGAACATTGGGTTTGGTCACAGGAGTGTCTATTATGGCACCTAAGAGATCCAAAGCTGTCAACGTCGCCCTGTTGGGTGTCTCCAGCTTTGAACAGGTTCAGGCAGCCTACAAGCGATCAAGGGATGAGCTGTCAGAGATTCTCTCCGCCTTTGAGTTCTTCGATGAGGCCTCGATTAACTTGGTCAAGAAGCATCTTGTTGCAGGAAACAACGACCCCCTGGAGTCCTCCCATCCTTTCTACGTCTTGATCGAAACCAGCGGCAGCAACAAGGATCATGACGACGAAAAGTTGACACAGTACCTCGAGGGTCTTTTGACGGACGATATTGTTCAGGATGGTGTTGTTGCCCAGGACACGACTCAGTTCAGGAACTTGTGGGCTATCCGTGAGGGCATTCCTGAAGCTTGCTCTAAGACCGGACCAGTGTACAAGTACGATCTTTCGATCCCTGTCCCAGTCTTTTACAATATGGTCGAGGATATGCGCGCCCGTTTGAACGACGCGGGTGTCATCGGAGAGGACAAGGATGTCGAAGCTGTCGTTGGCTTTGGACACATTGGTGACGGTAAGCATTGGTGCTGTTACAGGCATTCCGGAATGGATGTGCCTTTGGGTTAGTAACTCATCCGTACATGAACTTACATTTTAACGCGTATAGGAAACTTGCACTTGAACATTGCGTCGAAGCGCTACTCGGAAAAGGTCGCCAAGGTGATTGAACCCTATGTGTACGAATGGACCGCTAAGCACTCTGGCTCGATCTCGTCAGAACACGGTCTGGGTGTGTTCAAGTCGCCTTACCTTTCCTACTCCAAGTCACCCACCATGATCGATATGATGCGGAAGATCAAGAAGATGATGGATCCCCAGGGTATTATGAACCCTTACAAATACCTTCCTGAGGAGAAGAAGTAGATATTAACTAACATCTTTGGCATTCATATAAATATTTTTTGTGAAAGAAAAAAGGGCGAAGCAACCATCCCAGCAGTCACACCACTCTTTCTTCAATGAAATGGTGGCATCCTGGTTCTCGAAGCTAATTGTTAGCTTCCAAAGATTCCTTGTATGTCTTCACGGCTGCTAACTGATGGTTGAAGGATTTACTGTATCTATTTAAGTTGAACGAGTACGTTGATAATGACAGTCATTATTGGCAATCGAAAAATCCAGTTGCATGGTATGCTCTCGCAGCGGACAAGGTTCTTCCGAGACATTGGCGCTTCCAGATGCGGTGTTTACTGAGGCATGTTGGCCTGTGGTTATATCTCACTCTTTCGCGTCTCCCATTGTCACTACTTCACAGCCACTTGCGTATCCTGCTTGTATGTGTATCCATGCTCCTTGCGTCCCATACTTCAAAGAGGGTTGTTTGCATCTGTCCCTCCAGTCCATGCCCTAGGAAGGAAAAAAAAAGAGTCACGTGTAGGCACGCACAGCGAGTGGTGCAGGAGTGAGTACAACCTGTGTGGACTGTACACATGTGGGGGAAAGAGTGCGTTCAGACCCCCTTTGGAATTATTTCTTCTCCACTTCCTCCATCGGTGACTAAGGTTGTCTCCTCCCTTTTCTTGCTCTCTCTCACCCACCCTACCCACCTCAACCCACTCTCTCTCTCTCCGCTCTCTCCACTCCCTTCTCTCTTTATCCCATCCACCATCACTGCTCTTGCCGCCAATATATCTCCATACACTTGCACCCATCTCCATCAACTTAACAAAGAGCATTAGCACAACCGTCATTCCACTCCCCTGAAGCAACACTTTATTATTCCATTCTACACCACCTCTCCCTTTACTATCCTTCCGCGTGCCTAAATTCATCCACAATGACCTCCTGGGACCAGATCCGCAACGATGTCCGCTCATTCCGGGCATCCGTCCAACCCACCGTCACCACCATCCGGGACTTTTCCTTCGACTCGCACAATGACCGCATCTTTTTCTTTGCAAACGACCTCTCAAAGTCATCAAAGTCGCCCATGCTCTTCCGTGTCGACCTGCCAAAGTCTTACTCCGACAAAGACGCCTCCTCGTCCGCAGACTCAGACCTGGACTCGGACCTGGAGGATCTCTCGTCAGACCATCACTCAAACTCTACTGGACTAGACCAGGAGGATCACGATATGGGCTTGGTCCCCTTCGATCCTGCAACCTACCAACACTTTGCGATCCCCTCTGTAACGCCCATCCAGATCATCACTGGTGGAAGTGGCCCTCGGAATCCATACGCTGCACCCGACAGGAGTAGTTTCTCTTCAACATCTCAGCCCACAGCATCGGAGAATGCTGCCTCCGCGACAGGTGGTGGGCTAGAATCGGGCAGTTCAGTCACAGATCAAATCCTCGCTGCCGCACCCGTCCTGCCCTGGGTGCCTGTCTTGAGCGAAGAGTGGATCAAGTACTCTAATTCGGCCCTCGGTCACTCCCCCACCGACCGTCTTTCCTTCTACCAGTTTGAACCGCAGGTCAATCGTCTCATGTTCCCTTATGGCGTAGCTATCTACACGGGTAGCATTCAAGAGGTATCGCAGGAAAACTCTATCATCTATTCCACCCTCTTTCCCTTTCTTCTCCAGATTTCGCAATGTTCGCTGTACTATATGATTCATGCCACATTGGAATCTATACGATCCAGTAGAAACTGACGAATCTGCGCTATTCTCACGCTATAGGACGGCAAATTTGAACCGCAGGCAGCGCGGACAGCACATCAATCTGCATCCTCCAGTCCGAATCGATCGTACTCCAACCTAGTCCACAACGCTTTGGCCGCAGGAATCAACCTTGTCTCTGTATCAGGACCATTGGCTTCTCCACGGACTCCCATCTCCAACTCAGCCGCCTCCAGCCTCCACAATGGTGCTGCTGCATCCTCATCGATGAGGGCGGATCCAAAACTAGGCGGATCAGAATTGGATTTGGTGGCGTTTACTCGGGATCAGGACATTTGGGTCATGACCCTTGGAGGCGTCGAGACACAGCTCACATTTTGCTCGAGGAATAAGAAGAAATCCGACATTAGCTGCGGCATTGCTGAATTTGTCATGCAGGAAGAGTTTCACCGCTTCTCAAACTACTGCTGGGCACCTTCCTCACCATTGCTGCCCAGCCCGCCGCCTCGATTCCCGACACCGACCACAAATGTAAAACCTGCATCACCCCCTCAGACAGTGCCTTCGATGCCCTCGACTCCGCCGCACCCGCAGCACTCGATGCAACACTATCAGCACCATGACTCATTCTCCCCCAGCCCGGCGACTTCCTCGCCCAACTCGACCTTCACAACGCCATCTCCCACCTCATTGTCGCCACCTATCCTTTCCGGAATTTTCCCTGTCCCCGCAGTCAACACATCGTCATCAAGGACAGTGGAGAGGATTCTTTATCTGCAAGTCTCGGAGGCAATGGTGGATCTGGTAGTGATTCCAAGACAGGGCATGCACCCCGAGTTTGAGGAGTACAGATACCCGCATGCAGGCACCCCCAACGCTGTCTCAGATATTCAGATTGTCGAGTTTGTGCCTCGGTTACACGACGATGTAAGTGGAATTCTCCTTCTCGTCTGTCTACTTGGCTGTTTCAGATAACCTTGAGCACACTCACTGAATATCGATGAATTTTTTTGGTGGCGTAATTTATAGGAAGTTGTTCCTGAGCCTCTGCACAAGAGACTCTGGGGCAGGGGTTCACTTTACAAAATGTTCCCATGGATCGAGTATATTGTTCGCTTTGGTTGGCTTCCTGGCGGCGAGAGGTAACTCACAGTCCATTCAGGACGTCTAAAGTTGACTTTGCCCCTCGCGCCAATATTAACAACCATATTATTTTTCCCATATGACATAGTGTATGGGTGCAGATCTTGGACCGCAGGCAAAAGAACACGGCTATTCTTGCTATTCCGCTGGATTGCTTCATGTCGGTTGCAGAGCAAGCAGAGATAACTGAGCAGGCAGAGGACGAGCTGGCAAGTCGAATCCGGATCATCTTTGAGGAGCGGAGCGACTACTGGATCAACGTGACGGATATCACGCAGTTTTTATCACCAGAGGACTTTGTTCTCGATGAAGACTCGGTAAGGGACGATGTTATCCAGTTCATCGTTCCTTCTGAGCGGACGGGATTCCGGCAGCTGTATCTGGCCACACATTCAACGCGAACGGGATCGAAAATTGTCCCCATTACCAGTGGGAACTACCAGGTCGTCGACAAGTCCATCACCATCGACACCAAGCGCCAACTCGTTTACTTCACAGCCAAACGGGATTCAGTGCTGGAGACGCATCTCTATGTCGCCAGTTATGCCAGGGGTGCGCAACCAGGAGATGTCAAGCGGCTGACCGAACTGGGATACAGTCATCAGGTCACTGTCGATGTAATCAAGAATCGGTTCCTGACCATGTATTCGAGTGTCGACCACAGTCCTGCCTGTGCAGTTCTTTATCTTCGCTGGAGCGATTGCCGCCACTCCCGGTCACCGTCGCCCCTCTCGCCTATGGATAACATCGGCAGGAAAGGAACAGAGTGGTGCATGTGCGGGTGTCAGTTCCCCAAGATTTCGTCGCATGCATTTATACTTCGTGAGGGGATTGCCAATCTTTCGGCCAAGAAGATTCGACAGTCGCCGATTGTTTCTTCCTCGACACCTCTTGGACATGCCAGGTCTCGGTCAGAGTCGTCTGTGAGCCCACCTCGGATAGACACTGCGTTCGGGAGCTTCAAAACGGGATCGATGAACTCGATTTCGGGATTCCTGGCTAGCCATCTCCTTTCATCGAGCCTTCTGTCGAGCCCAAAGTCGATCCAACCCCAGCCTCAACAGGAGGATTTGGGAATGGTGTTGAGTTCCTCGGCAGGAGCAGGAGGTCGCAAGTCGAGTCTTCGATTTGTACCAACTACCCAAGCCTCCTCAAGCACGCCTCCGTCGTCTTCCTCGGGAGGAGGCGTGATCAATGCGACCTATCACCCGGTCGCAGAGTTTTTCACTTTCATGAGTTCGGACAATGTGCAGCTGCATGGATGTCTGTACCGGCCCGCGAACTACAATGTGGGCCAAAAATACCCGACACTGGTCTCGATCTATGGAGGACCACGGTCACAGATGGTAACGAACGAGTACAAGCTGCCAAAGTTGTTGAGGGTGTTCCTTGCGACACGGTTGGGATATGCGGTGGTGATGATTGATGGACGGGGCAGCAACGACCGAGGAGTAGAGTTTGAGGGGCAACTGCAGTACCAAATGGGTCAGATTGAGATTCGGGATCAGGTTGAGGGGTTGCAGTTCCTGGCGAAACCCGAGAATGGTGGTCTTGTTGATATTGACCGCGTGGCCATCTCTGGTTGGAGCTATGGTAAGTTTTTTTTGTTGCTCTTTTGTGTTGCAAGGTTAAAATTGGATTGGATTTATTTGGTCTAACATACGTGGTTGTCATGAACAAACTTAGGCGGATACTTGACGTTGATGGCGCTTGCACAATACCCGCAGATCTTCAAGATTGCGATTGCAGGTGCGCCCGTGACTCAATGGGAGCTGTACAATACCGCGTACACGGAGCGGTACATGGGCCTCGTCCAGGAGAACAAGGAAGGGTACGACAAGAGCAACCTGTTGAACTGGGTGGATCGGTTCCCGGACAGCGAGAACCGGCTCTTGATTGCACATGGACTTATTGACGAAAATGTCCACTTCAAGAACACGGAGATGCTGGTCGCGGATTTGATCCGAAGTAATAAGCCGCATCAGGTTCAGATCTATCCGACGGAGCGGCATGGGTTGAGGGATGCTAGGGTTAATGAGCATTTTGAGACCTTGATGTTTTGGTTGATGAAGAAAAACCTCTAAGTCTAGCATTGCTTGAATAAACCAAGATCGGTGGGGACAAAACAACATAGCAAAAGGGGGGTAGGAGGGAAGTGCAAGATCGTGGCAATACAAGGAACCTGAAAAATATTGTAGAGATGTTTGTCGTGGCAGATAAAAAGATCGCGCAGCAATTGCCACTGGATCATGGGGAGTGGGACAAAGAGTCAGGGGGCTGTGAGACAATTGGTGGCAAAGTAAATGAGAAATCAATCGTCCACGTTTGTGATACCATTTCTACTCAGCCCCACAAGTTTTGATGCTCTCTATAAAAAACACTCTTCGTCATTTTTTTTTGTTCTTCTTCATTCGTCTTATCCAACAACAACACTACACCCCCTCACAGGAACAATAAACACTCCACAGACTCAACTCCTCGAACCTCAGCCAAAAAAAAAAAAAAAATCTTCACACACTCCCAACAAAGCAAACAAAAAAAAAGATGTCAAGGAAACTACAGTACCAGCCCCTGGCTCAAAAGGACGACACCCACCCTCTCCGGTCCATCCTCCACCCCTCCAGGACCGAGTACATCCTCGCCCAAACTCCACCTGTCCCAACCTACCTCGACTTAAAACCCCTCCTCTCCAAGAGCCGTCAATCCGAAACCATCACAGCCCTCACTCTCTCCAACGTCCTCACCCCGCAAGAATGCGACGCCATGATCCAAAGAACAGAATCCCTCGGCTACGATATCGCACTCGTCAACGTCGGTGGCACAGGTGCTGGCGCAGGCGCAGGAGTTCATATGCCAGGTTACCGAGACGGGAAACGGTGTATTGTGGATGATGTCCAGTTTGCAAAAGACGTCTGGGAGCGTGTAAAGGCGTATATTCCTCCGGTTTGGGAGGGGCGTCCGGTTGTGGGGATGAATGAGCGGTTGAGGTTCTTGAAGTACTTTCCCGGAGACCAATTCGCGCCGCATATGGATGGGGAGTACCGACGGACCGATGGGTCCGGCGATGTGACGAAAATCACGATCCAGTTTTATCTTAACGGCGGGGAGAAGGATGGGGATGATGGACTCCTGGGTGGGGAGACGAGTTTCTTGAGCGAACGGTCGTTTGGAAGACTGCCAGGTGCGGGCAGCATGACGAAGGGGGAGGAAAAGGAAGTCGAGAGGATTGCGGTGGCGTGTCGGACGGGCCAGGCGTTGATTTTCCAGCATGATTTGATCCATGAGGGGAGTCGGGTTATTGAAGGGGTCAAGTATGTTGTTAGAGGGGATATCCTCTATGGGCCTCGTCCTACTCCTCTTCGTTAGATAGTCATTTTTTTCACATAAATATACCTGAATGTTAAAATGGTTCACACAGACTTTTCTGTCAATTGGTTTGCGGAAGATGGATAGAAGTGAATGATAAAATGAAGTAGTAATTTTTATTAGGAAGTAAAGTAAATATTAAGAAAGAAAGAAAGGACAACAGCGACAGAATGGTTGATGGGGGGGTATTCGAGAAATTAGTGCAGAAAGAGACGCGAAAGATGGGAAAAAAACACGATGAAACAAAGGAAAGCGCTTTGACAAAAAATGGATGATGGGGGTTTAAGAAATAGGGTATATGGACCAAAGACTTCAGGAAGAGACAGAAGGAGAAGCAGACTCAATTGCCAAGTTGGCAACAATGTCTTCCTGATCATCCTCCTCGTGCTCTTTTTGCTCCTCGGGAAGGTCCTTGGTAGTTGTTGTAATAGAGGTAGTAGTGGTAGTAGTGGCAGTGTCTTTTTTGTCGTTGGCCGACTCGGATCCAGAGACATCGGCCTCTTCAGCCTCCTCCAAGATCATCTTGAACGCCATCGATGGACTCTGCTCAACAACAGCATCGGTGACCGCAGCAGTTACATCCTCAGACAATGGGCCGACTTTAGAATCGCTATCCTCCTGACGATCGATGACGCTCTCGACAGTCGCCTCGTCCTGCTGCTCAGGGGTCATGCAGGGCTCTTCCTCTTGCACTTCAGTCAAATGCGTAGGCAAGGTGGTCAATGGCAGTGCGACTTCAAGAGAAGTGGGCGGTGTAGGCAGGTCCGTCAGAGGCACTGCAGCAACAGTAGTAGCGGCACCATCATCAACACCAGTAACGTCCTCATCATCACCCCTGGCGGAAGGAATAAGAACAACTTCGACCTTACCACTGGTGGGGGGCGTGGGCAAGGGATAAGTTGAGGGGTATGGAGCAGAGCCAGGGATGGGAGGCAGAGCAGTCTGGGGAGGCAGAGAGACTGGCGAGACTGAGCCGACGGGGATAGGAACCAAAGTCGAGAGACGCGCAGAGAGAGCCGAATCGCGGCTGTTGTTCTTGCGAGCAACGGCACCACCAAAGACTGGAATTCCAGCAGGGAATGAATGGGTTGACGATGTCTGAGAGGACATTGAGCTGACCGAGGCATTCGACAGGGAGTGCTTGTGCTGACGAGGGAACGTGTTGTGTTGGTATTGATGGTGGTGGTGATGTTGTTGAGTAGGAGCGTCGGGCTGCTGACCCTTGGAAGGAGAAGGCAAGACGAGTTTGCTGTTCACAGGCATGGAGATGTGCTTCCTAGTGACTGCATCCTGACCATCGTGGTCGTCGTTGGCTTGATCGCCGTCGGTAGTATCACGCAGAAGAATCGCACCAGCAAAGGCAGGCAAGGGGCTGCTCGCACGATAAGAGTGCTGTTGAGAAGGCTGCACAAAGTGCTTGTCATGTGAACGAGAGACCAAAGCAGACTCTTGAGATTGTGCGCGGGAACGAGGATTCGCACGGTGTGACACCAACAAATCAGGGTCATGGTGACGAGGGACAATCGAGATGCGGTGGGACGATGACGAACTGTTCGACAGTGAATGCCTCAGAGCGCGGACAGGTGAGACCGACCCAGAACGAGGGGGCTCGGGCAGAGGTGACGTCGGGGGTGAGGCCAAAGCGGTAGATGTGGGCGACATAGGGCGATCCAGACTCACCCTGCCGAAACCATTAGGCGATCGATCATGGATTAGGCCGACGTTGCTCGGATAGCGGAAATGACTCAATCTCGAGCCAGGTCGCTGAAGGCCATCCAAGGGCGACATGGGTCGATTCTGCTCTGCCGCCGCCCTAATGCCCTGCTGAAGGTTCTGGGTCGCGATCTGGAGAGGAGACATCATCTGGGTCGAGTGACGGACAGAGACGCTTGTTGGCCTATGGATACTGCGTGGCGGAGGAGTGACGACGAGGGACGATCGTGGACTGGGACGATTGGCGTTGGGACTCATAGGCCTGGACGAGACGGGACTCATAGGACGCGAGGGACTTCCCATCAGTCTCTGGGAGCTGCGTCTCGGGAGGGTAATCATGGCCTCGGGTCGGTCGACGACCACAGAAACGCGTCGGCTGTTGCTCCCACTGCTGCTGAACGTGCTGCTGCTGGAACTCCCACGGCGGGCTGCGATGGCACCCCCATCTGCGTGCATAAATATATCAAGCTCGCTGGGAAAGTCTGCCAGGGAAGAGTCCCGCTTCTGCTGTTTCTTCTTTTGCTGTTGACGAGAAGGTAGAGGGGGTAGGTGGTTGGATTCGTGTGGGAAGGATAGAAGTCGTGTTCCTTCCACGACCTCCCCTGAACTTCCTTGTCCTTGGACGACGGTCTCGGGAGAAACTGCTTCTGCCCGCTCCATAACTGCACCAAAACTTGCATAGTCGGATGACAGTTGTCCCGACGAGACTGCGTTGTTGCTGTTGGTATTGTTATCGCTCCCATCGATAGCAGCATTGCTTTTGTTGAGGCTGCGGTGACGGTGGTCGTCTTGCCTTTTGACGACTTGTTCCTGGCCTAGGGTCGACTCTCCTCCTCCTCCTCCTCCTCCTGTTTGGACGGGAGAGAAGGAAGGTGTCATTGGACGGGGGTGTGGGTTCAGGCCCCCAAAAGGTGTGACCACGTAGGGGTCATGGCGCTCAGATGGATGTGGGGAGCGACGAGGGGGTGTTGGAAGAGGCGAGGATGAGCGGGAGAGGTTGGAGAGGTAACTGCTGGCATGGGTGCTGTTGTTGCTGGCGAACGGCGGGACTGACGAGGAGGGCATACCGTTGCTGTCGACCAAACCATAAGAGGCCGCTGACGACAGGTCCGACCACTCGGACGAGTCGGAGTAGTGCGTCCTTGGTCGCGACTCTGACAGCTGCTGTTGCTGATACTGGTAAAGAGGATCTTGGCCCATTCCCTGCTGAGGGTTGCGGCAGCGCAGGACGGTTCCCTTGAGCTGCCTCAACCAACCCGAGAGTTCATTGGCAGAGTCGGCAAGGACGTACCAGTTCTTTTGGCCTGGACTGGTGATTTGGAGACAATAGCGCTTGCCTGAAAAAATGTCTGTGACGCAGACGATGGTCTCTGCACACAGCTCGAGGGTCTCGAGCAATGGATGCTGAGGGTCGGACGACTTGAAGCAGTGGAGAGACTCCTGGTTGAGGACAAAGTACCGACGCTTCCATTGCTTACGGGAGAAGAAAGTTCTTGACGAGAACTTTGTCAGGTATCCGGTGTAAGATGCGCCATGTTCGAGGTGGCGAACGCGAAGTTGGAAGGGTCCTCCGTTGCTGGCTGATGGACTGGCCATGATGGTCGAGGTGGCAGTCGAAACCGAGGCCGAGATGGTGCCGGATTTGCCGCTGATAATGCTGCTTGTCTCCAGTCTGCTGTCTTTGCCATCTTCGCTTCTGTATAGGGATGACGATTGGCGATGGTGCGAGTACAGAGGAGCGTCGGTTTGAAGAATGAGGATGTCGAGCTGGTTGGATAGATCGGATTGAGGATAAGCACTCAAGGGTGTGGTTAAGGATGACGACAACGAGCCGTTCTTACTCACTTGGCGGGACCGTGGGATCCTCTGTTGCTGTTGCTGTTGAAGATGAGTACTGGCGGCGGTGGAGCTATCGTCGTCAGTGGTGGTCAAGGGTGTCATTGTTGCGGGGGAATAGAACGAGTCGGAGGTGCCGTTGGAGTGTGCAGAGTAGGATGAGTCGGCGTGGGTGATGCCGAGACTGATACTGTCGCTCGTGTTGGAGCCGCTGCTGTTGTCGCCGTGCCGACTTGGATGTTGTTGTTGCTGTTGAGCGAAGGTCGAGCTCGGCTTTTTCCGCTCGATAGTCGAGGAGGAACGCGATGGGGTGAGCGCGTTTTGGAGGGAAGAGAGGGCTCGTCGAACCCCACTAGTTGGGGGTTGTTGTTGTTGGTTGTAATGGTGATTATGATAGTCTTGGTGAGGGTTGTATGAGTATGAGGAGGAGATGGAGCGGTTGTGGGAGTGTCGATGGTTACTGGCGGAACTGCTGCTGCGAGAGCCGGGGAGAGGGGAGGGCGTTTGGGACGAGGAGTGGCTCGAGAAGGACGACTTTTTGCGCAGCATTGGAGAGGTAGTAGGGAAGCCCTTTTTTTAGCCCTTTAGCCCTTTGCAAAAGGAGTTCCAGGTCAAAGGTTTTCGAGGGATGTTGTTCGTTGTTTGTTTGTTGTTGTTGTTGGAGGAGGAAGGTTGGTTGTTGCAGGAAGGAGCTGCAGTGATGCTATCAGTGATGATCAAAAACAGAAAAAAATAAATAAAAATTGTCAGGTACCAAAGGGTAGGGTGTCTCACTCGTCGGAGGAACATATCCAACGGGAAGTGACGATTCCTCTCGCAAAAAGGGAGGGAAGGGAACAAGGGTATGTGTGTCCACACTCAGACCCATTCATCGGCAGACCAACTTACATTCAACTAAACGAACAAAAGAAAACAAACGGAGTACGAGAGTGAACGCGTCTTTGGAGTGAACAAGGTGGAAAAGGGGGTGATCAGGGGAGGAGAACGAGGAAGCGAGAGTGAGGGAATGCAAGAATGGTAGAGGGTATATGGAGAAGAGGGAAAGGTGTGATGGGCGAATGTGTCGAATGGAGGCGGGGAGGAGGAGGAGGAGGAGGGTGTGTATGGGTGAGTGTGAGTGTGAGTGTGAGAGTGAAGCGCAAGTGAGAATGGGTGAGGATGGAGACGGAAAAGTGAAGGAGAGAAGTGAGTAAAAGAAAAGGAAACAAGAGGCGGGAGAGGGAGAACAGTGGACAGTGGGAGTAAGTAAGGACGAGGGAAGGTGGAGGTGGAAAAGAGGTGGGGGAAAGAAAAGAAAAGAAAAGAGGGGAGACAAAGAAGTGAAGAGGCAGAATTGACTTTTTCTTTTTTCCTTTTTGTTCCCTGCCAGGGTCCGTCTGTCTGGGAGAAGGGGAACTAGTGATCATACAGTGTGCTGAAAGTTGATCGATATCAATAGACGGCGATGGGTGATGGACCATATCTGATGATGGAGAAAGAAAACGAATGTATTTACCAGAGTAGACAATAGTAACAAGCATATCAATCGATGATGTGAGGATGTACATGCACCATTCAACCATCACCATTCTCAACAACATTCTTCCTGTCCACTTCTTCTACTTCTTCTTCTTGTTGTAGCTCACCTTCTGTCTTCACTCGTCGCTTTTGTTGCTTGCCCCCTCCTTCCCTCCTACATCCTTGCATGTTCGCATCTCTTTTCCCTTTCGTCCTGTTGTTTCCTTCTTCTTGGTCTTCTTATCGCTTTCGCCTCTATCGTCTCTCTCTTCCCTTACCATGCCTTCTGTCCTCCCCCATCCCTTTTGCCCCTTGCCCTTATGTGTAAAACCCAACCCAATGCCATCTTTTTAGTCGATTGCGTCCGCTTTACGTTGCATATATTTTTTTTTCGCCGCTATTCAACAAGGGGGGATCGGATTAGATGGCTATCTTTCTACTTCTCTGGAACGAACATCCAGTGAGGAAAGAAGGGGACAGAAAACGAGAACAAGTGTCCGAAGTGACAAGCTTAGCCAAAGAACAGCTTCAAAGGAAGAAGACAAGAACAAGGAGAAGGAGAAGGAGTAGCCTGTCATTCCTCCCCTTTCGACTCAATCATCACTCTCTTCCTTGCTTGCATTGTGCTCACTTCTTTTTCTCACTTGTTTTAATGCCAGCGACAGTACACAACATGTCCACTCCCTATTCTCTATTGCCATTTCAGCTTGTTATCCAAGCTAGGCAAGCAAGACTACACCTTTATCGATACCTACTCTAACAACAACAAACAACAACAACAGGTATCGATTTATTTATGTGTCCTTGTTTGCCTGAGCAGGGTTTGGCCACTTCTTCTCCTTGGAATAGAATAACAACAAGCAGAGCGAACCCTTACGTGACGTGGCCTTACCTCTCTTCATACCCTGCCCTACCCTGCCCTGCCCTGCCCTTGCCCCCAAAAATATAATATGCCAAACAGGGCTCACTTTTTATTTCTTTTTTTTTCTTGGTTCTCGGATGACCATGAATGCTCTCAATGGTCCCTCTCTTTCTTTCCTCATCATAGACATAATCTCCATCCTCTCTTTTTCTTTGTCCAACCATGACTCGACCCTGCCTGACAATTCCTTGCCCTCACTGCCTGTTTTTTTTTTAAAAAAAAAAAAGTGCTCAACTGTTGTGGGCTTTGTGTTGTATGTCAGCCTGCATGCAATGTCAATGTTTATTTTATTTTTTTTTCGGGGTAGAGAACCTTTTTTACTCTCTCAATCTCCCACATACCATTAAACCCAATCCCCCTCTGAAATTGACAATTGACCAAGCAGAACGGCTGGTCTTCTTTGCTGCTGGTTTTTTTTTCCCGTTGCTTGATCGATAACTCTAACCGTTGACATTTTATTCTTTTTTCCCTTCACGACCAACGGTTAACGGCCATCTTGCAACTGCCCAATAAACAACATGCAACAGATCGACCTTGCGTCTTTTTTTCTTTTACTTCCCACTCCCCTTTCCTCTTTTTATCTGCTTTTCTTCCTTACCATTGCTCCCTTCCCATCGAAACCAAATAGCTTTTCTTTCCAACTTACAGACGTAAACAACGAACCCCCGGATTTCCTTTGCTCGTGTACAATACTTTTTTTTTTTTGCTTTTTGAACAGCGACACGTTTTCTTTTTTTGTCCTTTTTTGTTCAAACTCCCTTTTTGTTTCCTTCGGTCTCTTCCTCCACATCTCCGACAACCGTGTTTCCTTTTGTTCGTAAAGCGTCGTTCGATCTCCTCACACGCGACGCGTTTTTATTGTCTTGCTCCTTATTTTGGTACTTCTTATTCCATGGGCAGTTTCCCTCAACCATTTCGACGCTCGTTCTCTGTACCAAATAGAATCCAAAGAACATCCAGAAAAGCGTCAAAAACGCACTGACAAAGAAAATCCACTCTCATTCTCATTCCGCACACATTCATGATTCTTTGTAACCCAAATCGTGAGTCGTGAATCGCTGACTCCTATACCCGCATGGTGAAACGGCGAACATATACATCCATGGTATCGATGGTCCTAATCTCCTCAGTCAGGGCTACCTGTGACAACACAAAGGCTCTTTGTAAAGTACCAACTTGCCTATGTACTCATGTTCTATAGACACTCCGTAGAAAACGAAACAAACAACAATACTCCGTTGGCCGTTTTGAAGGTTTCTACTACTTTTTTTACTGGTGTTACTGCTTTATCACAGAAAAGGGTACGACCATGACCAATTGACCATGGGCCATGATGACCCATGGGCCAACTCTAAACCCATTGTTTGGCCATGGCCATGACCATGACCCATGGGCCAACTCTAATAACGGTTGTGTTCCCAGTCGATATCAAATACCATGGCCCACTTTTCTCTCCTTTCCCTTTCTGCTTCCCAAACTCTTTTCTTGTCCCTTATCCTCCTTCCTTCCTCATCCCGATACACCCTATTTTTTTTTTCTCCTTGCTCGTTTTACGTTTTTTCCATACTCCGGTCATGCGGGATGACTTGACTATGCAGAACACGTTTTTGTCCCTCCCTCTTCCTCTCAAAAAATAGAGCATAAGAAAACCCCCAATACCCATCTTTTTTACCGCATCGTACCATAGGGGAGATGGGATGGGTGAGGTGGCAATTGGACGTTCCCATCCTCCCTACTCTCTTCCGTTCCCTTACTGTCTTTTTTTCATCCCCTGTTTTTTAGAGTTTTACTTTCCTCCCCATGCGAGACATACTTCCTCCAGGTACCACTAGCCAACCCAACCAAACATCACATCACATCACCCCGTCGAACAGTCCAAGAAACGACAGCATGCGACAACCCAACTAACCCATCCCAACGACCATCCTCCAACGGTGCACAAAATAAATAAAAATCAGTGCTGAACAAACTGTCTGCCCCATCACCCACCCCACCAGCTAACAGACAAGAGACAAGACGAACCCCTCCCCCAAACCATATTTTTCCTCCCTTCCTAACTTCCCTTTCGTTTGCGCTTGCATGCATGCATGCAACAAAGTCCCTATGTTTTTTTCTTCCAACTGGCTTGTGAACGAATCACCTCATCCTCTGGCATCCTTCCCTTGCTGATATCCCTTTTCCTCCCTTTCCTCTTTCTTTGTGCTGTATTTCTCTCCCCCCACCCCCATCACACACTTTCTCTCGTTCAATTGCACAAACAGAAAGACAGACAAACAAGACAACAATAAAAGAAAACCAATTGGCATCGCCAAATTGAATATAAGCCAAAAATAGCCGCTATGGAGGAATGATGGGAGCACAATACGATTACCAAGACATAAACCAACTCGCTACAAATATTTCTCAAGATGAGATGCGATCTGAAAAAAGGGCCCCCCTCCTTCTCTGTTCGCTTTTCGCAACAGACCTTTGCTGCTGTTTTGTTGTTGTTAGTGCAAATAAAGATGCTTCTGTCGGACAAGAAAAAATACGCCACGTTTTTCGTCAACAGCTCTCGTCTTTGTTATTATGATATTCTCCTTTTCTATGAAATAAACACCATCGAATAAAATAAAATAAAATAAAATAAAATAAAAAAGAGAGGAGATATGGGTCTACGAAAAGAGCTCGGTGTTCTCCCAGAGGGTCTCGTTGGGGTCCAGTCCTTCAGGCATCATCTCGTCAAAGAGTCCTCCAATCATCATACTCTCATCTGCCTCGCTATCGTTCATCATTCCATCTCTCACTTCCCCATGCTCTTCCTCAGTCACCTTCTCCTCCTCGGATCGCCCCTCATTTCTGGACAGATGTCTATCATGACTATCGTGACTCAGGCGCGCGCCAGAGGAAAATCGATCTGCTCCCTCCATACTGCTTCTGCTTCCAATGCTACTGCTGCCAAAGAATCGGGGTATCGTCGACTTGGAAACGGACATCCTGGAACCACCTCCGCTTCCAAAGATAGGCTGCAATGCATAGTTCATTATAGTTTCATCCTCTCTTGCCTCTCCATGCCTCGTCAATCCTTCTCCGCCACCTCCTTCTTCATCACCATCCTCATACTCCGGCATCGGTTCATCCAGAAACTGCCGACTCTCGGCTTCCTGTTCGTGGAGATCCAGGGACGACTCGGCGACAATCGACTCGATTTCATTCGGCTCATCCGCATGAACTGACACCGTGCGTTGTTGCTGTTGTTGTCGTTGTGCAGGTCGGCTCGGGATATGGAACCGCGGCGTCTCATTTTCCGCTCGCTGCCGGGTCGACATCATCATCGACTCTGCAAAGGACTTGAAAAGTTCCGGATCGGATCCACGGATGGGAGACACAGCAGGCGGGCTGAATCCTCGGGTATCATTATCAGGATCATCCTCCACTTCTTCATTTTCAACATCGGCTCCACCAAACAACTGTCTCTGTGCTACCCCAGGTCCTGAAACACTCGACAGCAGGCTGAAATTGGAATGGAGGGAACGCGATGACACCGACGACAATGACGAATACGAGGCGGAGACTGAAGCATTCGACGACTGGACTGACCCATGTTTGGATCGGCCAAACACAGACACCTTGAGAGAACCCATAGACGACTTGGCCAACGATCCAAACGATGGCGCACCGATCCCTGCGCTCTTGGCTGCCAGCCGACGAGTCCGCTCAGCTTGAGGCGTCTTCTTCATGTCCATATCAATCATCAATGGCTGATTGGGCGTCCAGGACGGAGGCCTGCCCCATGGATTTTGCTTGACCTTTAGACTGGCGACAGCAGTACTCCCATCGGGAATACTTGGAACAGTCGCCTTCTTGATTTCGACAGCCTTCTTCATGTCAGCGTGTTGGCGGACAGGATGGATTTCCGTGTGTTCCTCACGTTGTGCTTGAAATCTTGGCGGGGTAGCCACTGATGGAGCTGTCACAGGCGGAACTGTTGCCATGTTTGTAGGAAGGGGAGCGCTATTGACAGTGCCATTGTCGACCTTGTCACACATCCTGTCGAGGACGACGGAGTTCCCGTTCAGGAGATGCTTCAAAATCGACGTCGTTGTAAGAGGTTTCCTGTCAATACTCTTAGTTAATACGGGTGGTGCTGCTGGTGGTGTCCGCGTAATCTTGACAGGTGTTGGAGATGGGGCAAAGGGCGATGTTGGATCCCAAAGGCTGGGGCGAGTAGGCGTCTGCACAGGCGGATCTGCAGGCGATATATGCTCCTCCTGTCGCTCAGGGTCAGGATTCGACTTGAATCGAGCAAATATTGACGTAGAGAACGCCGGTCGCTTGAATGGACTCTGTGTAGGTGACATGAACGTCGACTTGCCCTTGGGGTCGATGAGCGAAGAGGGAGTCAGGCTAGTGAACGGATTGGTGACCTTGGGGATCAGACCAGCCTCCATCTGGAACAAGAGCTTCTGCTGAGGTGTGTGTAGTAACATCAGTGGCATGGCCATGGACTCGCCATTTTTGGTCTTGTTAGGCTTGGGAGTCGGAGCGCGAAGATCGTCCAAGGTCAACTTGGGTGAGCGCAGGGCCTTGAGCAGAGCAGAGCGTTCTGGTGTCTTAGAGACCGGGGTCGTGGGCTGATGGACCGGGTCATCCTTGGTAGCTACCTCTGTATCATACACAAACGAGGTGCGTCGACCCAGCACCGAATCTGTCCTGCGGCGTTTGGAAGGGGTGCCTGGTGGCTCATCGTCGCTCTCCTGGAATAAATTGTCGGGTTTTGCGGGTTGTACAGCGTCCTTTTGCCACAGCAACGTCTCATGGGGTTCGTCCGATACTGGTTGCAATGGCGTCGTGCTGCGTCCAGGTTGGAAATCGGACGATTGGCGTCGTTTGCGTGAAACGCCAAGGCGACCCCGAAATATCGATCTGGTTGATGGTATCGTCGGCGACGTGAGTGTTGGTTCCTGGATAGGCTGAATGCGATCGAATGAGGTGTTGAGGACAGTCTCGGTTGACTGGGCGGGCTGGTGATCTGAAGGTGTGAGTTTAGCAGTCTCGCCTGAAGAATGGCTATTTGTGCCAGTTCTATTATCCAAATCTCTGCCTCGGAAAAGCGATGTCCATAATTCCGTTCGTTTGCTGGTAGGCGACATCCTCTGCGTGGCAATATTTTGAGCAGCCTTCTGAATGGGCCGAATCGGTCGTCTGTTGTTGAGAGTAGTAACCGGTGGAGTCACCGCATTTACCGAGTCCTCCGTGAGCAGATCGACGATATCTTTGCATACAGTCTCGTTGAGTGGAGTAACTCTTGTACTCCCGCGCACCACAAGGTCGTCAGGCGCTGGCATGATACTGGACTCCTTGGCCAGAGACCTCTTCTTTGGAAATTCTATAGACGCTTTGGATTCCGTTAGTCCGGTCCTGGAGAGAGCGGGGCTGGCAGGCGGTTTGATAATAGAGCTCGGTATTTTTGCAACTGATCTCGCAGACGCTATAGCAGTTGGGGTCGAAGTGGCAGCTGCCGTAGTGGTATATGGTTTGACAGTGATTGGTTTGTAGGTAATCGGTTTGAAGGCGGCCGGTTTGAGGGTGGCCGCGGGTGATCTGAACGGGTCCGTCCGCGATGGTCGAACAGGGGATCGGTTTGGCTTGGGTACTGTGAGAGTCGGTGCTCTGACCAGCAGAACATCCGAGACATCTATAGATGAGAGAGTATCAAGCACTGTGAGTCTTTCGTCTGCGAGTGTAGTCATGAAACCCTTTGTCTATGCATATTTTGACTGTGTTGCATACCTTGGCCTCTATAGGATTCTAGCAAACTGCGATGAGTGCTGGGCTGATTATCTAGTAGTTCAGCCGCGGAAACGCGGATTCGTTTCCTGATGTCGCTATGGCGAGTGGATGGCAAGGCATCTATAGCAGAAAAACAGCCGGTTAATACACCGTGATCTGAGGTGCTCCCATAGTTCACACCGCATGAAAACAAGACAATGCTCTTACTGTCAGACGAGGTAGTAGCCAGGGCAGAAAACACGGCCGCAGCAGTCGCCTCTGCCTCCTTGTGAATGTCCTTAGAGGTCGTAAGCGATGAAGTTCCAAAGGAGTTGCCCTCATGACTTTCAGTAGTGGCGATCGTCGACAACAAGCGTCGGTAAGGCCGTTCCTGAATCTTTTTCTCTCTACCGTGTCAAAATCCTTGCGTTAATCTGCTGTACTTCACATGAGACAACAATAGCTTAAGTCGATCGAGTTCAAAGTAGACAAACTCACTTTTTCAGTCTCTGCACTCGCTGAGTGACCTCGTTCAGCCTGCTCTCCAGACGAGTCCTTGTTCCTTTGATCGCCACGAGCTGCTTGGCATGACTTCTGGACAAGTTCTCCAATGCGCCCTGAGTGACAGCCGCCGACGCCTCCGAGTTATTCCCTTTTTGCTTGGCCCCATTTTCCAGCTGTAGTAAAGAATGCTTCCAGGTCATGAGTATCGATACTAGATCGACTGAAGGACCGCCGTGGTTGTCGTGATTCGTCAAATGACCCAATGTCATAGAGAGATCATCCTTCTGCAGTCTCTTCCTGTCGAGAACAGACGATCCGCTACCTGAATCAGCATCCAAGAGAGCCTGCAAGATGTCTTTACGCCCGACATGAAGCTCGACATATCGGAGGATAGGTCGCCACCGGTCATTGATCTTCTCGATCCAGCGGTCTTCCAGAACACGCAGCTCCTCCAGTGACAAAAGTCCTGTCCTATCAGCAATGTGCGGTTGGTGAACAAGAAACATGCGCCGCTCTGACTCTACATTCGTCTATGCAAATTACAGTAAGATAATTGCGTTAGCTCGAGCTGTAGGGCGGAAATGAGCCACATCAAATAGCAACTGAGCCCTGAACACCCTTACCAACTCTCTAGAAATGGTATTAAGACGGCTGCACATCTCCTGACTCTTGAGGCTCCAGTCCAGGCGTACAGCCTTCTGTTTCTGGACATCCCGAAGAAACGGCTGAGATCGGCGAACAATCTGTGAATCAATCATCTCCAAGAGTGTCGCCTCATCCTGTGAAGACTCTGGTACATGGCTGATCAGTTCCCGCAGCGTCCTGTCGCTTTCGGCTTGCATCTGCTTCTCCTTCTTGATGACAGTGGATAGGACATAGGTAGATAGTACCAGGACCAGCTGCTCTATCCGCTCTCCAATCGACTCGTCCAGGTAGCTCCTCCGAATCGTGGGCAAGAACAATCCTAGACTGCCCGTATTGCCGTTTGTGTTGTGGTTGTTGCTTGCAAATGTCGCTGAGGAGTCGTCTCTCGCCAATTGATGTCCTATGCCGAAACAGCCATCCTTACGGAGCTCTTCCAGCCACTTGAACGCCACATTCCTAAACTCGCGTGCGTCATGTCGATCGATGACTGGCCAGCATTCCTTGAACCGATCCCGTGTCTGAGTCTTGTCCAGTCGAGTGAATAGAAACCAGAGAATAAACTCGAGTGCCTTGGTCGATTGATGGCCTTTGGCAAGGACATGTCGGTGGAGCTCCAGGGGTCTCGTATTCCCACTGGCGTCATATCCGTATGAGTCGATAATAATGGGTTGTTGAAGATGCTGTTGACGGGATATAGATCGTGTCATGGACTGTGGCTCAAAGGAAGAAGCCAAGGTCCCGAGACGAGACTTGTTGAAGCCATGGTGTGCTGCCGTTGCAGCTGCTGTCTCGACAAGGTGATGATGACTTCCTGGTTTCTGTGCAAAGGCGGACGAGTACTCGTGTACGCCGAGGAGGACGAGGTTGGTGAAGAAGATGGACCGTATGTTCTCAGGTGAGGCGAGGTAGTGCAATGGTGGCGTTCCTGTGGAAGGGTGTGTTGTTGACATGACCTTTTTTTCTTCTTTTTGGCGTTTTGGGATTGTTGTCGGACGGGTTATAATGTGCCTCTGGAATCACAACATGGCTTCCTCCGCTATCCGCGTTGTTATCCTGGCTATGATGAGGGTGGTCTTGGTGGGTGGTTGTCGACTGCGAGAGGTTGGTTGAATGTCAGAAAAAGTGGCAGGCGGAAAGAAAGGGTTTGACAAGGCGAGAAACCAAGTGCAAAACAAACAAATACCAGGGAGACAGACGCGCCTGCACGTGATACAAAAAAGCTTTAATGGTGATGATTTATTCAGTGTTCCTCTTCCGCTCGAAGCAACGTTGCTTTTACTCGACGTGGCTTGTGATCAGATCGTCAATTTTGAGGATGTGCTTGACGAGCTGTGTTGCCAACAGGATCTGCTGTCTCTTCGAGATCAGGGGATCGTACACAAACTGCTCCTTCATGTCGTTCGTACCCTTGTACAAACAATCAACTCCAAGTCGGCTGTTGTTCTCCGTCACCTGGCGAGACTTGACCTCAGCCAACGTCTCAATTGGGGGCAGACCAGAGTTCTCGGCCAACGCAAGAGGGATTGCCTCAAGAGCCTCGGCAAAGGCGCGCATGGCATACTGGTGAACACTCGAGATCTCATCGGCAGCCTTCGAAACAGCGAGCGCGCAGGCAATCTCGGCAGCTCCACCACCATAGACGACACGGTTATCCTTGACCAAGTTACGGACGACGCAAATAGCATCGTGAAGCGAGCGCTTGGCCTCATCGATAATCATCTTGTTGCCTCCACGGACAAACACAGTGACGGCACGGGTGTTGGCGCACTCCTCAATGACCAACATGCGATCCTTGGTGGTTCCAAAGCTCAACTCACGAATGATTCCTGCATGTCCGAGCTTGGAGGCGGCAAGGTCCTCGAAACGAGGAACAATGCGTCCGTTAGTGGCAATGGCAATCAACTATAGAAAAAGATGCATAAAGGCACAATGTTAATGACGTTGGTTCCATATTCATCAGCAGTGCACACTTGACAGAGAAAAAGCAAACAAAACATACCTCAATCTCGGGACCTCCGACCCAGCGAACGGAAGGAAGCTTATTCTGCATCAACAAATGGTTGGCCTCGTCATCAAATCCCCATTGGCAAATAACCAAGTTGGCACCAGTATCCTTGACCTGCTTGATCATCTGCTCGAACTTCTCCTTCTCGTACGACTGCAACTTCTTGTACTCCTCAACCGAGGTAATATCCAACTTGTGCTTGGTCTTGGGCTTTGGGGGCTCAAAGGCGCAGGTCAAAATGGCAATCTTGGCATCCTTGACCTCACGGGGCATCTGAGGGTGAGAAAAGTCCTTGTCGATGACAACTCCCTTGACCAAAACAGTGTCAGCCAACGATCCTCCGACCTTGCCATCCACCTTGATCAACTCAAAGTCAACATCCTTGCGCTCCAAATCTGCAACCTGAAGAACAGCGTCGACAGCGATCCTGGCATACTGGTCGTGGCACTTGGAGACACTGTGGAAGTAAATCAAGACGATGCGACAAGCATGCAGAAAGAAAATAGTAAGTTATCGTGTTCTTTCCTCCTTCCTTCGCCTCCTTTCTTTCCTTCATTTTTTTTCTCGCAGCAGAATAATGCTCAACCAATCGAGGATCGTGACGTTTCAATGCACACTTACATCTTGCTTCCCAAACTGGTCTTGGCAGTCTTGTAAAGGTTCTCGGTGTTTTCCCTGGAAAACTCGACAACGTCGGAAATGGTGTCCAAGTGGGCGACAGCAACATTGCAAGCACGCTCGAATCCATCAGCAATACGAATAGGGTGAATGCCACGATCCAACAAGTGCTCAGCCTGCTCGAGCAAAGCACCAGCCATAACTAGAGAAACACAACATAATCCACGCACAAGGGACAGACAAATGGTTAGCAAGAAGATCGATGGACAGCATCCACTAAGGTAAATCGAGGAATGTCACTGTGAACAGAGTTGATCCACGAATTCTGGAACAGGTGTGAAATATAAAAAGGCGATGAGACTTACCAACAACACCGGTGGTACCGTCTCCGATCTCATCATCCTGCGACTTTGACAACTGAACCAAGAGCTTGGCGATCTGGTGCTGGACATCCATCTGGTCGAGGATGGTGGCACCATCGTTGGTAACGGTAATCTCACCGTCAGGGGAGATCAAGATCTTGTCGAGACCTACAAATAAGAAAAAATACTCGAAAGCCGTTAGAGACTCAAGAATTGGTTGCGCAGGCGAAACCATTGGAGCAAAAACGACATCCTTCTGTTGTTTCTTCAGACAGAGCCCAAGAGGCACACGAAGCGTCACACATACCACGAGGTCCGAGCGAAGTCTTGATGATGTTGGCAACAGTCTTGGCAGCAAGAATGTGCGACTATCATTACAGAGAAGCAAAGTGAAAAAAATGGAAAAGTTCAGAGTCGGTTAATAACTTTGTACAACGGCCTGATCAGGATTGGAAACATCCGTGATTTACAAGGCGATGTGCGTGATGGTGGAAGCAATCGCATCTCTAAACGTTGGCGGCGACCGTAGAACGCGTTGGGAACGATGCCGTTTGCAATGGGCACGTTGACTGAACATGATGGCGCCTTTCAAGGTGGTTCACCCCCACCCCCTCTTGAAGGTTATTTACTGTTGGAGGAGTGTGAAGAGGGTGATGCTGGACAGTGAGAGTGTATAAAAAGTGGTACCTTCTGAGCCTCGATGCCACTGAGTCTTGACTTTTTCTGCTGCTCTCTAAGGATGATAAAAGGACGCCCATATTCGTCCTGGGCATAGACCGCGTTCATGCCATCCATGTTGTGTGAGGTGTGTGGTTGGTTGATGTGGGAGTGGAGGGGATGAGTGAAAAAGAAGCACGAAGAAGGATTCAAAGAAGGGGCACCAACATGTTCCTGGTCCAGTCATCCAAGCCACTCAAATTGGAATACTTGCTTGTAGGGAACAGGAGCTTGAAGCGACACAAATAGGATACTGGCAAACAAAAATGAATGCTCCTGCCGGGGATCGAAACCTTGCTCTGGCAAACACAGCTTATGCACCCTGAATCTCTTCCTTGTGCGTACGCGCGTCTGATTCTGACGCGGCTGGGGGACACACACGCCCTTTGAACGAAGGAGGGACTTGGAAAATAGAGACAGGGAGAACAAGCGTGTCTGCTTTCTCATTCACTCACTCTTATCCCTTTCTTTTTGCTTTCACCTTTCTCCCTTTCCTCAGCATACCATTTCACCTTCCTAACACACCCACTCACTCTTACTCTCTCACACCGCTCAGCACTAAAAACTTCTCTTCAACATGGTATATAAACAAGACAAGGAACAATGGAATATCGCGTCCATACTGTTGGACATCACACCCAGGAACTATGCACAAGAAAGAACCCAACCACTAATGGAAGCACGTCTTACAATCTTTCTCTAGTCGATTATGGAGTATAACGGAGGCGCCGTCGTGGCGATGGTCGGCAAGAACTGTGTTGCTATTGCTTGCGACAAACGCCTGGGAGTTCAGGCCATGACCATCTCGACCGAATTCCCAAAGACCTTCCAGGCCACTCCAAAGACTTACATTGGACTTCCCGGTCTCGCCACCGACGTCCAGACCTTGTAAGATATGCGGCAGTGGATTGTTTTAGGCGAACGTGTTTTTGTCATAAGGGTCAGACAGGAGCAATTGGACGTATCAACTCACCATGTCCACTTTCTATCGTTCATAATTGCCTTTCGGTTTACAGGTCAGAGAAGTTCCGCTTCAAGGTGAACATGTACAAACTCAAGGAGGAGCGTGAGATTGAGCCTAGAACCCTGGCACATCTTGTTTCGTCGACCCTTTACGAGCGCCGGTAAGAGGCAGAGTCCAATGGCGCGGGATATTGTTTGCGAAAGGACTTTGGAACAATGGACACTCAATTCATACCTTTTTTTTTTGTTTATATCAACTAGATTTGGACCTTGGTTTGTTGAGCCAGTGATTGCAGGACTGGACAAGGAGAACAGACCCTTCATTTGCTCGACAGATTTGATCGGATGCATCAACTTTGCCAAGGACTTTGTTGTATCAGGAACCACCTCCAACCAGCTTTACGGAATGTGCGAGTCCCTCTGGGAGCCTGATCTGGTACGACTCTTTTTTTCCCAGGACGCAGTAGTCCTTCTTGTTCTTGGGACATTCTTGACAAGTCAAATCAGTCATTGACCGGAAGACTAATGACGTTCATTGTGTTTACGATATTATAGGAGCCCGAAGATCTGTTCGAGACCATCTCGCAGTCATTGATGAACGCCGTCGATCGCGATTGTCTGTCTGGTTGGGGAGCACAAGTCACCGTCATGTATGTCCCTTCCCTTCTTGGACCACCGATTGACAAGATGCATTGGTTCTGGATATTGAGTGCTCACAGATTACTTACTCGCACACACGTCTCAACCCTCTACAATGAAATAGTACACCCGATCAGGTTATCACCCGCACACTCAAATCCCGTCAGGTAATTAATCTCTCCATTTATCAAGCTTGCAAGCAATTATGCAGCGGTAACTAAGGACAAACATTAACAATCCTTTCTATTTTTCGTGCACAATAGGACTAAGAAGTCTGATGGAGAGAGTACTCGTGCGGCAGTTTGGACTAGGCGACCATGTGAAATCAACCCATCAATTAAAGGAACAAAAGAATACCTACACATTTTCGTTATTGCAAAGGAAGATTTATTTTTTGTGCTGTGGAAATGGAAGAGGAGAGGACATGATGCATGTGAGAACAATGCAGTTGCTATACAAATGCTGGAGTGAGCGACATTGTATGTGGTTGTGTGTAGTAGGAATGGAGCTAATATGCATTCAAGGAGGGGACATGTTCATCTCGCGCCAGAAACGACCAGAGAACAAATCGCTCGACTTGGCCACCCTGGCAAGGATGTTTCCAAACCAAGTTCCAAGCACGGGCAAATGAGACACTCCACCCGAAGGGTTCATGGCGAGAACCATCAGGGTCTGTGTTGGCAGGTAGTTCTCCAACTTGTTCCACGAGTGGCAGCTGTATCCACTCGTCTCATTGTCGTTGTGGCCTCCTGCTTCAGCCTTAACCTCTGATGGTTGATGCTGATGTAGGTGGAGGTGGTGATGCTGGCGTCCTGCAGCTTCCTTCTCGTTCTTTCGAATCAGCTTCACAATGTTTCGGGCTGCCGTCTCGCCAGCCGCCACGGCGGCCATGCAGGTGGGCACAGGGTCAGCATTGGAGACGTCTCCGATCGCAAAGATATTGGGGAAGGCATCATGGTCGAGCTGCAATGTTGATCGGACCTTGATGACATGAGACTTGGGATCCAAGAGCGTCTGAGGATCGAAGGAAGGCAACTCTGAGGACGTCATTTTGTCAGGGGGAGGCTCGAGTGTGGAAATGAAACCCGTGTCAACCTTGATACCAATTGAAAAGAACTGCAGGTCGCTGTGGATGACTCTCTCGGATCCTTGAAGCTTGAAAGCACGCTCAGCCTTTTGGACAGGGTTTTCTCGGCTCAAACCCTCAATGTCGGCGCGCTCGTTCAGGATGACCTCGACGCCTTGATTGGTCAGGTAGCGGCGTGCTTCTTCCTTGAACGACTCTGGGAAACGTGGATAGTCAACCAGGTGTGGCATGTCGTGGATCAAAGTGACGCTCTTGTCGGGGAAGGCGTATTTGATTTCACCCGACAGCTCAACACCACAGGCACCTCCGCCGATAATCACAATCCGCTCCGACTGAACGATGTTCTCCCGAATCTCATCCATCTTGCGAAGTCCCTCTTTTGAGCTGTTGACTGTCCACTTTGCCGGACTGGGGATCATCGAACCAGTTGCAATGACCAGGTAGTCAAAGTTGATCCTCTGGGGCTCGGATGAGGATGTTGACGACTCGGCTCCATCATGAATGGGTGTGACAAGGACATGATCGTTGTAGATGCTCTTCACGAGGCCACGGCAAATCCGGTGAGGTGAACCTTTCGGGAAGAGGTTGGAGTAAGGGATCCAGAGGTTCTTGGCAAAGTCCTTCTGTACCAGAGCTCGATAGGATGCCACACAATGATACCTCGCGTCGCACCTTTGTTAAATTGGGACAGAGGAGAAAGATTGTTAGTTGAGTACCGTTATTCCTTCGACGGAGAAGTAGAAGAAGGAAAAGTTTACTCGTGAGCGCAACGTACTTTTCGATAAGAGTGATTTGCACGTTTGTGTCCTTTAAGAGGTAGCGCAAGAGCTTGTTGACACAGGCGACACCACCATACGAGCCGCCGACGACGACGATGTGTTGTTTGGGAGAGTTGTCTGTCATTTGTCAAGAGTGAATGAGGAATGAGTTGTTGTGGTGCTTGTGTGGAATGAGCTGGAATGAAAAGAAAAAAAAAGTTCAAAGTGAAGAGAAAACAAGAGTCGAGTGAGGTTTGAGAAGGCAAAGAAAGAAAGCCCCGCATTTAGGTCGTAATCGCTGACACGCATTTTTCATGCGTTTCTGGTGATGCACGTACACGCAATCATGCGGTGATTCGATCGTCTTTCATGCATGTCCCCCTCCGGCCGCGTCTTTCTCGGTTCACTTCCGTGTTGCTTTCAACCTGGGGGATATAGCACAAAAGCACTTTTGCATCGCTCACCCTAGATGAACATGAAAACTAACGACGCGTTCGACTGAATTGTACATTTTTTTTCTCTTTGATTTTGCTAAGCCCACTCACTCAAGGAGTAGGTGAGGACATGATTTTTCATACCCAAGTTCTTACAAGCAACCAAATACCAGTGCACTACGCCATTACAAATGAACCAACATATATAAGCTGTACTAAAACTCCCAGGAGCCACTTTTGCTGAGGTATACCGTGTGCGGCGGCTTGAGAGGTCATAGGGCACAGCACTTTAGTGATCCAACCAGCTACCCTTGTCGCTCTATGATACATTATGATACCAATGCCGCAGGATGGCTGGCGAGCATCGTATTCTCACTCGCTCGCACTTTGCACCTCACTAGACAGTTCCCTCGGTTTTGGAGTGCGTGTCCGAGAGAGAGAGAGGCAGAAGGATGCGGACAACCTGTCGAGTATTGAACATTTTAAGCCAGTCGAAATGGTCCCTGCAGCGACCCCTTAACTTAAACATCCCCCAGTTCCAGTTGTATTTCACCAGGCGGTCGGCGTACGTTGGTTGATCTCTCTTTTTCAAATCATTTCAAAATGGGTATGAAAGGCGGTCACCTCATCATCATGTGATGAGAACAAGCATCACCTCTGTGTACCATGGCAACCCACCCACCTGCGATCCATTGACACCTTCGAGCGAACCCATCCATCTATCTATCGGGAATGCACAACCATCGCTCAACGTATCGCCAATACCACGGCATCATCATCATCCGGCACTCAGTTCAAGCATCCTGGAATCGACATACGACCTTTTTTTTTTTTTTTTCTGGGGAGGATGATTACCTTGGGCGGTTCGAGAGATGGATGAAAACCTGATTTGAGAATCAGGGAAGAAAACGAGAATCTAAAGTAAAGGATCATACGGGAGCCAACAACACCATCGCAAGTGCAACCGGAGACACCCATCGAGCAACGAACCTGTGATCCTTCGATCGAGCCTTCCATCAAACAAAGACCTTGCACGACAATCCAGCAAACAATCGGAACAGAGTCTACGCCGCAGTCAACCAAATCGTACGCCCAATCGCACTCCCTAGCAACAATCGAACAAGAAACAACGTCGATCGGATTGCAGGAGATCTCTCAAACTTTTTACTGAAGATAACCAAGAACCAGGAAACTGACCCCAACATACCTATCAATTTACCCCCCCCCCCCCCCCCCCCCTGCTTAACGACAAATAGGTAAAGGAAAACCAAGAGGTCTCCAGGCCGCTCGCAAGCTCCGCACCACTCGCCGTGAGAACCGTTGGGCTGACAAGCACTACAAGCGTCAGGCTCTCGGAACTGCTTTCCGTTTCTCCCCCTTCGGAGGCTCCTCCCACGCCAAGGGAATCGTTCTCGAGAAGATGTACGTAGTCCAACCTCTCCCCTCTTCTTTCTGCGCAGGACAAGTCAACTTACTCTGGACGGGACAGGCAACTAGCAGCAATTGAGCCGTTTTACAGGATTTTCAGTATTTTTCAGGACGTCGCCAACACATACCAATGGACAACACGAAGCGGCAAACTCGGCGTATTCACAACAGAGACAATCACTACCGACAATCACGACAAAGCATGGATATTTTCTATCGAATACAACAGAGAGAGAGGGATAACTGGCGATATTCACAATCTTACCCGGCCTTGAATTGAAACTAACCCGCGAAACATATCATATCTTTTCCCCTTCAAATCTATAGCGGTGTTGAGGCCAAGCAGCCTAACTCTGCCATTCGTAAGTGTGTCCGTGTCCAGCTCATCAAGAACGGTAAGAAGATCACCGCCTTCGTCCCCAACGATGGTTGCTTGAACTTTGTCGATGAGAACGACGAGGTCCTCATCGCCGGTTTCGGTCGTTCCGGCCACGCCGTCGGAGATTTGCCCGGTGTCCGTTTCAAGGTCGTCAAGGTCTCCGGTGTCTCCCTCTTGGCTTTGTGGAAGGAGAAGAAGGAGAAGCCCCGTTCTTAAACTATCGGGTTCTACTATTGGATCCTTTTGTGCTGAGCTTTACACTATCCTCAACCCTCAACCAAACCGAATAAAATCGATATCACAAAAAGACTTCATCTCGCTCGTTTTCTGTGGAATGTTTTTTTTACGTGTTTTTTTTTTTTTTTTTTTATGTGCTACAAAGTACATGAAAGGGGACTCGAGCATCATTATTCACGCCATGCCTCGGTGTCGCTAGTTTCTTCATAAGGATGGTCGACGACTGGTTGTTGTTGGTGATGTAGCGTTTGGCTGACTGCTGCTGCGTACGATATAGGTGTTCCTGTGGTTGTGCTCGACTTGATGGTTGCTGTGCCAGTGCTTGTACTCGCTGTCGAGAAAGTGGAGGCTGCCTCTGTGAATGACACCGATTTTTCCTTGCTCTGAGTTGGTGAGGTGGGTTGCGACGAAGACAAAACAGGCTTGACTAATGTTGAACTGGTCAATGGTTGGAAGCTGTCGCCCAAGATAATCGAATCCTCTGCAGAAGGATCGCCAATCAAGCTCGACGACGAAGGTGACGACGGCGACCGCTTCAACCGCTCCTCGCGTTCCTTTCTCAATCGAGTCATCTCCTTCTCCTCCTCATCATCGGGATCCGTTCCTGCGCGGACTACAACGCTGGTCTGCATCCCTGAGGCGCACACTACAAATTTGCTGCGTTCAATTCCTGTTCCTGGCACCAACAGACTTGCAGCGGCGTCCGAGGCGTTTCCTCCTGCATTCCTCGATCCTGAAGTTGTGGACGAACCGAACCAGCCTTTCCAAGAGAGCAATGAAGAGGAATCGGGCGAGGAAGAGACGACCTCGGTCGAACCAGGGACAAGTCCGCTCGCCTTCAAGATCTCGACCTTGACCGTGATACTGTGATCGCCTCGGACAACGACCGCACCGCGGGAGACGAGGAGGTAGGTTGTGGCGTCACAGTCTGAGAGGATGTTGCACTTGAAGTCGATGGGCTTGAGTGTAAAGTGTCGGGGCAACAGCGTCATTCCTGTCAGCTGGCTTGTCATTGCAATCAATGTTGGCAGCAAACTCGCTATTGAAGCAAAATTGTACACGGACACGGACATCATAATTAATTTGAGATATCGGTTAGACATTTTGCTCGACAATGGAAAGATGCACACAAATGGACGTTGTGAACCCATTTTTTGTCCAATGGATTTTCGCAACTAACCGTGAAAGGCGCCTCCTTCGCCAGAGACCTCAGTTCTGAAGGGCATGATGACCTCCACCCGTCCAGGCCGAACGCCCGCAAGGGTGATCCCCAGCGTCTTGCAGAGTCCAAACCGGGTAACCATAGCATTGACCCGCTCCCAATACATATCCTCGGCCGGCGTCCATAAGATCTCGTTTAGCTCATCCATGCTCATCCCGACCCCGTTCGCCGCCGTAGCTGCGTTGGCTTCCCGATTGGCCAATGCGTTTGCTCTGTTGGAATTACTGCTGTTGCTGTTGCTGCCCGAGGATGTGAAATAGCCGAGTGTCCGAATCGCCTTGATCGTAGGGGGTAAGAGCTTGATGATGGGGAGAATGACGGTGATAAACTTGAGGATGGTCGAGGGTCCCAGGGAGAGGAGGAATGCCTTTCGACGGTGGGTCTTTAGGAGGGAGAGGACGACGAGGAACGTCCGTTGGAGCTCGACCGTGATGCGGTTCACATATTTTGCGGGGACGAGGCTCTTGTAGGTCGAGAGAGAGACTTTTGACTGCGCGTTCGTCATGATTGTTGTGTTGTAGTCCTTGGCTTTGGTCCGAGAGTCTGGGAAGGTACAAGGACGAAGAAGCAAGAAAAGGAAAAAAGAAAAAAAAAGAGAACGGCACAGAAAAATAAATGAAAAAAAGTATGCAGGTCAGACGAGTGGGTATATGCGGCGTAAGAAAGAATGAACGATGCGGAGTGGCGGGATGGGAGCAGTCGGAAGGGTGGATGAAATGGAAGGAGGAGGAGGGATCAAGAAACAAAAAAACAAACACAACAACAAGAGCAACGGCCAAGAACAGGAACACAAAGGGATGACTGATGAGACCAAGGGAGAGGGAAGAGGAGAGCACTTTCTTGGTCTTGGATTTGATAGGGTGACTTATTGATGCTTCCGGCACGTGAAGGGGACTAATTCTCAGCCGAGGAACAACGAACTCCACTTGATCGAAAAGGAATTCAATCCGGCAGTCCCGTCCGAACGACGGAGAGTGTTTGGTGGCACAAACAAAGCACTGCTTCAAAGAGGGCGCGAGGCTTGGCATTTTGACTAGTTTCGCGATGGTTGATGTTTTTATTACGAGCGAGACGACTCTAGTCGTAGTCACCATACCCATAGGCATCGTCATAGTCATAGTCATCACCGCCGTATCCTACGTCTCCATCGGATGCGTCGTTGCCACCAGCAACATCGTCCAGCAGCCCCTCCTCTACTCCTTCTTCTTCTTCTCCTTCCATATCCTTGTTCTCCGTCGAGGGTCCCTGGATGTGCTGAAGGACGCGCTGACCCGGCCGTGGCAATGCTTTCCTTGCTGCGTCAAGATCATTGTCAGAATCGCTCAACGCCTCAAGACGGAGCTTCCAGGAACGCTCTCCTACTACTGCCTCTGGTGGTCCACCCTTATCCGGCGCTTGTCCTTCTCGAGCTCGTTTCCGTCGCTCTCGCCCCTTCTTGGAGGCCTCAGTGGCCTTTCGTCGCTCCTCTGCCAACTTTGAAATCTGCTCCGCCTCGTGATAGGCCTGAGTCATGACTCGGTGCATGGACTTCATATCCGGCTCGGAGCGAAGATAGCTGCTCCACTCCTCATCATCCAAATCCTTCTCCGTCAGCTCGGTCGAATCCAGCTCTTCCTGTGATCGTACAATTTTTGGCTTGGCCTGGCGGGCCAGACTGATCACGACCCAATCAGCCAGACAGTTGTCGGACGCGTCCAAGATTTCGTCCTCGGTCCTTGTCCTAAGAACCAGCAGTTGCTTGATCCACTCAAATCGCTGAGAATCCTTTCGACTCAAATGTTGACCTTGTGTCGTAGGGTCGGCAATCGACTGTTTCGCTGTTTGAATGAGCTCGCCCAATCGATCGCGTCGCTTGACCTTGGCGACGTAGGCAGGTGGATCATGACGCCGAGCAGTCATGCCGGCTAGTATATCCTTGCTTGCCAATGGAGCGTCGTCAATGCCATCACGCACAATGGACTGACCATCGCCTTCGCTGCGCTCATCCTGCTCTTGACTGAAATCGTCGTCGCCAGTTCGTTGATCTTCCCATCCCTCATCAACACCTTCATCTCCTTCCTCTCCGCACTCGCCGTTGTCCTCGCCTGTTTCCTCCACAGAGTCGGCATCTCCTTCGCCTTCGTGCTCTCCTTCTTCAGTAGCCCTGTCAATGAGAGCCCAAAGTTGTCTATTCTTGTCCTGCAAATGCCCAAAGTACTTGATAACGTCCTCCGTAAAGTAGACTAGCTTTTTCTCGGTGATATGTGCAGCTTTATCGACAAACGGCAGACGATGAGCCCACTCCAAGATGCACTTCCTCAGCTCCCGATAACGGCTCATTATGGTTGAGGGGATTGAGTTGTACATGAATCCGACCAATTGTAGCATCTCCTTGGGAGTTTCGGTGAGTTGCAGACGAACCTCCAGAGCGACAATAAGACATGCGGCGACCAATGGTTGGATCCTGCGGGAGTTGTCGAGGCTTGAATCCGCTGCAATGATCATGAACTTTTGCGACATCGATAGGAGCCCTCGAAGGCGCCTCGAGCGTTCCACCGACTCCACATTGATACCAAGGGCATCCTTGACGTCCTGGGGAAGGTTTGCATAGTCGTCCCGCTCGATCGATTCCGAACTCCCAATGCTCAGGATACGCTCGAGCTCAGTCCATGGATCCTCCTCAACAACATAGAGTCCCGTCCCCATGTCGATTGTTTTCCGTTTGACGAGGAAGGCTCGGACCCTCTTGTAGTCGGCTCCGAGGGTGTACGGCGACAAACCTGACTGTGTGGCAAGCTCGATAAGTCGAAGTTTCTTCCCTGCCTCCCTGGCCGCGATGTACAGACAGGCCAAGGCTTTGCCGTCCCCCACGACTTTCATCATCCGCTTGACGAGGACGAAAAAGAAGATGGCTCGCCTCACAACAACGTCGGAGAGTCCATTCGCCCGGCCTACCGACGTGATGACAACTCTTGCCTCCTCCAACCGCTGCATATGGCGCCTGGTATAAACTGTCACATTCGTTATCCCCACTGGTGTGTTCCTTAGTGATCTCGCGTCGCCTTCTCCTTGGCCGGTTCTAGTGCGCTTGTCGCGAGCCCTCTTATCTTTACTGGCTAACTCTCGTCCAGTAGCTGAGACTCGGGTGAGACCGTATCCATGGTATGAATTGGGATTGTCCTCCAACATGTTCTCGTTGGCAACAAGGCCACAGTCGACGCAGACCAAGGTGGCGGTCTCGTTGTCCTCAGCGAGCCTGTGGCCCCCACAGCCAGTGCATTGGCGTTTTGATCTCGATGCAAACGGATTGGGGCTACGTGTGGTTGGCTGTAGTTGTGTAGTAGCGATGGTGTTGATCGGCGTGCTCATGGTGGAAGGCGGTGTTGCATGGATGTGGAGCGTATGGGGAGATGTCGTTGAGGGGTTGATGCTGTCAAGAAGCGAGAAGGAAATGGCGGAGTGAGAGAAAAAAGGAAGCAGGAACAATTTCGACAAGCCACCGATTTTCGAGTGATCAGACGACAAAGGTGATACATGATCACGGACACCCTTGACCCTGTCCGACACCTAAAAAAAAGGGGCTGATCACCTTGCAGCATTTGATCAGAAGGGCGAAGCGTGGGTGCACCAGCGGTAGAATTAGTGAGACATATTAGGTGCAAGTGAAAGGAATTGATCATAGCGAAGGAGACATAGGAACAGTAACGTCTTCTGAACAGGGCAGTACACTAACTTGTGCTCCGCGTACGCACCATAGCTACAAGGGCAAACTGGATTACTCTCGCAATGACAGGCAATCGGGCTGAATCGCTTTATTTCAAATAAAAGCCCGATTATTCTATCCTAACGTCTTCAAACGGTTTATCATTTCCTTACAACTCATTCATCCACACACGTCTCTCTCTCTCTCCCGCTCGTTCTCTATCCGTATGCGACATAGACATAGATATAAAATATGTGTGTGTAGTTGGCGTGTTGTTGCGTTGGTTTTGAGATAGATCTTCTTGTGCCCCACCTTCTCTCCTCTTTGAGCAGCAGAGTAACGAATCACGTTGTCAACATTGCTGTCCTGATTTGGAAAATCGTAAAATCTTCGCACACCCCTACCCCTGAGTGTTCAACATCAATCTGGACTCGTCTTTGTAACTACACTTTTTTTTGTTCTCTTTGCCCCCTCTTGTATGAGATGTTGATCACCCCATGCCTTCATCTACTTCATCTATCTGTTCCTCTTTAATCCTGCCGCGCATGCCACCCCTTCACAGACCCCTTTTTCTTCTTCAACAGCCTGCCGCGACCTTTCAATCAGCCCGCAAAGCACAAAGTGCAGAATGGAGCAATAAAAATGAACAAAAAAGAAAAGCAACAAAGTTGTTCACTCTCCGATCAGGCGAAGCTGACTCCTTTCCCTACTTTAAAAAATCCATATTTTATTGTAAACCCCTTTTTCAATTCATTTCTCCACTTTACAGTTCATCGACCTGTAACTCTCTTTTTTTTTTTTTTTTCAACTCGACTCGTTTCTTTAGGATGATCGTTTGTTGTCCGCCTGTTGTGTTAATTTGTTGATTTTCTTTGACATTCCATCGAGGACACAAGTTTCTCTCTTGTGCTTTTTCAATCGATCAAAAACAGGAAAAGAGGGGGACCCGGGAATTAGTTGTTGTCAGCACCTCTTATGGGCACGAAGCTCCTTCCTTCTTCTCTCTTTGTCATCCCTTCCATGGGCCACCACGCTCTTTGGTAACGATTCTTCTTTCTCCTAAACACAACAACAAATAAACAAACAAACAGGCAAAAGGAAGTGCACGAGGAATATTCTCCTTAGTGTACATCCTCTATTCTTTGTGCCCAACAAAATAATGTGCATAGCTTCAGATCAGTGTTCTAGACATCTGAAAAAGAAACAAAACACAAAGAGCAAGCAAGAAAGCTGATATGCAGTCAAAGCTTCACTTGCGCAGACGCGCCTGCTCTCCCCTCCTATTTCTCCTCCCTCAATCAGCAACACCCGAAGCTGTCTCATTGCTATGAGTGGGCGTAGCATTGGCGGCAAAATGAAGTACCATTCAGAACATAACATATACAAAGTGCGGAGAGGATGGGTGGACGGGCCAAACGAAGGGTTTAATGGGGGGGACATTTAAAAAGACTGAGTGGAAAAAAATCTCCCCCCTCACCAGCAGCATGCGAAACACATAGAACAAACTAGGCGCTAAAGGCACAGACATTTTCCCTTCGCAATGGGTCGGGGATTGTTCAATGGCAGGGTGCGAAGCAAATGGAATAGGAAGGAAGTATGGATTGAGGTGCAAAATCGCTTTGAAACTGCGGCTCCGTTCATTGAGCAAAGTAGGGTCCAAAAAGAAAGTGTAGAGTTGTCGGGGTGCGAGAAAGTAGGTTGTCAGGATCAGGGTGATGGCCAGGGTTGAAATGGTCAAGCAAGCGTCAAGGTTGCGATCATGAGGACGCAATGTTGAAGGAGAAAGAAAACGAAGAAGACACGCCATTCCGGGAGATAAACGAACAACGAGGTGATTGCTACGTCGAATAGAAACAGAATACGGCATGATGAGTAACATGGCGATAGATCAGGGGCGATGGTGAATGCCTTTACTCTTTAACATTGAAGAAGGATTGCCGTTTTTCCTAAAGAAAGGAGTCAGCGACGCAGTTGTTTGAATAAGGGGAGCTATTCATTCGTGGTAATATTGAAAAACTTTAATTGGCCATTTCAATTCGTGAGGGGGAGAGCGTGGAAAAGTTGAGCGAAGTTGAGTTTGGACGAGAGTTGTTCGCTTTGTCCATTCACAGCACCACATCGCGCTGATCTAAAACCACCTTCGTCTTTTGAAGGTTTCCCGTACTTTCGTCTCGACTTGACTCGTTTCTCGGGCACTGTTTTCGCGTTCAGCTGAAGGAAGATGAAGGGAACGACGGTTCATCGTCCCTGGGCTATTGTCAACTCACTCGAGCGGGGTTGTGCCATTGTGTGGGACTCTGAAATACCAAAGACAAGAAGACAGAAAAAAGGTATATAAGGGGAGGGTTGCATCCATCCCTACTTCCTACTTCCTCTTCCCCTCTCTCTCTCTCTCCTTCACTTCCCTGTCTCTTCATCTTCGTCATCCATAGTACTCCCAATCCTCTTTTGACTACCTTGGTTTTCTACATCCTCCTTCCTTCCCTCCCTTCCCTTAATACTAATTCAAGACAATAAGATCGCCTCTCCTTCCCCTTCCTCTGTGCATCCAACCCGCATTAGCACACATTCTCACATCCAAAAGCACGGCCTCCTTTTTATTCGCCTAAAATAACAACAAACAAAACACAAACATAAACAAACACGTTAATATACCATTACCTACAAGAGAGCATCCCCCAAAAATGTCGATGAAGATCTCCTCCAAAAACATGATCAAATACCTGTCTTTGGTGGTCGGTATCCTGGTCATGTCCCTCTCCGGCTCCCTCTTCTCCTTTGCCTCCATCTCGACCGACCTCAAGGCCCGCTTCGGTTTTAGCTCCTCCAACATCAATCTGCTCTCCGCCATCGGTGATACCTCTATGTATGTCGGTTTCCTCATCGTTGGTCCCATCTTCGACCACTATGGTGAACGCTGGACCATGATCACCGCCTCTGTCCTCACCTTCCTTGGTTACGGAGGCATGTACATTGCCTATGCCAAGGCATGGGGTGGTCTTGGTTTCCTCATGGTCCTCTATTGTCTTGCCGGTGTTGCCTCCACTGCTGGGTAAGTTATTTTCTATTATTTTTTCTCCGCTGCAATTATATGGGTCATACCATTTCTCTCCTTCTCTGACTGTGGGATGCAGCTACAGTTATAATTGATTCTAATCTCCTATCCTCGTCTTCCTTCTTGTCCTTCTTTTTTCTTTCTCTTGGCTTACCTTGGGATGACTACAATGTTTTAGATACCTAGCCGCGCTTGCAGCCAACATGGCCAACTTCCCAGCCTCAACTTCAGGTACCGTCTCGGGTATCCTCCTCGCCTTTTTCGGACTCTCCGCAACATTGTTCTCCCAGATCAAGACTCACCTCTTCTCGGGTCACGATGAGGTTGCCGATCCTAACTCGACCCTCAAGGGCACCAAGGCCACCCAGAATTTCTTGCTCTTCTTGACTATCATCACTACCGCCATCTACCTCATCGGCGCCGTCTTCATGGTCAAGATCAAAAAGCCCGTCATCAAGGCCCTCGACTCAGGCCCATCCTCCAACTCCACCGTCAATAGCTCCTCGGACATTGAAAAGGCCGCCGCCGCTGCTGCTGCTGCTGCTGCCACAATCCCGGCTGCCACCGTTGGATCCACTCCCATCCAAGCCTTGTCCCGTAGCACCACATTCACTCCCTCGATGAAGAACGGCCGCGAGGGTTGGAACAACTCAAGCACCACCCTTGACAAGGAATCCGTGGCCCCTCGCACCGCTCATCACCTCCCTGGCGATGCCATCCTCGAGTCGACAGCCCCTGCGCTGATAGCCCCCAGCAGCAACGGCGGCATCATCACCACCACCGATGTCTCCAAGACCTGGTTCAACCCCTACCTAACCTCGATCGACATGAAGCCTAAGGCCCTTCTGGTCGAATCCACCTTTTGGTTCTTTGTCATCGCCCAAGTCTCCCAGCAAGGCTTCTCCTACATCAACAACGTCGACTCTATCGTTCACGCCGTCCTCGACCCCCTGGACCCCTCCACAGTCACCCGCGCCGTCTCCCTGACCGGTCTCCACGTCACCCTGATCTCCATCGGCAACTGTCTCGGTCGTCTGGCCTCGGGTATCCTCTCTGACTGGGTCATCAGCCGCTACCGCATCTCCCGCTCCATCTTCTTCTTCATCTCCGAGATCCTGATCCTCATCCCCTTGATCATCATGGGCTTCTCCACCGGCATCGTCTCTATGCCTCTCCTCATTATTAGCTCCTGCCTCATCGGTGCCACCTACGGAGCCACCGGCGCCCTCTTTGCCTCCATGACCCGCGACTTTTTCGGTGACACCTACTACGGCACCAACTGTGGAATGGTCATGGTCCTCAACGGTTTCAACCCCATCATCGCCAACCAGATCTATGGTGTCTTCTACGACCGTGCCGCCAAGAAAATGGACCCCACTCACGAGTCCCAGTCCTCGGAGGACCATATGACCTGCTTGGGCAGTGCCTGCTACGACTCTGGTTTCAAGATCGCCTCCCTCCTCCAGGTCGTCTGTGTCGTTGCCGCTGGTCTTCTTTTCTGGGCCCATATGCGCAAGGGCCGCAAGCTCATGCAGCAGAACATGGCCTGAAGCCCCAAACCAATTCACTTTCCTCAAAAAAGATCCCCCTCTGTACATATACCCATAATATTGCATTCCCCCTAGCATAACACGCGATAGTTAGACATCGCGGCACAGCATTCAGAACATTAAACAAAAACGACTTATATTATTTTTTTGGGCGGGTTGAAATGAAAAAAGTACAATGAGAGTGGTCGGTTGCTTGACCTTCTAGATGGCACGAATACGCATATCCTCGATCTTCTTCTGAATCTCGGCAGGTGTCCGGTCCAACTCTTCAGCGATCTGGCGCTTCTTGTCGCCCGACAGCAAGTTGTACTGCTCGCACATATCACCATCCACCGTGCCCTATAGAAACAAGATTTAAATAGAGGAAAAGCAGTTAGCGCCTTTGAGACACATCTCAATAGCATCAACAGCGACAAAAAGAGACATATACAAGCTAGGATTACCTTGACCGGAACATGGTAGCCACGGTAGCTCAGATGGTCACGTCCAGCCAAGGGAGGCATCTCATTGCGCATATGCATCTCCAAGGTCTGGAAAAAATCAATGTCCTCCTTGGTCTGGAAGGGGATAAAGATACCAATGCCTCCCATGAACGATGTGTACAGAATCATCTCACGTCCACCTGCAACAAAGGTCGTCTTGGCCAACGACGTCAAGATATCTCCGACGTGGTAATGTGCCATCAGGTCAAGCTTGTGGGCAGCACCATGCAAGTAGCCCTTGCCGACCGACTTGGAACCAGCCTCGTCCTCGTCAATCTCCTGACTGAGCTTCTGGGGTAACCGGCTGACAAAGAAGTTGCCAAACTTGTCTCCAGCCGCAACAGTGTCGTAGTCTATCATGGCCGAGCAAGAGATCCATCGGGGTGCCTTGTCATCTGCAAAGACGACAAGCTTGTTGTCGGCCGCAACGTATGAAACATAGTGGACCGACTCCTGGACGTCACCGATTACAATACGGCCACCTTGGTTGTGCAGCGTGACGATACAGTTGGGAAGCGAGCGGTTCTCACATTTCCGGAGCAGCTTGCGCTTGCCAAGGTCGTAGATGCGAAGCGTCTTGCCCACTCCTGCCAAAAGGCGACCCTGGAAATGCAAAAGTGCGTGAGGCACCTCGTCAACAGGTGTCTTGTGCACCAGCTCCAGACCCATGCCGTCATTGACAAACTTGTAGATATGGATGAACCCTGATGAGAGAGACTTGGGGGCCAGAGTCACATCAGCTGCGGTACCGACAGCCAAGAACATATCACCTGCCTCAACGGCGAAGTTCAGGATGGCAACGCTGAATGCGGCCTCGTTCTGCTCCAACTCCAGGGTAAAAGTCGTCTCGGCGGTGGCAGGGTTGATGATCCTGATGAGAGAAGCCCACTTGCCGGGCGTCGACCGAGAGTGCCCGAAAACGACTGGGTCCAGTTCCTCCTCCTCTTCCTCGGTCTCAAATCCAAGCTCCTTCAGCTTCTTCTTCTTCTCCAAGGTCGAGTATGTCTGGTGGTCTGACTCAATGATGGCAATCGACTTGTGCACAGGGTTGACGACAAATCGGCGTGGCGTGTAGGTCAATGGGATGGGTGTCTCGTTAAAGACCTGACCAAACTTTTCGATGGTGAAAATCTTGAGAGCGTTTCCTGCAATCGCTACAACACCCTCTGGGCACTGCTCTGAAGTGAAACTGGCGGCAAACTCCAAAGCCTCATATGACAGTGGGTTGAGGTGGATCCTTGATTGCATCTGGTAGCTGAGCCAAGGCCTGCTGGACAAAGCCAACACTGCTGGGTTTCCTGCCATGTTGAGCTCGAAAAGCTTGACAGACCGCGCACCCAAGAATCGGGTACGGGTGTCTGAAAGTTGTCCAGTGTTTTGCTCCAACACAGTGCGCAGCAACACTCCGTTCTGCAAACCAATGTTTAGGTAAAGTGTCGTCAAGGATCCTGCGGTAATCTGATCGGGCATGTCGATCATCACCAATGACTCTGGAATGGCCGAGAGGGCCTGCATACTGAGGGGCTCAAGGGTGCTGGAAGCATCCAAGCTGAGAATACGGACAGTGTTGTCATCACATCCAACAGCCAAGAAGCGAACGCGTCTCCTTCCGACAGGCAAAGGCTGGATACTCAAACAGGTGACATTGCCAGACATCTCCCTTCGCACGTTCGACTCACTCAAGTTACCGCTTTCATCGACCTCGAAATACACAAGTTCTCCTCCTGTCAAAGCGATCACGACTTGTTGGCTGTTGGTGGCGGCTCTCACGATCTGTCGGCCTCCTGGTGCGCGCCACTCCGTCACCTGTCTGTTGGCGCGAATATGACGGATACCCTGGGGGTAAACTTGAAGCAAGGCATCCTGACCAAGCTGCTGCACTGCGATGGTGGGTGTTGTTGCCAAGAATCCGGTGTCCGTGACTTCCTCCACAGTCTCGCCAATCGACAGAACCAGAGTTGCGTTGGAGAATGAGACGATAATGTATTGATCATAGAGATCGTCGGAAGTCAAACGTGTTGTCCAGACAGCTGTGGGGTTGGCTGGCAGTGGTGAAACAGCCATCTCGGTCACTTCCAGACCATGTCGCAATATCCTCATAGTCGACCGTGGCCCACGTCCGCACAACGCATAGATCTGAGGGGTGTCCTCATCCGTGAGATTGAGAACCTAATGAAGGAAGGGAGTGTCGTATAGGTTATTATCAAAATCGATGAGTGTGAGGGAGCTATTAAATAACAGATGTGCCAGCGTGTGCTCGTACCTTGGCATCGGTCAATGGCGACATGCTGGCGAGTTCATCCACAAGCAACAAGTTCTCCAGCGGTCTTGGCTTGAAGTAAACTGTGGTATCCAGAGTTCCATCATCCTTTGTAATAAAGTCATTACTCGAGTACTCGGGAGTGTCGTCGTCGTCGCCCAACTTTCCGAATTGATAGAATTGGCTATTGGGAAGTGAAATGTGTGTCGCTGGTGAGTATCGATACTATGGATAAAGACATGCTAGGGAACTGACAAAGATTGAACAAAAGCTTACTGGTTTCCGAATTCACTTGCGACAAACAGAAATCCGCTCTTCAAGATGCACAATCCTGCTGCTACTGAGACGGTGTCAAAGTACTTGATCTTGATCTCGTTGACAGTATCTCCTGTGTAATCAATAGTAACCTTGTACAAGTCGCCCTCCTCGCTCTGCAACAATAAGAAGAAAGAGTTCTAGAATATTTAATAAAGACGGAAAAATATGTGTAAGTTAAAAGGTTCACAATGCCAGATCAAGAGAGTTCTTTCAAACAATAAAAGTCTGCTACGAGCCGTAAGTATGTATACCTTCATCTTATGCACGACTCCAGAAACAATCAAAAGTCCTCGCTCCTTGTTCTCCAATGGATCCTTGCGTCTAGGAATAGGGACTGTGAGTGTAGCTGCGCCAATATGCTTATATGTGATGTAGTTTTCTGAGCAGACGAGCACTCCAGACGGTCCATCCGTGCCTCCAGGGACTAGAAGAATGAAGAACACAGGCAGGACATATGTGAGTCGAATAATGTCCGTGATCGTTGTATACTCGCAGCAAGCAAACAAAATGCAATCCATCATACCTGCAACAAGCATGTTGGATCGGCGGTCGACAGCTTCGCTCCATTTCCTGACAACGTGATTGAGACCGAGATCCAACTCGTAGTAAGTCAACATCTATGATTGTCAGTGAGGGTTCCTCTTGCGTTAGTACTGTTCCTCTTTTGGTTCCTGGCACTTGTCGATCTCAAAGGCGAAATCGTTGAAAAAGGGGCTTCGTTACCTTTTCTGTCTCCTTGTATGCCTCTCCTGTAGGATCCTGATCAGCCTCTGTGTAGTCGACTTCCAAGCATGCGAAAATAGGGTTCTCGAAGCCAACGTCGACTCCTGTGCAGTGCTGAACAATGGTGTGAGATTTGTGTGCCTCCAGAGGCGATCCGATCGTGAGCCTTGCTGCGATATCTCTGTTCAGAATGTACACCAGCTTCTGCTTCTCCATCGATCCTATTGACCAAAGCACAAAATAGACGTAGAAAAATATATAAGATGAGTGTCTGTGGGAAGGATTAAAATTAGAGTCTACGCCACCATTCAATTAAACGTACCGATCATGACAGCGCGACCCTTGGGGTCAACGGCAAGATATTGTCCTGGGACGATTCTTCGGCATCCAGACTTGCCAAACGTCTCCTGGTGAACCTTCTCAAACACGTTCTTGGCCGGATTATATTCCAGAATAATGATCCTGCCCGAGTCTGAACCAATAACGATGTAATCTATTGTTTTGTGAACGTTGATCAGTCATGTCAATGTGGTGTTGTTTTTGTTATGTCCAGGAGTATGCACACATGCGCGTTGTTCTTGAAAACGTGCGCGTTACCTTTGGAGGCACCGGTGAGACGGAAGGCGACGAGGGAGCGAATGACACCAAAGACGTCGTGGGAGAGGATCGAGTGGACCTTTCCTGTAGTGGTATCTGGCCTGAGCAACTCGATCCTGGAAACATGGGAGACGATGAGTTCCTGCTGTCTGGTCCCTGAGAAGTTTCCGAGGATGGCCTGGTTGATGGCATTGGGTGCCTGCAAGGTCAGGTTATACAGAAACATGGTGGGGAAGGGCTCGTCTCTGGGTGTAGGGTCGTTCCTTGTGCTGGTTTGAAAGTTGGACTTGGTCAAAGAGCTTGAGATTTGACCAAGTCCCACTTGAAGGTATGACGTCACAGATTTCAGTCTGCGCGAGGATATAAAGGCCGGCAATAACTATTTTCCCTATTTAAAATTTCAGTGCTTGCGTTAAACTGTATTAGCCCATTTTGCTTAAATATCATCCTCAATTCGCTTCTACTCTGGTCATCCTCCTCGTCACCCTCGCCTTCCCCTATTATCGCCTTCCTGCACAACTGCTATTGCGAAAGGTACGATGGTGCCACACTTTATATTTTCATATAGCTGGGAGATAATGCATGGTGGTGGACTCACCATTTCCGATGACTGTTAAGATCATTGGCTATGGATTAAAGAGCTTCCGCTGTAGACCCGGTTGGGAAGAGCTGTCTCTGTCCCTTCAGCCAGTCGTAGGGCTGCTCTTGCGAGGTCCTGGACTAGTGACCCCCACAGTGGCTGGACCACACGCGTCGGTGCACTCCTTCAGCAGAGGACCCGCATCTGACTGCGCTATAAAGCGAACCCCTCTTTTTTGAGGAAATCGTTGAAGAGTTCTCAAATCCAGAGTACTTTCTTTCGACCAGACACTTCTTTTACAATGCACTTGATTACTTCAAGTCTTGTGGACAGGTGTCGAGAATGATTGGGCCACAGTCCTCATTCTGGCGATGAAGGTTAGCTCAGTCGAGATCCTGTATGCCACTGGTGTGAGGTTGGAGAAGGAATGGACAACGTCCAAGGAGACCAGGCGAAACCAACGATCCGAGGATGAGGACAGTTTTAAGATGCGCAAGCTCTTGAAAAAGAGTCTTCGTGATCATTGAAAGGCGGCCTTTGAGCACTCCGGTAGTACTCTTAGAAGTGATTTTGATACCCTTGGTATGTTTTTTTCGTTTGTTTTTTGTTGATTGAAGAGTGCCATAATCATACCGGAAATGCCCACATTAGCTCGAATGGTTAGGTCCCTCATTGGCTCCCAGTCTTGTACTATCTTCATTGTCCGCTTGTCGCACACCTGCCTTATCTAAAGGACTCAGCTCCATCATCACCAGAGCAATCAACTCCCTCGCCGCTATCGCGTCTGAATTTTGTTCCGCGAAATGAGATCATGGAGCAAGAGCACTTTTTTTTCAAGTCTACCAAATCGTTGCAAGATACCCTCCTCAGCAACCTCCATGACGGTTATGGCCTGCCGTCTTGGATGAAGGATCGACCACTCTACACCTTTAATTTGCGGTTGCAATATGACTGGGGTCCTCAAGTGACAGATTTGCACGAGGCAGCTAAAACCAAATCTAACTTAGATCACACCCATATCGACGAGATTGCGTACGTATTTACTCTCCTTTATTATGTCGTTTGTATTGGTTTTAACAGCATTGTTTTAATTAGTATGATGTTTTCTTTGTGATAGCCTGCTTTCTGGCATAGTACACATCAACAAGAGCCATAGTGGGTTCTCTGCGAAGGATATTACAAGGATTCTCAGTGAGATCCTTCATGCTTTTTACAGTCAGGGCATGGAAGATGACGATATGCAACGAGCACAGGATGCAACTGTTCTTTGGACCAGTTGGGTACAGGTTAGTTTCACCACTGTATAGTGATCGCTGTTATTATTTTTCTAGCATTGAATGTGTTTTGACATGAGCTGTATATATATTTACATAGATTTGGAAGTCGCTCCTCTTGAAGGAGAAGTTGGCAGCCTGGAAGAACACTCGAGATCCAGGCGATGTCGATGTGGAGCCAGTGGTCGATGCAATCATGTCGTCGTACGCCGCCTGCAAGACCAAAAAATGACATCGATTCTTTTCATCGCGTTACGTATATTCCGTCGATACAGCAACTAGGCTATCCTGACCTCAGAGTCGGACTGTATGATGGCAGTCGTTGGTCTGATCCTGCAAGAGATTATGGAAATTCAACATATCATCAAGTTTACCTAATAATGCTTCCAACTTCGCTGCATTTTATTACCCACCTTATCTTGATTTAATATTAACTAGTGCAATTTCTCATATAGTTCCAATGCTTGCACATCTGCAGGAAAGCCCAGGAAGACCAAACTCCCACAGGGGAGCCAGTCTCGTCAGCCAGATATCGTAGGTCAAACACGGGACAAGAAGGAGGTATTTTATGGCGAGCTCAAGGGACCTCATCCATCACCCGCTGCGGTAAGCACGGATCTTCTTGAAATCTTCTCCAAGGATGCTCTGGACCAGCTACATCACACTTTGGAGCAAGGCCCACCACTGGTGAACTTCCAAACTGTCGGTCGCGATGTTACATTTTTCTTGGGCGCCAAGATCAATAATACTGTTGTTCATGTACGCCTTTCGACTGTCAAGCTGCCATCGCGCATGACTGAACTGGATCTGGATCTGGATCTGGATTTTTTTCGAACCTTTTCCAAGTCTAAACTCTGATTAATATTACCAGGGATCGCCTCAATAACAAACGCAAGGAACAGTTAGAAGAAATCCCTTTCCCGACTCTTGGAACCCCACAACGTAACGCAGCCTTAAACACCTCTCAGAGGAAACACAGAAGGTCGCCCGACATTTGAGCTGGACGATACAGATTGACATAACAAAGGTCCCGCATTTTTCTTTATTATCTTTGTTTTTTGTTATTATTTCAGTAAAAAATATCCTGTGAAAGCAATCGACAACGGGACCTCGAATCCTAAAGACGCAATGATTGAACGAGCCGACATCGAAGGATCAAAAAGCAACGTCGCTACGAACGCTTGGCTGCCAATGGTAACTTATGTGGGGGTGCTCAGTCATACGTTTGCTTACATTTTTGTTAGGGCATGCTGCGGCTACTTTTCTGCTAGGAAGACAATGGCAGATGCTAGCCTACATCATTTCGTCGCGATCGAGTACAAGTGTACCTGTTTTTATTATGTACAATATACAATGTCGAGTCATCGTCGGTCCAGAAAGTGCGATTTCGACCATTGTGCAGGTCGATCAGTTTTCGTTCAATTGACGTTTTGCAGAGGCCCGGTTGATTTACAGCCAGAAAAAGAGTAAGCAAGAAATGGCCAGACGAACGAGCACAAGGTATAGATCAACATTACAATAATATTTACAGCCATCAAAAATGCCATATCCTACGGTTGACTCTAATAATCATCCTCTTTGAAAATAGTTTTTCATCGGACAGGTCCACCCAAAGACACAATCATCACAGCACTTCGACAGATACCGGACTATCAACCGGCCTCCGCCCGTGGACCACAAGAATACCACGGATACCGCAAAACAGGAGCGCCCAACGAACCTCGTTCATCGGTCTCGGTATTCGGTCAAACCCCGGACAAAGAAAACCAAGCATGAGCCTCTACCCGCCATGAAGCCATATTCTTGGAAATCATGGAAAGAGAAACCAGAAAGTTCAACTGTCGACACGACCGACGCCAAACCCAAGTCTGAAGAGTCTGCCAAGACGCCTTCTCTCAAGCCTCCACGTCTTGTTGGACCCATGGACAAAAAAACTGGTCGTCCAGGTACTCGGACGGGAACACCCCATGGCAATGCTCCGTGTTGGAACGTTGTCTAGAAACATCAAAAATGCACTGGAGAACGATGTCGCCGTTGCCAAGGAGGCCAACACTACACACAGGTGAGCGAAGTTTCAATGCGCTGACCTACAGTCGCTTACAGATTATTTGCTATCTCATTTGCTTTGGAGAAGCAAACCCAAGCTTGTCGAGGACTATGCCAGCTCATAAAAACCCTTTCAGTATTTATTTCATATCGATCTGTGGTACATCTACCTCGAGCATGACGACCCACAAAATAAATAGAACGAGCATGTAAGAAAGAGGAAAAATGAAAAAAATGGAATATCCCTTACCTTGGTTAATAGATCCCGCGGGTGGCGTACGAGCGGTAGCTGACCTGAGGTATGGGCTTTATAGCTAATATTGGGGAATTATTGACAGCAATGAGCTATGTGAAGAGCTCCTACCGCTTCGAATACCCGTGTGTGTTTGTATGTAGTTGAAATTGAATATTGTTGTAATGCGATAAATCGCCGTCTACGCCGGGGTTGGAACCGCAGCCCTGCTTGAAAGTTTCGAACAACTCTCCTTCAATCTCTGTCTTCGACAGAGAGACCGGATTATGCCGAAGCAGCAAAAGACCCTTTTTCATTTTCAAAGTTTTTTTTCTCAGATTCTTTTGTTGGTTGCTTGCCTTGAAAGCAGTCCACATGGTTAAGGGGTATCAATATTGGTGGCGTTGATCTACCCGCCCAAATGTCAGCACTGAGCTATTGGTTTGTACGAAAAAAGAAAAAAGAAAAAAGAAAAAAAAAAAGCTATTGGTTTGTATCTTGTTCCTTTCATAACACAAAGGAAGCATTTAACATGTCTTTTTCTTCGTCCACAATGCAGGTCCAGCAAGGGAATCTCTTGGCTCCTATTCAAAATGATGTGTTTGTCACCAGACAATTTTTGTTTTTTCTCTAACAATTTTATGTTTCACTCTTTCTTCCTTCACCGTCAAAACTAGCCTTAGCCTTTCATTTTTCTTTCACCTTTCCCCAATCAATGGATACGAATGGACCTAATGAAAACATTACCGAGATGGATGAAGCAAACCGACTTGTGTGCTATGACGACGAGAAACTAGCGCCATCCTCAGAATCACGGACGCAGAACCCATACCCACCACAACCACCAACCTCAACTTTGCCTCCACAAGAACAACATCACTCCTCTTTTCAACCACAGCAACAAAACTCCTCCTTTCAGCCGCAACAACAGTTTCAGCCACGACAGCAACAACAGCAACAACATCAACCATGTATATACCAAGAGCAGCGCCAACAACGACAGGCCCTATTCGACAACCACCTCCATCGATCAATAACCTGTCCAGTCCCAAACCACAACATGATCGCCCACGGCGACTATGGAGAAACCCTACCCAACAACCCTACTGTAACTATAACCACAGCACCTACGACTGTCCTCCACCTACCAGCCATGTCCTAGGACACGGCGAAAACGAAGACGACTTCCTCGCCGACGCATCTTGTATCAAGAGAACCCGCCACTGGATCGGTAAATCCATCGAGAGCAAAGCCGCCCATATCACCATCCTGCTCCTCACCCTCTGTGACATTATCCTGGTCATGCTCCAGATCGGCGCCTCACTCTTACACCTCGACGAGACTGAGCACGAGCACTGGGTCCTAGCCCTCTTTGAACATCTCTCTCTCACCATCGTCTCGATCTTTATGCTCGAAATCCTATTGAAGATCTTTGCGTTTGGGCCGCGCTACTTTTGGATCGGGACACCGCATTGGGTCTTGCACCTTGTCGACGCTATCATCATCCTCACGTCGTTCTTGCTGGAGATCTTCTTGAAGGGTGTTGAGCAGGAGCTGTCAAGTCTCTTGATTGTTTTCCGATTGTGGCGAGTTATCAAGCTGACGGGAACGGTTGCCATTGAAGTCTCAGAGCATGATCAGGCCCATGTCGCTCTGCTGGAGGCCAGAGTTAAGGAGCTTGAGCAAGAACTGGAAGAGTGTCACCTCAAAGTACAACGCCTGGAGGGATTCAATTCGCTGAAAGAATCAAGAGGAAGCTCTCATATCGAATAAAAGAAGAGTACTCCGAATCCAGTTGGAGATGCAAAGTGATGTTATTGTGTATGTGCGATGACTCTATGTTGTTTTTGCCTAAGAGTATCCGTATTATTGTTACAGTTTGGGTGATCTACTCAGGCTTCATGAACTTCCCGCCGCCGCCTGATGGCTTGGGCGGTGCCCTCCTGTTTGTCGTTGGCTTCTTGGACTGGCTGGATTTTGCTGCCTCCTTTGTTTTCTTTGCCTTGTTGGATCTACCCATCTCCTTTGCCATCTCATCGTCGCTGATCTCGCTCTGTCTCTGTCTCTTTAACTCACGTTCCAATTGCTGGTCTCCTGCCGCTTGCGATGCTGATTTCTGTTTTGTTCGTTTGCAGGAACAGAGGCCAAAGTATTAGTATCATATATATTCAATTGCGCGATGTTCCAATTTTACGATGGACAAAACGTCAATGACAAAGTGTATGAAACACGTACCTCGACAACAGAGTTGAACTTTTGGAAAGACAACCTGCCGACGCTTGACCGTTCCGCTGCAGTCATCTGTAAGAAACTTGGCTCGTAGTCAACTTGAAACTTACTATGTACCACAGAAAGAAAGAAAAAATAATAACCCGTGTTAGTTACATTCCCGGTCCTTATTGAACATTCTGAACCAGTTTTTCTTTTCCTGAACATCAGTGACAGTGCCACATCTTCATGAATGAAGCATCAAAATGCATGAAAAGACGTACGGCTTGGGAAGATCGACAGTAGCCTGGTCAATGACCCAATGGGCCTCTGTCACGATACGCTTCTGCTCCTTGACCAACTTGTCTCGCGTTTCCTGCTCCTGTTGCCTTTGCATGAACTATTGTATACCATAGAAGGGATTATTAATACAAAGCGAACTTGCGTTTTTGTGAAATTGGACTTACCCCTCCTTGCTGCAGGCTCGGAGACAATACGACTGTCTTCTCTTGTGTTGGCAATGAGCCACGCCTGCGACAAAAGAAAAAAGGCAAATGCAAAGTCGGTGCTGCCGCAGTTTTGCGTAGTGAATGAGCTGAGTTGTGTGTATACCTTCATGGTAAGCAGCTTTCCCGAGAGGGCGGTTTTGTGGGGTATCTCTGCCATGGTCGTTTGCTGTTGTTCTTGCGTGAGTGTGTAGTTGGTGTTGTCCTGATGGAGAGCCGTCGGTACTAAGAGAAAAAAGAACAAAGGTGCGCCTTATTGCCTCTGATGTGGCACATTTTTGTTGAAGGCGCCTCAGCAGTCACGAATCAAAATATTAGGGAAAAAAAGAAAAAGAAAAAAAGACAGAACAACGTCCTTTTGAACCACACTCCCCACATACCCCACACGCTGACAACCATGGACCAGGACCGCCCCAACAAGGTATACACGCATACCAAGACAACTTCAACCTGTGATCCATTGTCAAATGCAAAAGATATCCACCAGTGCCACCATGATAAAACCTTCGCTCACTCGCCTAACATATCATGCCATCATTGCTGAAAATAAAATAGCGCCAAAAGTCATACGACAACAAGCAGAGGTCAGGACCAGAATTCGAAGGCAGTCAGAACAACTACCGCGACAACAACAACAGAGAAGACAGAGATGAACACAGGACAAAGGCACCATCATTACAGCAGCTCCAACACGCTGCCCATCTCGCCTACCAGTTCCCAGTCCCCGAGAAGGGCCGCAAGTGGACCGTTTCAATCGCCCTTCCTGGAAGCATCCTTGATGGCTCTTTGACCGTCGAGCTGAAGACTTACCTCGTTGGACAGGTGCGTACATTGACATTTTTTTACAGGGGATACCAAGGCATGTTGTCATTGAATACCCTCGCTACCCTTGGTTATTTACCATAATTATTTATTATCTTCGTGATAGATCGCAAGGGCGTGTGTGATGTTCAATGTGGACGAGATTGTGATCTACAATGAGTCAGCAAAGGGATTGTCAAAGGAGAACTTGGGCAAGGACGACTATCTTCCAAAATCAGACCCCAACCTCTTCATGGGACGCGTACTCCAATACCTCGAGACCCCTCTGTAAGCAACACACCATACGCCCATTATTTCCATCGAACGGAAGCTGCAACAAATGCTGACAGAAAAAGTGGAAGCTATGAGCATGGGAATTGACAAACAAAACATCATTATCAATTGGATTTCATTTAGGTACCTCCGAAAGCTCCTGTTCCCAATGCATCGCGACCTGAAATTCGCAGGACTCCTCAACCCCCTGGACCCACCCCACCACGTCCACCTCGACGACAGATCTCTCTACCGCGAAGGAGTTGTCGTCCGCCCCCGCGACAAACAATACTCGATCGTCAACTGTGGAATGCGCAAAGAGGTCCTCATCGATCGTCTCGTCCCTACGGGCTCCAGAGTCACCGTCAGGATCCATGGCGCCGAGAAGGAAGACCGGAATAAGAAGATGGACAAGAACGCAAAGACTTTGGCGGCGATTGCGGCTATGGAGGCTAGTCTTTCGGGCGACAAGGGCGCTCAACAGAAATATTTCATGGGAACTGTGGTCTCACCCAAGACCCCTCGGGAGGAGACTGGGTATTATTGGGGGTACCAGGTTCGATTGGCGGATGCTGTTTCTAAAGTCTTTACAGAGTCGCCTTTCCCTGTAAGTTGCCTTTGTCTTTTCTTTTGAAACGTTTCCATAAACGCCTTTTTGGAAATTTCATCACCTTCGACACAATGTGACTAACCCGATTCTCGAATTACGGACTATAGGATGGATATGATCTGACGATTGGAACGTCGGACAAAGGAACTCCCATCTCGCCTGCTGTCACATCCTCAATCCCCAGCTTCCAACACGCCGTCATTGTCTTTGGTGGCGCCAACGGAATCGAAACGGCAGTCGAGGCTGACGAAGATTTGAAGTGCGGAACTGAAGATACAAAAGACATGTTTGATCACTGGATCAACACCTGTCCAAACCAAGGAAGTCGTACTGTCAGGACTGAGGAGGCTCTCCTTGTGACCCTCGCTGCACTGCAAGGAACATTCACGGCACAAGGCATTTAACTACTTCATTTCACAACAATAAAACCTGCATCCAAAAATCAACAAGGGGGTAATGATAACAAGGAAGTCGTGTTCTGGTCTATTTAGATCTATGCTAAGAACACGTTGTTTTCCTTCTTGTGTCGCTGCTGAGCGGCCTTGTCCTCGTACCGCAAGGAATCGTCTTCGCCCTCGAGGATTGACACCATCATCTCCAACCAGCGCTCCTCTCTTTCAGTCGTGCCCATTTCAGGCTCATCGATCCTCTTTTGAAGAATCTTGTCCTAATGTGTATATTACAAAAAAGTTCAAGAGGTTACAGATCTGATTCCATAAAAGCAAGGTCAATGCGCTATCGTACAACCAAAAAGAAACAAAATCGCGCCTGCTTACCAGCTCCTCGCGCATCATCTTCAAGACGACGGCAGTTTTGGCATGGCACTTGAACTGGATCCACTTGTCGACAGTAACCAGCTTGGCGTGATGCTTCACAGATAACTCGCCTCCAAAGAGCACCAGCGGGAACTGGCCCACACGACAACTCTCCCAGACATACATCCTCGAGGACTTGACTAAACTGTTGAACACAAACCAAGGACTCACATCCGGCCCCGTAGCAGCAGCTGATGCTCCACCCTTGGCAAAGTTGACTGAGGACGGATGGATGTAGACCGTCTCCTGCTTAGGCCCAGTTACGTAGGCCTTGAGCGTGTCGTTACGCAACATCACCTTGGGATACATTCCTGCCGTGATGGCCGCGTTCAGCACCGGGATCGACCGCTGGTGGACATTATACTGCTCAATGACAGGACAGAACGAGATCCGGTGATTAAACCGCTCCCTGTTCAGCTCCCGCTTGGTATCGCCGTCGACTCGGACAAATCCTGTGCCGACCAAGAAGCCCAAGAACTGCTTTTTCATATCCTCGATCATCGACAGGTTCTGGTGGCTCAAAAAGTTCTTCCTGCAGTAGTCGTAAATCCCGTTAGGCTTGGCCTGGTACGCTTGACGCCATCCCAGATACGCGTTGTACCACGTCAGCATGTCCGAATCCGCCAGCTTGAAACGCGCCTTGGCCGCATCTGCCTCGCTCTCAGCTCCGAAAGGTGTCACGAAGGGAGATTTGAAGCTAAGCATAGCTGCGACAGTCAGGACTGGATCAAGGCACTTGAAGATGGACCCAAAGAGAATCATCTTACCGATATGGACATCCACGGGAAGGTTGCAGAGATGGATGCCCAGCGGTGTCAGTTCCTCGGCCGCAGTCAATGCGCGGACATCCTGAAGTGCTTGAATGGCGTTCTCGATGGCCTTAGCTGGCGGTGCATCCAAGGCTCTGCCCAAAACGTCGGCAATGTCTCCCAGCTCGCACATCTTGATCATCAGACACAACTCCTCCAGAGGCATCCGCATGATCTCGGGCATCTGGTACTCAGGCATGTACTCCTCAAACGTCGTATTGGAGAACATATGGAAACAGACTCCCTCCTGAACACGTCCAGCACGTCCTCGTCTCTGACGAGCGTTCGCCTTGGCAATAAACCGCTCCTGCAAGGTGGTGACTCTCTTCTTCTCGTCAAACTTGATCTGCTTGGACTTTCCAGTGTCGATCACAATGGTGACATCGGGAATGGTGATACCCGTCTCTGCAATATTAGTCGCCAGGACAATTTTCCTGATTCCTTCTGGGGGCACGTCAAAAACCTGGCTCTGTCCTTCCGACGAGACCGAACTGTGCAAGGGCCAGAGCGAGAACTGCTTCTCGTCTCCAAACCGCCGGTTCACCTTCAAGGCGTCAAAGAGCTTGCGGATCTCGGGCATTCCAGGCAAGAAGATCAAGATAGCTCCTGAGTCGGGGATATGTGGTGGCTCGTCTGAGATTGGGTTTTGTTGTACGCGACGGTTCTCAGGGAAACAAATGTACTCGAGCAAGACTTGGATGAGATCGTAGTTGATCTTGTTCTCGTCCATCCTGTTCAGCATCTGGTTAGTCCTGTTGACCATAGTAGGACCTTGTGAGGCATCGTCAGTGATGCTGAACTTGGCCTCTGCTTCTTGGAATGAATGGTCGTCCATGTCGTTCTCCCACTGCAAGTGCACCGTCTGTCTGCTAGCTCCCTTGCCAGCAATATCGACAGATCCTTTGCCTATTGTTTGGGTAAATAACACACTGTTAGATACTTGAACATATAGCTGTGAAGTCCTTTCAAACTCAAGATAAACTTACTCTGGATGTCCTTGCGGAAACGGATGGCGTATTCTGAATCTTCCTCCAGAGTGTATCCAGTCACATCAACGACGTCTTCCAGGAAGTGAGCGTGGACAGGGAAAGTTCTTCCAGGCACCTCGAGAACAGGGCATCCGTTAAAGTACTCTGAAAAGCGTGCTGAATCGACTGTGGCACTCATCAAGATAATCCTATAAGCATGATAATTTTGTCCGCATAGTTAGCCTGCCGCTCATTATAATCATGCTAGAAGTCTGAAAAGGACCCGGAATGTTGCTCACATACTTCAGATCGGGGCGACGAGGCAAGAGTTTCTTGAGGATGATCAGCAAAAAGTCCGACTCCAGGGTACGCTCGTGCACCTCGTCAATAACAAGGTGTGTAACTCCCTTCAAGGTCTTGTCGCTTTCCAGTCGTCTCAGCAAGATACCCTACAAGAATAAAGACAAGGACGGACGTTAGTCTGGTAACATTGACAAACAAACACGAACCAAACGGAGAGATCCAAACTTGATGAGACATACAGTTGTGCAGAACTTGAGAATGTTGGAGTGAGCAACGCGTGACTCGAGGCGGATCTGATAACCGACAAGGGTGTTGGGCTTTCCTGCAGAGTTCCTAGCATCACCCAACTCCTCGGAGACACGATTGGCGATCGAAATGGCCGAGATTCGGCGGGGCTGTGTGCAGACAATATCGCACTGGTCACCCAAGCCTTCCTCAAGCATGAACTCAGCCAGGTACTGCGGCACCTGAGTACTCTTTCCGCATCCAGTCTCTCCCGAAACGATCAACACCTGGTTGCTCGCCAGCAATGTCAACAAGTGATCTCTGAACTGGAAGATCGGCAACTCCTTACGCTTCTCAAACAGCTTGATATGGTTAGGGCGCTTCAAACGCTGCTGCCAGTTCTCCTGCAGCGCCCTTCCAGCACGGGTGATGACAACTTCCTTATCCTTCTCCGAATTAACATCCTGATCCTGAGTCTCGACTTGATCCGCTGCGCTCTGAGCTCCCTGGTTTGCCCTTTCAGGCAGCTTGGCCGTCAACGCCTTGATGAACGACAACCGATCACCATCGACCGCTTTCTTAGCCAACCTTCCTGCAGACTCCCTCTCGTCAATCCATTCCAGCCATAAATCGCGATATGTCGGAGGGAGCGACCTGTAGAGCGGCAGAGGGGTCAAGTCGTACAGCATCTTTGTCGCAACATAGTTCTCTGCCTCAGTCATATCCTCACACCCTTCATCGACCATCTCTGCAGAGCTGATGCTCCCGCTTCCCCAGACAACCGTGACAATCGCCATTGACGCCGCAGGGACTGATCTAGGAGCCTTCTTGTACGTGATCTTGACATGGCGGTCCTTCTTACGACAGAACTCTGCCAAGACCACTTTGGGAGACCCGCCACTCCATGACGGATTGGCCATTTGACGCTGCCTGATTGGTGGTTGATCCTCCGCAGGGGTAGTTATGCTGGGCCCGTTCTCCAGATCCCACATTGATCCCATCATGTCGCCTCCTTCCTGGTCATCGGCAGGGTTCTCCTTCCTGAGTGCCTCCTGCTCCTTCTCCTTCTTGCGCTTTGACTTTTTCGCCTTCTTTTTGTCGTCAATGATACGCTGCTTCAGCATTTGCTCCGCAATCTTCTTGTTGAAAGTAAAGTCGAGGTCAAGGTCGTTCAGTTTGGAATTGATAGTGTCGATTTTCCGAGAGATGGTCTTTCGATCTACCGGTGCCTCTGCATCCGCCAGTGCTTGTGTTAATTCCGTAAGAGTCATCTTGAAGTTGACATAACGCTCATTCGGATCCTCTGCCTCCTCCTCCTCTGTGTCCTCCTACATTGTTTCAATTCAGGTAATGAGGCATTAGTTCACTTCTGATTTGCATAATTGCTCCAGTGATGCTCATCCGAATGTAACCTATCACCTACGGCAAGCGCGGCCTGCAGGATCCATTGCTTGTCGCTTTTTCCTGTAGATGATTCTGGTGTGGGCTCTGGCACTGGATCTGGCTTGGGCGCGACAACTGGTTCTTGTGGGCGGGTTGGAGGCAATGACATAGTGGCAGATACTGGTAATGACGGGGTATGGACGAATGGCTGAGACGCATGGACAGAGATCTTCATCTCTATGAACGCGATTGAAGATATCTTGGTTAATTATTGATGCAACGTGGATACCGTGAACACGTTTCAAGTGCAATTGGACATTGTAATCGTACCTTCGTCATGGTATAGTTTGTCAGCAAAGCCCCTAGGAAGTTTCTCGGAGTCAAGATGCATACACAGCTACATTGCAGATAAGAAGATGGAAACCACAATTAGCCATTTGCCGCACAAGGCATGTTTGCTACGGTGTTGATCGTTGAGAAGCATGCTAGTAAACAAGATCATACCCAATCCAAGGCATCCTCTGATTCTCCTGTGTATGTATGACTGAGCGCTTCCTCGACATCTGCCTTTTCGAACCCAAGGCGGACCAGGGCTAGATATGTGACATTAAGCTTTGACACCATCTGCTCATTGCTCAGGTACACGTTGGGTTGGAATGCACCTATTGAGATAGAAACCATCATAGCGCGGACACTACGTTAGCGAGAATCCAGCAATTCAACACTAAAACATAACAAGCACGATCATATTTCCCCCCCGCGCTGTGAGGCAACTTACCTGCATCCTTGGCCTCGACCTCCTTCAACAACCCAATGACGTTATTCTCGAGGTTGGCTTCCATCTTGAGGACGGGCAGGGTATCGACGTTGATCTTCTGGGTCTGTCCAAGGAACGCGTCAACCTTGCGCAACGAAAGACTCTCAATTCGTTCGGCCAGCGACACGAATTCATCCTCAGGCTCCTCCTCTACTGCAGCTGCTTCTACTGCGGGTTCTGGTGGTGGAGGTGATGTTGGTTCGACAACGGGCTCTGGCTCTGGCTCTGGCTCTACCACCACTGGCTTTGCCTTTGGAATGGATGTCGTTGCGAACCCTCTGGCAGCTGCATTCGCATACTTGTTCTTCTTTTTGGGTGGCATGTCGTGTATGTGTCTAGTGGTGGAATGAGATGTTGGGAGTGCGAAGAAGAGAAGAGAAAGAAAGATGTCAAGTCCAACATGAGGCTGATCTTTTTTTTTTTTTTTCTGCCCGCAGTTATTACCACGTGACTATAGGACACCAGCTTTTTGTTTTATTCCACTTTTTTTACGCGCATCCTGGTTGAACAAAGGAAGAGGAAGAGGGCTGAGCATCCAACCAGTCCCGATCAAACCTGCCTGCAGAGGCATGACCTCCAGGGAGCTGGTGAAGCCATTCTTTAGCGTTTGCGCTGGTCACTGTATCCGAGTATGATCGATCCAGCCCTGGTCCTGCTCTCCGGATCTCTGTCACCGCGCAGTGAGTCGATCGTTGTGATTGACGTGAGAAAACGCTCTTCAGTGGTTTACAGATCCATTTCTGAAGAACACGGGTTTTACGAGTCTTCTGTGGACACATGGAGATAGGCTGACTGGTCTTGGTGACGACAGGGTGAAGGTTTTGCACGAACATAGAATTGTCGACTGGATCATTGGATGAGAGGCCGCAGTTGAGATCCTGGAAATAACTGCAACTGAGAGTGTCCGTATCCGCGCCTGCGCTTATTTCCTGGGGCTCGCCGTGTATGCTTGCTTGGTTTTCTGCAGGATGGTGGAGACGATAGAAAGTCTCTGGATTCGGATGTGGCTCTGACGGGTCGATTCCTGCGGCAATCATCGCGCTAGTGTCGTTGACATCGAGGACGGGTCTGCTCGGATCCGCCAGAACCCAGTCGCCGGCCCCTGGGCGCCCTGAATACATATCACACTGGATGATTGGGGCGTTGGCAGCATCTGAGATAGTAGATTGGTGCCTCTGATCTTGACTCTCTTCCTCATCCTCGTCACCATCATCGTCATACTCGATAAATCCAAGGCTGTCCCTGACATTGGGCAGAGCGGACAAACAAGGCAGAAAAATCGCCGAGGATGGGTCGTCATTATCCTCCACAAAGCTTTCCGTGACCTCTCGCCAGGTAATGCGGATATCTGTTGACTGCAACTCGTGTCCAGGGGTCAGCTGAAAAACAGATCCATCTTGATTTCGCAGGCCTCTGTATCGCACTCTTCCTGCCGCTGCAGTCATCTGACGACGTGTGTTGGCTCTCTCGATCTTTGAGGTGGTAATAGATGCTATGACCTGGTCGTAAGGAGGCAGAGTGCGCACGTTGTTCTGTAGACTTGTTGGACAGCGGTGACTCTTGGATTGAGAAAAGAAGAAAGGGCGGTTCCAGTCCTCTGAGAGAACAGAATAGATGCTGTTGGCCATGGACGAGACACCAGATACTGCAGAGCTGCATGAAGCCATAGAAACAACGCTGAGTCGGTTCGACGCCTCCGCGGTCGGCAACAGGAATCTGGTTGATCGATGGCTATTGGGCGCAGAATCTAAATTAGAACGAGGAGACACATACGAGTGTCTGTTGCGTGCGATGCTGATTGCAAGAGTAGACAAGGTAGATCCTGCATGAACAGAGAGATATGTTCGCGGAGAGGTAACGGACGCACAGCCGTGAAAGGTAAGACTGTTGCATCGTCGCAATGGACTTGGGACTCGACTGTGATAAGGACTCCTCTGCTCTGAGAGATGACTTGGATACCTCGTTCTCTCGTTTTCGTGGACCAGTTCCGTTTCCTGGGGTGACACTCGAAGGACTTCCAGTTTCTTGCTCTTGTACTTGTTCCAGTGGAATGCAAACCGAGACTTGGGTACCAGTGTTGGGTTTCTTCCCTTGCACGTCAACCGGCTGCCTGGTACGCGGGTACTGATTGTCCGTCGCATGGATGGACGCGACTCTAAGGCTTCGTCGTGAAGAGGAACAGTAACAACTGCGGTAGCTAGAGAAGACATCATAGATGAACTGTGAGCTTGAGATGGCGACGACGACAGACGAGTGACTCTCCATTCCTGCACTTGAGCCCGCTGTTGCCGGTTCACCCTCTCTAACAGTGACTCTTTCACCCTCTCAGCTTGACCTGGTCTCCTGCCACCAGGTCCTCGCTGAGTGTACGCTCTTCGGATCCTGGCAACCTCTACTGGCTCCGTGGTGCGACCCTCCGTCATCTCAAGAATTAAGTTTGGTCGTCTTCGAAACTGTCCAATCGACTTCAGTTTCTTGAGTGCCCGCCGATGCAGCCGTTCGCGATGTCGGGATTCGTCGAGGTCCACAGTTGTATTGATTTGAACCTTTGCTGAATTAGTTGGCTGGCTCAAGTGGTGAGGTGGGTTGGTGGTCTTGGTTGCACATGGGAGCCGTGCTGGTCGTTTTGGCTGGATCTTGTGAATGTGGTTGCTGTTACTGTGATGCGGGTGATGGTCTTGGTCACTGGTAGCAGGGATATTGAATGGTTGTGGAACGTGTGTTTCAATGCCGTTGGAGGTGCTATCGCTTTTCTGCCTGAATCTGGCCCATGGCTCCTTGACAAGTCGACCGACTATGAAAGTGTAAGAGTGTGTGTTAAATGAGTGCTACTTTAATGAATTTTTCAATCGTTTCTATATCACACTGAAAGAAACCATGAAAGAGTGCATTGTACTCACGATTAAGCAGCGACTTCTTGATGTTCCGAAGTGTCTTTGAGGGCTGCACAGGGCTCTGCTCGTGATGGCCAACATCATCAAATGGAGGTTGAATGGCGACGATGGTAGGAATTGATGTATGAGTTGGCGGGATATCCGGTCCTGCGCCACCAATTTCCTGAATGAAGTGTTCTTCGGCGACGTAAAAGCCTTGCTCCGGAGTTAAAAGAGGGCGAGTACCAACCCAGTCTTGTCCTGCGCCTTCCTCTTCCCTTCTCTCATCTCCCTCGCACGTTATGGCGTCAAGGCTGTGTTTTGAGTACAAAAAATTCATGCTGAGCGAAGAAGTACCGCTGAATCTTAATGGCGATACTGTTGACGGGTTGGAGATGGACATATCGCTGACTTGAGACTCAAGGCTGGTAGATGATGTTGATTGCCGAAAGGACTCTGTCGTGAAGTTGGTGGTGGTGAAGGAGAAGCCAGGTTGAGTAAAATGATCAGCTATCGGAGTCTGCGAGCAAGCTGGTCTTGCTGTACCGAAACTTGGACTCGAGCCGGCACCGTCCGTTCCTTGCAAAGATTTGTGAGCCACGTTTAGCTTTAGTGGGCAAGAGTAGAAGGTAGATGGCGGCTGAATCGAAAGTTGCGAGGCGCGTCCGTGAGGTGTTTGTTCGCTGCATCTGATTGAAGAGGCAGGTGGAGGCGGAGAGACCAGAGCTGAGGGAGAAAGACCAGTCAAGGATTGCCGCTGTAGTTTGTGTGGTATGAACAACATCTTTATGGAATGGTGGCGAGAAGTAAGGGGAGACGAAGGAGCATGAAGGGAAGAGAGGTGAAAGAATCAGAGAATTCTTGCGTTCAACTCGGCCATTTATAGGCGATTGACGAACAAAGAGAAAGGAATAGCCGACCAATGCCTTGGTAAGCCCACTTTCAGGTACCCCTGTTTGATTGTTTTCTTTCAACACCCTGGATGTAGTAAAATATGGAAGAAAGAAAAAAGCCTTTGATTGAATGCAACAATCATATGAGCTGGTATCTGGCGTGTGAACACATAGATGAAAAGGTGGTTTTATATGCAAGTATAGGCTATGTAGCATAGTAATGGAAGAGGCTGCGGAGTGGAGTGGAATGAAGCAAGAAAAGGTCAGATGTATCCGTACCCAGTTACATCGCCTTGCTCCAACCCTTGCAGGTCGATTTCAAGGTGAATTGGGACATCCAGTGCATACGGGTCGTACTCCACCTCAGGATTCGCTCCTGGTTGTTCCAATCGCCCAACAACTCCACTACAGGTCACCTCCTTCACACTTCCGCCATGCATATCCATCCCAGCACCCATATCATCATCCTCATCCATGATCTGGCCAATCTCTTCTTCGCCCTCCCCTTCCTCGTCATATTCTTGCTCATATCCCTGATGGTAGTCATCATAGTCGTATCCTTCATTGATATCCTGGTCGTAGTACTCGTCCTCCTCGCCCTCTTCCCAAGATGGAATTAGTGGCCGGAGTGGGGCTGGAGGCATGGTCGAAAGGTATTCGATATCCATCTCGGAAAGAACTCGGGCGGGCTCGCCATCTTCCTCGTCTGGGTGGAGGACGATTGTGGGGATAATGAGAGGTGGTGGTTGAGGAAGCGAATCTGCTGTTGGTAGTGTTGGGGGCAGGCGCTTCATTTTCGAAAAGGTGCTGACGAGACTGAACGGCACCGAAGAGCTACTTGAGGGTGGACTCGATGGGCCAGATTCAACTGTGTGATTGTTGCTGTTACTGTTGTTGCGGTTCCGCCAGTACTGAAGTGGGATGGATGCAAGACTGGGTTTAGGACGTGGCGGAGGGGTAGGATGGGTGGTGGACTGTACATGGGAAGGGTCGGAGGTTGTGCTGGTAGAAATGTCGCCGAAGTAGGGATGTGCGTCAGGAGTGTTGGGCTGCATTGCTGGCGAGACAAATTGACCGTGGTGATCGTAGTGGCTCAGATTATTCTCGTCTACAGAGTAAGGCGAGTGTTGTGTCGGTTGAGTCAAGGAGGATCGGCGTTCTGGCACTGAAGGGACGTGGTTGGGGTATTTCAAGGATGATGCTGCGGAGCTAGTTCCTTGTTGGCGCGAGATCCACTCCTCATACGAAATCTGACTGGGCTGCGAGTATGGGTCATCTCCAAGCTCATTCGAGAGGTTGATGCCACTGTCGCTTGTAGGAGTCAACGTCAGTTCGGTCACAACGCCTTCCTGCTCGCCCCCCTGCTCTGTTACTCTGAACTCATCCAAAGTAGTTGTTGCTGAGAGTGTGGGTGACTTTGGCGAGAAGGTCGGAGATTCAGCCCTTGTGTCAGAGTCGGTTTGCTCAGAGTCATGACTGACCCTGGTCGTTGTCTCTTTGGTGTGACCCGCCTTGAAGTTCTCCTTGTGGTTCAAGTCCACTGACGGTTGGACAGCCTTGAATATCATGTCCGATAGGGATTCCCCTGGTTGGTCAAACAGCATGTCGCCCAATCCATAATGGTGGTTGGTGATGAACACTGTCCTCGCCTCCATAACGCCCCCGTTTGTTACTGCGGGCGCCGGTTTGGTCAGGTTCGTAAGTGTCGCGTCAGAGTCCTTGCTGGTGTCGTCCCTGAAGGTGAGCACGACCTGCGATATCCTCTTGTCCTTGGGGATGATGATGATGTTGCTGTCCTGACTGGATCGTCGCTCCCCCGTGACCCATGATTTCTCGGGCTCCTGCATCTCGTACGTGCCATAGCCGTGGTCGCCCTGTCGATTCATGTGTGTGTACTTTTGCTGCCGCTGTTCCGATGTGCCGGCTCCACGGGAGTGTGAGTCGAGGGGCGCAACGCCAGACTGTCTAAAGCCCATGAAACTGGGACTCGACCGCTTGCTTCTCCTCTGTCCCTCCCGGCTGTAATGAGTGCCCTCCAGACTGTGGGTCGCGGATTCCCTCTTGGGGTCCTGAATCTCGAATCCATGGGTTGCGTCACCGGAGGCGACGACACGCAGGTAGACAAGACAGACCAGAGAGAACAGCCATGAGCTGGCCTGGATTCCGTAGAGGACAGGTACGGCGATTTTAAGGGTGTTTATCTCGCCGTCGGCGATTTTTTGGCCTTGGATAAGAGCAGGATCGATCGCCTCATTTGGTAGCGTAATCAGACCCCAGACAATTAGGGTGTGTGTTACTGCAAGGAGGTTCCAGACACCAACAAGGGTGGCATACTGTCATTGTTGATATTGTTGATATTGTTGTTGTTATTGTTGTTGTTGTTGTTGTTGTTTTGTTGGTGAAGTCGATCGAGTGAGATACAACAATAATACATAATAAAAAAGGGGCGAAAGCAAAATATGCATTAGTATTTTCTTTGGTGAATTAAGTGGCACAAGGTCAGGTAATTTTTCTTTTATGCATTCGTGCAAATAGAAAACCTGAATAAAATAGAAGCATTCTTGTGGAGGAGAGTCCAATACGTACAGAATACAGATAGCCCAGACTCATCATATGAGCTGCTCCAATGCCTACACAGACAAAGCATAAACCAAACGCTGCGAGAATGGCCCCGATCCAGGCACTCGAGTCCGCAAGCAAAGACGTCAAGACAACCAGGGCAGTCTATCGTAGAAAAGTGCGGTTTTGGTCAGGGTGCTGCTTGTTGTCGAGTGTAAATTGGCAATTAATTGTCGCGCATGAGACCTCCACTCCCGTCATAGTGCTTACCGCCTGAAGCCACAATGATCCGTGGAGGAATCCATTAGGCCGGAAGCCCATTGTGTGTGACGGCGAGGAGGAGGTGGTTGAGGGTGGGGTGGGCGTGGGTTAGATACCAGTCTTTGAGAATTGTGTTGAAGGAATGGGTTGTTGACGTTGTACAAAGCTGTGATGGACTGGTTGATGTATGGTCGGGTCGGATAAATTAACGCTTGACGATGATGATGTAGAGTAAATGCGTGGTGGAAGAGCTCTGTCGGGTGAAAGGGTACGTAGCTGTTGTTGGTTTGTTCGTTTGTTCGTGGAGGGTGAGAGGTGTGAGTTGTATTTGTAGAGTCAAGGAACCGAGGTGATGAGTTGTGAGAGGGAGGGCGAAGAGGGTCGTTGCTATGTGATAGTGTGAGGACGTTTGCGTGTGCGAGTGTGTGGTCGTTACAAGGGAGATAGTTTTGTGGGTAAGGTGAGAGATGGGGAAGGTGGATCTGGTCGCCGTCAGTCCTTCACTCTGGCCAGCTTCTTGGGAGAGATAGTGAGAGAGTGAGGGAGTGAGAGATAGTGGCAGAAAGAGATGGAGAGAAAGAGGGAGGGAGTGGATGAAAGATGGAAAACAAAAGTGAAAGTGAGGAGGCAAAGAGCAAAACGACAGCGAAAGGCGGGAAGGGGGCTTCATTTCCAGGCCACACGAACAAACAAGCCTGATGCCATGAAATCTTCCCTCCCTCATCTCTCTCTCTCACACACACACACTCTTTATTTGCTTGCTGTTGTTGCTGTCGTTGTTGAGATGGACCACCTCCCGCGCCCTTTTCTTTTATTGCGCCTTGGCCATCACTCTCGCACTGCAATATCATCACGACAAGAGTAAACAACAATCAAAACAAAGGCTCAGCGTGTTCCTGCTTCCCGCCCTTTCCCTCCTTTTGCAACACGAGAGCCTTGACTCTTGGGCCATCTGTGTATGGCCTTCAAAGAGACGCTGTAGTCGCCTCTATAATTGACTGGTTCAGCAAATAAAGGGTGAGCACCATCAGCGCGTTTTTATCGACCTCCTATCCAGTCCATGGTTCCCAGGCACAGTTTGGACAAGGTGGACACTCGCAGCTAAGTATTTTTTTTTTCTTTTTCGAATTGAGAGCGTTTTCCCCGACCCATCTCTTTCTCACCCTCGCTCACTCACTCTCTCTCTCTCTCTCTGTCTGTCTGTCTTTCCTTCTCTTCTCCATAATCTTAGTCATTAGCTGAAAGGGGGGACGGACGGGATGACTTCACCTTCGATATGATGTTTGATCCGTCTCCGTGGTTTGTTTGACATCAAACCCAAAGGTTCAACGACCTCCTTTTTATCCTAGCGATTCTGTGTGCCCTTACCGACATGCTACTAGCCTGGTTTATTGTCACATCTTTTTTTTTCCTCGCCTGGCGGATGGCGTGGAGTGAACTTGGTGTTCTCCGTTGACTGTCGTAGAAGAATAAAATAAATAGCGGCAGGGGGAAGGTGCGTCAAAGGTCAATAATATGGCGATCCAGGAATGCTAAAACAAGCTGTATTGTCCCTGGCAAAGCTGGCATAGACCTAAAATAAGTAGGGTGTTTACGGTGTGCGTTGCGAATGGCTCCATGCATGCATGTACCTCTGAAGTTGCTTTGCTCCCTATTTTGATCCTCGACAATTAAAATCGCTGACAAAAAAATAAGAGTAGCACATGTTTGCAAACATACAAGAATAGCTGAGCATTAAAAACAAGAGCCAACTATATAAAATGTCCAGCAGGGAAAGGCAGGGACAGTATCCACCCTAGAAACATGACTGACAGGTGTGAACGAATAACGCACAAGGCACGGTTTGTGATACAAGCGAAATACTCGATTAGTCAAGAGAATTTGAGCAGGGCGGAATGTGGCCTGACCGTTCATGTCCCGTTCTTGCGCACCACAGCCTCTGAGAGAGGTTGGCATATGTGACAAGGTGAAGTACGGGATAGAACGGACAGACCATGGTCCTTTTCTACCAGAAGTGGATGATCCGCTACAATTGCATTAGTGAATGCCCATGTGAAAGAATGAAAAAACAAACGAGTGATCGGAGAAAGTAGAAAAGAGCCAGGTAGGTTCCAACTATGGAGAGCAATGTAATTAGAGTGTGTGTGTGGGTTACCTGCTCCACTCTCTCTCACACACATTAACAGACGCATTTTCATTCTGCAACCGTGTTGGACAGACAAACAGACGCCCAAGACAGGTGGAGACCGATAACTTTACCGTCGGCCTTGTAGTGCGATTCAGACTGAGAGCCGGAAGGGGACCGGAGAGGTAGTTCAGGATAGGAGTAAGGGAAGTATAAGAAGACGTATGCACGTGCACGGCGGCCAAAGGGGATGGCCTGTCTTTTTCAGTGTATCACACCACCCCGGCTGACCATGAGGCAAGGCTGGACCTCTCAAGAATGAACTCCGATAAGTGAGGAGTGAGTGCAGTGTAAGTGGGGTCGTTTGGAGGGATGGACAACCTATGGTACCTTTCGAATAGTGGCTGTAGGTGATGATGGCACAGATATTATGGATAGGAAAACAGGCAGGAGACCATTCAAAGGTGGCGGCCAATCATGGTCCTTGATCACCGACAGACGGAACACTGTTAGTGATAGTACCTGAATGGTCGTTGTAGAGAAGGATATGGGGCAGCAGCCTGGTGGATCAAGAACCAAAAAGTGAAGTAAAAGTAGAAAGAAGAACATGAAAGTAATACTAATAATACTGGCTAGGGTCGCAATGATCGATGAGAGCGATAGCAAAAGAGACCTCGGAGGAGCAAACCCAAAAGGAGCATCCCCCGTCTGTGAAGTGAAAACATGTCTTCTACCTTTCACTCTACTTCTTTCCTGACTTCGCTTAATTTCTTTTCTCTTTCTTTCTTACGTTACGACCCCTACCCTACCCGCCACCGCTTCTTCCCTCCGTTGTACACACACTCTTTCTCTACTTACCACTCTTCACTCTTTAACGACCAATACCCGACCTTGCTGTTCTTTGCTTTCTTTTTTCTCTGTATACCAGCAACAATAGCACAGGGCCTCCCACCAACACCTCACTCAACCAACACTCATTCCAACCAACTAGCAAAAGGAACAATAACCAGCCATGGGTCTCCAGATCTATGACTTTGTCTCCTTCTTCTTCACCATCCTCCTCGACATCTTCTTTCGAGAGATTCAAACCCGCGGTGCCCACAAGGTCCCTAAACAGGGACCTGTCATCTTTGTCGCTGGTCCTCATGCCAACCAGGTTCGTTGGAACTTTTTGCCTTTTTATATTCCCCGCATAAAGCAAGCATAACGAAAATACCACTTGGACCTTTGTATTGGTGTTTTTCACTGGGCGACGCGAACCGACGACTCCCTGCCCCGTGTTTCGCTCAATGGTTTTTTTTTTCTATGCACCCATCTAACGTCGTATGTGTTTCGCTTTTGTGAATGGTTTTTTTACATCGAATAGTTTGTTGACCCCATCGTGCTGATGCGCGAGTGCGGTAGACGCATCTCGTTCTTGGCCGCCAAAAAGTCCATGGACCTCAAGTGGATCGGTCTCATGGGACGATCGATGAACGCAAGTATGTATAAAAGCAAGGAGTGTTCGACAAACAGGCGAAACGAAAACGAAGAGTGTAGCGAGAGGAACAAGAAAATGTTGTGACCCAAACATGGTGGGGGGTGAAAGATAATTGATAAGAGGAGACGTGGGAAAACAAACGCATTCAAACGATTCTATTCGCCCTTTTTCTTCCTTTCTTCTGGAACCATGGGGTGTGCGAGGAAAGGACGAAAGCACAAAGACATCGTCAAAGTCCAAGCAGAGCTTGTTTTTTGCGTTGTCTCGGGCACAGGTCTCCCCTTTGACTTTTTTACAGTTCATCACCAGACAGAAAAGAACATCAACTCCAAAAAAACCGAACGTGCCCTCGTCTAGACCCATTTCAACATTGCTCGCTTACCGTTGTTTTCCTTTCCCTCGCCTCCATTTTGATGCCCTACGATGGGCCATGTCGCGTGGCTATCGCCTTGACCTCCTCCCTTGGTGTGTGTGTGTGACGATATGGCATTGACCTTTTTTTTTTTCCTTTTCAAAAATAGTCCCTGTTGAGCGCCCTCAGGACGTGGCCAAGGTCGGCTCGGGAACTATCAAGCTTGGAGACCGCTACAGTGACCCTCTTCGCGTCATTGGACTTGGTACGAAGTTTACAAAGGAACTCATGGTGGGCGATCAGATTGTTCTCCCCAAGGATATCGGCGCCTCGGCTGTTGTCGAGATTATCTCTGACACCGAGCTCATCGTCAAGAAGGAGTTCAGGGAATTGAAGGCCATCGAGGCCTTGACCAGCACCGATGGATCAAAGTACAAATGCATGCCCCACATGGACCAGTCCAATGTCTACAAGACTGTCTTTGAGCGTCTCAATGCTGGCCACTGCGTCGGTATCTTCCCCGAAGGTGGATCCCACGATCGTGCCGAGATGTTACCATTGAAAGGTATGGATGGACACCCCTTTTACTTAGTTTGCGCTCACTATGCAATGTTCAAACCTAGACAGCTCCAATAAGGGCTACAAGAAGTGCAAAAGTACAACAAACACTGACCCCGGTTTTTTGGCCTTTACCCTCCATTCTGTAAACACTACAATGCAGCTGGTGTTACCATCATGGCTTTGGGTGCTTTGGCTGCCAACCCTTCTCTCGATCTCAAGATTGTCACTTGTGGACTCAACTATTTCCACCCTCACCGCTTCCGATCCCGCGCCGTCGTCGAGTTTGGCGAGCCTCTCACCGTTCCCCCAGAGCTCGTTGAAATGTACAAGAAAGGAGGCGCAGACAAGCGTGAAGCCTGTGGAAAGCTCTTGGATACTATTTATGATGCTCTGAAGAACGTTACTCTCAACTCTCCTGATTACGAAACCCTCATGGTATGGCATCTGTACCTTTTTTTTTACCTTGTAAAGTATTCACCATGAAGCAAGTTAGCTAATTCCCTTCCACCTCTATTCATTTTTGAACATTTCTAGGTAATCCAAGCGGCTCGCCGTTTGTACAAGCCTACCCATCGTAAACTTCAAATTTCCCAGGTCGTCGAGCTCAACCGCCGTTTCGTTGCTGGTTACTTGCGCTTCAAAGACAACCCAAAGGTGATTGAGACCAAGGACAAGGTCATGCATTACAACACTCAGCTTCGCTACCATGGACTCCGCGATCACCAAGTCAACATCCACACCACCAGGAGGCATGCCATTGAACTTCTGATTACCAGAATCACCCAGATGATATTTTTGAGTCTTTTGGCCTTGCCTGGGTAAGAGGAATCTTGCATCTTTCAAATTACATGTCTGCTGACTCAAATGATATGCGAGATAGCATTGCTAATACTGTTACCTTTTATCTTATAGAACTCTTATGAACCTTCCTGTCGCCATTGTCGCCCGATACATCAGTAACAAGAAGGCCAGAGGTAAACAAATGAACAGCATGCGTGTGTTCCTGAATTTTGTTGGGAGTGGGCTGGGCGCGAAAAACCCAAACAATGCAAAAATTCTTACATGGCTTATCTCTTTTCCATCGCATGTCCAACAGAGGCTCTGGCTGCATCGACTGTCAAGATTGCAGGACGGGACGTTTTGGCTACATGGAAACTCTTGGTCGCCCTTGGATTGATGCCCGTCCTCTACTTTTCCTACTCTGTGATCGTCCTTATTCTCTGTGGACAACTCGATATCTCGCTCACGACCCGGCTCTTCATTGCCTGGGCAGCCTGGGCCTGTATTCCCTTTATGACCTATGCCAGCATCCGGTTCGGAGAGGTTGGTGTTGATATTTTCAAGTCGATTCGTCCCTTGTTCTTGTCCATCATCCCTGGTGAGGAGAACACGATGAACGAGCTCCGACGATCGCGTGCTGAACTCCAGAGGACCATTACGGCGCTCATTAATGAACTCGCACCAGAGATTTATCCCGATTTTGATTCCAAGCGGATTTTGGATCCTTCTCCCAACGACCGCCCTAGCCGCGGTGCGTCACGCTCTGCATCTGGCACCAACCTGGCCCAGACCATCTTCAATACTATGAACACGGCCACACAACCCATCAACCAGTGGCTCGGCATGGATGGGCGGTTTGAATGGGAACGCGCGGACGATTCGGATGCGGACGACGTCTTCTTCTTCTTGAACCCCGCCGGTGCGGTCCAAGGACGATCTCGGACGTCTTCTTGGGGTACTGGCGCTTGGACTCCCAACGCCGACGGTTCACGATCCAGGAACCGCAGTCGGACAAGCTCTTTCGCATCTGGTCAGATCCAGCTGGGTGAAGGGTTCAAGTTGGAGGCATTGACAGAGTTGCCCAAGGACAAACCCTTTGCCGAGGTGACGCGTAGGTTGAGCTTGACTCGGAAAAACAAGCATGGAGTTTTGGGCGATATGACGAAGGGAGGTGCGCTGGAGATTGAGAACGGTGGAGGGTTCATGCATGATGGTCACTTTGTCAGCACGCCGCCCATCACTGTCCAGAACATGGACGATCCCATGAATGCTGTCAGGACCAAGGAGGCATAAGTGTACGCCCCCGGCTGAACATTCTTTGCTTCTTTTTCTTTTGCGTTCTCTTTTTTTCTTTTTCATTTTCTTTTTCCTTTTTCCTTTTTTACGTTTCCTCTCTTTCTTTCTGCATGCAACTCTCCCCTCTCTTCTTTTTTTTCACTTTCATTTCTTGGAGTTTTCGTTCCAAGCTGCACTACATTTGACCATAGTTATGACGCTGTTTTTTTTTCAACATACCTCACGCTCTTCGTACGATCAACACTTGGCCTGTCATTCACAAAAATGATGGCTCTCGTCCACGTTTCACGCCCCAAACGTCCTAACTATCCCTCCCCATCGAGAAACAACACCATGGGCCGGAAAATTAAAAAAAAATCTCACAATAATTAATCATGATATGTGCTTTTATAATTTAAAGGTGAGCTCTACTTAACACGATCCATCACCAGAGAGACCGTGGTGGGCCATGGTATTAGAATAACCATGAGAGGAACTAGTCGAAGCTAAGGAAGTCCTCGAGATAGCAGCCGTCCTTGCAGGGGCAATCGCTGTTCCATTTGACGACTGCTGCTGCTGATTCATCTCATTCACCCGAGAGGTCCGTGTCTTGGAGATTGTGGCTGAAGGAGATGGAAAGATTGGCCGGACACGTCCCCAGCGCGCAAAATAGACCTCGCCGACAAAGACGCCCGCAAGGATGACACCCAAATAAGCCGAGTTGTAGGTCATGATGACCAACATGAGCATGTATCCGATACCGACGACCGCGGTGGTCAAGACTGCACGGGCAACCTCGGCCTGCCAGATGAATGGCTGGGCCGTAGGAAAGGTGAGGAATGGGAGTGGAGACGACTGGGTAGGAGAGGCAGCGGCGTAGAAGGGAGGAGGACTATGGTGTCGACGGCTGCCGTATCGCTTGGGACCTGAGGGGGTGGTGGAAGTAGGTCCTGATTGTGGCCGCTCCTGCATCATCCCCTGCTCTTGCTGGGGGAGGGAAGTTGAGGGGTTGTTGTTCTTCTCAGGATGTGGCAGAACGGCATGGTCGCCATCGCTGTTGTTGTTGTTAATTTTGCTGCTATCAAGAGCCAAGTTCTGGTGTCCTGGGTTTCCGTCATCACTTTCGTCCTCATCGACCTGTTGATGCTGCTGCTGCAGGTAGGGGTTATGGCTGTGGCGGGAATGTAACGAGGAGTGAGGACGAGGATAGAGGTGGAGATGGAGATAGGCTTCAAGGTAGCCCTGGGCGGCGACGAGGGCCCTGAAACCTATGGAGAGGATAAAGAGACCGATGAGGGCGCCGATGTATTGGGGCTCAGACATGGGTGTCAGGTCCGGGGACCAGACGGCTGAACCCAGACCTGGCTGGAAGCCTGATGTCATTGAGTGATCCATCGTCGCTGATCGGGTTGTGTGGTCGGGAGTGAAAAAGGAGGAGGGGTAGAGAAGGTGTGAAAAAGGGAGGAAGGGGAGTGAGAGAGGGTGGAGGTTGATGAGAGAGAGGTTGACGCGGGAGAAAAGGATGATGGATGAGAAAACAATGAAGAACGGAAAAATATGAGGACCGACAGGGTGTGACAAAATAGTGGGTGGAAGAATTGACATTTGAGACCTGTCAAATTTTTGACAAGGTCCTGTCAGGATTCCCTGCTTCCCCTTAAGCATGTCCATCTTCTGGAATCTGGATGGCCCCTTTGATCGCTCGTGCTGCATTTCTCTGAAACCTGCAACCACCACCATCTAACAACTGTTTTTCTTGCTTTCAGGCCCTCTCTACCTTGATCGCGACCCCCCTCCGCGATCGCCTCTTTCCCAAAAATTCACTCAGCCCTTTATTGATTATTACATGGCATTCACAAACGAGGCGAAATTTCACCCTTCCATCCCCCCCACTTGATCTTCTTCATTTGTTCTTTTTCTTTCTCAACGACCAACACAAAGCACACCTGAACGGCTTTACTCTGGCTTTTTAAGGTCGTTTATTTCTTGTTCATCGGGGTAGTCGTCTCCAGCGTGTAGGATGGCCTGGACGAAGGCAGACAAAGACTTAAGAACGACTCTTGGTTCCACGACCGCGGCCGCCGCTTAAAAAGCAGCAGAGTAAAAGCCGTTCAGGTGTGCTTTGTGTTGGTCGTTGAGAAAGAAAAAGAACAAATGAAGAAGATCAAGTGGGGGGGATGGAAGGGTGAAATTTCGCCTCGTTTGTGAATGCCATGTAATAATCAATAAAGGGCTGAGTGAATTTTTGGGAAAGAGGCGATCGCGGAGGGGGTGTCGCGGTCAAGGTAGAGGGGTCTGAAAGCAAGAAAAAAAAGTCGTGTCGAAAGATTTGTTGTCAAAAGGATAGTAGATGGCGATAGTTGTAGGTTTTAAAACAGGAAAAGGGTGGATCTTTCGCGTGGATTTAAAGTTGTCAACAAAGTCAGTGAAGCTCCTCGTCGTACGAAGGCCTTGACCTCATACGCAAGGGGAACATCTGTTTTAGACGAAAACTCGCGAAGGGATGTTGATGGATTGGGAGGCGACCGAGGGCGGATAAAACCAACGAACAAATAAAAGGCCAAGCAGGCAACAACAGGCAAAAGAATAAAAGGAAAAAGTGTGATCGTTGGTGTAGAAGACAGATGTAGAATGAGATAGAAAAGAACGAAGAAGATGAAACAAGACGTCGAAACGCGATGGAGGGGGTAACTCAATTACAGGTGAGGCCGATGAGAATGGAAAGGAAATGGAGGAGGCAGCAGCAACAGGAGAGAGCGCAACGGACAAGTAGAGAGGCATAAAGAAAAAGACCCAGGTCGGATCCACCATGTTCGGTTGAGAGGCGAATAGGGTGGCTGTCATTGGGGAAAATGCAGCACGAGCGATCAAAGGGGTAATCCAGAAGAAGACCAAGGAAAAGAAGGAGAGAAGAAGAGGAGAGCCAGATAGATGAATGCCCAGCGGAAGTTGTCATCAAGTCATCAAGACAAGGTAGAGTATATCGGAAGAATAATGTCTTCATCAGGGAGAACGAGGAGGAACCGAAGGGGATTCTGAGGTAATGCTAGCTATTTATGTGGAGGTGCGGTTCGGCCAAAGTCCCGGGATCGGCAGAGCATCAAAGCCGACCAGGCGGTCCGAAGCGTACCTAGACTCAGGATCCAAAGGGACAGTAGGGGTCATGGCGACCAGATATGTGACAGTCTCTGGTCACGTGTGAATCATCGGAAGGAGATCAATTAGCTGATATTAATGAAAGCAAAAAGGTGGTTTTTATTCAAAGATGACTAGACGCGTCCAATTGGCAAGATGATGACAAAAGGTGAAGTCAGCCTGGGAGTAAAAATTTGATGGCTGCCGATCACACATCCATTTACTTGTGGGCCTTGGTGAAGCGGTCGGTGACAGTCTTCCAGTTGATGACGTGCCAGATGGCGTTGAGGTAGTCGGGGCGGACGTTCTTGTACTGGAGATAGTAGGCGTGCTCCCAGACATCAATTCCCAGAAGGGGGATCAATCCAGTGGTGGGCTTGAGGGGATCCTGGTTGGCGGTGGTGGCAATCTCAAGACGCTTGAACTCCTTGTTGTAGCCCAACCAACCCCATCCGGAACCCTGAACAGCGGCAGTCTGGGTGTTGAACTTGGAGACGAACTGGTCAAACGAGCCCCAGGACTTCTCGATCTCCTTAAGGAGCTCACCCGAGGGCTTGGGGACCTCCTTGTGGCCGGGGGCCAAGTTCTCCCAGAAGAGGGTGTGGTTGATGTGACCTGTTTACAAACGGTGAATAGATCGGCTAATTAATATGATTAATCATAAGAGATGCAACACTTTGCTACGCGAAAAGAAGTAGATACAACGTACCACCACCGTTGAACTTGATGGCAGACTGGATGGAGATCTCCTCGTTGACATCCTTGCTCTGGAAGGCAGATCCGAGCTTCTCCTCGGCGGCGTTGAGGTTGTTGATATAGGCTAAAAAGAGTGGTGGACCAAGCATTGTAGTTCAGTGTTAATAAAAGATTGAGCATCGGGGTAAGCGGCTGCATTAGTGCGCAGACCATGCCGTCTTGGTGGCGTGTAGTTTTTTGATCAGTTTTGTAGGGCATTCAGTTGGACACCATTAGCATTCACACGCCCACGTACTCTGGTGGTGCTTGGCGTGGTGGATCTTCATGATCTCTCCACTGATGTAGGGCTCCAAAGCCTATAGTGAAAAGGTGAGGGGTGAAAAAAAAGGAAAGGAGCGTGAGAATGAAAGCCATACAAACTGACACCAAGAACGCGAAATCGACGCGGTCTGCGCAGGCATTGAGACACAGCCAACGATAAAACGTACCTCATAGGCGTATGGGAGAGCTATACAAGCAAAGAAAGAAAGCAAAAAGACACAGCGGTTAGAATTGGTTTATGAGGGTTGATTAATCGCTGCTCACTGCGCATTCGATCCTGTCGTTGCAAAGACCCATGGATTCAGAGGATTACGAGAATGAACGAAAAGTTGATGCAAGGTGCGGAAATAAATCTCCGTAGGGTCTTACCGGGGAGGGTGTGCTTGTAGCGGAGACCGGCAAAGGCCGAGGGCTTGTTGATGGCTGCAAAGGTGCGGGGGATGGAGCGAAGCATGTTGGTTGAAGTGTGAGTGGAGAAGTAACGGAAGCTGTGTGCGTGAAAAAAGAATAGAAAAGGAGAAAAAGAAGCGAAGCGGAGCCCTACCTTTTGCCCTCCCGGGTCAGCTTTCGAGTGACGTCAGAAATTAGCTCGTGATAAACGCGTAGGGATTGCTTCACACATCAACGGCCTACTCAGCCAGCTCAATCTTTCAGTCCGCAACCACGGATACGAAGCAAGGTACAACGGGATTGACCGCCGGATGGATACCTCAAAATAACAACCAAAAGAAAGAAAGAAAAAAAAGTAAAGGCAAGCACTTGTCGGAACCATCCTTACCTTCCACACTTGACTGATCCCCTTTTCCAAGCGCACTCAGCTAATCTTCCCACGAATGAATGAGTGATCCCAATGTGATCCAATATCATGGAAGATCGCGTGCTTTCTTTCTCACCTTGATTGCCTTTTGGTATCTCTACCACCGCCTTCCCAACTCCTTTTTTTTGAACCTTCCTGTATCGACACGCCTCTTTTGTTCTTTCTCTTTTTCTTACTACTTCCCTACTCTTTTCTCTACACCATCACACCACTACATTCATATTCAAAAAAAAATGTTTACTGAAGCACAAGTCAACGATGCCATCGTCGAGATGAAGGTCCCCAACGTCACTTCTTGGGAGCTATTCTCACAGGTGCCTAATTTCAAGGTCTACCGTCGATCCGTCCCCAATAGCTCGTTGAAGGAGTACAAGGTTTTAGGATCCTACCCTGATTTGCCCACACGCTACCTTCTTCGAGCCTACACTGACTTGGACTTTCGCAAGTCCTGGGACTCTAACATGATCGGCTGGAAGGCTCTCCCTAACCACCGCCTGCATTTTACTGCAAAGTTTCCCTGGCCACTGTATCCACGCGACTATGTCTATGAGCTCCGCACACAGGAATTCGCAGAGGGCGTGGTCTGTGTGAATGGCAAGAGTGTGTTTGATGAGGCTGCTCCTGAGCGGTCGGGCACAGTCCGTGTGGACGAATTTAGACAGGATGTGGTTATCCAACCTACCGAGGATGGCCGCGGCTGCAACATTTGGTTTGGCTACTACGACAACCCCAAGGTACAACATCGCTCTGCTACTGTTACTGTTGCCGCTCTGTGTTATACTTCTTATGTGAATACGCCGATTGGATCTGATAACTCTCCATACTTTGTGACAAAAAACAGGGCAATATTCCTTCAAGTATCATCAACTGGGCGGCCAAGTCTGGCATTCCTTGTAAGCTCTTTTCAGGAATGAACGCAGAGTAGGAACTCGTCCGGATCCTAGGTTCCGTCACTGATCTATACTTTGTCTTAATACAATCTTCTTGCATAGCCTTCCTGAACTCGATGAGAGACGCGGGCCTTCGGTTGATGAAGACGGACGAGGAGAGCGGAGTTCTTGACGAGAAGATCCAGCCCATGTCGTCGACCGCCACGCCTTTGCCAGTCAACTGCTAGGAAGAGCAAAAGTGAGTGTGTGCCAAAGTTTTCTACAGATAGATACGCCTGCTTCTTTTTTTTAGGACAATTAAAAAAAAAAGTGCCAGGAGTATGAAAGAGAAGGAAACAAAGACAGAAGAGGCGAGACGCGTCGTGCTTGTGCTTGTCACCCAACAAATGATCCGTTTGAGCCATGTGCAGGGCCCCAATCCATGGCTGGTGGCTTAGCAGCCATTCATTTCTTTTTTTTTTCTTTCAAGCAAAATCCCAATAACCCCCTCTCTCCCCTTCTCTCAAACAACACACACTTTCCACCTCGCCCTCTTCCCTTATTTTTTACTCTCACCTCGCGCCTTGTCTACGACTACTCTGTTTACTACGACTTCTACTACGAGCTGTGTGTGTGTGTATTCCCTAGTTGTGGCTCCCTTCCAACCCCGTGTGCCTGTGTATGTATGAATACCTGTAACCTGTTTGACTATTGTCTCTTGCATTGAACTCTCTCTCTCTCCCTCTTTTTCCTCTCTTTCCGCCTCCGCCATCACCATTGCCTGCCTGCTGTCTGTTCTGTTCTGTTCGTATCGTCGCCCTGTCCCTGTTTTCATCCTCCTCCCTTCAACCTTCCTCCACTCCTTGTCGTTGTCATCGTCCTCCTCTCTCTCTTTCTCTCTCTCTCTCTTTTTTTTCATCTTCGCCACACCTTGTGCCTCCTTCCTCATCCGATCGATCTCTACTCTCTGCCCACCCAACCGCCCCCATGAACGATGACGATCAACCAGCTCCTCCTACTTCTTTACTTTTACTTTCTTCTTTTCACCTCTTTTCCGACCCTCGATACCCTTGTCTCGCCGCACGACAGACGCGTCGACTACCAGCAACCAAAGGATGGCGTCTATTTGGATCCCGATCATCCCTTTTGTCAGCCTTCATACTCAGATTAACCAAACAACTCAGCCAACCACCTTGCCCGATTCCCAAGCTTTCGCTCTCTTTTGCACCCTGGACATTCATAAACTAACGCCCTCTTTTTGTCCCTTCTCTACCCTTATTCTTCCTTGCAACCACCAGTTACCTACAAAAACCAAAGAGTATTATCCGCCCGTTGCCCTGCTTACCTGCCCAACTCTACCACGCTGACGAACAACCTCCATGGACTGTAAGTGCTCTTCCACCTTCACACCTTCTCACACCCATACACCCATCCCAACACCCTCTTCCCTAGTCACTCAATTAGTGTTCTATCTCATCCAGAAGAAACGGAAACAAACCCCTATGCAGCACACTCCTCCTCCCTCCTTCCTGTTGCCACGATCTCACTCTTGCCTTGGAAGTATGCTTTTGGGAATCAACAACAGTCAAGTCCGCTGTGATCGCATTTGAAATCAGGCCCCTCCCGAAAAACAAAAAAAAACAAAAAAAAACGATGAAACCTAACATCACACCCTCGCACACGCACCATGCCTCCTCCACCTCCTCTCTTGTTGCAATGGTGTTTCTTGTTGCTATGCTGCCTGTCTTTTTTTGGAAGCGTCCCTCGACTAGCATGCAACCCCCCCCTCTCCCCTCTCGTCCCTGTTCCACCTCAACGCACGGATGGAATTCACTGCAGGACACCAGCGGTTGTGTGGCTCTGCGTTGCTGACAAAGAGCCGTGTAGAGTGCCAATACGATACACTCGAGAGACGATCGAGCTAGGTCTATTGATCGACGCAGCTCACAATCCACCCATACATATATACTGATGCTATCAGTACTGATATTACATCTCCCAAATTCTCGGTAGCCCAAGACTCGTCTGCGTATGAAGACGACGGAGCATCCTCACCAATCCATCGCAAGCGCCGCTCCTCCGACAGTCTCTCGGACAGCGAGGATAGACACAAAAGCCGGAGCAGAGTTAACAACAGCAACAGCAACAATAAGTCAGGGTCAGAAGCATCATCTTTCGAATCCTCTACCGACGACGATGACGACGACGATGAACCCGACTATCCGCCCAAGAAATCTTCTTCTCGGCGCCAAGATGAAAGCACCTATGACAGCTTCGAGGAGGTTAACGGGTCTGATTCCAGTCAGGTCCGTTCTAATAAGGCGCCTCGGACAAGTAGGACGGAGTTTCGCAATGTCGACGCAGAGCTTTATGACCTTCGTAGATCAGGCAGGAGTCGCCGTGCACCCAAGATTATCGATGACGACGATGATGAAGACGAGGACGAAGAAGTAACTTTCATGCACATTACAGCTTCAATTGAAACGCACCAGGCTTGCGCACTCATTAATTTTCATCAGACTGACATTGTTTTGCTCTTGTTTTCTTACGCCTTCAGAGTGATTTTGAAAACGACGATAACGACGGATCGGACTCTGGTTCTGGGCTTGGTGATGGATCAGACGACAGTGGTAGTGATTACGGATATGGCAGCAAGAAGAAGACCACGAGAAAGGCTGCAAAGTCTTCAAGATCTTTAGGACGGAAAGGTAATACCTCGCATAATCTTTATCGACCTAGCCCTGCACAACTTTTACAAAGCTTCCTAGATGGCAGCAAACTGAGGCCGAATTCAAACCGCCTCTCATTTTTCTGGTGATAGAACCGAGATCCAATGAAAGCACCATCCAAAGGATAATTCCTCAGGACACCCCATCATCCGCCAGTGATTCGGATGGAGACTGGGGCAGCAGCTCCAAGAAAAAGTCTAGCAGCAGGCGCAGGAGAACAGCTTCATCAGGTAGGCGTCGTATGTGATTCTCAACTGTGAGCCATGACATCAGAGCAAAGGGAATGGATTATACGCGATAACTCACAGTTTAGAATATTTTTTCTCGTGTCATCTTGTTTAATAGCCAACAAAGACACCGACCAAGGAGTCCGCTATTCTTCGCGCGGTGGACAAGTCAACTATAACGAGGACGAGAACGATTGGGGCATTAGCTCAGAGGACGACAAGCTCCCAATGTATACCAAGCTAGTGGTGCAAGAAGAGGAAGGCGATGTTATTGAAAGTATTCATGATTTCCGTCGCACAGGTACGAAGGAAAACATTCCGATGATGCTCAAACACTGGAATTCAAAATATTGGTGGCGTTTGTGTCTTTTTCTCTTGAACAAAGATATTAAATTATGATCACCACCTTTTGCTATTCCTCTCAAATCAGAATCAGACGATGCGGACGATGCAGACGAGCCCGATGACCCGCACAACAACATGGAGTATCTGATCAAATGGAAACAGCACAGCCACATGCACAACACCTGGGAGCCCTACCAAGACCTCCGACAGTACAAGGGCTTCAAGAAGGTCGACAGCTACATCCATCGCTTTGTCTACCCCGAGATCGCCCTCAAGTCTGACCCCAACACCATGCGCGAGGAGATCGAGCAATCCGATGTCAACCGAGAGATGCTTCGTGACGAGCTCAAGGACTATCGATCCGTCGAGCGCATCATCGCCTCCAGAACCTCGAAATCAGGCGAGACGGAATACTTTTGCAAATGGAACCGCTTGGCCTACAGCGCTGCTACCTGGGAAGTTGAGGATCGGATTTCGGACAATCACCAGGCAGAGATTGATGCATTCCTGGACCGTGAGTCAAGTCAGAAGGTTCCATATAAAACGACCATCTACCCCAAGGGACAGCGACCACCCTTCAAAAAGTTGGTCACCCAGCCTGAATACCTGGTGGGAGGTCAGCTCCGTGACTACCAATTAACTGGATTGAACTGGATGTCTCGTCTCTGGTCCAGGAACGAGAACGGTATCCTAGCAGACGAGATGGGTCTAGGCAAGACGGTACAGTCTATCTCGATCATATCCTTCCTGTTTCATCAACACAACCTCTACGGTCCCTACCTGGTCGTGGTTCCACTTTCGACAATCGGCGCATGGCAACGCGAGTTTGAGCGGTGGGCTCCTGATATGAACATGATTGTGTACATTGGTGACGGCGCGAGTCGACAAACCATCCGCGATTACGAGTTCTACCAGAATGGCTCAACCACCAAGATCCGGTTCAATGTTCTCCTGACGACCTTCGAGTTGGTGCGCATGGACCGCGCAGAGCTGGACAAGATCAAGTGGACCTACTTGGCAATCGACGAAGCCCATCGACTTAAGAACAAGCAATCGCAGCTTCACGAGACCCTCAAGGACTTTAACACCGCCAACCGCCTGCTGATCACCGGAACTCCTCTCCAGAACAGCGTTAAGGAGCTAATTGCGCTGTGTAACTTTTTGATGCCCGACAAGTTTGTGGACGACGACGTAGAGATCGATATGGCTGATGCGGAACAGGAGGCCAAGATCCGCGATCTGCACGACAGCCTGAAGCCCTACATGCTGCGTCGTTTGAAGAAGGATGTCGAGAAGTCGCTACCCAAGAAGACCGAGCGTATTCTTCGCGTGGAATTGTCCCAACTCCAGACCCATTACTACAAGAACATCCTCACCAAGAACTTTGCCGTCCTCAACAAAGGTGTCTCCGGTCATGGCCAGCTGAGCTTACTGAACGTCGCCATGGAGCTCAAGAAGGCCAGTAACCATCCATACCTGTTTCCGAACGCAGAGGTGGTGTCGGACAAGCGAGACGAACAACTCAAAGGCATCATCATGAGCAGTGGCAAGATGGTCCTCCTCGACAAGCTTTTGACAAGGCTCAAGAAGGATGGACATCGCGTCCTGATCTTTTCCCAGATGGTGAGGATGCTGGACATCATGACGGATTACCTGGCCCTCCGCGGATTCGCCTTTCAACGTTTGGACGGCAGTGTCGGATCGGAGGCTCGCAAGCGATCGATTGAGCACTTCAATGCACCCAACTCGATCGATTTTGTCTTTTTGCTGTCGACCCGCGCCGGTGGTCTTGGTATCAACCTGGAAACGGCGGACACTGTCATCATCTTTGATTCGGACTGGAACCCCCAGAACGATCTTCAAGCGATGGCGCGTGCTCATCGTATCGGCCAGAAGAACGTCGTCAACGTCTACCGGTTCGTCTCCAAGGACACAATCGAGGAGGATATTATTGAGCGTGCCAAGCGCAAGATGGTCCTCGAGTACTGCATTATCAAGCAGATGGACACCTCGGGACTGGAGATCTTGCAACAAAAGAAGGCAGCCGAAACATCGACAGGCTTCACCAAGGATGAGCTTTCAGCGATCCTCAAGTTCGGCGCTCAGAGCATGTTCCAACAGACCGAGGGAGCAACTGCCAAGAAGCTGGACGAGCTTGACTTGGACGAGCTTCTGGCTCGTGCTGAGGACCACGACACGACAGATGCTGTCGCCTTGGCCGGTGGTGATGAGTTCTTGGAACAGTTCAAGTACACTGACTTTGGCGCCGAGGACATGTCTTGGGACGATATTATCCCTGCCGACGAGCGTGAGCAGTTTGAGGCTGAGGAGAGGGCCAAGATGGAGGAACAGCTCTATACACCCCGCAATCGCGGTCGCATCTCCTATGCGGAGGAGAAGGCCACCTCTCCGTCGCCCGAGTCTGAGGGCCGCCGGAAGAGACGCAAGGCATCGAGCAACTCGAACTCGGCACCAGCTGGACCCAAGAAAAAGCGGGGCGCAGGACTCGACCCATCCGAACTGAACACCAAGGATCTCCGTGCCCTCGCTCGCGGTATGCTCAAGTACGGAATCGTGACCGATCGCTACCAGGATGTTGTCGCAGAGGCGGAGCTCGAGGACAAGGAGGAAGGCGTGGTCAAGCAGGAGGCTGAGGATTTGATTCATGCCTGTGAGGATGCCTTGGGAGTCGAACGCGATTCAATCAACAACCAGGACCCTGATGAGGACCTTCCATACGCCAAGAAGAACGCTAAGGCAGTTTTGTTCACCTACAAGGAAGTCGAGAAGGTGAACGCTGGCCAGATGATTTTGCGATTGAAGGATCTCCGGGCCATGAACCGCAAGCTGGACGGTACCGATACTACCAAGTTCAGGATGGGTGTCGCGTTGAAGCCGGTGATGAATTGGTCGTGTTCTTGGGGCCAGAAGGACGATGCTTCGCTGGTTATTGGCATCTACAAGCATGGATTCGGTGCATGGGACAAGATTCAAGAGGATAGCGCATTGGGGTTCGGCAGCAAGTTCTTCCTTTCGACTCAGGATGCCAAGGACTTGGGCAAGATTCCCAAGGCTCTTCACTTGGTCCGCCGTGGAGAGTACCTGTTGAAAACTCTTCGCGAGTCTGAGCGCGACAAGAAGATTCGGCAATCAGCAGCAACATCATCTGGATCCCGACGAGAACCCGGCAAGTCATCTCGGAATACTTCCAGCAACCACCACACCAGCAGCAAGGATCAAAGTAAATCAAGCAACAGTCGGTCAGCGGCCAAGGCGATCACCGGCTCCAGTGGTACCAAGTCCCGCTCTTCCACCACTCGATCAGGACGGTCATCCAAGGCCAATGCTGGTTCTAGCTCGGATCGCGGTGAAGATTCTTCAGGGGGACAGTCAGACGAGACCAGTAAGGATATGCTGAGGGCTGTGAGTCGCGACCTGAGGACTATTCGAGAGTCGGACAAGAAGTCTGTGGAACCTCAAGTCATTGCTGAGTGTCTGGGTCGGATTGGTCGAGAGATTGAGAATCTGGTCGACGGAGGCTCCTCAAGGTCAAGAAGCGAACGAGACCGTCTCTCCCGTCAGCTGTGGACATTTGCAGGAAAGGCCTTCCCTACGGGCGCCATCCATTACGCTCAGCTCCGCAAGGGTTACATGGATATCAAGAACGCTCAAAAGCAATCTGTTGAATCTTCATCTTCACGGAAACGGCAGCATTCGGATGATAGTCGGAAGTCAGGCCAGAGGCGGTCAAGCCCCCATTCTTCCCGACGGAACTACAGTCGCGATCGAGATGATGGGGGACACAGAAGGAGGTCTCGATCAGGACGAGATGGTAGCGCCAGTCCACAGCGGACGACCTCGAGACAATCTCGCAGGAGGAGCGATTCTTTGGAGGATGAGCGATCGCGGTACAAGGACCACCGGTCTGGATCTTCCCATGACCGCCGCAGCTCCTCGAAACATCGCCACAGGTCAGACGAAGAAGATGATGAGGGACATAGTCGGTCAGCTAAGCGCCGGAGCACCGGAGATGGCATTCGTGAAGGTAACAGCAACAACCACCTCAGTAACGGCAGCAATGGCAGTCTCGCCAATGGCAGTGGCAACCACGAGGAGCGGTCGAGGGATAGTCGCAAGCGGGATCGGTCGTACGACCGTAGCGACCGCCGCAAGGACTCGAGGGATCGAAGCAGAGGTCGCAGCCGAGATCGCAGCCGGGACCGTAGTCGAGACCGTAGTCGGGACCGAAGTCGCGGGCGCTCAGGGCGTGGACGAGACCGCGATCGTGACAGGAGTCGAGACCGATCACATGACGACAGCCGACGCTACCGGTAGTTGAGGCTTTTTGTAAAACGCGCCTTTTTCCGTCGAACTATTCCTTTGGAAACAATAATGGACGGTGAGGAAAGGTTTAAAAACAAGACAAAAAAAACACCCCCACTTCGTAGAACAACTAAAAAGAAATTTGCAATACCTCTAAAAAAAATCGCACACGCATTCTAACTATCTTTTGTACTTGTGGAAAGGAGTTTTTGTTGGTGGCTGTTGGCAGGACAACGAAGGGAGGGATGATGCAAAATAAAGGGGTAAGAAAGAGGGGCACTTCATCACCAGACAGCGAGACTGACAACCCAAGTAGCAACAACAATAACCCACGACACCAGTAGTCGACTCTTTCTTTTCTTTCTCTTTCTTGTTCTCTTTGCCATCACCCACCTCTCTTTACTTCCCTTTCCTCATTCTCATTGCAGCCCGGAATACTCCACCAACACCTCCCACAGGACAGCCTCAAGAAATATCGTAAAAACGACAAACACGTCATGTTGAGCTCGATTGGGAAGCTATTGGGCAGCCGTACTGACCTGGACAAGAGCAACGACAGTCTTGGAACCGCAGGAGGACCTGCCAGCGAGGTTTCTGAGGTACTACCACACGACGCTATCGTAAAAGAATACACGACAGTAGAATGGATAGAATATCATATTCATCTCTGTCTATCGCACATGCTCCTCCCACCAACAACGTTTTTTTTCTAGCCACTTTTTAACTTTTTTGGGGGTTCACGTTATTGTCGTCTATCTTTACTACCGAATAGGTGCTGATCAATGAGTTTTTCACGGCGATCCATGAGCAGGATACTGAAGCGGTCCGGCAGTTGTTGGTTGACCACAAGGCAGACCTGACAAGGGCTCGATTCAAGCCAGAACCCCGGACCGTTCGTTTCCCGGACGAGGTCGAGCGGGATGCCTACACGCTTCTGGGTGCTTATCTCGGACCTTTGACGGGGTTGCAGTACTCCATTCTGACAGGACGGGATGCCATCGCCAAGGATATTCTCGACTCTACTTTCGAGCAAGGTGAAGGCAACTGCTATCTTGTGTTCTGGTGGTTGATTGTTTTCGTAACGTCCAGGGGCGAAAGTGCATTTATGCTGACCATTTTTCATGTCTCTTTTGACTGCGATAGATGTTGATGCCAGGTTTGGAGTAAGCAACTCGTTTAGGGCGACATTGTGTGAAGGAATGAAACTATACACAAAAGCACTTTACATATCGAACACGAAGCTCACATGCATTTACACTCCATTCTTTTTTTTTTTTCTGGTTTGGACCGTTATCTCATCGCTACTATCATAGAGTGGCAACACAGCACTGCACTTGGCGGTCTTGCTAGGTGCATCGGCAATGGTGTCGGCCTTGATTGAACGAGGCGCTGATGTTGCCTTAAAGAACAAGCGTGGATACTCTGCCGTGGTAATTTTTGATTGATTTGGGGAGAGAACAATATCCATTATTCTCATGACCCATTTGGCTGACCCTTTTGTTTGGTATCCACACGATCGAGAACTACTGCTTACTAACTATTTTTTGTATTGTATTCGCAGGACATGTCGGACAATCCAGATATCTTGCAATTGTTGCAGTCAGGCGACGACGAAGATACCCAGTAGATGTAATTCTTTATGTTTCAGGCGAGGAGTGGCATACGAGTAGTGACAATTGCTAGGCATCTCGGACGTCAGTAATGCCAGCTTGGATATTATCTCAGGGTCGTTAATAATAAAACACGAAGCATTGCAAAAAAACAAATTCCAGGGACCATCGAAAAGAAGTTTCCCATGTGGCACAAAGTACATTCTTATGAAACCGTGCCTGACCAGCACCCTCTCAGATTTCACTCAACCTTTTTTTTTTTTTTTTTCTCTAACAAACAGCACAGAAAGGCATTTGGAGACTACAGACCAAACTCTTCAGTGCACCATCCGCCAGTCGCAGTCCGGTCCAGAACCTGGCTCTGCACAACAGTTGTCGCTGCTCTTCACAGCTTAAACGGAAGAAAATAAAACTAGATACGAATGAAGGGGATTCTTCCCATCCTTTCCATCATTGACAACCTCCTCCTTCCTAACAAACTCTCCAACAACCGCTCGTCAGCAGCGCGTGGGTCCTTGGTCGCTCCAGGGCACCTTCCTTCACAATGTGTGGCTAGCGAAGCGCCACACGGACAGAAACCATCATGCGTGATGTAACCGTATCCTTGACTCCAGTCACCTCGGGGGTCTGTGTACTTGGATGTCCTGTCCTTGGCAGAGATACCCTGGGTCTGTTCCCATGCGATCGTCTCGGAACACCGAGGTTTCCAGATCAGCTCCGAGGCCTGCGCCTCCAGGTAGCCAACAACCTTGTGCAGGACCGGCTTGGCGATGGTCATTGGGGTCCGGAAGACCGCGGACCATTCAGTCAGCATGCTCATGGAAGTAATGCCGCGGAGGAGATCCGACACATTTCCACATCGGGTTCTCGTCTCGATCGGGAGCAGGACTACCGTTGTGCACGGCTCGAGCTCCACCGATGGAGTAAAATCCTCGTACATGATCCGCATCCGAAGGGGGCCACCAGTGTATGGGTACTGGCCTCGGTACCTGACGACCCATGTCCACTGCGCGTTTGTGTTCCCACTTCCTAGCTGCGTTGTAGCTGTTTGTCGCCTGCAAACCCACTCATAAATCTTGCCCATGGTCTCTCAGTGGTGGTCTCGGCTGCCAAGACGCATTTCCAGACATGATTCTTATCGTCGGCACACGCATGTTGGGGGTTTTTTTTCGTACACTACACGCATGTTTGACCTTTTTTTGAACCTTTCTCTAAGTGCACATTTCACGTGATATAAGACATCAATTTCAACCTTGGGTACAAAATGATCCAAAAATCTGAGTTCCTAAGCAATTCGATCGGCGCCAGAAGGCGCCAGATAGCCCGGCTAGCTCAATCGGTAGAGCGTCAGACTCTTAATCTGAAGGCTGTGGGTTCGACCCCCACGTTGGGCGTAAGATCATGGGCTCATAGGTACAACCAAGCTGGTAATTTAGGATTCATCCTATCAGCTTTCCATTGAGTTTCAATACTTGCCTCTCTTTTGCGTTTTTTTGGTGGTGGTGGTCAGAAAGAAGAGTGCTACTAAGGCGGGGCCACTATCTGTCGGAGAGAGCGTAAAGCTGCAGGACTTTTTTAGTTCTGGCTTTGGTTGAAGAGGCCACACTCTTGAGACAAGCTACCTGCTCTTTTGCTTCGCGTCCTTGTATGGATGATATTCTTTTGGAGACATGTCAAAATATCATTTTGTACAGTCAGAATAGCTGCTTCCCAATAGTTGCACACCGAAGAAAAATATATAAAAACCCCCATTGGATGCTTCGACGAGACCGTCTCGACCGCATGGGTGTTTTTTCCTTTAAGCGAACTTATTTGACAACCTAGACCATCTGGCTTGCCCTGTGTCAAGATACCGCAATGGAACTCCCGTTCTTAGCGGCATGATATCGGTACGTTTCCTGTGTGCCCCTTTCGTCAAATTTGTCCCTTTCAAACAAAACTAATACTGATGATGTTAAGATGCCACTTTATTATGGTCGAACATTTTTTAGAAAGAGCGCCATATGAGTATTACAAGTCAGATTAGCCAAGAAAACGTTATTCTGACATAATAAAAAAAACTATGATAGAAGTCAGATTATCTCATAAAAAATTATTCTGACATCCAATGTCATATTATCTTGTTCCCGAGGAAGGCACTCCATGGCTTTCTTCTTCATACTTAGCGCAAAAGCTCTTTTGTTTTGTGCGTCTGTGTGCAAAGAAGTCATGAAAAAGGTCAGTTTTTATTTTGGTGCCTGAAAGTCTGTCATAAAAAAAAAAAAAAAAAAAAACGAAACGGCTGCAGGTCCACATTGTTAGGCTCACAATGTTCTGTTACACAGAGTCTGGAACCTTGACCATGGGGCAATGAGCGTTTGGTGCTGACTATCTGGAGGATACCTCTCGGCACAAAATACACGTCAAACTCTTCCAAGTGGCATCGTCCACCCACAGTCCGATCTACAACCTGGATCTACGCAACAATTGTCATTGGCGGAGATATGAACGGATGGATTGGAGCGGGATGGGATAAGGACAGGCGGGGCAGGGGACTGGATAGGAAGGCCATGCCGTAGTTTCCAAAGACTTTCAAGCCTTGTCTCGTTCTTTTCTTCGCCTCGCTCCCATGCCTTATCTCTCGAATACACTCTCACACTTCTGCGCTCACTCTCACTCATTCGTTCAACTCATTCAGGCCATGTCGTGCGAAGTCATCTCCATTAATGTCGGGCAGGTACATTTTGCTGCGTCAAAACGGCACAGCCTCTCATTTTTTGAGACACGGTGTCCCTGAAGCACAACGGATAACTTACAGTCATCCGTTTGTCTTGAAGTCTTTGTCAACCTCGGCAGTACTGTCATTAGGGAGATCCACAGTAGATTGTGAGTACATTGCTACAGCCAGACCAAATCGTACAGTTTTTTTTTTCCTTTTGGCTGTAGGAGGCCTTTCAAGTCCAAATTATCATATGGTGTTTGTTACATCTCTGCAGATCTTGACGATATCCACCGCGTCCATTAGAGGAGAATGTATATATGATACCAAGCATATAAGACAACCATTGTAACATTTTTTGTTTAACTATCCTACTAAACACCAACCTATTCTCCAAACAACAAAGTCTTCTTATTTTTCGCACACCAAACTCTTGAATATGTCCATCTACTATTAACCTGTAACCCTCACTGCAAGATTCGACAGAGTAGTTCTTGTATGTGATCATCTAAAGCACTTGTATTCTCAACTGTATCTTTGTCGTGAAATACAGGGGAGAGATTACATTTTAAAAATTCTTGTGCTGTCTATTGCTATTTTATTCTGTGTTCTGTTGCCCACTATGAAGAGATATGCCAGTTATGGAAGTCAACACTCCGTTCCTTGGACTTTGGATATTTTTTATATGCCTTTTTATATCCTCTGCACATGAAGGGGCCGCGTAGTAATAGTACAAAGCGACATTGTTCAAGAGACATGCCCCCTCTAACGCAATCTATGTCATATCTCACTAGTCTTTATCACCCCGACCTGTTGATCGCCGGCACGGGGGCCGCTGCCAACAACTATGCTAGGGGTCACTATAGGAGAGGTTATACTATAAGAGGGCGTGCTACACTCATGTAACGTAGTAGGGGTGGTTCAGTACCATGGATCCAAACCTTATTTCCCCAAAAAAATATACAATAGGAGAGGGAAGAGCATAGGAATATGCTATAGGGGATTATGCTATAGGGGAGGTACGACTGTATTCATGCTTTACCACTTGCTCGGCGGTGGTGTCGGCTTGGGCTTCAAAGCCCTGCTACTCGAACACCTTTCTGCGGACATCCAAGATCGATTTTGCGGTCTTACTCTCTTAGTCTGCTAGAGATGTCGCCTTTGATTTAGAACCCTATAACTCCACCCTAATCGCGCACTCGACCATAAATCTTATTGATTGTGCATTCATGCTTGTTAACGAGGCCGTCTACGAGATCTGTCAGTGCAACTTGAATATCTCTCAACTCACCTTCATCCACCTGAACCACACGATTGTGAGGGCCGTCTCGTCGACCACCGCTTCTCTGCGCTTTTTGGATCGTTGAACGTCAACCTTCATGAGTTCCAGACCAACTTGGTCCCTCACTTCCCCTTGGTCACTTACGCTCCTATCCTGTCGGCAATGAAGAATGGCATGCCCACAGTTTTAAAATAAGGTGGTTAAAGCTGAGAGGGGACCGATCAAGTGTAAACAATGTAGTAGTGTACACATCAAGCGCAATGCTTTTCCAACTATAGCGTACATTTTCCAAGTGTAGCGTGCATATAGAGAATTTTGACAGGGAGGTCCGATTCACATGCAATTAGAGGAAGAATTGATAGGCATAGAAATCAGAATATCTAAAAATATTGTCTTCCAACAAGCAAAGCCCGGCTAGCTCAATCGGTAGAGCGTCAGACTCTTAATCTGAAGGCTGTGGGTTCGACCCCCACGTTGGGCGCTTTCCTTTTGCCCTTTCTCGGGATCCATCTCGGCCTACTTCTTACTATCGGGAAACGGCGATTTGTGGATGCTTGCTGCTTCTTTTTTGCATGATGTCCAAGCAGTGCCTAGTGTCATGCTATCTGGATCATCTTTCATGTATCTTTGCAGACATTATGCGCATGATTGGGAGTTATCGTCTGTTGTCATCATTGCACTCGATACATTCAGGCATCAATGTGATATTCTTTGCTGTTCTTGCATCCGTAGAGCAAGAGTGTGTGTTCTCAAGCAATCATTCCTTTTTCTCGATCGTGAGCTTCTCTCTTTGGCCTGTACCTCACCCCATAAAACCATCTTGGGAGTATGAAAAGATCAACCGAGCTCCAGAGATTACTTCAGGTGCCATTTTCTATCAACTCTGGTTTGATCTAGAGTGTAAGCTGACAACAGCGGCATGTCCAACGTAGCTCAATGGATCGTGGTTCGCGAATAGTTTATCACCAGCAGCTCCAAAGGATACTGTACCGGGCTTTGTTGAATGTAAGCGATAGCACAGGAGAGGAAGAGAAAGATGACCTTGAGACGGCAATCTCAGGGCAACCCGCTGCCGATGATGAACCCATTCCTTTCCATGTCATTTGATTCTCACGTCTCTCACGGTGCTCTCTTTCTTCTTTTTATCACTCCAATATCTCCTCTTCCCATAAACCGACACAAATTGGCCTTAGCATTGATGGCTACAAGCAAAGAGAAATGTTGTATCGATATTCTACCTCATTGTCGCAGGATGAAACAAGCAGGACAAGAGGATGGATGATCTTGTTAAAGTGAGCCTTTTGGGGCAAGACGGGTCCTTTTATTATTTTTGCTCAGCCTGTGCAACCAACACTCTTTTATTTTTTACAGATCCGACGAGTGCACCCCAGCAACTGAAAAAAAAGCTCGCGCAGGGTTCCCTCTTGTCTCTCCCGCACTGGGCACCACTTTTAAAAGAGCACACAGGTAGCTCTTAGGGATAAGCCCATCATTGACAGTCCCAACGAGCAATGCAGAAACGCATGGCTGACAATTCCTCAACGGCGGGGTATCGTGATCATCGACGTAATTGACGCGGAAAAGGCGGACTAGGGATTCATGCGAGCGCAGTATATTTTTTTTTATTCTTCGTCCTTCCTTCCTCTCAGTGTCCGGCTCAAGTTGACCCGACAAATAGATGTAGCGATGATGCTATTTCACTTGCTCGTCCCCCATTCCTGTGTGTATTCGTTTGGACATTCCTCTTTTTCCAAGAAGAGAAAGACAACCAATTTGTAATGTCTTGGATTATTGTTACTGTTGAGTTTTCATCTCTCTTTTTTTTGCATTTGCTTTCGATGGGGTAAAAGATGGAGGAGAGAAAACACGAAACACGAGGATACAAAGAGTCATGGATGAGACCCTCTGGGATCTCTCTCGTGGATGGATTTTTTTTTTTCACCTTGAGGAGCCCGATCAAGTTCCCTTCTTTTTTACAAGCAAGGCAGGGGTTGAACACAGGAAGAACAGAGATGGGCGGGTATTTATTTTTGTTTGCTGGGGCGAACAAAGTTTTTTTTTTCGGACCTTGTTCATTTTTCCCAGTTGGTGGTGTGGTGCTGTTGGCGGTGTGGATGAAGGAAAGAAAAGGAGTGGGGTGCGGTCCGCCCCTTGCCTCTCCCTGACCCTTCACAGTTCGACCGTATTGTCCGTCTTCACGTGGACCCCGAATCTAATCGCTTTTTTTCAGGACAGGATGGGATCCCCTCCACCCTCATCAACCTCATGATCATCCTATATAAGAGCCTTCTTTCCTCCTCTTCCATTCGATTCCATTCCATAATCATCATCTTTTTGAGTTCCCTTCATCCTTCTGTCTCATTTGCTCTTCTTTCCGCCACAGCTAAAAAACGAACCTTCCTTCCTTTCCTCCTAACTTCTCTTCCCTGCTTTCAGGTCCACATACCTCGTCTTCCTCGTTCGTTTCTCAATTGATCCTCTTCCCCTTGTCTCACCCCACAAACATTCGTCTGTGCCACCATCCATTTTTACCAACACCAACCACTGCCATCACTCTCACCTCAACTATCATCACTACTGATATATTCACCTTCGATTCATGATCGTCGATCACCTCGTCACGAGGAGCGCCGTCCGGTCCCTTGGACTCGTCTGCGCCGCCGTCGTGCCCCTGGCATCCTCCTACTTGCTCTACACCTTCACCTACAAGGAAACACCCCTCGATACCCTTCTCCACCACATCCCCCTCGTTCTCCACCTCCTTCAATCCAATGCAACCCAAACCACAACCACATCGTCCGCCGCATTAGCAGCAGCAGCTGCAGTAGCAGGAGTAGGGGGAGGAGGAGAAGGAGCAGCCTCATACCTCTACCCAACCCCAGCAACATTCACCACCGCCACACCCGCTTCTCCCATCTCATCTTTTAATTTCATGTTGAGCCCAGACCGGATTATTGCCTCTGCTGCTGCTACCCTCATGGGAGGTGAAGGGAGAGAAGCAACCAATGATACGTTCGACCCCTTCGCTCTTTCGTTGACCATGCGCATGACCCTCTCCCTTGCTACGTTTCTCGAAGGACTGGGACTCCGTGATCCTACTCAGCTGCCCGGATACGACTATCTCATTGCCCTCCAACCGTACCTGGCTCCTGTTCTCGCCTTCATTGCTACACACCGAACACTGGCCTGGGTGGTCTCGTTGCTCCATCTCTGGATGGCTGCGGAGGTTCTGTTCTACATCCACTTTTGGAAACGCCTTGCCAGAGCACAGGAAGTCGATCGAGTCGTCAAGGGACCCAAATCACCCGAAGAGCGACGAGAGTTGTTTGAGAGGTGCATGGAGACTATTGAGAGAGGGGCGGGTGCTCGCAAGTGGCTCGAGACTTGGTTTGATACCGGGAGAACCGACCGGCCCGCCAGATGTGAGGATATTGCTCGATCGAATATGATGCAATGGTAAGTGACGATGAGATCAAATGAGTTCAAAAAAGATGTTTTGGTTTTTCATGGTCTGACATATTTTCAACAACAGATGAGTGAAGAGAAGGGAGAGAGAGGCATGCAAACACATTTTTGAGAGATAATTTTAGGAGACGAATAAGAAGAGAGGGAGAACGGGGTAGAGAGAGAGACAGCAACAATGAAGATCAAAGTGTACAAGGGGTCAGAGGTCCTAGCCCAGGTCGAAGTCCAACAGTTCTAACAAACAATTCTTTTTTTTGTTTTGCTGTGTGTGTCTCTGATCGACTTTTTAGGTTGGCATGGGCTTTTTGGGTGTCATCGATCGAGGAAGTTTTTGGATCCCCCACGGACATGATGGAGCTCAACCGAATGGTCGACTACATTGAGGCGACAAAGGATATCAAGTTTGCCAACGGCTTCAACCCCAACGTCGAATGCATCCGCCTTGCCTTTGACCCCGTCATTGCCACCCACCGCCCTCTCGTCTATTATGCTGTAAGTTCTCTTCTTGTTTTCAGATCATACTATTATTCCATTGTTGTCCTGAATCTAACAACTACACCCTTTTCAATTAGTTGTTGTGGTTCGCCAACACGTTTGCGGGACTTGTGTTCATGTTGCTCGGATTCACACGTTATGAAGGAACAGTCGACACTGCCAACCCAACAAAGAAGAGCAGCAGCAGGATCCAGGTCGACTCATCAACGGATCTCAACTACTGGTGCCGCGCCCCCCTCAAACCCGACAACAAGGTACCCCTGGTCTTCCTTCACGGGATCGGAGTCGGACTGGTCCAATATATCCACTGGGTGATTGCTCTCAGCACCATCTCACGCCCCATCATCATCGTCGAGGTCCCCTATGTCTCCAACAAACTCATCAAAGGCGACTGCATGACCCCCGACGAGACCTACTATGCGATTGAGAGAATCCTCAGGAGACACGAGTACCCCAAGGCGACCTTTTTCGGACACTCTCTTGGAACCATGCTTTGCGCGGCCGTCTGTCGTGCCAGTTCTGCTTCATCTTCGAAATCGATCGTTGCGGGACTGATCCTCGCCGACCCAATCTGCTTCCTGACCCATCACTCGATCGCCCGCAACTTCGCCTACAGGATCCCTGCAACTGCTGCCGAGTTGATCATGGACCTCTTCGCTGCCCGTGAGATTGGAACCTCCTGGTACATTATGCGTCGTTTCCACTGGGACCAGTGTATCTTCTTCCCCAAGGCCTGGAAGAAGCGCACCGAGAAGGCACTCCTCCACGAGGGGCGATTGACACCCGTGTTGCCCAAGAAGACGCGTGTGTTCTTGTCGAGGAACGATAACCTGTTGGACATGGACTTGATTGCAGACTATATCCGGAACCAGGTGGGGCTCAAGGAGGAGAAGGACGAGTTGCATATTATGGAGGGGATGGATCATGCCCAGTTCTTGTTGAGACCTGAGTGGTTCTTCAAGATCTTGAAGGCTGCACAGGAGTGTTGAGGTCATTTTTTACTTGCGTGTTTGTTCATATTCGTTTTGCTCTTTTGTTTCTTTTCTTACTTCATCTTTGTTTTGCGTTCGTTCATTCTCTTTCATTTTGCTTTGTTCTTGTTTCTTGCCCTGTAACATAGACACTCCCCATTCATCGCATCCCCTAATAATACTACTACCTATTCACCTTTTACCCATATCTGAATCGCACGAATTATGGTTGCATATGTATGAATGAGTGTAAGCTTGATAAGCCAAGAGGCATTTCTTTAATTAGGAGGACAAGGGGAAAAATATATATTACAAGCTACAAAACAACAAATGGGAGGGAGGAAACTGTACAGGAGTGTTGTTTTGAAATCCCGTGTGAGTGTGCTATCGTCTTTGCTTGGAATTCTTAGACGACGGCGCCATTGCGATTACCACGACGACGACGACCGCAACAGCAGCGGGTAAAGATCCAGGCGATGATGAAGACGATGGCGAGAATGATGAAGATGTGCTTCAAGCCAGAGGTGTTTCCGATGTGGATCACGTTGGCCATGCCAAGGATCCAGATGATCAAGAGGATCAGACCGACAACAATGAGACCGTCCTATTTGTTTTGATGTAGTATAGGAAGGAAGGAAAGGATGTTGGTTAGAAAGAAGTCTTGGAGGAAGAGAGTTGAAGGAGAGAAAGGAGAGATGAACGTTAGGTGGATGTTTGCTTACCCAGGCGACACATTTAATAGTTCCACACATGTTGGATAAAAAGTTTTGATAGGGGTAGAAAGATGAATGTGGGAGTAGTGTGTTCTAGACTGGGGTTGACTTGAAATGTATGTTTTTTATATGAGCGAGTGAGTGAAGAAAGATTGATAATGAGAATAAAAAGGGTGCCAAAGGCTCGCCTTTTATACAAGAAAGGAGGAGGATGATGCAATTCCCCTCCACCCAGAAAATACCGCTCGATCAATTAGTGGCACCATTCTTTTCTTGCGTGAGTGTGAGTGCCTCGACTCCTGGAACTGCATCGTGTGTGTGGAGTAAGTACGAAGGAAACGGAGCCACCCTTTTTTTGGCCTGGGTCTCCACCCCCTGCTCCCAACCTCAGTGTCTCCCATTCGCCCCCCTTTTCTCATCCAATTCTGTGGCGGTGGTGTCATCATGATTATTTTGTCTTTTCTGTAAAAACCTTCTCGTTGTTTGACTTTACTTCATCGAATCATCATTCCCAGTTTTTGCTTTCCAGTGCATCATAAAGTTAACCATTCTTATTTATCTACGCTAGCGGGTTGGTATGCGCATCATAGAATAGTAAGATTTTCCTCGACGTATCACACACACCATAAGAACAAAGACGGAAATCAAGTGGACTCAGCTGGACAACACCGTCATGAAAGAAATCTGTCCAAGCGAATCTCATTTAGAGTTGTTGCGTGTGATATATGATATGATGGTAGTAGTGACATCAGACTGACAAAAGAGCAGATGGACAACTGATTTCCTTTTTTGAAAGATTTCCCTTTTGTTGTTCCGTCCCACGCTAGTGCGGGCTGTTGAGAGGGTGGCCCCTTTTTTATCTCATAGTGAGACTGGTGTCCATCAAGGGATGTGAGAGTTTTCATACCACAAAAAAAGAAATACTGCTCGCTCGGGGTCATCGAGAAATGCACGCTATTTTTATTCACAGCTCGTTGCTTCTGTTGCTGTTGCTGTTGTTGTGGTTTCCATGAGCACATCTCCCGAAGGCGTCGAAGAAAACATTATCCGCTCATTTAGTGTCATGGTCGAATCTCCCGCTGCCACACTCTCTCCGTTTACAGTAGTGCCTTCCTGAGCAGACTGGCCGGTCCACCGTTGACCATCGACGTACCATACATACTCTCCAGGCAGAGTCCAGAGACAAATCGAGTTGTCAATCACAGCTGGCTCAAAATCCTTGTCTTGAATCGATGTTGTCGCCTGACCGCTGTTACTTAGAGCTTCGTCGTCCGAATCTGTATCAGAGTTCGAGTCCGAATCGGCGTTGCTGGAGCCGGAAAGTTCATACTTGCGTTGACCTGAGTTGGTTGCCAACATTGATCCCGTGGGGTGGAACGCTGCCGACGAGATAACATCTAAAAAGATAAATTGGCGACTCTTCAGTATATACGCTCAATCTCTTGATTTAGTGACAGCAGTCAATTGTGACTTTTGCACATAGTTGCTTACCATTGTGTCCACGTATCCGTGACGCCAGTCTTTCTGAATCAGGGTTGGTCGGGTTGCTCAGGTCAAAGATAGAGATGTCGCCGTTCATATCACCAGTGGAAAGCCACCTTCCATCGCTCGAGACATCAAACCCAAGCCGCTGGTTGGTCAATTCTCCCGGTCGCTCCAGTCTGAACAGCACGTTAGCCGTATTTCTGATATCCCAGCAGCGAATAAACGGATCCTGTCTCGAAGCCGAATACAAGTAGAGCCCATCCGGGGAAAACTGGACCTGCGTCAACCCCCCCATCGGCTTTGATGAAGTCGCGTCGCTTCCATTCTTTCCAGGACCAGCACCATCGTCATTCGCGGCGACTATAGGCGAAGGCTTCCCACGTCGACCATTGGCACGCTGATTCTTGTCCCTCAAGAGCAACAGTAATTCTTCAGCTCTCGAATCGTATAGCCCGATCGATTTTAGAAACGATCCTGCGGCGTAGAGGTCGGAATGGTCGGGGTTGAACGCTAAACAAGAGATGACGCCCTTCTGTCCTTTTTTACTCTTGCGTGTGGGTACTGTTGGTTTCTTTTGACAGTCCTTCCCTGGTCGCGTGGTGTCGAATATTTGGATCATGTTGTTAGATCCACAATAGATCCTACATGCACAGATATGAAAATCATAAAATAATTAGCGTGGTGAAAAGTGCTAGAAGCGTGTGTCTCGCTGCATGCGATCATCATATTCAAACAAGATATCATGGCGCGTAATGAATGCGTACTTTGAGCCATCCAGGTTGAAGCAAAGGGCATTGGGCGCAAAGTTTACTTCGCAGTGGTCTACCAGCGTATATGAGCACCTTAGCTAATCAGCAAATTGAAAGGGCGTATATAAGTTTGTTGGCCTTGTTCAAGGCAATGGCGCTTAGTTCAAGGCAGCATGGCCAGAAACATCAAGTTACCTCTCCTGTGAAGGCATCCCAGAGATGAACTGGATGATCACGACTGGAAGAAATGATGCAGCAGGTCGCAGGATCGGCGCTGTTCATGCCAGGATACCAGCATATGTCGTAGATGACCTCCCCTTCCCTGATCAGCACTCCTGGGTTCAGTTGGGTGTCTAAGAAACATCATGGAGTGTTGGATATGAGTATTATGTTTCACGATAGTTCTGTCCTGTATATTCCTGCAATCCTGAGTGCTGGTACCTTTGGGTTCGGCTGTCAAGTCTGGTCTATGCTCACGGATCAGGAAAAGGTTCAATTATTTAGTCCGCAATTCCATCACGCAAACATCGCTTTTGTTCAACGGCAAGCGTGGAAACAGACACTTACAGAGCAAATATCCGCATGCAGTTGTCGTTGGACGAAGATAAGAGGCACGACCCATCCGGAGACCTATGCAGCGCCATGCAAATGCAGAACAAAAATGAAAGGGACATGAAGTGGGTGAGTCTGTGAGCAACGGTATTTTTGTTCTCTCTTTGTGCTCCTGCATATACCCACAAAAGAAGCAGGAGACAGCTTTTTTACCATTTGAGTGCCTTGAAAAAGTTGTTTTCGCTTCCATTGGTCATCTTGAGGTTGTCGTCTTGAATCCCCATCGTGGCCCGACTCTCACCTACGGTCATGTTGAAGAGACTCTCCGTGGAGAAGGTCTTGACGATGCCGCCGTTGTTGCCAGGTCTATTGGATGTGCTGTCAAAGCTGCACTCGTATACTTGGAATATCTGAGATTGCCAGGCATCGTGAGTCGCAGCTTCTGCAGTTGGATGTGCCTCCTGCTCTGACTGTGCCTGAAGGTCTCGGTGCTGGTTGTGGGTCTCGTAGGACGTGTATTGATCGTTAAGAAAAGTATCTGTGGAGGCCTCGTCCGTTCTCTGGTCCACGACGTGCGGCTGCGTGCTGTCGATATCCATGTGCTTGTTCCCGTCTGTCACGGTTCTTGTTTTTCTTCCTTGTTTCCTTGTTAGCTCGGTCGGTTAGCGTGGCATTGAGATCCACTAGGTTGGTGGCAACTGAACAAAAGTGATCTCGATTCACGACATGGGGAAAGTTTAAAGTGTGAGCGAGTCTGGTGACTGGTTTTGGGGAGTGCAAGACCGCCCTCGAATCCGACGAGCTTGTTGTTTGTACCCCATCCACGCCTTGACCACTTCTTAACCATCATCAACAACAACAACGACGACAGGAACATCAACTTCCACGACAGAAGCAAACATATAAACCATGGAGACCGGCATCAACAACATCCTCAACAAGCTGTAAGAGAGCCTCCAGCGAAAGGAATTCTACTACTCATCACATTGCAGCTTTTACTCACTCCTGCCACGGACAGTGTTTTTAGGAACGAGAAGACGAAGGAGAGGAGGGAGGTGTACTCAGGCAGCATACAAAAACTTACCGTCGACCAATCTTGACTGACCATGGAAGACATCTGTATTCTACATACTTGCTCTAGGACTGACTCTGAAGGCGTTTTGGGCGTACTTATTGCTGACGAACACGGACTCTGCCTTGGAGGTAATTCAACACTCCCTCCACCGTTACCTTCTGCACCCATTACATATATCAGTGGGGCGCACTCGTTTACCCTCCCGGTTTCTGTTCGCATGTGCATGGGGACTGATGCCTTCCTTTTGTTTTATTTATACACCATTCTTCATGGATAGCACGAGGAATTGCAAAAGCATCGTCTGCAGGATTTATTGCTTCGATTGCTGCACATGCCAAGGAGCTTACCGAGCTCAAGGGAGGCGCCGTCTCCAAAGATGATACCCCAACCATCTCTGTCGAGTATGGCAACAAGTATGTTCTTCTCTATCATGTGCCTTTTTTTTTGGAAGTACTTTGCAGGATAGGAAGCACTCATGGAAGTGGATTTATTTATTTACGCACCTTTTTTTCTCCTTGTCGACCTGATGCGCATAGCACGATATTGATCAGGAGCGAAGGCAACCATACATTGGCCGTCTGGAAGAGTTGAGAGGGCAGTTTTTCTTAAACTTGACTGGAAGAGCATATGATACTGCAGGAATCATGGAATAACAATAAAAATGGACAACACAGCAAGCTTGCAGAAACGCCCAAAGAAAAGTAAGAGAAAAGCAGTAATAAGTAAAAGCATATGCGTCCAAAAACAGAAAGCAAAACTGCGACTCTTGGGCTCACCAAATGTAAGCGTGTTTGGGAGCGATGCGCTTCTGTTTCGCCAGGCTTGCTAATTACAATGTTTCACGGCTTCCCGGTTGTGCATGCTGTTCGCAAAAGGACATTGTAATGCGTACATGTTATTTAAGCACACGACATTTTCCAGTAATGATAAAAACTAGAGAGCACAAGCGAGAGTGCAGAAAGCGAGCGAGCGGATTTTTTTCTTGACCATGGTGTATCCAGCTCTGACTTTTTTTTACTGTAAAAGTCTACCATGTTGCGGAACGTCTACGTGAAAATGGTTTCTGGCCTTTGGCGGACATATTCTTTTCTGGCATTCGCTAACATATGTATCAACCACTCCGAAAATTTCGATCCCACCTTCCCCTTTCTCCTCGTTCTTCTGATTCCCTTCCTCGCCCTCTCTCGTGACCACATCATCCATCCCTGACGCGATGCTATTGTAGTTCTTCCTATTTGGGTGTGGGGGCTGCATCGGCACCATCATTAAATGGACTCCATAGGCATCATCACTGCAAAAGCCCAACTTACCCATGCACAAGAGAACTTGTGTGAAGTGGTGTGGTCTGCGCTCGTGAGAATAGATCGGTATATGTGTGTGTGATGGAGGAAGGAAATTAGACTGTGCATTTTTCATACTTCTTTTTTTTTCGCTGTTCGGCAATTTGAAGTTCGTAGGATCTACGAGAGTCGCGGTGTCGTCAATGACGCGGAGACTGAGATTCTAGGATCGTCTGGGCCGTGGACAGAATACGAGCGGTATCACATTGCAAAAATATTAAAGGCGCCTCGGAGTAAAAGCGAGAAGGGCGAGTGCTAGCGGTGGTAAGACAATCCAGGGGAGTGCATGCGCTATTCTAGATTAGCCAGCCCACAAGAAAGACAAGAAACGCGTGAGAAGGAAAGAAAAAATGTTTATTCTTGGTTATGTCAATAGACATCAAAGCGCCGCGCCGCGCGACAATTTGCATTGGGGGTCGTTGATCGAGTGGGAAGGGCATGGTATTCAGGTCTGGCAGGAATGGGACATTTTCGGGCGCAGCAGGCACCATGACCACGATTGGGGTTATTGTTGCTCGTCATGGTGCGAGCGTGAAATGGGGTTGGTTGTCTATTTTTGAATCAACAAACAAACCGTGGCTCTCGTTTTTTAGATGTCATGCAAAAAAAAACGTAAACACAAACGGATATTTTTTTATCGTTTGCTATGGCTTTTATGTCCAACCTCCCTCCCTGGTCTTACGTTACTGGATCTGGAATTGCTTTACCCCCGAAGGTTTCTTGCTGTACTACCGAGGCTCTCGACCCAAGAAGGTCCATCGGAATGCTGACCTGGACCTTTTTTTTACGCGGCAAGACAAGGGAAGAGATATCGGCAGGGATGAATCCCAAGATCTTGAATCTTCTCCATCCGATTTTGCATCTAGCCTTTGGGCATCAAACATATTCCGCGGGTTTTGATCAAAGACACAACGTAAGAACAAAAAAAGGAGTACTGCAGCACAGGAGAGAAAGAGAAATATTACTGGGAAGGGATGGGATGGGCGGGCTATCTGGGGGGTCGATTGATTTTTTCTCATTGGACCCTCCCTTGACTCCCTGGGGAAAACCCCCATTCTATTCTTGGACTGCAGATAAAAAGGCATACAGGCATACACACGCGTGCATCGATCTGGTTTGTTTTTTGAGAGACAGCATCAATGTCGCCATGATGGGGTGGTAGACGCCTACAAGTGTTAAGTCAATGCAGCAGGGATAGTACGCTGAAAAGAACCAAAGGCAAGGGAGGAAGGTGTATCTCCCTTTTTTTGCTATCCAACATCATCCGCGCCGTATGTTTTGTTGTGCAAAAAGATCCCTTCGTTCACCCCCGCCTTCTTTTGACTTTTCTTTCCTCAGAAAACTGAACTGTCGTGTTTTTAATTTTGGGCATGCATATGTGGCAATGAAGGTTCAATTGGTTCAATTGGTTCACTGGGGACAAAGAAGGGAGAGGTGAAGAAGCAAAGGCAAGGTTCAAAAGCAGAAGGCAAATCAAGCAAAGTGCAGTACACAAAGAGAGGTGTGTATACAAAAAGCAGAAACGAGAAAAAAAAAGGGAAATGAAAGGACAGAAAAAGAAAAGGAGAGGAGGGTGAGAGATGGATGGGGTCATTGAAAGGGCGAACAAGAAAAAAAAAGGGCCGATGGTCAATTAGTGACCTTGTCACGGATGGTCTTTCAAGGGCCTAAAGCAGGAGGGGTCATTGAAGAAAGAAGAAAAAGGGAAGGAGGGAAGGGAGGGAAGGAAGAGGGAGAGAGAGGCACAATGGGCCATCAGAAAACAGAGATTACGGACATGTCCATCTATTCAATTGATATCGATATTGTAGAGACCGTAGGCTTAGGTTGCATGATGGAAACAATTCAAGGGTGAGCAGGTCGACACCAACAAGGAGATGCACACAAAGGAAGGCCGAAAAACAAAAAAAAAGACAAAAAGAAAAGGGAATAACAAGAAAGGGCAAGAAACAAAACAAGAGTGTCTCCCATCGAATTCGGTATTAATACTCGTGTTGTGTGAATGAACAGACAGACAACCACAGCCAGAATGACATCTCAAAAATCAAGAAACAAGGAGACAGAGAAACGATTTTTTTGTTGAGGTCGTATGGTTTTCTCCCTCTGTCTCCCTTGTTGTTGTGCGAGCAGCCGTTGCAGCAATAACCAACAAATACACAAGAGCAACAATTATGAAAGTGCACGCTGTCTGTCTGTGTGTTTCCCGAATGCATGACCAATGAGTGATCAACCATGAACCAAAAAAATAAGTGGCCATTCATTCCACCTGTTTGAAGGTTTTTCTTTTTTCCACTTGTACAATGAGTGGCATGATCGATATGGAAAAAGGCAGTGAGCCTGAGCACATTTGGCTGTTTGAGAGAGAGAGAGGTGGGAGTAGAAAGCATCCTAGTTGTGACAAGGTCGAAATCAAAGCCCAGCAAGGCAGCTGCTGTTCCAAAGCTGGCCTGAATTCCACTTTTGTGCAGCAACACTGTGTACACTGGTGTGGGCCATGGGTGCTTGATCGGTGGACATACTGTGCTTGTCTTTCATATATCTTCTGGGGAAAAAAGAAAGACCCTTTCCTCTTTTTCTCTTCTCTTTTTCTTTCCTCTTTTTCTTTCACTCTTTACTCTTTACTCTTTACTCTCCCCTCTCTCCCATACAGGACCATAATATATACTCCCAGAGAACCATTTTTCTCATTCGTTCTTCATTCACTCTCCACTCCTCCTCCTCTCCTCATGCAAAATTGGTGCCACGTCCTTTGTAATATTCTGACACAATAACTACCCTACCTATTCACCTAACTCACTCAGTCACTCGCCCTAATCACCATCAATAATCACTGCCCTATCATCACGTACCAAGCAAAATAAGCTTCTAATACGCGTTAATCAGCCTTCCTTCAACTACACTATTACCACCAACATGTCGACCCTATCTCACTCATCCACAGCCTCACAGGCAGCAGAGGCATTGCTGAACCGCGCAAGGAGGCTCTCCAGCAACGCATACGAACGCACCTGCCCACCAGCAACCTTTGCAGAGGGTGAAGACAGCAACCACCTCCACATCTCACACTACGACGCTTTTCGCCCTCGATCCTCCAATACGCCTACCCTCCACCGCTCCAGCACAAGACTTAGTTCTCTCGCAAACCGCTTGTCCACAACAACAACATCGGCAACATCAGCAACACACACAACGATCACAAGTACACCTATAATCATCTCAGACGCCGAGGGTATCTCATCCTTACCAACCGACCAAACCCCCTCGCAGGCGCCCACCCCTGAGGGTCCGAACAACACCTCCTCGTCCACACATAACAACACATTCCTCGACCCTAGCCGTGCACATACCCTTCCCTGTACAACCTCGACTCTCTCCTCCCAATCAACACGGCTTACCTCTTTGTCAGCAGTAGGGTCACGTCCGAGAGCCCTCACCTTGGAGGCCATTCGAGAGGTGCGAAACCCTGTGGGTGAGAGTACGAGCGACAGCAAAAGTCCAAAGGACCAGCATCGAAAACATCGCAGCGAGAATGGAGGCAGTCTCGTTCGGGACATTCTGGTTGCACTTCGGCAACATACCGAACTAGAATCGCCCACGTTCAATCACCGACATACTACTGACCTTACGAACAACCCAGACCACTCATCTCTTCCATCATCGATGAGCCCAGAACAAAAGCGGCAACAACATTCGATCCAAACAGCTGTTGAGGAATGTGAGCTCGATGACAGGAGTAGTCTGTCTTCGAGAAAAAGTGCTCTTTTGCCCAACCAGCAGATCGTTCTAACACTGAAGGTCGAGATGGCGAGCGAATTCAACTCAGACTTGACCACTTTCAAGCACGTTCCTGAGTCTGTAAGTTGATATCATAATTAAACAAAAAAACAAAGATCGTGTTCTCGATAAGAAAATGGGCGCAAGTCATCCCCTCCCTCGCTTTTACCTTTTGCCTTTTCTTACCCTTTCTCTTTTGATGCGGCGCCTATTTCTGTGGTCAATGCACAACTCAAACCCACAGATCCATGTAATTATACAGGCACTGGCACTTTCAATTGACTAACCCTTGTTGTTACCTCCTTCCCGCCTTCCTTGCCCATTTTTGTTCTTTCCTCCCTAACTTGTAGGAAGCCGACATATTCCAAACGACGGTTGGTGAGCCATCGTCTGAAGCGACGTTGCCTCCTGGACTCCCTGGATATGGTGTTGGCGGTGATGGTACTTCTTCCACGGATGAAACAAGGGAGATCGATTCCACCACCACCATCATCACCCCTTACCATACTAGCGCACTATCTTCTGACTATTCCTCGGAAGTGGAGGACGCTTCGATTGCCCCAGCCCAAGAAGAAGAAAAGGAGGTCATCGCCTTGTCCGCGTCTGAACCATTGTCGTCTTCCTTGACTGCTGCGGAGCCGCTCGAGCCCACCAAGATCAGCATCTTCCCAAGTACATCGACAGGATCGATGCTGGAGCGAGAGCCTTCACGAAAGGAGGGCAAGGAAGGTAAGGGTGCCTTCCTCCTGCATCGGATTGGTGTTCGAAAGAACAGCTTCACCGAGTCGCCCTCCCCTTCGTCTGTAACAGCAGCAGTCCTCTCCCCCATGGACTCGTCTGACACTAGCAGCATCCGCTCTCAATCGACTCAACGCTCCGCAGGATCAGGATCAGGTCTTCCACAACACAAGCTGTCCAAGCGGTCGACCAAACTGTTGGGCAAGTTTGTCCCCAAGTTCCTTCAGACATCATTCTCGCCCTCGCTTTCGACACCTGGCAGCAACACATCCCCTTGTCTTCAAGCTGTCGGCCATTCACCCCTGTCATCGCGCTCGAGCCGGTCAGGAAGCATTAGTGGACAGAGCCACAGTCCCACCAACAAACCATTGTCTGCCGACGAGACCAGGACTGGGGGAAGTTCGACACCATCGTCGAACAAGAGCTCGCACGAGTCGCTTGTATTGGACACTACCTGCGACATGGACTCGTTATCGCCTGGGTACGTACACATGGACGCCACCTCACCGCAGTACCTGGAATTCCTTCGATCGGACACACATATCAGCCCTTCCATCATGGCCCGTCGCTCCTCTTGCTCATCGGCGACATCCAAGATGTCTGGCAACTCGTTTGGATCCAAACCCTCAGCATCTTCCGTCAGCTCCTTTGACCCCTCAGAGAATACTGAGTTCAGGCGACACAGCGGAAGCGCAAAGGGTGGTGACAGCATGTTTGCTTTTGAGGTCGAGTACGACGAGGAAGATGCTGAAGAGGATCAGGAGGTCGAGGAAATTACCGCCGCTGCTGCCGCCGCCGCCGCAGCAGCAGCGATGAATGCCGACGAGACCGTCAATGACTACGACCCACCATTGTCTCCCTACATCATCGACGAGGACTGCGACGACGACTTTTTCCTCAACTCTGTCCTCCGCAAGAAATCCAACCCGTCGATGACTATGGACTACAACGAGCAGCAGCAGCAGTGTGGGTTTACTCCTGTGATGATGAGCTCCTACCCCTCTGGAACAACCATGTCTAGCATTCACTCCTCGGCCACCACCCCTTCTTTGTCGGGATGGTCCAGCACATCCTCACAGGCATCAACTCCTTCTCCAACATCGCCATTGCTCTTGAACGGTCAAGTCTACCCATTCCCTGTCACTGCTCCTCCACCAGCTGCTATTTCTGCAATGGGCGTGAAATCTTCCAGCAATACGACCATGCATCTGCCCTACCGGTCCAACCCATTGCCTCCCCCGATCAAGCTTGGTCTCGACGAGAAGCGGAGTCGTCTTCGGGATGCTGTTGGCGAGTGGCGACGATCCGCCAACATCTCCAACTAAGCATTTTCTTCCCCAATTGTTTGAACAAAACTTATTCCTGTGCATCAAAATAAAATAGGTATATGTTTCCATACAGCTGCATTGTTGTCGCCTTGTGTGCTCGCGTTGATTAAGCATACTGATAATCTTATCCAAACTGACTAGATAGACATGGCGAAAGTGATAGGAAAAAAATGGATGTTGATTTGGTCGTGACACTGATTCTCCAACTTATCCTCGACATTCTTTATCATAGGGCCTTCTGCTGTTGATCCTATCTCTTCTTACCGATAAAAGTTCTGCTTCCTGGTAACAAACTGGACAACATCCCCGTGAGCCCAACGTTATGGATGAACCCCTCTCCAATAGACTGTCTAACCCGTCCACGATGCCGAGGGTCCATAATTGTTGGTTGAGAGCAAAGAAGGGGAGATATTGAAAACGATGGACCACAAGAGTTTTTTTTAGCCCTTTTCTATCCTCGCTGGCTCATGCGTGGGACATATGGTCGATATTTCTTGCTACCACCACTACTGCTTCAAAACCTATTCAAAATGCCTTTCCATCAACATAGTAATGTCTAACACAACATAACCTTTTCTATTTTATTAGCAAAATAAAGAGAGTTCACCAGAAGAAGGTATCGACGTGCTGATCGGCCTTTGGGAACAGGATATCGATCAACAACCTAGTCGCGTCGTTCCCGTATGTGGTCTCACCATAGGACCAGAGCAAATCCCGGAAACTCCTCTCTCCTGTCAAGAGGTTGTTGAACGTCAACGGCGCAAGCGAGGCCTCATACAACGTCGGGATTTGGTCCTCCTCACCTCGAGCCTTGATCGCCAAGTAGTCCTCGACATCCTTCTCGGGAGACTGCTTGGCCCAGTCCTTTACCTCGACCAGCTTGCCCTTCTTAAACTCAATCTCGAGGCCCTTGCCCTTGTTGCCCTCGACTTTACGGAAAAAATCAAACTGCAACTTTCCGGACAATCCAGCCATGGGTGACTCGGCCAGGCGTCTCTCCAGCTCGGGTGTCACGGTGCGGACGAACTGTGGGTAATCGTTGATGCGAACCATGAGGCGGAATCCTGGCTTGTCCCCTGGGGGCGTGACAAGTGTGCCCAGAAGGGCGTAAGCAGGGTGTTTAGGGTGGATCTGGAGCATCATTGAGAAACCATCCGTCTTGATCGCCTTGGCTGCCTCTGGGTCCGTGGTCTTGCTCTTCTTGGCCTCCAAACTTGTCTCCTCGTTCGCGACAATCTGTCTCAGGACGGGGAACAGGACATCGTTCCATGACAGCGACTGTTCCTTGTCCAACGCAATAGCTTCCACCTTGAGACCGAAAGTATGGGTGATGATAGCAAAACCGACATCCTTACCCGTAGCGGCATCGACAAAGATATAGTTATCCCGAGGCACGTCGTACTCGTTTTCCATGATCTCAACATAGTCGTGGATGGTGTACTTCCAGTACTCGGGGCCGTAGAAAAGTCCGAAGGGGGCGTGGGGGCTCACACTCTCTCGCTCGCTCAGCTTGAGGAGGTAAGGGATATCGGCAAGGGTCGCCTTTCGGAGGGTGTAGGGCTCGGTCTTGCCTTTTGCCAAGGATGGGAGAGACTGAACGTTCTTGATCGAGCTTGCTCCAAACGAACACATCGCGTATTCATACCCAAATTGGCTACAATAAACACCACGCATAACAAAATGGACACCATTTTAGTCTCCTGGGGACAAAGATGACGGCGCAGCAATAAAAAATGTCTTTTTGCCCTATCAATTGAATTCAACAAACAATTCACCTCCCATCCATCCCTTACCGATAGAAATGAGGAATTCCTGGAATGAACTGGAGAGAGTCTCCACGTGCTTCAGACTCGGGGTGGATCATCTCATGGATCAACTTTCTGACCAGTCCTCGGTTGCGGTACTCTGGGTCGGTCGCAATCAACTCGGGCTTGCCAAAGAACAGCTTGACCGATCCATAGTAGGCACGGACGCGGTGGATGGAGACGCAGGCGACGATGGGGTTCTTGTCGGTGCCCTTCCGCGTTGTGTCCTCGACCAGCGCATAATCGAACTCGCTCATCGTCGCATTCACTCCTGTCAACAATCGTCTCTAGAAGAGGACGAAAAAGAAAGCACACAGGGTATGAGTTTTGTGCCATAGAAAAGTAGAGAAGCATCCTGCCATGACAACTTGTGCTGGCCCATGTATGCCACGATTGAACCAAAGAAGCTATTATCGACCACGCCTTTTGCTACCATACCGCGCCAGCCATAAGGATTCCATTAGGAGGAGGAGTAACGCCGGGTACAAGAGGTGGACCAAAGAGTAGCCACTGTTATTTTGAAAAAGAAGAAAAACAGGTGGTCAGCATAATGAAGCCGTGGGAACATAAAATTGCACATAAAAATAGCATCACCATGAAGCGCGGTGGCACTTTACCCTGAAGGACTCTCCCACGAGTTCCTGGATGTGTTTCGAGTCAGCCTTGGTGGACCAGCGCATGATAAGTCCATTCTCGAGGTCAATGGTCCTCGTCCTGGGAGTGGCGGCAGCGTGGATGTCAGTCATGTTTTTGCGTGTGTATGAAGGTATGTGTGGAAGGGAAAGGATTGAAGAGAGAAAAAGGAAAAAAAAAAAGGCACCATTTTTGGTCTGCGCTATCATTTATCCTTCGGCTGGGAGGTCTGCCTTTCGTTCCTTTTGCCCGCCGATCGATATTATGGTTGGACTGCTTGGAGCGAAAGGAGTTGCAGGAATGACACAAGACACTCGTTAAACCCACTTTTTTTTGGCGGGATAGATTATTTATGTTATTGCTCTCACGGTACCCTAAGAGTCTAAGGTACGTTGTTGGGCTACCAGAACAAGGCGTCTATATCCAAGCTGCCCAGCGGAAGAAGATGTCAACCAACAAATTGGTGGCGTCCTTCAAATAGAAAGTTTCCTTATTCGACCAAATCAAATCGTCGAACCTCCGATCGCTTCAAAAAGGTTGTTGAACGTGAACGGTGCTGTCATCGCCTCAAAGAGATTGGTAACAGTACCTTACTCGCCGAATGCCTTGAGCGCCAAGTGGTTCTCCAACTCTTTGCTTTGGCGAGGGTTTCGCCCAATCCTCGACTTTGACAACCTTGCCCTCCTTGATCTCGATCTCGAGCCTCTTACCCTTGTTCCCCTTGACGTTGCTGAAAAGTCCATCTTCAATATCCCTGCTATCCCAGCCAACGGCGAGTCGGCCAATCGTTTCTCAAACTCGGGTGTCACAGTCCATATGAACTATGGGTAGTCGTTGATGCGAACATAGAGCCGGTGTCCAGGTTTGCTTTGTTGCTGCAGTAAGACTAGGTTTCACAATGGCGATGAGAAAGACTTCTCGATCCAATCCGACAATGCTCTCCACGGAGTCTTTATATGCCCATGGAAGTCTCTCCTCGTTCTTTTTCTTGTTGAGGGCGAGGTTGCATGAGACTAATACAACCTTGCGAGGCAACCGATGTCTTCCACCCTTGACGCGATACTCGAAAGAAAAAAACCAAAGACAACCAGCATTTTGGAAAAATATATCACGTGAGAAACGCGTCCTTTATTTTTGTTTTGACTTTACAAGTGTCCCTGAGGTTTTGTGTTCACATCCATCCTCTCTTCATACACGTTCAACGATTGAGACATCACCCCGTCGAGCATGGCCAACTCAAGCAACAGCTCACGCTCAAACTCACCCTCCGTCGGGAGCGAGAAGGCTCGCTGCACCGTCTTCCGCAAGGAATATGAATACAGTACGGAGACCAAAAACTTCAATCAGCATCTCTGCCATCGACCTCTTTTTTTTTTTTTTTCCTTTTTGTGTTCGTCACGCATATACGTTATAGTGGCTAACAAGCTGTTGCAATATTGCCTTTACTTGTTGGTGGAGAGTAGGTCGAATCAAGAACGTCTTCCCGAAACCAACTCTGAAACCAGTGCTGTGTGACACTCGCCCAGTCAATGTGCTTCAGTTGTTGGTGAAGCAGCGTGAGGCCGAGAATGAGGCTCTCAATGCCGAGAACGAGACCAGCAAGGACGGCTCCGAGAACGATGACGGCGAAGAAAACAAAGAGAACGTGTAGGTGGCACTGTATCATTCCCTTGGTCGAATGGGCAATTGTTTCCTGAAGCAAGCATTGAATACGATTCGCTTACTTACAAGAGCTGGCCTCTTTTGAACATTTTTACTGTATAGTGACAATATCCAGAAAGTTCGCAAGGACCGTGTCTTTGAGCAAGATGTGACCGAGAAGGAGATGGACATTATCCAGCAGCGTGTGGCCTTTCAGCAGCGCCAGGTAATTGCTCCCAAATCAGACAACAACCACATGAACATTCCAAGGGTAAAAACGACCTAAGACTGTCAATTGACAATCTCATTTAAATCATTTACCTTTCTAGTTCGCCGCCTACGAGGAAAAGGAGAAGCAGAGGCGTTACAAGAAGCTGAAGTCGCATTACGGTTACTTGGTTGAGGCTGAGATCGATGAAGCCCTGGAGGACTGTGCCAACGACGAGGACGATGTTTTTGTTCAGTTCAGCACCCTTGGCTACCTGGAAAAGATTCGACGCATCATTGCCATCCGTAACCACAAGCCTGCGACCGTCACTGTCATGGACGACCAGCAGCGTGCTCGCTACGAGGAGCATCTGAAGAAGCGCAGAGAGGCTCCTCGTATGCGCACCACTGCCCATATGAAGAAGTAAGTATCCACTTATTTATGACCTAAGTTGTCCGCATGATTGAAATATCAGTGAATTAATTAGTCACGATTTTATTGTTCAATTGGTAGGCAATACCGCATGGGCGGCCGATTGGGATTGGACGAGGCATTGAAGCAAATTCAGGAGAACAAGGTGGACGCCTCCAAGGCCTTTGAGGGATGGTCTGACGCTCGTATCAAGGCCTATGCCGCCATCGACAAGAAGCCCAACACCTACTACTACCGATTCAACGCGCCCGGAGAGGTCCAACGCAAGGGCGCCTGGACAAGGGATGAGCAGTTGTTGTTCCACAAGCGTTTGGAGGAGATTGGTGCCAACGGACAGTGGGGTCTCTTTTCCATGACCATCCCTGGTCGTGTCGGCTACCAGGTAACTGCGAATACGGAGTTGTTTCAAATGAGTATTTCAGGGTATCTGCGACGATTGAACTAGGCTACTGACTTTGCTCTCGCTGTAACGACAAATAGTGCTCGAACTACTACCGATTGATGGTGGAGACGAACCAAATTCAAGACCCTAACTATGTCTTGGATGAAAAGGGCAAGGCTCATTACCTGTTTGACAAGAAGGGCGCAAACGGTGAAACGACGAAGGAGTTCAGAACCCACAACAAAGTACATGTTACAGGCGAGGAGAAGCCTGTTGTCGTTAAGGCCCCGAAGGAGCCTAAACCTCCCAAGGCGCCTAAGGCCCCCAAAGAGCCCAAACCACCAAAGCCACCCAAGGTCCTCAAGGCTCCCAAGGAGCCCAAGACTTCTGCCGCTGCTAGTCGCAACAAGCGCAAGAGACGTGGTTACAACAGCGACGACTCTTCGGATATCTCTGAATTTGACTGCGACGATTCTGGCTCTTATATGGCCAAGTGGAGCACGACCAAGCGTACCAGGACTCGAGCTGCGGTGATCGCTTCCGAAAGTGGGGTTAATGGTGGCGAGGGCTCGTCCTCACCTGGAGGAGTGGGAAGTGAGAATGGTGCAGAGGACGAAGAGTATGATGATGAGGATGAGGCGGACCCCACGAACCCATTGCCTGGCTTTATTGATCCGATCACACTGGAAGTTGTTGAGAAGCCTGCGATCTCAAAGTACGGACACGTTATGGGATACGACAGCTGGCTCCGATGCCTCTTGCAGGATGGCGCGACAAGGAACATTTGTCCCATATCCAAGAAGCCCATGACCAAGCGCGATCTCACCGTCTTGACTTTTGAGAACATTGACGAGTACAGGTAACGTTGACATCTGTTATTCGTTGCAAAAATGAATAATGTCCCTTTTTAACTCCTTGCAAATGCATATGCAGTTGGGGAACTGACAAACCTATGTTATCTCCTTTACACAACACTGTAAATAGGGATAGGATCGTGAACATGTAAGGAGGCAAGCGGACTGATGTCTTCGCCCACCTTCTCCCCTTTTTTTCTTCGATCCGACCCTTGTGGTAGTCTTTGTGTCTGTCGTGGTATTTTGATATTTCAATAGCTTCATATCTTTCTCCTCATCCATTTGCAATGCGTCAGGATGTTGCTGAATAAAACAACAAGAATCCGACTCAATTGTCCTTTGTGTGATTGAATCACTGCCATTTGTTCATTCCTGATATCTTCATTCCAGTTCCTGATCCACAATCCAGTAGTCCTGCAAAGCTGAGAAATATCCAACTGAAAACGACAGGCAAACAGAAACCACGGAAGAAAAAAAATATCTGTTTGAAAGGATAGGCAGTGGGCAAGAAGCCGTGCTTTTTATTCAGAGGGTTGGTGGTGGTGGTGGTGGGGAGTGATTGTTTAATCGAAGAGACCTAGAAAGTGCAAAAAAAGGCGAGTTAGTAACACAATTCAATATCCCAGATGAACAAACATGGCTCCTGTAAACAAGACGTAATTGAAGAAAACGTACCGAATCCCATATCGTCATCAGACTCCTCCTTGGCCTCCTCCTTCTTCTCCTCAGCCTTCTCCACGGCAGCGGCACCAGCAGCGGGGGCAGCGGCACCAGCAGCGGGGGCGGAGCCAGCAGCGCCAACGTTGGAAAGCATGGCGGCGACGTCCTTGCCATCGAGGGCCTTGGCGAAGAGGGAGGTCCAAATCGACTCAACCTCGACGTTGGCAGCCTTCAAGAGGGTCTGGAGCTTGTCGGACTAGATATGTCATAGATAGTAGATAGAGAACATCCTTTGTCAGCCCAGTCTGCTTATTTGTTTCCTGTAGTGTGTGTAGCCGTGTTTTCTGGGTTTTTTCTGTTTGCTGTTGTTCGTTGGATCGCCTGAAGAGCTGGAGAGTGAATGGGGTGAAGAGTCGCTCCCTTTAGGTTCATCCTGCCCGATTGCCTCTTTCTGCCTTTCCTGATCTGGCGCAGTAGTGACAAACGTAACCACAACCTCCTGTGTTGCTGCGTCACTCCTGATGGAGGAACACACCCTCTCTTAGGAGCTTCCCTCATCCTGAACCTGGACCATCATAGCTTCCGTGCTGATGAAGCCTTCCTCCCGTTCCCACTTGTTTTAGGGATCTTCCTGCAGTAGTAATAAAGCGCTTTCGCTTGACCGCTCGTCGCCGTAATGGGCTTTAGTGCTGTTGCCAGGTGTTTGGTGCAAAGTGCGAGAGGTGTCGATAGACGAGTAAGTGATCGTCATCTCTGCCTTTGGGCGTCGCTTGCTGGTGTTTGCTGCTGATGCTGGTGTTGTGTGCGCATCAAAAAAGGGAGTGTCACTGGCCCTCTCGTGTTTGTTTGTGCTTTGGTGTTATTTGCAACGACCCCGCGATGATACGATATCTATCCATCCGATTTCTGGTAGTGATAGAAACCATCCATCGAGTGGGAGTGTCGTCCGGTATCGGGCCATCGGTGGGTGCGGATGATTGTTGGATGTTGGTTGTTGATTGTTGGACCGATACTTAACGGTGATCTCGACGTTGTCGTCGGTGAGGATCAAAGCAGCGTAAGAGGTAGCAAGCTCAGCGGACATGGTTGCGATTCTGTTGATGAAAGAGAAGGAGCAAATTCCGGTTCGCCGTCCGTGGCAATTAAAAATTTGGGCGTCTCCCTCCTCCCCTGCCTGTCCCCCTCACCCCCACTAACTCTCCGCTCTCCGCTCCCTATTTGCAAGACCGCCTTTCATCTGTCTGGGTTGTGGCTGAAAAATCGAATCAAGAGTTGGCTCCAACTGGTCCACCTCGCTTTGCTGGTCTCTGAACATACACTCTCGAATAGTACCCCCTCCCCTCTTCTCTCTCTCACACACACACACATTCATCCCATTCACACATCAATAATGGCATTGCTTGCACGCGTCCTCAAGAGCATGGAGCGCATCGCTCCCCAGAGTCTGGCCGACCACGCCTGGGACAACGTCGGACTCTTGGTTGGTACGACCTCACCCACACGCAACTTCTTCGTTCAGCACCCGTTCAAGTTTGAACGTTTGAAGGCGCTCTTCTTTTTTGCTCACTCTGCTAACTGTGATCCATTCGAACCCCTTCTCTATTGGTAGAGGCTCCATACCCAAGGACGAGAGTCGTCTCGACAACCCCTCAGCGCGTCTTCTTGACCATTGATTTCACCACCGCTGTTGTTGATGAGGCTCTCAACGACCCCTCTGTTGGTGTTATCGTTGCTTATCGTAAGATGCAACCCGTGTGAATATTACGCGTCTTCCATTTACCAATCTCTTTAGCCTTTTCTTTTATACCCTGTTGTAATCTAACCAGTCTATATATTCTGCGATTTTCTCCCTCACAGACCCCCCAATCTTCCGTGGCATGAAGAAATTGCTTTTAAAGGATACAAAGCAGCGCATGGTGCTTCAGTGCGCTGCCAAGGGTGTCAGTGTTTTCTCTCCTCACACTTCCTGCGACTCTTGCGAGGACGGCGGTATGTTCATTATCAATATGTCCATTCTCTGCTAGGGAGTTGATGTTTGAAGCGGTGCTCAATTCTTTTTTTCTTACTCATTTGTCACTTTATACGTCATGACTCAGTTAACGACTGGATGCTTCAGGGATTCGGTGACTCCGGCACTAGCAGTGTTTACGTGCCCGCCGTTAACCCTCCTGCAGGTACAATGGAATGAATATCTCTTTCGTTATGAAGTACCCTGTGCAATATTCATTCATTTTTCTAACCGCGATCTCACCTCCACACAACCACTACTAGGCCATGAGAACTCTGGAAAGGGACGCGTCTTTACATTCCATGAGCCAAAGCCCGTCCAGCAAGTCATTGAGCAGATCAAGCGTCACTTTGGCTTGCCTCATGGTAAGCAGCAAAATGCTATTCTGATACGCGCACATATACTACACACGGCGGCAACAGATTGGTTAACCCATACTTCACACCATACTTTGTATATCCCCGATTTTAGTCCGCGCCGCGATCCACCCAACACACGCATCCAACGAAAAGCTGATCTCGACTGTGGGAGTGTGGGCCGGATCTGGATCGGAATTGGTCAACCACCCTGCAGATCTCTACCTCACCGGAGAATTGGGCCACCACGACGTCCTTGAGGCTTTGGAACAGAACCGGACCGTCATCCTCTGTGAGCACTCCAACACCGAGCGCGGCTACCTCTCGGCTGTTCTTAAACCTAAATTGGAGGCGCTCCTCAGCCAGGACGGCGGCGAGCCTGTCGAGATTGTTGTCAGCAAGACTGATAAGGATCCCTTGGTTGTCGTTTAAATGAACATACGGTTTGGAAAATATAAATGAGTTCTTCATATGGTGTTGCTCGAGAGTTTTCAACAACCTTGTTCCTGCAGTTGTCTTGAATCATTATGCTTGGGTGATGTTGTTTGATGTGCCACAACAAAAAAATATATGAAGTCAACCATGCAGCACTTCTTAAAGAAAACCTCACTAAACCTTGGATACGTTCATCGGTCTCAAAGTTCTTTCAAACGATTATATCTTACTATGCTAATGTCAAGAGCAAACCAGCAAAAGATGGGCCTTCTCAACACTTACAAGAAACGCAGGTTTTTTTTTTGTATACAGACCAAACTCTTTAATGCGCTATCTACCAGTTGCAGTCCGGTCCAGAACCTGGCTCTGCGCAACAATTGTCGCTTCTCTTCACAGCTTAAACGGAAGAAAATAAAACTAGATACGAATGAAGGGGATTCTTCCCATCCTCTCCATCATTGACAACCTCCTCCTTCCTAACAAACTCTCCAACAACCGCTCGTCAGCAGCGCGTGGGTCCTTGGTCGCTCCAGGGTACCTTCCTTCATCATGTGTGGCTAGCGAAGCGCCACACGGACAGAAACCATCGTGCGTGATGTAACCGTATCCATGACTCCAGTCACCTCGGGGGCCTGTGTACTTGGATGTCTTGTTCTTGGCAGAGATACCCTGGGTCTGCTCCCACGCGATCGTCGCGGAGCACCTTTTTTTTTTTTTTTTCGTACACAATTTTATTTCTCTAACAAACAGCATAGAGAAGTTATTTGGAAGTAAAAGGGGACTACAGACCAAACTCTTCAGTGCACCATCCACCAGTCGCAGTCCGGTCCAGAACCTGGCTCTGCGCAACAATTGTCGCTGCTCTTCACAGCTTAAACGGAAGAAAATAAAACTAGATACGAATGAAGGGGATTCTTCCCATCCTCTCCATCATTGACAACCTCCTCCTTCCTAACAAACTCTCCAACAACCGCTCGTCAGCAGCGCGTGGGTCCTTGGTCGCCCCAGGGCACCTTCCTTCATCATGTGTGGCTAGCGAAGCGCCACACGGACAGAAACCATCGTGCGTGATGTAACCGTATCCTTGACTCCAGTCACCTCGGGGGCCTGTGTACTTGGATGTCTTGTCCTTGGCAGAGATGCCCTGGCTTTGTTCCCACGCGATCGTCGCGGAGCACCGAGGTTTCCAGATCAGCTCCGAGGCCTGCGCCTCCAGGTAGCCAACAAACTTGTGAAGGACTGTCTTAGCGATGGACATTGGGGTTCGGAAGACCGCGGACCATTCAGTCAACATGCTCAAGGGGGTGATGCCGCGGAGGAGATCTGACACGTTCCACATCGGTTTCTCGTCTCGATCGGGAGCTGGACTACCGCTGTGCACGGCTCGAGCTCCACCGATGGAGGAAAATCCTCGCACATGATCCGCATCCGAAGGGGGCCACCAGTGTATGGGTACTGGCCTCGGTACCTGACGACCTCTGTCCACCGCGCGTTTGTATTCTCGCTTCCTGGCTGCGTTGTAGCTGTTTGTCGCCTGCACACCCCACTCATTAATCTTGCCCATGGCCTCCTTCCAGATCTCAGTGGTGGTCTCAGCTGCCGAAGGGCATTTCCAGACATGATCGTTATCCTCCTTCTCGAGCTCGCATCGTCGGCACACGCATGTTGGGTACAGGTTGGGCTTGCGAGCCTGCATGGAGTTCAGAGTGGGCAGCATTCCATGCAGCTTTTTGATGTGATGTGTGCGTTGGTGAGAGTCCTTGCTGTTGCTGTAAAAGGTGAAGACTGCGTGCCTGTCGTGGACATAAGCCAAGGTCGAGTTCCATTCCACGTCATCGATGTCAGGGATCGCCCTCTTGACCCGCCTCTGTGACGTCCAGGCCTGATGGTGACGGATTGTCGATTGTTGTTTGAGGAGCTGACGTAGATCGATTTCAACAATCCCGCCGTAACAATGTGCAAAGGTCGTGATATCCGTCTGTTGAGTGAGATCCACCATCCAGGGCACTGAACCACTCTGTGCTGCCACCTTCGCCGCCTGATCCGCAAGTTCGTTTCCGTGGATGTTGCTGTGACCTTTGATCCACACCACTTCGACCCTGCCTGGCCGAGATTCCACAGCCTGCCAAAGCACCGCCCAGATACCCGCATATGTACTCCTGAATCGCTTCCTCGGTAAGGTGTCCCGACGATTCTTCACCAGGCGACTATACTGATCCACCACTGACTGATTGTCCAGCTTGACCACAATGTCCTGTTCCGGTGGTGCTGACAGGACTGCGGCTAATAAGCCCATGAGCTCGGCCTTAGCCGAGGATGCGTGACCGTCCGTTCGTCCTTGTACTGTCAGAGGGTTGTCCTGAGTGAGATCCACCACTCCAAAGGCCTGGGATACTTCTAGCGTTCCCGAGTTCAGAAGAGATCCGTCAGAGTACAGGACGCGAGGGGTGGAGTTGTCGACGTGTGTGTCCTGAACTACGCGCATGGACGCCGCCTCTACTGGAGACAGGCAAAGGGGGCCGATCTGTGTGGTCGGGGGTCCTGGTACAGGCGGTGGTTGGACTTGATGGCGTTCTTGCAAAGGAAAGCTAGCATCTGTGTCAAAGGCTGGTTTGTATCGTGGTTTCGTTTCCTTGAGGCTGGATAGGATCTCTTTTAGGCGAGCGACGACCAAGCGGTGTTGTTGACGGAGTGCTTCCTTGTCCTTTTTCTGCTGCAGTCTCCTGGCTTGGGGCGTTGAACACGGTATTCGTTGACGGCCAAAATTGGTGGCAACATTTGTCACGTGCAGAGTCAAGCAAATCAGCGCGTTTGAGCTTCCGAAATCTAATTGTCAGAGAATTTTGATGCCTCAACAGCTCCCTTAGCTTAGTCGGTAGAGCGTTGTGCTAATAACGCAAAGGCCGCAGGTTCGATCCCTGCAGGGAGCATAGAGCTTAATTAAAATCTCTTTTTTCTACCGTTTCTACTAATGGTAGAAAAGAGTATCCTTTGGGCAGGCCAATTTTTTTTCTTTTAGCCAAACACTAAAAAATCGCACTAACCATGTGTGAAGCGGGACATAAGGGATTTCGGTAGTGTTTGTGACCTTTTTTTTTTGACCAGGTTAACCGAGTCAACCGATTAACTAATTAACTGATTATTGACCATTTAACCTAAATCGGTTAACCGTCAATTGATCAGACGATTGACTGACCAAAATTAACCAAAAAATTGACTTGACCTTTTGACCCGATTAAGTGGTTAATTATTTTTTTGATCGAAAAAAAATTGGCTAGTCTGTCATTTTTCTTCGTTCTTTAGGAACAGTTCAATTGCATACCGAACTCGTCGTCCTTTTTGGTGGCGGTTTCACTTCAGGAACATCTCGATCATTCAAGCAAAAAAAAAAAAAAAAGACTTGTATAATTATTTATGGTATTCTATTGCTATTAGGGAATGAAATCTACTTGTATAAGGTATGTTAAAAAAATATTATCTACTGAGACTTGATGGTGGCAAGAGGAACAGTAAAGACTTCACGGAATTGATAGTTGGTCCTGTCGGGTTGGGTTGCCTCCAGAAGAATCCTCTTGAACTCCTTCATGTGCAGTTCGCCGCGATCGCGTCCGGTAAAGGCAGACTTTTGCCAAGTCGACGTGACAAGGAGGACACCGTTGGCCGTCACTGCATTGAAGGTGAGGGCTGCGGCAGTGATGCTAGACGATTGCGAGAACATGGCATCCAGAACCTTGAAGCCCAGAGGAGAATCAGCAGGCTGTTTCAATCCGACGCCAAGGTTCGAGATCTGGAGGGTTGCCTCGCGTCCATGCTGCTCCTTCTCGACCTGTTCGCACAGGAACTTCTCCCACCCGCCCTGCTCTTTTGGGAGATACGAAAGGAGGCCGATGTGACCATAGAGTTTTTTGGGCTTGGAGGTTTCGGCGACCAGCTGCTTGCGGAACCGTTGTGCAACATCCCAAAATCCAGTCTCAAGCTTGATTTTGACATTCTTGGAGGCGATTTCGGACGTGTAGTTGCCCTGGACATAGGGCGTGAGCGGGGCACCGATAATGGGACGAAGCGTACATGGCGTCGTAAAATTCATGGCGTCCTTGGTAGTGGTAGGTCCCTGGTGGTTGTCTCCGGCGGGGTTGGACAGGAAGACGAGCTTGGTGGCAAAAGCCGAGGCGGCGAGGAGGATCACATGGACGGTAGTCTTGCGGTCCTTGGCCGCTTGGACAACCTGCGCGGTTTCCTCTTTAGTCAGGTACATGGCGACTACCTGTGTCTCATTGGGCACCTTCAGCGTGGCATCGAACTCTCCAGACCAGTACTTCTTCTCCAGCGCCCTCTTTACGAACCCCGGCAGTAAGAGCGACATCACAGCCCCCTTAACCAAAACGCCAAGACTTGGCGCGCAATCAACGACAGCCTCCAAGTTGTCCGGCATAGGTCTGACAGCGGAAGGAATCACGACGACACTGGGCAAAGTTTGAGGTCCGTCAGTTGCCGCTTGAATGTTGAGCCGCTCAATTAATTGGTCCACCAGCCCCAGCCCAGCACGTCCATCGCCAATTGAGTGTTGGTAACAGTAGAACAAATAGAAAGATCCGTCCTCCTTGACCTCGACAACCACAATCCGCCAGAGAGGGACCTCAGCACTAGCAGTGTCAAAGTGTGTTTGATGCTCGTCCTCCAGAACCGTGTTGATGTCGACTTGACGGTCGACTGAGGTGACGCGAATGATGCGCGACAGGTCGACCGAGGGCATCTGCAAAAAGACGGGCGTGGCTGAGAGATGGTCGCCAATGACGACGGACAGGTTGGGATGTTCCTGAATGAGCCAGGTCAGTGGTCCAATGAGGAGTTGGACCCATTGGGCATGGTTGCGGGGTAGAGGTGTTGATCCCGACTTTGGTTGTTCATGGAGACGGGCGCCGACGACAACGTTGATGTAAATCTTAATGTTGGCTCGAGCCAGCGAGTAGCGTTCGACGTTCCCGACCTTGCGAACCAAAGGGAAACTCATGCTGTGTGTGTGTGTGTGTATGTTTGTGTGAATGAGTGAGTAAGTGAGTATGGAAGGAGAGTGTTGGAGAAAGAAGGGAGTGATGAGGATATGAGGGGGTACAAGAGTGATTGATGGAGAGCAAACAGGAAGCGGAAAAAATCTTTGCAACTGGCCACTGCGCAGGACGCCGTTTGGAACAACAGCCTCGGCTGAAGAGAGCGTCACTCGATTAATTCATCATCAACAGGGAATAGCCGCATGCATGCTATTTTTGTTTGTGTCTGAATCGACGATTTCTCTTGGTTTTTGTGTGCAAAAGATAATAAAAAAGTTGGTAGCTCGAAAGAAGAAGGAAAAGAAAGAAGGAAAAGAAAGAAGAAACGATAGCAACTAACTAGAACGCGGAAAAAAGATGAGAAAAGAGGTACGGTGACATCGCGTCTGACCTCCCCTCCTTCTCTTTATCCTCTGCACACTTAAACGCTGCTCTCTGGTTTTTCCTCCTTTTTGTCAGCATCTGCCGTCTCCACATCCTTAGGTTCCTCGGTCTTTGTTGATGTCGCTGTCGCCTCAGCCTTCTCCTTCTCCTTCTCCGCAGTCTCCTCGTCGAACGTCTCGGGGTCCTCATCACCGTTGGGGCGGACCTTCGAATCGGCTGGTCCAAGACGAACGGCAACGCGCTGAGCAATGTGCTCATACCATTCATCCAAGGTCTTTCCGTGCAAGATAGCAACAATCACCATCGTCATGTTGTCACATCCGACTCCTGTCATGCCGCTGTCCAAAGCCAAACAGTTGTCCATAGTCATCTCGCACAACTGATCCAAGGGTAACTTCTCTGAAATTCCCTTGCGGACATAGGTAATGACCTCCTGGGAGGTCATGCAGTCCCAAATACCTATTTTCATACAACATAATAGAAGCGTGTGAATCGACCACGTCATGGGAGAAGTCTGGCTTCCTTACATAAAACAGTAGCAGTAACATATTACATACCATCGCAGGCAAGAACAAGGAATTCGTCCTCCTCAGTCAACTTGTGCTCGACAATTACAGGGTTGGCTAATTGGAAGGAAGGCAATGCCAACGTTAGGAATCCCTTCTCTTTCTTACATGAAGAACGTACATCCATTCCAACAATGCGCTTTAACTCAACAAACATACCAGTGACGATCTGATCATCGGGTCCCAAAGTGGCGTTCATCTTGAACTCAAAGTCACCCAAGGCGCGCGACAAAGCAAGGCTTCCGTTGACACGTCCGTACTCGACAAATCCTCCGGCGGCGACGATTCTTCTTGACTCCTCTGTTTGTACATCAGGTGCAGCAAAAGATAAAGGGAGACCATGCAGTTGGGTACAGGTAAAAGGAAGAAAGATGAGAGTTATTTGTCAGTGGTCATTTCAAGCTGGGTCCCAAAGTCCATCCATATAAATCGACCAATTGATGAAAAGCTGCCCCTCACTAATTTTGAGTTCTGAAACACATCGTACTAAAGAAGGTATGACCCCCCCCTTCACTAGCCCGTCAATGCGCAATTCAGATCGTGCGATCGTTTTCCATACCTTTGTTGACAGGCTTGTGGTCGTTCGAAAGAGCAATAGCAGTTCCATCGGTTCCAAGGACTGCACGAGAGTCTCCAGCGTTACCCTATATAAAATAGCCCGAAGCCAATCGCGTGTCCGTCAATATCTAATGTCGTATTCAATGCATCCTGACTCGAACATCATTAAGTCCCCAGTGTATATTATTTTCGATTAGCCACTGCGTCAGCCAGAGTGACGCCGCTGTCATATTAAATCCTGAAATTTCCGGGTGTTGAGCGGGGCGAAGAGGCAAGGCATCGTATGGAATACATGGTAATGAGCGATGGCGTCCAGTATTGGAGCCGTAGCATCGAGAGTCCTGAAGCCAAGTTGTTATGACACCATTCCAAACAAGAGCAAATGCGCCCATGCAAAGCGACCACATACCACGTAGAGGACGTTCTTATCGGTAATGGTTGCAGTGATGGCTGTGCATCCTGAGGAATCTCCGCCGTATTCGGGATCTGGTATTGTTTTTGCGATGCGTAAAATGGTTCATTAGCTTAGAATGGATGTCCTCTACTGCACCAGCTTTGCGCAAACACCAGGTCTCAATGATCCATGTTTAGCAGTAACCAACACCAGACAACATACCATAGCGAAGAGCCCTGTCCATCTCCAAGAATCCGTTCTTAATGGCAGCCATGAAGTCGCCCTTGGCAAACGCCTTGTCAGCAACAATTCTCTTGTGCAGACCTTCTCCGCTGTACTTGGCGACATTGGAACCTAGATGAATGTCACGATGATAGGATAAAAGACGCCTGTCAGTCCTGTTTCTTCCTGGTCATCGCAAAGTTGTAAACGTTCGCCATAAACATGCGTAGGTGCAGTCAGAGCAACCTACCTCCGTGCCCGTCATAAACTGCGAAGAAGGCTGTTCCCTCTGCGTCCTCAACGTTCAGCAGCGTGGTATGGGCATCTACGATTGTTTTGGAGTAATGTGGGCGTGATTAGCCAACATTGGCCAACAAAAAAATATCGTTGTTTTGAAAACAATGGTATCGTGACATAGCCGTGACATCTTTCAACATACCTTCCATGCCTATTTGAGTAAAACCAGACAAGAGATAGGAAAGAAAAGACGACAAAAAACATGCAGGGCGAGGAGTTAAGGATAATACAGCTCGGTGGCCGATATGGATGATAGGTTTGTAGGGTTGGAAAAACATGCAGAAGAACAAGCATTAACGCGCAAAACAAGCTCGATCTCCAGGAACAGGTTCGGAAAGGTAAAACAAGAACATGGTGCATGCAAAGGCAACAATGACATGAACAAGAAGTGAGATTCGAAGGAGGGAGAAGAAGGGTTTGACACGATTGGTGATACTGATTCGCCATCCTTGCATGGCAGAGGCTCCGTATGCGAAACGCTTGTCGTGACCCGCGGACGAGTGCTTGTCGACGATTGGTGCAGAAAGCGTTTGACCCATGATCGAGTTCCTTGTTGGTTGGTGCTGGGTTAGTGGGTCTTTGTAAAGTGTTGTTAGGTTGAGGTGCTGTTGGCGGTGATAAGGAAGAAAAGATGGTCAGGAGGACGAGAAGGATAAAAGGACAGTCGATGAGTCAAAAAAAGAAAGAAATAAAAAAGGGATCTCGCCTGTTCTGTCGAACCAGCCGCGTCCTTGCCTCCTGTTTGTCGACGTCAAAGGTGAACATTGGGTCGTAAAAAAGGCCAGGAGGTTGGATGCCATCATCCACATAACTCGCTCGTTTTTTTTTATGTTGATGATGCTGAAGAGTCGGTCAACCTTCCTGTAGTACCCCTTGTTTGATGCTGGTGCAAATCCATCCGCCTTGTTTTGCCGCTTGTGGCCATCCGTCATCTGAGAGCATCTGTCCTCCTGTATGTACTGTAGTCGACGTGGACGTGGAGGTATATTTCCTGTCGGGTTTCCAGCCAAGAGTCAGAGCCAGAGCCAAGCACTGCAGACGGCTGACGTGGTTTTGTTTTTGTAGAGTGCGTGTGGCGAGTAAGGGGATGGAAGGAGCGTGTGATCTTACGTTGCTTGGTTATTGTTGCTCTTGGTGTGTGTATGTGTGTGTGCGCGCGTATACGAGAGTTAGTGACTGAGTGAGCGTCGATGTCTTTTTTTTTCTTTCTTGTTTGCTGATGTCGATGGTCGATCGAAGAGGTGGCAAAGGGGGTGAAAGAAAAGAAAAGAAACAGAAAGGAGAAGGGGGAAAGGGAAAAAAGAAAAAAAAATATAATTTCAGTCTGGTGGTAGTCCTAGTCGCAGTTCCCTGTTCCCTTGAAGCTTTTTCTCTGTCAATTCTGTTGTGTCTCATCTCGCCCTTGTCTGTCTTCATTGTCTCGAGGGTTCAGTAGGGAGACAGGGGAGGAGGAGCAGCTGAATGAAAAAGTGAGGGAGCCATGAGCCCGCGACCAGGCCGACCGCGTTTTTTTTTCCATCACCGGACCACTGAAAAAAACATACACAGACACACGGACACCCCCCGCCACTCGACCAATTTACATACGCATACGCACGCACGCTCACTTGCAACCACAAGGATAACTACATCGATGATAACACCACCAACACGACCGCTACCGCCATCATCTTCACACACCAACGCTTCGTAAGCCCACACGGCCAAATGACCAAAAAAGAAAACATATATTTATTCCTTGCACACGCCACCGTTTTTCTATTCAAGCTCGTCGTAACCCGGCAATGGTGTCATGGACAACGTGCTTGTGTTAACTGCTGTCTCTGTGGTGTATTTTAAGGCCCTCGTTCCGTTTAGACCAATGCAGTCTTTGCAGGCAGCCTGGTCACTTTCTCGTTGCCTTTGTTCCAAGAGCATACACTGCATTGATTGGTTTCATATCCCCAAGAAAAAGTCTATTCGACGAACATGCTTTGGTGGCACTTTGCGACCGTCGTTTTGATTTCGTTCCTCATAACATATTTAAAGCATTTCGTACTTTTTTTCCCCTTTTCTTAATCCACACATCCAAAAGTCGCTCCCTTTTCAAGGAAACTATGACCTTACCGGTCGCTGAGGATCTCGTCTCGACAAAACACTCTTCAGGAACGATTTTTCTTAACCACGACAACACCCTCAACAACTACAACTACTCACACAACCACAACCACAACGACCACCACCATCCCAGCCTTCACCACCCACCACAAACCATGTCACACAGATCCGATATCGTAACCCCCACAGAAGGTACGTTCTCTCGTCCTTCAACAGCACAACAGGAAACAAACCTGATGGAATCAATGTAACATCTTTTTCATTACATCTTTGGTTTGACTATAAATGTATTTTCTATTGCTCTGATGCCATCTAGCAACTGTCCATGGCTCAGGAGCACATGAAGATTCTTGGAGTGGCCATGAAACAGACTTGCATCGACAGGACTTTGCAACGATGACCTCATCTTCCAGCCTGGACGATCGGAACGGACGAGGAGATGGAGCTGGATGGGGATTCGAGTTTGATATCGAGGCGATGAAGCAGTCGACTGGAACAAGGAAGAAACAGCAACATCGCAACGGAGACTACCATAGCGAAGATCAACGGAGCATCGACGGTCATGGGACTGACGACGACAACTGGCACACAGAGGGAGAGCGGTCTGGAACCGATTCCAAGGCTGGATTCAATCCTCCTTCTGAAGTTGCATGGGGCGATGATTGCCTTGACTCGAATAGCCAGAGTCACCAGCGCCAGGACAATTGCCTGCGTCAGGAACATCTCCAGCGCCAACAACAACACGGACGTCAGGCCTATCAGGAGCGTCAGGGTCATCACGAGCGCCCGAGTCGCCACGTAGCCCATCGCAGCCCTACCAGTGACCATCAAAGACCAGGTGCAATCAACACCTCAGGTTGGAACAGCCATCATCAATGGTATTCGAGGGAGGCAGAGGTCCAAGAATCCAGTAACCGAAATGCTGGAAATCGAGGAGACCGCAAGGCGGACGATGCCGAGGACGATGTCTGGGGGTTGAAGCGGACAGAGCGGTGGACTGCAACCGAGGAAGATGAAGCTGTCGATGAGAAGGAGGAGGTAGTTCTGGACGAGTTGACAAAATACTGGGCTCCATCGAACATCCTCGACTTAATTCGACCTAACCGATCAACGCAGGCGTTTTCCGACAAGCACACTAGACATGGCGGACAACCCTACGACGGCGACAACTGGGGAGATGCACCCGAGCCTACAATGACCTACAACGGCGAGTATACCAACACCGTCCTAGTTGAACAGAGGAATAAGCAGTACTGGGAATTGCGAGACGGAGAGTGGATACTCTTGAACACGTCTTCGGGAATGATGGTTACCCCCCAGCAGAAAGGAATCAACTCGGCAGCATTAGAAGGCGACAACGGCAATGGCCAGTCAAGTGAGGATGAGAGCGACAACTACAGCCAGGGATGGAGCGACTACCACCCTGAGGTCAGCTCGCCAACGCACTCTGTGAACCACGAATCCGAACGCAAGAGATACAGCGGAGTATACCAAGGCCCCGCCCCACCAAACTCCGATTCTCAAGAGTTCCTCTCCGAGGTGCGCCGAGAGATTTCACCGGAGCAGTTCGATCTTGACGCGGGCTTTATCCCAGAAGACGAATGGAGGAAACCTCTGTCTGCGAGAGCGAAGAAGCACGAAGAAGGCGAGCCTGGTCAGATGAAGGACGATCAAACTGGATCCTGGGGACCGGAGAGGACATCATGGGAGCGACCAACCTCTCGGGCGTCATCATACTCCGAGTCAGAATCTGTACTTGATCTTCCGCCTGATGCGTTACCGGATTTCAGGACAGCAAAGCCCGGCGAGCCAACGATCATCACTCGAACCAACATCCCTAGCAGCAACAGCAACAGGAACAGTTATAATAATAAGAGTAACAACAGCAGCAACAACGACAACAGCAACAACGACAACGACAACATCAACAGCAACAACACCACCGCCACCACCAACAACAACAACAACAACAACAATGACAGCAATAATGGCAGCAACAATGACAGCAACAGCAGCAGCAGTGCTCGCCCTCCTCCCCCAAAGAAAAAAGATCCGGCCAAGGCAATCGAATCACAACCGGCATTGCTTGTAGATCTGGACGATAATGCAGCGACCAAATCGCCGCCGAGTCATGCAAGCATGAATATGGCCCAGTCACTCATCGGACTTGATTTCATTGAGGGACAGGATGCTCAACCTCCTGCTCTCGATTCTACCCATGATGCCGCGACAGCGGAGACAACCAGAGCGGGCCCGAAGAGCGCGGACGAGGACAAGCAAGACAAGAATGAGATCTCGACATTGGTCACAATTGCTAGCGAGAGCGTTGACAACACCCGCAACCCTGCAGAGACTGCGTCATCGAAGCTAGAGGGTACAGTAGACCTTCTTCTAACTGACATTCCGGCCCAGGAGTTGTCAAAAGGAGAATCTGCTCTCGATTTGCTCGGAATTAACAGCACCGCTCAGCAGTCTTCCAAAGGAGATTCTCTCGTTGAGCTGCTTGGAGCCACTACCCCTACACAGAGACAACCCAAAGATGAGTCTGCCCTCGACATATTCGCAACAGCCAACGCAGCCCAGGAGCCATCCAAGAATGAGGTTGCTTTCGATATTTTTGGTGCCAGCGGTCCAAGTCAGGAGCGGTCATTCAAGGGACCTTTACCGGGCGGATTCCTCGACCTTGGCAGTCCATACGACTGGTTGAACCAGATTGCGTCCAGGAGTATGCAGCAGTCGGAGGAGAGTCGCACCACCCAAAAGGAACAATGGAGTGCTCTGATGGCCAAACAGGAGGCGGACTCGAACAGGATACAGAACTTTATACAGAATGCGACAACCGACAGTGCAAGCAGTACCGGCGCCAGTTCGAAGAGAGGAACCAAGTCCAAAGTGCCGTACTCGCTCGCTATGGCTATCGAGACCAAGGATCACGGCCGACAAGTCCTGAATGTCACCGAAGTAAGTTGATAACGTTTTATGGACTGCTACACTTTCATATGACTGAGAGATCTAGAAGGACATTGTATATATTGCGGGGCAACGCGTTTGAACGAGTGTATAGTATTTGTTATACTAACACGTCTTCATCTACTTTGTTGGCATGCACGTTTTGCAGCGCGACGACCTCAAGGACATGGTGGAGCGGTTTTGCGTCCAGTATGACATGCAATCATATGAGATGGCATTGTGGGTGACGGTGGCCAAAGCAATCAAGAAGAAAAAGAAGCAGCTTCGGGAGAGCAGCATGCAGCAACATCAATAGATGCACCACCTCCTTTGTTGTTGTTTATTGTTGTTTGCCATTCTTCAATTCTTGCCTCGGTTGGATTCATCTGGATTGCGAACGAAAAGGCAAAGGGCGTAGGATAGATTTCTGTCCACTGTGCATGATCTTTTTTTCTTTGATTTTTTTTCCCTTTACCCTAGCCTTCCTTTTGTTAGTCGGGCCTCTGCCCGTACCTCACATTCATGCAACTGTTCTCATTTTGACAACAAAACACGGTACTTTTCATGGGCACCTGCTTCCGTTGCTGCTGGTACAAAAAAAAAATGCAAGGGGGTGATGGCGTTTAGTTCAGTGTTTGATCTTTTTGTGTTCTGGCCTTCTTGTGGGCTATTTTTTTTTCTTTAGTTCTTGTGAACTGAACTAGGTTTCGTTGCATGTGCTGCAAAAGGCATGTGAGTACTCTTCTTTCATGTTTCCAACTCAATTGTGTCGTTGGTTGCTTGTTTGTTGATGTTGTTGCTTTTTTTTCTTTCCTTCTGTTCTCTGTTGTCCCCTTCTTGTCGTTCCTGCCCTGCCCTTTGGCCATCCCCCTGTCGTGTGCATGTGCCTATATGTCTGCATGTGGAGAAGAAAAAAAGGAGACAGAGAAAGAGGTGCGAATGTTTTTTTGGTCGTTTGCTGGTTTTCCTTTCGTTCCCGCTTGCGCTTGAAAAAGCGAAGATCGAATTTTTTTTCCATTCCCAGTTCATATCGTGTCCTCATCGATGAAAAACAACGTAAGACAGGTATGGAGAAGTATGGACATGTGCGGAACTGACACCACATGCAAACTGAAAAGAGAGCGTGAAGGAAATATAACTGAATTGGAAAAATGTGGCCAAAAAAAAAAAAAAAATCCCGCCGGGAAGAAAAACGAGGTACAGCATGCGCTGGGGCTGGTGCATGCAGGAGAAAAGGAAAGAGGAGGACTACGCGCTCGAGTATGAAAGAAACTATACACATGCGTTTTGTCATAGGGTCAGTGCTGGTAAGAATAAGGAAAAAAGGTTGGTAAGATACAGGAGATGTAAAAAGAAACGTACGAACGTTGGGCAAAGACTCAAGGAGAGCAAGAGCAAAGGGAGTTGGGTGAGGGGCATCGCGTGCCTGAATAGCTTAAGCTCTTGGATGTTACCAGATTCTTGGGGCGTTGTGATCAGTGAAACAAACGCGGCAGTTAGAACAAAAGAGATAGCTTAAGCTTCTTTTGTGCTCGTTCTTTCTCTCTTACTTCCTTTTTTTCCCACCTTTCCACCATGTTTTTCTGAAGGCACGCTGTCCTATTCTTTGTGCTCGTGCACACCATGCACCATGCACTTCCAAGACTCTTCCTTTTTTATTTTTATTTTTATTTTATTTTGCTCGTCCTGAAAATAACTGCCTCGTCCCTTCGCCTCTTCCTTCCCTGTTCTTTGTCTGCGCCCTTCCCTTTTTTGTTTTCCAATCCTGCACAGCAGTTCAACTCTTATCTTCCCGGATAGTTATGGCGTATTGTGCAAGCGTCTTTTATCTTTCTTCTCTCTCTCTCTCTCTTGCTATGCTTTATTTGCCAATGATAATGGAGGAATATTACACGAAGTTCAACCGTATGCGATATATATTGAGCTGCATGCATTTTTGAACGATCAGAGCAGAGAAAAACGTAATCATAAAAATAAAGAGAAAAGAATCTATTCGGAACGAGACCCGGCCGCCTTGTTCTCTTTCAAGCACATCCGACAAAAATCAAAACTTGATAATGATGCTTCCGGGGAGAGATTGAGGAAGGAGGACAACGTAGAGAGAAAAAGAGGAGACGGGCAACGTTTTTTTTTTTTTTTTTTTTTCTGATAGGCTTTTGTGGTGCATAGAAAGCTAAAAGGTGGTGTAACATTGCGGGCAAGTGTTGGTTTTCTATTTCAGGCAGGCCCTAGACCCAACAAAAATGTGGTGTCTCTATCTTTTTTTCCTCTGTTTCCTCTCTGCGTGGCATCAAAATAATGCAAAAGACAAACAAACACAAGGGCAATGAAATGCAAAAAGGTCAATGTGTTTAGGCTGGAGACTAGCGTGAATTTGAAGATGAACTAGCATGAGCCTTCATTTTGTTTTCTCTCTCTCACTCTACCACGTCTCTCTTGTTCCATGTCCAATAAGATCCAACTGCCCCGCATTTCAAACAAAAAAAAGTGGTGTCGTGAACAGTCTCCATATCTCAATTTCGGTCTGCGTCTGCTTTGTCCAAAGCCTCGCCTAATGCATGTACAGTACGCCATCTGGGAAGAGTAAAAAAAGAAAGGCAAGGTAAAATGTAGGGGAGGGATGAAAGTGGCGCATAACGTTGTAAATTAGGTGGACAGTGCGAGCGTTCGGGCCCACAAATAAAAAAAAAAATGGGCAAGCATTCTTCACGTACTACTGAGCTTGCTGAAATGCGACAAATAAAAACGCGCAGCGGCGACGGTATGGTATGGTATGGTATGGTCGGACTACCTTTTGGTGTGTGCATAATGAATCACGGGTACTGGTAACATTCAGAAGATGGCTTTTGTCGGCTGTGAGGTGATACAGGATTTTCCGAGTTGTGTAAGGGCCAATTGTGCGTTTCGCTTGCTTGCTTGCTTGCGAGCGAACGCACATTGTTGAGATGCGAAATATATGTAGGCGTAAGATTTGAATGTGAGAGACGAGACGGGTCCCCTTTGATCTCGTCCCTGTTCTTGTCCTCGTTTCGATTATTTTTTCCACCTTGAAAAAGGAAGGCAATAAGAGCAACGCATCTATAGTCTACTTTTTTGATATCATTTGTGGGGCGTGCAATTGCACTATGTTTGTTGCCATTGGCCACCTAAACAACGAGAAAGAACTGGTAACGCGAAAACAAACTTTGTTTTGAACTGCCCAAACACTCGATTGCAAGTAAACCATCAGACGACTGTACCATTTCCCTGGCGTGGTGGTCTCGGCCTTTACTTTTCATGTTTTTTTATTCTTCTTGAACATCGAAGGAATGTACTCCTCCACATACCACCCACAACAATCAGTAATCAGTTATGTTGACGAAATCTTCGCCACAGCTCTCTGTACTTGTTGTTCCTTTGTTGTTGCTTCTTGTATCGATGAATTTGAGCGATGGGTTGGCGCAAGGATTGTTGTCTGAATATTTTTTTGATTGACCTGCATAAACAAACGATTGAGAGCTGAACATAAAAAAATGGCGCCTAGACTCCAGTGCCCAGACCCCAAATTGCCAGGAATAAAACAAATCAACAAGAGTTTCTACTTAGTACGCTTATTCACCCTCGCTTTTCTATTTCGCTTTTCATTCTTGTGCGTGTTAGAGTGCGAGACATGTAGCGACCAGTGTAATGGGAAAGTCAAAGAATTCATTTGGTTGCCACTTATGTTTCCAGTAAATATGTGAAGAGAGGACTAATTGGTTTCCATTCAGGATTGAGAAGGTGTGAAATAAGGATTAGAGATTGTCAAAATACTTAGGGAGGAAGAGGCTTGTGCGTCAAATACCTTAATTACATATTCCATACATGCAAGGAAGTTATGGTTTACGTTAACTAAGATATTCAGGTTCCCTCTTCCATCCTAAAGCATAAATGAAGGATCGGAGAATGGGAGGATCAGTGGGAAAGATGGAGGTAGAAAAGAGGGGGGCGGGAAGAAAATACGGGAAGCTAAACATCGGACAACTACGGCGATGACAAAAAAAGAAAACCATAGGTGCTTGCAATGAAGGAGAAAGACGAAATGTACAGTACAACATCATTTTTTCTAGAGAAACGGTACTCATCTAAGACCCCTATCTTCTTCTTTTGTTCTTCGTTCAAACATTGAAAACAAATCTCCCACTCACCCCTTTCCTTCGGGCTTCCTGCACTTGCTTAGGGTGGTTTCTGATGTCATCGAATTCAGTCTCATTAGCGAGAATGAGAGAAGAAAGATAAGAGAGGAAGCAGAAGGGGGTAAAAAGAGTGGAAGAGGGCTGAGGAGACGAGAAAGAGAGAAGGTTGAAGAAAGGAGGTACATGGACATGCCTGATGCGCTCGGTACATGTAAGCAAAGTAGTTTCCTTTTAAGGACACGAGTCTGTTGATTGAAGGTCCTTGGAGCATTTTCTTTTCAAGGGGCACTCATTTTCGTTTTCGCTTTGAGGGTGAGCTCCAGCACCTTGGTTAAGAAAGAGCTTGTATGGAAAAAATATCCAGACAGCGACAATGACAACAGAGCAACGCCGATAGCATTCGTTTTAGACAAAGATGAGAGGCGGTAAGGGGTTGTCTTTGCAGAGTAGCTTGAGGTTTTTGTTTGTCGTTTTCCCCCTTTCGTTTCTTATCCTTAAGAGAATGGCGAAGAGAAGGAGACAAATGCGAGATGACTACTGAGCGATAGACCACTCGCTCCGACCATTTTTTCCCTTGCTCCAAACACACTCAAAATACATAAAAACGTATCTTTAGACACACTCCTGGCTCTATCGCTGTCCCGTATGTGCCTATGTAATCGATCAGATAAAGCCGGAAAAATCGAAATCGGAAACGCGAACGAGATCGGGAGAAGCGCAGAGAGGGGTAGTTTTCATTTTTGAACTCTATCTGCATGAGTACTCTTTCCTGCCCCGATCCAAAGGATAAACAATCAGACAAATCTTTATTAAAGTCTAAAACATGCTATTCTCCTTCCTCTCAGTTCAAACTAGCGACGAGCTGGCACCTAACAAGACTTATGAGAATAAGCCGATACCCAAAAAAACATCCACATTGCATAATGAACCTCAATGATTTGTCCTTAAAGAAATTTTCATTCTTTCTTGTTCATGGCGCTGTCAGATACCTGCTGACTCCAAAAGCTTAAGCTTATTGCCCAGGGTTGTTGTTGTCAGGTCGAATAGACTTTTTTTTATTTCCTTTCGTAAAAAAAAACATGCAGGCATCGATCAGACCATTGACAAAAAGAAAGATTGAGAGAGTGAGAGAGAGTGAAACGCGCAAAAGGGAAGAAAAAAT